GAGGGAAGACTTACGATATTGCAGACCAGACGCGATGGCTCTGAGCTAAAACGACGTTAGAGAATTATGACATCTGATGACGGGACGTACCATTTTGAATCGGTGTGCTGTGGTGAGGGATAATCCTTCACGCTCCAAAAATCCGGAGAGGTTTCCCTGTTCAACCCAGGGAGTGACTATAGCGGGAAGGGGACCGAAGCCCAAAGAGTAGCCGTAAACTCGGAGAACGTTCGGGTGTCTGAGCCCCGCGCTGGTCCCAAGTTCACGGCGTATACGCTGAGCACCAAACGGTGTGAATAAAGAGTGATATATTCACCGGCGACTTACTTTAATATTTTTAGCGTTGGTAGAAATGGCCTCAGCGGCACTGTACATCTGGAACGCCTTCACTGCAACCTATACGATTGTGATCCGATGTCGGAATAAAACCTTGGTTGGGGACGAACCTTGACGGGCCCCTTGGTGGATTGTAAGAGGCACTTCCAGACCTCCCCAAAACCGCCCCGTGCGACAGGGTATTCGGCAGTCTTCGTGATGTGAGGCGTGAGGTTGTCAAGTGCCGCCTGAATTAACGCTACGTTAAGTCGCAAGAGAATCAATGCATTTACTTACGTTCCATTCCGGCAAACTAACTTCCATTTCCATGGCATTATCCGTCCAGTGTTGATCGATGTCCATTGCAACGTTCTCCATCTGGTTGCTTACTCGAGGATGTCCGTTGGCGGATGGCTGTTCAGTGAGAGCAGTGTAAAGACCTACTACTGTAGTAATTTAAGTCGTGTTGTCAGTTATGGTTCGCGCAGATGACAGTGGTTTGAGAGTCAGACTTTAATATTATGACGCTTACTCAACGTTCAGAGAAGACTGAGTGACGAATTGAGGTTACAGTTAAGAGGTGAGTCTACAAGTACTGTTTCTAGCTATTCCAACACGCGTATCTAGGTTATATAAATGTAAGTAATGTAAGTATCATATGGACGAAATCCTGTTCACAAGGTGAACTCGGTCAAGGGGATATGTGATGGGAAATCTGGTTGATTTTTCGCGATTGAAACATGTCCCGGACCATGACGCTGGAAGATTTGTTGAAGTAAGTGTCGTTGTCAATGCAGCGCGACACCCCAACCTGGGGAAGGAAAAGCGAGATTTGCTTATGAAGGCGTGGGTGCCAAAGCGGCTGGAAGGTTGTGGTAGGTGGAGCAGTTGTCTCAGAGGAAGGAAGTATGACCTACAGATCATCCTGGGCGTTACCAGGTGCATGACACAACATATGATGATAATGCAGTAGGTGAAACATGGCCCATGGTCATGGTCCCAGGATGACATGACCTGGGCGAAGTAATGATACTGCAGGGTATAGCTAGTAGGCAACCCTTGACCGGCGGTGATGAAAGCGGATATGTCAGCAGCGCCATTATACACTTTCAATCTCTGTCGGTCACCATAAGCATGGGTGAAAAGGGGATGTAGCACACTTACTGAAACTTTTCAAGGAAATGTGAGATGGGGGATTTCCAACATTTAGCTCCCACTCCAGGAATTGGAGAATCCATCATCTATCTGGCGGTCGCAAGCACGGCGTGTATGACGGACGTCTTCTTCGAATTACGATGAAGAGGTCGTGTTGGTCGTACGCATGTTAGTCAAACGCGGCAGGCGTTCGAAACACGGCGACCAAAACAAAAAGTCCCAAACGCAAGCGTTCGACGATGAAGGCTTGGCGTGGTTGAAATGACGAGGTCAACTTTGCAGTGAACGTAGTTTCTCGAGATGGGCCAACCGCAAGGATGAAGGTCAAACGCAAGCGTTCGACGGGATGAGGTGCCCGAAAGGATGTAGGTCAAACGCAGGCGTTCGACGGGATGACTGGAAATGCGCAAGGGGAAGCAAATCAAACGCAGGCGTTCGATAGGATTACTAGATAGATGTCCTTAAGACTAGTCAAGATGCAAGTCAAACGCAAGCGTTCGACGATGCATTTTATCGAAATGTGGACCACAAGAGCTGCCTGTGCATAGGCAAATGTCATGGATTTGGAAATTTATGCTACTGATCAGCCTATCGATATAAGTATCATGACGCACAGGCTAGCGCTACCTCTTATGATGCACGTGGTTTTTTCAGCTGACTAAAATGGCATTGTATATTATTGCTCACAACTGACTAGGTTGTGGCACATTGACAGCCCAGTTGTTATCTTGATGCCTCTCACTACTGTTATGACTCTCCCGGCCATGTATTCTAAGCTCCCTATGACCCCTGGATCCAAGGGTTGGCTCCCAAAATCACCTTCCAATACTACTACCCTAATCGCCTCTCCGGCGAGATGTGTACCACTTCAAGCTGAACAACTTCAGAAACCAGCAGAATCTACTATCACACTCCCAACAGACAGGCAACTTCCGGACAAGCAAGTACTTGCACACCTCAAAGCAGCAATACAAGCAAGACTCGACCTCACAGATGATAATCAAGCCAGCTTAAGCTTAGGTTAGTATTTCTCAGATCGCTTATCAGGTTCCAATCTTCTTCTTGACCATCCATCATCTTCATCATCTTACAGAGCATTGTGCAATTATTCTTGAAGCTCTTCAAAACCCACAATCAAACACGATCGTAGGTCGCTTTGTCGTTGTCGTTGTCGAGCAATGTCTGACTCGGAAACCCTTCAAGGTCATTGTCGGTATCACACCTGCAGAGTACGCAGCAGTATTAGCGTTTACATCTGAAGAGAAAGCCTTTGAAGTTCGAGCAAAGTGCGCGCTATTATCGACTGTCTCGTACTTACAATACTGATAATATTTTTACAGATTCGCCTATTTCGAGAACACGCAAGAACTTCAGATCATGCCCCCCCTCCCTGTCCATGAACAACCAGCTGCCCACCTTTCCAAGGCCATTAACAAATTCACGGATGCTCTTCCATACGACAAACTCTTGGTCGACGTGACCGTGCACCTCAACCACCGGATCCAAAACAAAGACACAACGAATATCCCAGATTTACACCTCGCCGTCACAACTCAGCCGCCAGAGGACGACGGTGCGGACGAAATTGAGATTCCGAAGCCTGTCTCGAAATGGGTCGGGGAGTGTGGACTTTCGTCAGACCATGACTTCATGGTGCGGAAACTGAGAGTCACGTGCGACGGCCATCGTGACATTGATCTTGCTCTTGCTCTGATCATGTCCTTCAAAGAGCGGTTTGGATGGCAACAGCCCAAGAAGACGAGTATCGCCGCTCAAACTCTTCGTACGGTTCCCGTATTGGAATACGAAGAATTCGTCCCTGCACGCATAAAGAAGAATCTGAAGTTTGGTCCGGTCACCATCCACTCTCATGTGTGGATCGACATCAGCGAGATTCGATACAGCGTATTCAGACGTGGCGCGGATGGCCACTTTAATTTTAACAGCAAGAATCCAGACACGTTTGCAGAGGGGGTACTCTCACATTACTATCCGAGTCATCCGTACTCTAATCCCAGCTCGCTCCCTACAGACCCTTTACCCCACGGTACATATGTCCGACGTCGAACGCATGTTGAGGGATGGCGCAAACGCGTTGAAGGAGTACATTGTTTCCTTGATGCAAGGGATGAGTTTAGAGGCGTCTGCAATCCAGCTTGTGCGCGAATCCAATCCCATTTTCGAGCCCGTTTGGGGGGCTGCTATCAATCAAATATCTTCTGCCATATATCTTACAGCTTACTGCCGTTACTTGGATTGGCGCAACCACAAGTACAGCAAACGTAAGATCTCGCAGACTGCTCAATCCTCAAGCACCGGTGATCAAACTACTGCCTCCATCTCGTCTGTTCCTACATTGGCCTCCTCGTCTAATCCTACATTAGCCTCGTCTGATCCGACAGTCTGTTCCTCTGCTGGGCTCTCGCTTGATATGCAACCCGAGCCCTTGGCAAAGAAGGCCAAGACCAAAGCTGCTGAGGAGCCAAGGCGAAGCCGAAGACGAAGAAGACGGAGACAAACAGAAAGGGGAAGGGGAAGTCGGGACTCTAGGCTGGAGCTGTATATCATCGAGGGTGAGTCACTCGCCCGTTCGAAGTCGATTTTCTCCAATGGTCTCATACATTATGACTTAGATTGCAGTACTAGTAGCCTGCTATGCAATCGCCATCGTTCTCGCTTACATGCTGTCATGGCCACTCTCAATATACCCGCCAATATCTGTGTACTTGTAGGTTCTTTCGCATCAGACTATAGTAGTATTACTACTAGTGCTCATTGTATCGCTTACGTTTGAATATCACATCACGGTTGACTTAGAGTTGTCAATCACCAGTGCCCGTGACGACAACTTCCTGATGCCGGCGGCAGGAGGTTTGATGGATGGATAGCCTGTGGTGGATACGAGGGCCGCTTGGCAATCCATAAGCCTGGTTTTAAAAGTATGATGATATTGCCGGTGAACTGGAGTAGTACTAGCAAAAGAAGGATGAATGGGAGCGTTTGAAATCGGAGACGGCTGAATGTTCCACTGCTGAAATCTCATGTTGAACAAAATGGATTCTCCGTCAGACGACGAGCTCGAATACTTATACCAGCTATTTAGCGTCGCGAAAGGGCATGGCCACAGGCAGGCCTCCCATTGATCTGGATGAGCGGCAAGCAAATGTATTGTATAGCCTTGCATTGGCTTGCTGGCGGGAATCCTCCGAAACTGAATCATGTCGTGTTACAGGTGTGCGATAGGTTTGAACTTACAGATATTGTCAAGTAACAGTCACTGGTCAGTAGATGATCAATGAGAAATGAGCACAGGCTGGCGCCTCGACTATCTACTTCATCTTGGCGTGCGATTAGACAAATTGGGTTGCTGCTTCGCCTCATTTACGAAAGTGTTTGGTTGAAGTGTGACGAACTGCCTCAATATTTTCGAAGTGAAGTGAAGTCAGTTCGAACTGCATCAGTTCACCAGCAACGCTATGAATCGATTCATGCCAGACTAGTAATTTGCAGATATCTAAAATTACCGTCAGCGCTCAGCTGTCGCAAAAGTCCCACAGTAAAGGAAGTTGTCGCAGAAGTCACAGAAGTCACACGGTTAAGGAAGCATCCAAATTCTGGAGTCCGAGTCTTCTACACTAACTAACTTATACTTATGTGTTGGAGTTCCAGGGACCTAGGTACGTAATCATAGAGAAACCTCCCCTCATCGTGTCTAATGGTGGACTCGTCTAGATCTTGCATCTCACTCGCTACGGATACCATCAACGATCATGACGAGCGGAAGTAGCAGTGTTAGCGTCACGCATGAGCAGGTCATCCTCGGACAGGCAAACCTGCACAGGTGACGTTAACCCAGGTTCCTGCACCGCAGAACGCGTCCCTTCCGTTCGCGACCCCATTAATCCCTCTTGAGTCAAGTTCCCGTATCTCTCAAGAGGACAAGGACGCTCTCTGTGTTGAGCTCGCCTCCGGATGGAAGAAAACGTCGCACACGGTCATCATGATAGTCGTTACTTATTATAAGCAAAGTCAGTCCTATCAACCCGAATTGCCATACTACTCCTCAGAGTCCTCACGCTCTCTCTCACTAACTTTTATTCTTTCACGATTATCTCCTCCCTTCATTTTCCCCTCCTCGTTTCTCTTTCATCACTCGGATACTCGGACCTCTTCCCTTATTCCAGTTCCATCTTTCTAAATCCAGTCGTTTTACACTTCGGTCTTTCTTAATTGTTTTTGTTTTTCACCCATCTCAAGCGACCTCCTTGATTTTCACCTTCCACTTCTTTGCTGTTTCTTATTGCTACTGGCCCGGGGCACCTTCTCCCAAATGTCAACTATTGACTCCAAACACTGACTATTGACATGATGCTAACGCTCACACAGCTCTCTGGCATCTCTTCCATTACCTCCTCTGGCAGGGCGCAACGACGGAGCATGCGGGCGCAGATGTTAGTTATGAGTATTATGAGCAGGTGCGTTCGTTCGTTTATACTTTGTCTGAGCATGTTTAATCTGAGTATTATGAGCAGGTGCGTTCGTTCGTTTATACTTTGTCTGAGCATGTTTAATCTGATGGTTTTGACGTGTTTCTGTTCATCTTATCATGCATCTAAACATAATACTCGCGCGTCCTGCACCCATACATCCAGCCACCTCATCCAACACCCACAAATGCCGATCAAGCATCCGCAACCCATCTTTCCAAGCGTCCTCCAACCAGGCGACCTCGTCCGGGTCCACGACTACCATCGCCTCTCAGTCCCGCGCATGTTCATGAATGTGATGCATTCTGGTACTGTGAGTGGCGTGGGTGGAGAAAACGGTGGGGATGTGTAAGTGTTTTTTGAATGACGACGGCAAGAGTACTGATATACTGCACCATAGGATCATCAATTTTTTTTCGTCCATACGCCTTTCTCGAGTTCAGACGTGCTTAGGTGTTTACTGCGTACATCCCGCTCCTTCCCGCTCTCTGTAGTGTTCCACACTACCAAAGAACACAACAATGCAGAGCTCGCTGCGTCTCCAGAATCTGTTTGCACAACTGCCGTTGAACATAACAGCAAGTGAATGTATGCGGGTTAGTATGTGACGATGCTTGAGGGGTGGCGGAAGATTGGTTTTGGAGACACCTCAGGGGGAAGTGCGCTTGTACTGCCAGCGTAATTCTTGGGGAGTACCACAGGGACTCGCAGGACTTCGGTTGTAACAGTTTTACGTCGAGCTGGACACACTTGATGTGTGAACCTGACTGGAATGTAAACATATGTTCATTCTCGAATTTCTTGTATCTCTCATGTGCCAACCGGTATCTACTGTTCTTGTAGGTCAAGCGAAAATTTTTACACCATAACTGATGGACGTTCTCCTCGCCACCCGTACTTAAACGTTCTGAACGATTAGTAACAGCAACATCCCGACCGTCACCATCCCTTTTTTTTCTTTTTGCTCTAAGCCCAACCCCAGCGTCTGAACCATCCGAATCGAGCTTCTGTATGCGCAACTCCCACCGGTGTGTCACCATTAATAACACCGATTAGTAAAGGTGATGTGATGGGATCCTCCTTACTAAGTAGTAGGGATTATCTATGCTGCAGCACTTCAGCACGTCCCGCAGCACTCAGTAGTCCCCTTAGTAGAATAAAATATCTTCGGTAAATAGTGTCTTAAAACATATGTTATATAATCCGCCTATTTCCGAGTGGCCGAATTACTGAGAATAACCGGTGGCCGCTATCTGCCGATTTACACCCCGCCGCCTCTCAATCATTTCCCACGTCGTCTCCACCGCCTTGCTGATCGCCTACACGACGAGCTCTATCAACGCGCTCAGAACTTGCCCTTTTTTCTCGTTTCTTTTGCCCATTGACGTTGATAACGTATGCTATCTTTTATTTCATTGTATTACATCTAGATAGCTGACTGGTGAGTCTCTGCGCAGCCCGTGTTTTCTATCAGCGCCTCCCCTCCCAGTCCACTCTCCCACCTCGCAAGCCAGCAACATGCGCCGTTCCAAGCACATGTCGACTTCTTCGCGGGTGAAGATGTCGGTCCTCAATTCGTCTCACTCCCTTCAAACAACTACGGCTTCGTTGACTCAAATACGGCGTGAAAGGCTGGATGCCGAGGGCAGGCGAGCAGAAAGCATGCAACGTAAGTAGTACTATAGTTGCCTTTCATTATTATACTTACCACACTTCAGAAACACAACACCTTCGTGCCCTTATGGCTGAAGCTCAACTTGAATCAGGGCGAGACCACAACAATTCCATGCAGTATGATGACACCCTCGCATGCGAGGATTTCGACGACATTTTCAGAATGTTTCCAGACATGTGTGCAGCAACGGTGAGCTATTTATTTCTTTTGCAAAATCCACTCAACGACCGGCACATAGTGTAAGAAGTCATTGACGCCATGACTTGCGGACACGGACTCAGCGCTATCAACATGCACACGCTGCGTGGTCCGAGCAAATTCCCCTCCTTGTTGAAGCTTACATGTGGTGGGCACACAACATGACTGAGCCCAGCAGTGGTCAAGAGGGCCATTCATTTGGTGTAGTTGCTATTGGTATTATGGGTATGTTTCTCTTTTTCACGTGTAGTACACACTAACACTTCCAGCAATGCGATAGATTTCACCGCTAACATAGATATTCTACAATGACCTGGGGAACCTGCCAATGTGGCGCTACTGCGCTGCGGATTACTCGGCTGCTCTCCAGCGCAACCCACTGTGGCTATTCATCTCCACTGTCTCGAACTCTACCATCAAATTCGGAGGCGACAATCTTCGTTCAGCGTTCAATCTATTACTAAAGTTCTTTGTAGCCTTCACAATGTACTTTTTTTGTTTTGTTTACCGAACATTATAATGTTTAACCCAACGATTAGGTAACTTATTCTCGCCACTTGTGGGAGCAGTTTACGATAGCTTTCGATATATACCTTCAAATTAAACGTGAGGTTTGGCGATTGATTGACCGTGCGCTCAACCGAGATGGCACTGACTGGCATCTGAAAGGTTCTTGCCCAAGTTGCGCATTTGAAGTACGTCTATTGATCAAATTTCTATACTCGAGTCTAACATTATGTTCCTGCAGCAACCCAATGAACCACCACTCATCCCTCGCAGACTTCACAGCATGGATGGCAACCACTCAGCCAAACGTCTGGATGGTTCGGGGTCTGCTGATCAACGCTTGTTTCACAGTTGCTATTTCATACCTGTCTCTGCGGTTGAGCAGTTTCGTGATGACGTTCGCAACCGGCCGGGTGAACGTTCGACAAGGGACAATATTACCTGCACCGAAAAGTGGGCTGCTGCCAAGTCTGTGGAGGAGGACAAGATATCTGTCTTCGAGCAGACTGGAATATTCATCTTAGCATGTCGGCATGGCTTCGTGGAATGTATCGCAGAGATGAAGCATAGCGGTGAACCGTACGTCTTTCTTATAAATGTATATACATTGACTTCATTCTTTTCTAGCACAAAGTACGGACTTGCCGCTGTCAGCCGGCTGCTTGAAGTCTGTGGTCAAGACCAAGGACTTGGCCATGATATCGGCTGCTCGTCACACAAAACCACTGCCGCCAGTTCTATTGGTGATCTTGCCACCAGACTAAACCTTGTTGTTGCCGTCAACACTTTTCATGGGTATGCGCACAATCGCCGGTGCCAGCTGCACCATCATCCGCTTTACCTCCAAGGCTTCAGTAATGAAGACCTGGAAATATGTGAACATATTTTCTCCAGTTCTAATGGTGCCACAGTTTTGATCCGCCACTCATCATATTTTCATTGGATGCAATTTATAGACCTTCATTTTGACCAGTGGGACCAAGACAAGTATTTTGAATTGAGTACGTGTTTGATATTTATTTCGTACACCTCTAATTAATTTTATCTAGGCCACTTCTTGCATGACAATTACGTGCAAGCACTTGGTATCATTGAGGAACATACCTGACTACTAGAAGAATTCATGACGCGGAAGTCAGTAACTAAGGACGACTTCATCCGATGGCAACAAGAAGAATCTGAATTTCTATGTAATCTAGCCGAAGAACCACCATCTGATGCGATTGCAGCGGCATATGTTGAGGAACTTGAGAAGCTTCATGTTGCCGAGTAAGTGATTTCCGTTACTCAATCTTGTCAATTGACCCCAAAATTTAGGTCAATGTATGGCAGCATGACCTCGGTCCCTTACCTCACATACACCCCTGCAAGTTTTACCCCATCATCCGGCCTGAACGCTAGCACTCGCCAGCAATCAAGAGCTGTTGAAGCCCAGCGTCAATCTGCGCTGCGACGGTATCAACTGCAAATAAATGTCGTCGAGGATTTTGAACGAAGGCATGACATCACTGAACGTTGGACGCCTATGCACCATGAGTATACTCCGGCACTAGAATACTCACATGAGCGCCACTTTGTTCGGACTGTTGAGGAGGTGGAGGGTTTGGTCATTCAGCACTTGTTTGAATTATCAAAAGCTAATCTTTCAGGCACAGGTTTGGTTATATATTTTATTGTATGAATCATGCTAACGCACTATTAAGGTTACAAAATGCGCAAATACATATCGAAAGCTATCACTCGTCGCTCTGCTGCCATTCATAATGCGCTAGAGAAGTACAATAAATTGGCGCCGCTTCAAACACCTCCTTGACCTATCCTTGACTACGCAGAAGTTGTCGGATATGCCACTCTCGGTGAATTTACCCTTCTGAAATATTCTCGTCACGATTTTCTTAGGAAACCATGGGCGGTGCCTGAAAATCGGGAGATGAGCGCCAAATACTTTAAACTTGTCCGGTCTCATGAGGAAATCACTTGTGTGAACGTGGAGATTGGCCGTCTGGATGCTTGGGTTGAGTATGATGACAAAAAAATGCTCGAAGTCATCGAGATGTTGGCTACTGATGATCCATCCTCTCTGCTTGCTGCTGAGCTAAGGAAACAATACTCAGTCCGCCATCGCGTCAACAACGTCCACTGCTGTCGCTTACACAGGATTGGCCAACTCAAAGGGTACAACGGCCCATTTCCGGTTATGCAACATGATGTCACTGAGAATGGTCAAGATGAAGGGAGTGGAGACTACGAAGAGACGGATGAGCTGGGTGACGAAGCTTCACGCCTTGAAGATGCAATTAGTCGCATTCAATAATCTACCACACTAGTTACAATCTCAACATATCTTGGTCTGGCAAACATACAAGAGGGAAACTAAGTTATATGACGGTCGAGCTGAGCACACAAGAGGGAAATATCGAGTTGATGTGCAACGGCACTCTGGTGAAATCCTTGAAGATGAGTACAAGGTCAAATTGTTTGAGCGAGAATTGAACACGTTCCAGTGAAGCAATCTTGATCTCGTTGAGAGCGACAACAAGGAATGGAAGGTCGATGAGATGCACAAGGCATTCTGTTGTGGGCTGCAATCGGACGTTGGTGTGCTTGCGTTCTTGTTGCTGGCAGAAATGTGTGACACTGCTGATAGAACAGATTTGACTGATAAATATTCATCACAACGTATCATGACCTCTAACCTCTAACCATAATGTGCTTACTTGCTTCCTTTCATCTTAGTATAGGTGTTTTCCATGACGAAGATTGTGCAAGACTGCGCATATCTACTACTAACAGATCATTGAAGGAGCTTAGCGATAACACTTGCCATGTCGTAAGTTTGTACTACTACTATATGATAATTACTGTGGGCTGCTTTTCACCACGTTCAACTTTTCCTTACAGACTACCATGGCCTTTCAGCATCCCGAGGGACTAGACTGTCTCGATTATCTTGACCTACATGGAGCACTGGTTAGTAGTATCGCTTTCATTCTAAATTTTGACTCGATACTTATAAATGATCATAGAAATCGCAGTTCGAGATCAAGCTCAGCGCCAAGTTTTTGTTCGAGAAGCGTCAAGGTTACTTCTGTCTGTTTCCTACCATCCAGACGTCAGTCCGCGCATGTGAAGTCATCAAGACGCACCCAGAGAAGCTCATGCTTGACAAGATCCATACCCTATTCTCCACCACAATTGCACCTGAGATTTGCCGGCGCTGGTTCAACTGGGAAACTGTTGAGTTACCTGAGGGCATGCTCCAGAGTAAGTTTTCAAATTCTCTCGAGCTTTCTTTCTTTCATGATAGCTTGGACTATTGCAGGGCTTGCTGCTTTGGACGAGCTTGAGCGCAAGACTCCAAGTCAATCAATGAACACCTCATCATATTTCTTCCCAGATCCTCTGAACTCTCAATGAGTATCAATCGAAAGTGACTGCAGAGATTCACTCACTTCTGAAGGTCTGTCGTCTGTGCATCTTTTCATGTCGTATACTTACAGGGATTCACTCATTTCAGAGTGTCTTTCATCCGTGCGCCTTTCTATGTTGTCTGCTACAACGAGATCATCCCTACATTCACTTTCTGACTCTGACCACCGAGAAGAGCGCCTGCAAAGGAACATAAATTGGTCAGCGTACTGCCAACGTCATGCACTCCGCATAATTCTGTGAGTAACAGTCACTGGGGGCAGGGGCCCATTTGCCCATGCATCACATGTGGAACCCAGCATGATCTCAGACAAACTGAAGTCACCATTATTTCTCGTGGGAAATTATGATAACATTTAAAATTCTGCCAACATTTGTCCTAGTTTATATCATCTTGAGGTGTATTTCCACATGGGAATTAAGTCGGGATATCTGGAGAAATGTACGATTAGCTAAGGTAAATTCTGTAAAGGGGATTCGTCTCAGATTCGCTCTGAAAAAAAAAATGGGAATCCAAAGTCACGTGACATACGGTTAGAATTCTGCCATTGTGCTGACACACGGTTGGGAATTCTGCCGCATGCACCTAACTTAGGGTTCGGCACGCGAGTTGCTCGCGCCAAAGCTTGTTTCCACCAATCACGAGCCAGGACCGAATTACCCTATAGGTTGAATTACTAGCATAGAGAATTATTGGCATCAAAATATCAGTAGAAATCATGCAGACCAAGCAGACCGCCCGAGCGCTCAGGTCCTGACAGCGATCAATGTTCACAAGTAAATTTATATATAAATTATCTAACTGGTGTTTAATCTATGTGTCATGCTTTATCCGAGGCGGAAATCTGAGGCGGAAGTTGGGCGGAAGCAATAAAAATTCACCATTGTTTTGGGTGCATCGGCACCCAGGAAGGCCCTGAGCCTGCCCGGAAGTTCAAAATTCACAAAATTCACAAAATATACAGTGTATTTCTCTTTCTTCCACACTTTACTCACTTTACCCACTCAAAATCGCACTTTACAGTACTTTACATGTCATACATCCACTCTCTACCTTACCCTCCCTCGGACTCATCCTACACAGTTACCATAAATGGGTGGCTTGATCACATGACTTTACTTTCCTCTGCTCCGAAACTCTCTAGTCACTGCCATGTACAGCGCTGCAGGTGAACACCTCCAACAACAGCACTTCCCCTGGAGAAGGTACTGTTTTATTTTATTTTATTTATTCATTTGTAGTTCTCACTCATGCTTTACAGGGCCTCAGGACTTCATGTGGCAACAACAATGCTGCACTCCCAGTCACCCAACTTATCGGTTCCATGTGGCAGTAGCTCTGCCCTACTCACCTAGCAACCCTCTTTGGTGTAGCCGAGGGGAAAACTGGTGGAGCCAGCGCTTCATCAACTCCCTCACCATCCCCACATACTTCAACAACTCTCAGAGACAAGCTGCCAAGGATGCAGCTACCATCACATATGGTCTTAACACAAAAGCCATTGGTGAGCACAATGTCCTCATTTTTTATTCTGGTGGTCCATGAAATCGTCCTTGTTGGTGGTTCCACATCTACCCCCCATACTGTTAAGCTTGTTTCTGACTTCTTCAACAGCAAGGAGCTCCATGCCACCGTCTTTTCGTGTCTGCTTTCATGACCCAGGGTTCTCCCAGTCACCGTCTTTTTGTGTCTGCTTTCATGACCTAGAGATTTCCCAGTCACCGTCTTTTCGTGTCTGCTTTCATGACCTAGGGTTCTCCCAGTCACCGTCTTTTCATGTCTGCTTTCATGACCTACCAGGGTTCTCCAACTCACTGTCTTTTCGTGTCTGCTTTCATGACCTAGGGATTTCCCAGTCACCGTCTTTTCGTGTCTGCTTTCATGACCTAGGGTTCTCCAGGCCACCATCTTTTCATGTCTGCTTTCATGACCTAGGGTTCTCCCAGTCACCGTCTTTTCGTGTCTGCTTTCATGACCCACCAGGGTTCTCCAGCTCACCGTCTTTTCGTGTCTGCTTTCACCACCCAGGGTTCTCCAGCTCACCATCTTTTCGTGTCTGCTTTCATGACCTAGGATTCTCCCAGTCACCGTCTTTTCGTATCTGCTTTCATCACCCAGGGTTCTCCCAGTCACTGTCTTTTCGTGTCTGCTTTCATGACCTAGGGTTCTTCAGCTCACCATCTTTTCGTGTCTGCTTTCATGACCTAGGGTTCTCCAGGCCACCGTCTTTTCGTGTCTGCTTTCATGTCTTCAGTGGTCAGGTGACTTCGTCTGACCCCTTTCCACCTGACCCCTTTTCGAGCCCTTCCTGTCCTGATCTTCTACCTTCACACTCCAGAATGGGAATCCCAGGGCTATGGGAGGTAAGCCACCAGCTTTGGAGCCGCCCTCAGTATTGATGCTTTCTACAGTGAGTTGCTTCGGCTGCCGACAACAGAACACTGAAACAACTTGCAGTGTCTGAGTTGAAGACTGAAGAGATTGACGGTGAACGGAAGGTCAAATTGTTCAAGATTGGAATCGATGCTAGGTACAGTACTTGTCTTTTTCACCCATCAGCCAAACTGACTTCTGTTGACAGCGCTTGGATGCACAGCGTGTGTGCTGTCTTTCAGTTCAACCACGCAGGAGCTGGAAAGTCGCCAGAGCTGCGAACACTGTTCTTTCGGCTGGGCACACTGCTCAAGCTACCCCTGCACGTGGTCTTTGTGTTTGATGGCTTGAAACACCTCCCAGAAAAGGGCCGCATGGTCCGAAACAGCCCCCACTGGCTCACTTGCGACTTCCAGCGCATGCTGGAGCTGTTCGGCTTTCAGTGGACTGAGGTACACTTTGCAGCATAGCTCACTTTGTGACTTGTCTCACTAGTATACAGGCCCCTGGTGAAGCCGAAGCCGAGCTGGCCGCAATGAATGCCCATGGTGTCATTGATGCTGCGATGACCGAAGATAGCGACATATTGATCTTTGGAGCTCCATGCATCATCAGGAGGTGCATCATTGTTTTCATGTAGAGGTATTTACCATTGATATGTCGTGCTGTTAGCGCAAAAAAGGACAAAGACTACCTTAATGTCGAGGTGTATACAGAAGACGGTCTTGAGCATGGTGCCTCTTTGGCCCGAGGAGATAGGTTACTAATCGCCCTGCTAGCAGGTGGAGATTATGATGAAGGAGTGTCTGATTGCGGCATCAAGATCGCACACAAGGTCGCGCAGCACAGCAAAATTGGACAGGAGATGCTGCATGCGTTCCTCTCACTGGCACCAGAGCTGTTCTCTGAGCGGGCCAAGGAACTTGTCATGGATTTACGCTCTATGCTTGCAACTGACCCTTACCATTTCCTTGGATGCTGGTACAAGGCTGTTGCAGATTCTATCCCACTCGAGTTTCCCCGATGTGAGGTGATCAGCAAGTCCGTCGACCCCATCACATCTTTTTCAGCCACCACAAGCGGCGCGCTTGCAGCACAGGATGTGTTGTCCTGCCAGCCACACCTCGCAGATATTGCAGACTTCTGCAGGGTGCAATTTGGATGGGATGATGACGCCATCGTTGAGAGGATGTATGGGGGCATATGGGAGGGCGCCTACCTCCGCACCTTATGCAAGGTAAGGATCACCTTGTTCGTTGACAACCGCTAACCAGTCTTTTAGTTGCCACAACACTCGGACCAAGCACATGCTCGACCAACATTCAAAGTCATTTCTCAGTCCACTATTATGGCATTGCGGTGCGACATCGAAGTCTATAACGTTAAAGTCAATTGTCAGCGCTTGGCATGTAGCACTCTGGGAAACGCCGCTCCCAGCCAATTATCTGCAATGTTTGTACACATTCCGACGGTGATACTTAGACATATGGCACCAGACGCAGCTCACCAGTATATTTGTCTGTAGTCTGTATGATAGAAACAACCATGCGCATAATGAATAACATTGAACCGTATCACTCCTGCAAACTGAATTGTGTGAAATACGAAATGACATTAAAGTAGTTAGAGGCCCCTGACATGCATGATCCCCGCTCCGAAATTGCAAACTATTTCCTGGAAATAGCTCCCACAACCACTCGCTCGTTCATTTTCGAAAATCATGGTGCGACTGAGCAAGAGTTCAGCGAAAGCCCCCCAGTCACCGAATTGTACTCAAAAGAAGGCGGCACGGAAGAAAGGATCGGCTACCCCAAAAGCGGCCTTAGCAGACGTCCAGAAGTGTAAGGACCTTGGGATAGAAACTCACCTACAGGCAAACAACACCAGGGCCAACTATGCTGGTCACGTTCGGCGAGGACGACAGTGGCTGGCAAGTTACTTCAAAACACCAGCCGTTAGCGAATCGGAGAGACGTGACATTGCATCAGACGACTTACTCATTCCAATGCCATCATCACCTGCGAGTTTTGACATGCACAGCGACAATGATGTGCATGATGACCCTGCCTTCAAAGATGCGTTTGACCGGATACCAAACAGATGCTCACACAAAGCACTTGCACTTTTCATGTCCCTGAAAGGGTTCCATGAGAATCTAAGTAAAACTACCGTTGAGAGCATCCGTTCAGCATTTAAGAAGATGTGGGACCTGTCGTGGGTGTCGCATTCATGATTCAGAAAAGTACTCAATCACTGACCTGCTCATTCCAGGGATGGTGACACCTATCGCGGCAAATGGCACTTTGATGAGGCAAGACGGCATTGGGAAGGAAACCCTGCTGATTCTGCAGATGTTTACGACGTGCTGTCGTCCATCAAGCATAAGGCTAGTGCGGAGGGCAGAGATCGCACTCACTCGATGGCAATGACGAAGGATTACATGGATCGAGTGCTCCGATGGCATCAGGCTGCGCGTCCGCTGGAGATTGCCCTATGCATGATTGAGAAAACGATGAGCGGTGCTCAGCCTTCAGATCTGCATCTGGACTTTGAAACAAGGAAACAACTCACCCAACATCTTGAACAGATCGCACTTGCGGCCAGTGGATGGACACTATGGACAAGGTGCGACTTGTCAATGTGACTCAGAGTGCATGATCTGACTTACCATATCCACAGGTGTTTCGAGCTCATTAAGTTGCAGCGAAAGGACATCACGCTTGATGTGACGATGTTGGACGGTGTGCTGAAATTATACCTCGCAAATGAGACGCTGACTATGAGTGACCGTGCATCTTACTTTGAGATCTTCCTCTCAAACCAGAAGGGATGGCAAAAGAAAGTCAACAAGGGCCAGTGGGAAGTAGATCTGAGGTGTAAGTTGTGTGCATCAATTCAAAGCCGGCAGCGCATGACTAAACGATATCACCAGAAAATCACTACAAGATATATCCACGTCCTGAGATGCTGGCCTGCGACAATTTCTTCTGGATGTTAGTGTGGATCAAGTGGCTTGAATTCTTTCACTATGGACGGACCCTTCACCCAAACGACTTCCTATTCCCTGTGATGGGTGCAAACAGCGTTGTCCACCCCGGACAGCCAATCTCTCACGATACTGTACAAAAATGGATCAATGAGTCAACTGCCGGTGCTGGCATCCTTGGTAACTTCTCAACTCACTGCTTTCGTCATGGAGGCGCACAGTACTGGTTTATGTTCGCTCCTGTAGGCCAACGATGGACACTTGCTAAAGTCCGCTGGTGGGGTAGATGGGCTGAAGGGGAGCATGTATGTGCTTCATGTTCTTAAGACTGACATTTGACTGACACATTTTTTATATCTGTTTTCTTTTAACTCAAAGCGTGATACACTTGTTCGCTACCTCCTCGATGAACTACATGCATATGAAACTGACTACAGTGATGCTCTTGCCCCCATCTCCCGTGGTGCCGATGTCTCCCTCGCCGGTGAACACGCTCTTGCAAGGCCGGCATCCACTGAAGAACTTCGCATGGTCCATGCATCCGTCGCAGCAGATGTCAATGGCCTGCGCAATGACATCAGTTCGGTCAATAACTCATTGCGCTCGCTAACAAACGTAGTTGTGCAGGCTGCCTGCACCACAGCAACCGCTCTACAGCATCCTGATTCCTCACGATTCTCTGTTGTATCTGACTCGTCCTGCACAGAAACTCTGAGTCCATCTTATGCTCCACCTGTTGGAGGAGTGAGTATCACAGCTGTCAGTGCGCAGCCGCTCATACTATCTCGGCCTGTTGCCAGCAAAATCGCTACCTCACATTCCACCCATGTCAAGGCGTCATCACCATCAGCCCGCATCACTTCACGGCAACTTCCTACACCTGGCCTTGTGATTCCACGAGTGCCAGTCTTGCGTCCAAACAGCACTACCAACCCAAAGACCAAGTCCTGGAAGGACATTGTCACACATTGGCTTGTTAGCGATCCTGACCAAGGACTGACGACACCGCTCAAGGATTGGCCAAGGGAGTGGTACCAAGGTGCCAATCGACAGTTTGCATCAAAGTATCACCAGAGGGCAACCATCGCATTGGAATTCATCAATCAGTAAGTCAATGCTGATGCTTGCTCTGCTGGCACGCTCACTCTTTGTTTTGGCTCCAGGTATGACTCAAACGAGGCACGCTTCCTCGCAGCTTATCCGGAGGCTGAACTGGGGCACACACAATTGTTAAAGGCCATGAACAAAGCGCGCACTGCATGAGGAGAACGTGTCTCTCACACCAAGTGACCTTGAGCGATGTCCTTCCCTCACTTTTTACATTCCATACTACACTACTGTCTCTACCTTACTACCTGCTTGTTCGGCCACTAATTCATGTCTGCTTCTTGTACCATTTGACAAGAAACATCGAAAGTTCCTCCAACTTGAACGTTGAAGGGAAAGTGTTTTATGTCACACTTTAATTCCAAGTCGTCCGTTTTTCAGCCAATGAGATGTTTAGCGTCGAATACAGTGTTAGTCAGATTTGAATGGAATGCATTCCCCACTCATCTCATCAGGATGGTGGCAACAGTGAGCTCGTTCATGATATGAATTACTGCCTACTGCGTGGGTGACCTTCTCGCTGAGATAGGCCTCTGCAGTCTCCTTCATCTTTGTCAGAATCATAACACTGATCTCCTCTGTGGTCTCCTTCATCTTTGTCAGAATCATAGCACTGATCTCCTCTGTGGAGTGTGTCGCCCTTGTAACTGATTATCACCCTTGCTAACAACTTGAATGTTGGAAGGGAAAGTGTTTGATGTCACGCTTTAATTCCAAGTCGTCCATTTTCCGGCCAATGAGACGTTTGGCATCGAATACAGTGTTAGTCGGATTTGAATAGAACGCATTCCCCCACTCATCTTCATCATCACGTGTTTTTCACTTCTATTTTTAAGCCCAAACTCACGCCGTCACAGGAACCTGGTCATGTGCCTGCGAGGTTACCGAATCCCGACCAAAAAAGGTAATCAATCGAAGTCACGTGCCCTCGCGTGGCCTTTTGGCTGAGCGCCACCGTAAATTTCTCAACATAAGTTCACTACACATTGTGACCAGATATTATATTTGTTCTGTTGTAAGTTTTTGACATCATTTTGCCTTGTGGTTACATTGTGATCACATTTTCAGTAACTCTTGAGCTTTCATTGTAAGTTAATTTTGACCGCAATAACACTATGTGTATCCTTCTGTCATTGGAATTAAGCTGACAAAATTACATCTGTAACTGCAAGCAACATACTACATACATTTTGATCACATTCTAGGTGAGTTTTAATTTATATTGCCTTGTTCTCTTCCTGTGCCTACACTTTTCTTCCTCTGATACATCATGAAAAACTCAAACTCTGTTGACAGAAATAAGTTTGACCAAATATGGAGAGAATTTTTACTTTGCTCTATGAACAAAATGAGGAATAAAACAAAATGTGTTTTCTTTGTGTCACCAAATAAAAATTTGACCAAAGTCGACATCAACAGTCAACAGTCAACAAGTCGGTAGGTCAATCAATATTGACTGATCCATATATTTACTGTTGACTGTTGACTGTTGATGTCGACTTTGGTCAAATTTTTATTTGGTGACACAAAGAAAACACATTTTGTTTTATTCCTCATTTTGTTCATAGAGCAAAGTAAAAATTCTCTCCATATTTGGTCAAACTTATTTCTGTCAACAGAGTTTGAGTTTTTCATGATGTATCAGAGGAAGAAAAGTGTAGGCACAGGAAGAGAACAAGGCAATATAAATTAAAACTCACCTAGAATCAAAATTCTCCTCACATTCAGTTCAGCAGCAATGCTTGCTAATTGCATCTGTGTAAACATGACAAAGGAGCTCTCAAGTATCCAAAGCTCAAAGTACCTCTGGTGAGTTACCCAGGAAGGTGGACTAATATTATACACCATAGTACATTCATTGTAATAAACAGGAGGCAACACTGATGAGACTGCATCTTTTAGATATATATCAAGTTCCTGTACCACTACAGCAACTTCCTTATCAATCTTGTTTAACAAGGACCCAGCCCTCATCAGGATGCAGGATCCATGGATATGTTGTTCCAGAGCGGAAGTTAGTATGGAAATAGAGGTCCCCAACTACAGCAGGAAGGTCCTCATTCAGACAAAGAAGCTGTTGTGGACTGGATGAGGCTGATGCCTTATGATATGGAGGACATGCTCCATGGTTTTCGGGGAAATGCTACATCCTAAACTGCAAGAATACAGTGGGTACGGTTTTTTTTGATGGGTATACCCATAGGTCTCTATTAATTATACCTAAATCATCATTCAGTGCAGCAAAATTGCTGAACACCAGGTTGAACGTGCTCAAACGCATTCAGGATGTTTGATTCACGTTCAGTCCAGCGTTCGGACGCTGAACATGTCCGATAAAAAGACCAAAATGATGTCAGAGGCAAACAAAGAGTCATGCCAGTGGAAGCATTACTCACTTAAAGCATGTGACAGCCAAGTGGTCTGGAGAGGGTGGAAGATAAGCTATTATACTACCTGCTCTACTTGTTAAATTCGAATGTGCCAAGAGCATCAGTTGAACGGCACACCTGACCAGTCATAGGAGGGGGATAAGGTCCTTCTGTTAGAACAAAAGGAGACAGTGTTAGAAAATCAAAATCAACTATTATGACAGATCGAAAATATACCCTAAGGTTGAAAAGTGCTGATGCGCAGGGTGGTGTTTGATGTGGCACTGACGTGGCATGGATGAGGTTTGATGCGACCATGATGCAGGATTGACAAGGCATTGATGTGATATACAGTAAGTGTAGAAGTTGACATTAGTATGGAGGCTGCCAAGATGTGGGGGAGAACTTATCGTGGTATGAGTGGTGCTTGACCCAGTCTGAATGCCAGATTTCAATGACAGCGAAGATGTTGAGCAAGACCTCCGAAGCGAAGAAAGGAGGCACTGACCACGTCTTGAGATGGTGACCGCAACTGCGCAGTTACTCATTCAGAAGAAAGAAAAATAACATTGTTAGAAATGGGGGGTGCAAAAGTAGGTACTTACTCCTCCTTCTTCTAGAGCTTATATAAAGATGCCCACAATCCCAGGTACAGGTATACCCGTACCCATGCAGTATCTTATATATAATAGACGATGATAATGATGATGCAGAGGTGACGTTCAAGGTCCAGAAGCAGGCAGAGTAAAGGATATGATGCTTGTCAGGTGCGACATTCTCGTATTAGCATGCTTTAAAGGTGATAAGTCGGGCAGTTGCTGTTTTGTTCACATGCAGTGAGACTCAAGCTCCAAGCTTCACGACATTCTCGTATTAGCATGCTTTAAAGGCAATAAGTCGGGCAGTTGATAGGATTCAGGTGATGTGCTGTTTTGTTCACACGCAGTGAGACTCAAGCTCCAAGCTTCAAGGTTCAGCGCTCAGCTCAGAGGTGAGTTGAGTTTGAATCATGTTCCCTGACACTTCGGATATTGGCATCAGTGAAATTACGACGTGTTCAAAATGAATCAGATGTTTTTAATACTATATATAAAACAAAGAAAGAGAAATTTTGAAGCTAGAAAAAGAAGCGGAGGACATGTGAAGTCGAAAGTACCAAAGCTCCAATGTGGCCCAGTAAATCAAGTCCTAGATTATGAGACGAAGCAGTGGGACTCAGGGAAAACAGTATTACATGTCCGAACTGGTGGTTGTCAATATTGGTGTACTACAAATGCGAGACTTTGTATGTGAGGTTTGGGATGCTAAGAGAGCAAAAAAAAGCTTTAGAATTCGCCTGGACTATCACAACATTCAATTTACCTGAAACTTTCAGGTGTCCCTTATTTGTGCTTATCATCTTCTGAGTGACCCAACGAGGCTTGCCAGTTACGCCAAGCCAGAGGCAATGCATTGGAAGGATGGGATGTACATGGTTCTCTTTAACAACCTCCCAGCACCACTGAGCAGTCCATATCCACATCTGATGGGTAGTCGGTGTGGAAAGTGACTGATGAATGCAGAGGTCCCCGCGCTCAAGCGCCTCACATGATGGAGGAGAAAGTAGAGGTTTGCAGCCACGCGAATCAAACCAATACATAACTTGATCGAGGCCACGAATTTTATGCTCAACCCGATGGACGTTGCACTGGGAGGTACTGGTCACTACCCGAGAATGGTTGAGAGTCAATCCGTTTACTGGACTACATGGCCCAGCCTGAGCACCCAGACACTCACCAGGCACAACTGTAAAGTGTGGTTGTGGTTTTGTGTGGGCTGCAGAGGCGATATTTTCAGAGATGACTCGAGGGGACGGAGAGCGCAATGTCGATGTCGATGATAGGGTACGGGAATGCGACAGCAGAGGAGCCGTAGGTGGAGGATGCACCAGGGTATTATTTGAACCACAGCATTGGAGAGATTGCCGCTGTGAGCCATCTGGGCTCATCGAAGGAGAGCAACTTTGAAGGTCATTTTCATGATGAGGGGAGCGAATGGAAAGTAGTTTAGCATTTCCAAGTCGTTGATGACGAGACAACGCCTCCTCTTGGAGACACTGTGTGAGGCTGGGTAAGATTTCCCCGAAAGATTGCCGGTGAATAGGGTATGCCTGAGGAAGTAAGTGCATGAGCTTCCCTGCCGAAATATTTTGAGCTATTAATACTTACATCTAGTCCCCATGTAGATACAACAGAATTCAGACACACATACGGTTCCCCAGGCTTTGGGAAAGATTGACGGTGAACTGGGACAGCCTGTTGTAGAAAAAGAATTAGCATGAGCTTCGATGCATTTGGAATAAAAGCTAACATCATGCTCATGCCGCAGTATCTGTCGGTACGGAGTATTGATTGCGCGAAGAAGATGATAACGAGTTTGGTGCTTCATAATAATGAGTAGAGTGTCTGAGTTGAGAGGTATTAATCTGTCATCGGAGGGAGTTGTTTCCTGAAGATTGCCATTTTATGTAAAGTTGATGGGTAGTGCACGTGTTGGACTAAAATGAACAATGAAACTTAGTGAAAGGCTTGACGATGAATGAGCCGGCTGAGCTATCTGTGTGCGTGTAGAACAAAGCAAATTAATAACAATGGTCTTTGAATTCACGAATTGACACAGGTCTAACTAAGGCCTCATTGTCTGATGCGTAGGGAGCAGAGGAGCACAACGGAAACCGGCTATATGTCTTGGTCGGCCAAGGTCTGGGTCATCGACAATCGACTTGTCGCAGTAGACCATATTCACTTTCTACTTAGTTTATTTTTACTGTGGGAAGCTTGGCCATGAGATTGTTAATGTACACTAGGCCCACACCTGTCGTTGACACAGGAAGCAAAGGAGCGCTTTGTGCTCCTTTTTGGCTTCCTCGCCTCGCCTCCATTTCTCGTGCAATCGCTTCTTCAAGGTGATTGCGTCAAGGCGTCATTTTCTCGCTATATCCACTGCACGCGCTTAGCACCAAGATGCACATTGTTATTGTATTGATTCTGCTCTGCGCCTGGTGGCTGTTGCTCGCCCCACTGAAGTTGCCAGCAAGGTCAGCAGCGTGCAAATGGAGATGATGGCAAGACCGGCAACATACCCAGTCTAACAGCCTGGCAACTAGATCACTCTTGTTCCCACTGCAATGTTCACACTTTGCATCGCAGAGGCTCGCCAAGATGGGTTTTGTGAAATGAAGGAGTGACACATCGCTGACTGTTGCTGTACCTTCCAGTAGAAGCCTAGCGGACTCGGTGTCTGTCCGTGGTATCTTCTTTGAAGGACGGGGTGGAATGAATGGCTTTGAGGGCACCTCTCCTGTTGCCTGATTGATTTTCTGTCGCACTGACTCAGCAATTATATAGAAATGCAAAAGATATGTATGCACCCAGTTCAGGAGAGTTTTGATGAGTGTCCTCTTCGTACTTGCCCTCCTGAGGTTTCTATCTTGACACAGATGGTAGAGGATAGGCTTAGTACACATGTCAAGGGCACCAAAGGTCCCTGTAGCGAGTGTTTCTACACCATTCCGCATGTCTTCATCCGATGGCCTTGCAGAACCTTTAGTTCCCTCTCCCAAAGCGGTTTCTCCGTCTTCCAAGTCCACATTCATCCGCCACGCCACTCGACAGTGATACCTGAGAATGCGTGGATATAGTATGTGCATGGACTTAACAACTGTGAAAGATATTGGATCCCAATAAGGGAGCCGAAGGAGTTCTGTCCAACGATTATCAACATTGAGGGTCCCATCGCCAAGGCTATCGTCTGTCTTGAATCCATGCAGATTAATCCAGCCAACGTTTACAAGTATTGGCTAGCCATATGCAGCGTGAGCAACTTCAAGATGGAAGAATACAATTGGCTGGATGAGGTGGTCACATCTGTGCCGGCTTAAGATTCAGCCATCAAGGTCGAGGCCGAGACCGAGGCCAAAGTGGATATCCATGCACCAATTGTGACAAGGATCTTGTCAGATGAACATGAGAGTGTAGCTGACCAGGCTCTAGTGTTACAGTCAAGTACACCCCTATTCATTTTCTTTCTCTTACATCATTGTATTACATCACGATCACATCTTGCCGTCGCTAGATGATCTATTCTTGATATCTTTGACTCGCCTTATCTCTGACTCGTCTTATCCATGACTCATCCTTATGACCTCATCGTACCGGCCCTAAAGCTGTTACCGTTCACTATATAAACTTGTCTTGTACTATGTAGTTCTTTACTTTAATCTTACTAGGTTTTACCTGGAACCTCCTTCGCTTAAGACCTCCAATCTTAAGTCGTATTGAATGTGATTCAAGTCGAGGACACTCTCCTTGTCTTGTCTTAGTGAAACCACTGAACTTCGGTATACGCCGAAGCCTTGAACCGACCTTGGCCAATCACTCTTATCAAGTAGCCATACGTCTGAACCATCCTAGTTTGTAACAAAAGATTAAAGTCTTCTACGAATACATCGCCATCACGCACTGTAGCCCAGAGAGAACAAACCCTGGTCATCACGACAGATATACCCCAGGTCCCTAGAAGCTGAAACAAGCTGACGTCATTAACACCAATTTTTGGCACTTTGAACTTAGGTGCTGTACCACCCATACCACCTTTGAACCCCCCAATGTCTTACACGAAACCCATCGAAATCAAGATCGGATCTCCCCCAGTCTTTGACGGGGATAGAGATAAATCCGAAGGATTCCTGATGTCGTGCATGTCCTACCTCGACATTAACGAGAAGATCTATGTTGACGACAAACAGAAAATCATTTTCGTGACCTCCTTCATGAACGAAGGGAACGCGCGCTACTGGAAGGAAGACTTCCTCAGACAAGCGCAAGACCCCAACAACAAAACTACTGCAGGCCTCGTCAAAGGATACGGTACATGGATTGAATTCCTTGCCGACTTCAAAAGCGTGTTTAGACCGCTTGATCCCTCAGGAACCGCGTTAGCCAAGCTTTGCAATCTGAAACAAGGAACCGAACTCCAAGATTATATTTCAGAATTCTTGATGCTCACATGAAGGGCAGGAATTCAAGGCGATGTCGCTAAGAAGCAATTCTTCTTAGACGGATTACATCCGGGACTGCTCGCCCGCCTCTATGGCACGGGAGACGTCTCCGACGACTTCGAAGTCGTCCTTACCACCTGCATCAATCTCGACAACTCACGCCTTCACTTGAACACCATCAGGGCATGCAACCAACCCCAGAAGAAGAAGAACTTCGGATCTAACCGATATGTACCATCTAAAGATCCCAATGCCATGGTGATCGATCGGCTTTCTGAAGAAGAACACGCAGAACATTTCCAAACCGGAAAATGTTTCACCTGCCACAAGACCAGACATCTTTTTAAGAAATGTCCTGAGAAGAAGAAAGGGAAAACCCCGATACGCCGCAAAGAAGTAGAAGATAGTGACAAAGAAGAAGAAGAAGCAGAAGTCCGTCGTCTTAACGAGGATGTTTGATATGGGAGACTGGATCAACATCAGTATCTCTCAATGTACCCATAAGACTTGTACAAAAAGTCAGTGAACGAAAAGAACTTCGGGTTCCCCTTTCCCTAATTTCGAAAACACGCCTGAAAACCGTTGAAACCACTGCAGTAATCGAATCCGGAGCAGCCGGAACCTTTATCTCAGAAGATTTCATCAAGAAGCACAAGATCCGAACCCACGCCCTTAGTAAACCCTTCAGGGTCACTACCGCCGATGGAAGCTATTCCAAAAGCGGAGGTATACGCCAATACTGCGTCCTTACCATCAAAATTGACGAACGGACCATGATCAGAAAGTTCAACGTCACACGCCTTGGTAGAAGGGATCAAATTCTCCTTGGAATTCCCTGGATACGGGCTATGAACCCAGTTATTGATTGGGCAACCGAAACCCTTATCCTTTTTCGAACGGAGAAGAGTAACCAAGTTGAAGAAGAAGTCGACAAAGAAAGGAAGAGGAACGACCTTCCACTTCTATTTCGACAAGAATCCATCGACCAGACTTGGAAGCAATCCAAACTTAGGAAAGCACCGATTATCGAAACCCCTGTCGTTTATCCAAAAGCGACTATCGAAGAAATCATTGACGAAGAAGCACCACCTGTCCTTCCTACCCTTGACCCGATTCCCAATCTACTCCCCATCCCTGATGAAGACGACGAAACCTTTGACACCAAGGAAGACGTCTGGACACAAGAGAACTTTGCCGCACCAGTGCGAGAAGTCTCTATGTACAATCTAGACGATGATGAATTCCTGGTAGAATATTCCCTTGACGCATCTGAACTCCGGGTAATTTCAAATACTACCATGGATACGCCATTAACCCTAGATGGGACCAGTCGCTCGGAACAGAAACCCACGGTTAAACCTCTACTACGGCCCACGGAATACACGAAAGTTAGTAACAAAGCTCAGCAATTCGCTCTAGCTGCGGGCTTAGAACAGAAGAAGAAAACTTTCGAAGAACTCGTACCCTCCTATCTACACGACTTCACCGACATCTTCACCAAAGACGGTCTTAACTGACTACCTCCTGAACAACCCGGTATTGACCACCGTATCGAAACGAAACCCGGATTCATCCCCAAAACATCGAAAATCTATCCCCTCTCTATCGCTGAACATACCGCTGTCAAAGCATTTATTGATGAAAACGTAAAGAAAGGCTTTATCTCGGAATCTAAGTCACCGCAAGCCAGCGGGTTCTTCTTTGTAGGAAAGAAAAGCGGAGATCTTCGGCCCTGCCAAGATTATCGGTATATCAATGATTGGACAATCAAGAATGCCTATCCCTTGCCACTTCCCTTATCCCTTGTCGCACGGTTGCACAGAGCGAAGTATTTCACCAAGATGGACGTGCGATCCGGTTATAACAACATCCGCATTCACCCTGATGATAGATGGAAAGCTGCGTTCACCACGGAATTTGGACTCTATGAACTGAACATCATGTTTTTCGGACTTTGCAATTCTCCGGCCACGTTCCAAGCCTACATGAACCGCACGTTCCAACAAGAAATTAACAAAGGATGGCTTGTGATCTATATGGATGATATCCTCATCTTTTCAGATAATCTTGATGAACACCATGCCCATACCCGTCGCATTTTGACAAAGATCTGTGAAGAACGACTCTTTTTGAAACCGGAAAACTGTACCTTTGATGCGCAGGAGGTCGAATATCTCGGTATGATTATTCGCCCAGGATGCGTTGCTATGGATGCTGCCAAAACCGATGGAATCCGCGATTGGCCAACCCCATCTACTGTTAAAGAAACCAGATCGTTCCTTGGATTCTGTAACTTCTACCGAAACTTTATCCCTCATTATTCCGATATCACACGACCTCTTATCGATCTTACAAAGAAAGATAATGTCTTCCTTTGGTCCACACCTTGTCAAGACGCATTCACGACACTTAAGTAGTGTTTCCTAAAGCAACCAGTCCTCCGTAACCCTGATCCATCACGACAATTTGCGGTAGCAACTGATGCATCCCTTGTTGCAACCGGTGCTGTTTTATTGCAGACTGATGAAAACGGCGTGTATCACCCCTGCGGATATCTGTCCCAATCTTTGAACCTGGCAGAACGTAATTATCAGATCTTTGATTGGGAACTCCTTGCCACTATCCGCGCACTCCAAGAATGGCGTCATTATTTGGAAGGAAATCCACATCCAGTTGTTATATTCACCAATCATAAGAACCTCCTCTATTTCCGAACCGCGCAGAAATTAACCCGTCGTCAAGCAAGATGGCAACTCCTTCTTTCATGTTACGATATCGAACTCCATCATGTGCCAGGAACCAAACTCGCCGCACCAGATGCCTTATCTCGACGACCTGATCATGCACCAGATACCATCGATAATGAAGATATGACACTCCTCCCTGACTCCATGTTCGTCTGCCTTCTCAATCAAGAGCTTATGACCACTCTTGCAAACCCTGACCCCGCTGATACCGACCCAATCTTTCAAGCCGCCCCTGACGCCTTAAACAGACTTTGTCTTCCTCCCATAAAATCAGCTCTCTCCGATTGGACGATTAAGGATGACGTCTTATTCTATAAAGATCGCGCCTACGTCCGACCAGCCGGACACCGCTCTATTTTAGAACGAACCCATGATCATGCCATCACCAGACATCCCGGCCGCTTTAAAACTGAAGAACTGGTTAAACGTGACTTTTGGTGGCCATCGATGGGAACTTATATCCGGAAATACGTTGAAGGTTGCGCCCTTTGCCAGCAAATGAAATCTGATACCCACCCTACGACTCCTCCGCTGACTCCTATCCCTTCTTTGGTCTCCACCCCATTTTCCCAAGTCTCCGTCGACCTCATCACTGATTTACCGCCTTGCAATGGCTTCGATTCCATCATGGTCATGGTAGACCATGGTCTTATGAAGGGGGTAATTCTCATCCCTTGTACAAAAACCATCACCTCAGAAGGCGTAGCAAAGAAGTTTTTCAAATATGTCTATCGCCGCTTCGGACTCCATGAGAAGGTGATCTCAGATCGAGGACCACAATTCATATCCAAATTCTCTAAAGCCCTTGCAAAACTTTTGAAATACGACATCGCCGCTTCCACTGCTTATCATCCACAAACAGACGGTCAAACCGAACGTTTGAATCAAGAACTAGAAACCTATCTCCGAATCTATTGCTGCAATAACCCAGAAGAATGGGTTGAACATATCCCCATGTCTGAATTCGTCCACAACCACCGCAAACACGACTCTCGCAACGCATCCCCATTCTTCCTTATGATGGGATACGAGCCACGGGCTCTCCCTCATGTACTCCCAGATTCTACTGTACCAGCCGCAGAAGAACGACTCCGCCTCCTTCAAAAGATATGTGAAGAAGCAATCTCTTGTCATAACCTGGCAATGCAATGAATGGCCGCACGATCGTACGGGAAGAAATACCAACCATGGAAAGTTGGAGATAAGGTTTGGCTATCGGGGAAGAATCTCATCACGCAATTACCATCACGAAAACTCGCCCCAAAACAATACGGACCCTTTACCGTGAAAGCCGTACTCTCCCCCATCACATTCACACTCCAACTCCCAGAACAATGGAAGGTTCACCCCACGTTCCATGCTTCCGAGCTATCATCCTATCATGAAACCGAAATCCACGGTCCTAACTTTTCTGATCCCCCACCCCATATCATCAATAACGAAGAAGAATACAAAGTCGAAGCAATCTTATCACATAAAGGCACAGGTAAACGTAGATGCAATCTCGTATCCTGGAAAGGATATTCATCCGCCAGTAACGAATGGATTCCCACAGAGAACCTCGGCAATGCCTCCGCAATCCTCGCTGCTTATAAGAAAGCTCACCAGTTATAAGAATCGTCACGAAAAGATGTCTTTCTCTGAACTTCGCACTCTCCAAATCTGTCTCCTGCAACTCCAAACTCTCGTCAAAACCCTCGATAATATGTCTGCTAGTCTTACTACTTCTCCCTCCACGATGTCCATCACATTGACCGAAACCACTGAATCCCCAAACTACTTCTCCATTCTCGACGACATTGAAACCAATACGTTGTTTGAGTCCGCTCTCCTCTCTGAACAATACGCTATTGAGATAGACTGCCTCCTCGCTGAACAAGGAGCTCTCTCTAGCACGCTCCTCATCAACATCATTCGTGCCGCCAATCTTGTTAAACGTACTGCAGGACTTCTTAATGATGAGCGTCTTCAGACCATCTTCCGTCATCTTCATATACGCATTCGCAATTCTGCGATACGTCTCATGCCTACCTCTACCAAAGAAGTCGTTAGAGAGGCAATCCATATTGTCACTGAACGAATTGCAACAAATCCAATCACTAGACCCCCATCCCCACATATCGCAATTCCCGTTCCACCTCCGGTTGAGATATCAACTCCCGTTGAGCATACGCCTAATGTTATCGTTCCTCCTGCTGTACTGATCGTACCAATTGCTTTTACGTCTGCCCCGGCGGCAACAACCCCTTGTATACGTCCCACCCATCGACGACCCTCCAAGCGAGAGATCTCCGTCTCCCCTCCTTCTCACAACCGCACTTTACCTTCCAAGACACCGTCCCCACCTCCGCAATCATCCTCCGTCACCGTCGTGAAAACCGAACCCCATGATAACTTTAAGTGTTGCAACTGTGATGAAATCGGTCATCGTCACAAGAACTGCCCTACATACTTCTGCCGTGTATGTCGTAATCTCACGCCAGGGCATCTTTCGGTCTTTTGCAGAGACCTTAAAGGAGAGAAACCTATCCTGTTAGTATGGATGGACGCAGGTTTCTATGAGGCCCTCTCTAGATGGGAGGCTGACAAAGATGCTGCTATGGAACAAATCTCGATTGAAGAAGACGAGAGGTTGTTCGTTCAATGCGCAGGTGATCGTGATAACTATGACGCTTACGATAACTTTGATTGTTGAAATCGGTGACTTCAACGATAACAACGGGGTAATGTTACAGTCAAGTACGCCCCTATTCATTTTCTTTCTCTTACATCATTGTATTACATCACGATCACATCTTGCCATCGCTAGATGATCTATTCTTGATATCTTTGACTCGCCTTATCTCTGACTCGTCTTATCCATGACTCATCCTTATGACCTCATCGTACCGGCCCTAAAGCTGTTACCGTTCACTATATAAACTTGTCTTGTACTATGTAGTTCTTTACTTTAATCTTACTAGGTTTTACCTGGAACCTCCTTCGCTTAAGACCTCCAATCTTAAGTCGTATTGAATGTGATTCAAGTCGAGGACACTCTCCTTGTCTTGTCTTAGTGAAACCACTGAACTTCGGTATACGCCGAAGCCTTGAACCGACCTTGGCCAATCACTCTTATCAAGTAGCCATACGTCTGAACCATCCTAGTTCGTAACATCTAGAGAATGATGGCTGTAACAGTAACAGCACTAGTGACCTGGAGAATGCGGACACCAAGTGGGCTAACTGGTAGTTGGAGAATTTAGGGTCATGTGATTGTTAATATTCAGGCATCTGAGCCCTCAAATTTTTGCACTAGCGCGCATTCACAGTCGCAATAAAACATCCACCACGACGGGCATAAGTGCAGTGATCTTCTGGTTGTAGTTGGACGGGTGGATGAGCACTCCCGCAGCGTTGTGAACGTCAGGAACAATGACTAGTACGTCTTCAATTTTATAGAGCTCAATGGCAGACTGATAAAGGCCTTGGGGGTCCAGCATATTTTTCAGCGTCTAGTCCATGGTGCCTGTCGCATGTTGCAAGGCATTCACCCACCAAACTGTGAGTTAGAACTTAGTTCTACTGTCCACTGAATAATTTAGACCTGTATGAAGTTCGTGCATTCGGTTGAGGTAGACCATCCAACCATATATGCGTAAATTGATATATTCTACAATGACATGATTCACTGCAGAGCTTCGAGTTTTATGTGTAGTGTCGACGACAACTTGGCTCGCCGTTTGGCCTCTGTGCAGCCCTATATAGCATGAAGCCATGAATGTTAAAGTTGCATGGAGAGAGCAGAAACTTACAGCTGAATGCCAGGAACATGCGTGAAGGCGTACACCTCAGCCTCGCACCTGTCAAGTTCCTCCCAGTCGTAATGATTGAGACTATCATACCATTCAGTACGGTAAGCATTACGAGGAAGTCTACGGACAGCCCTCTGTGGCTGACCCATGGACATGGTCTCAAATCGCATTCGAGCATTGTTTCCCTGTGAACCAGTCCCTACAGGGCCCCAACGGTTGTGACAATACATCGCATCGAATATACGTAGCCAAGCAGTCACCTCCAGACTGCGCCAGTGCCTTCCAAGTATGCGGTATTGAGGGACATTATTCTCATTGGCGGTCTTGTCACTGCTCATCCCGTCAGGGCCAATTCTCATGAGCATCGTGATATGTGGTTGTAGGTCAGAAACTGCATGGGCGATGTCCAAACGCCTGTGATACAACTGCAAACACATTGGAGGCAATAATTAATTATCATGCGATGAATACATACCAAACATTTGCGTTCCTTTCTCCAGTGCTCTTTTTGACGTGCACTTGATGTGACATTATCGAGCCCTGCCTGCTTAAAGGAATGCTTCAATGATCTTAAATGTGTGGAAAATGCAGCCTGGACGGAATTGATATTGAAACTGGGATAGTGTGCGACAAAATCATGCGCGAATACTTTTGTGGCAGAAATATTCCATTTGGACCTCAGCGTGCCCAGGATTTCAATCGTGAAGTTCTCCACAGTACAGCAAGCACCACGGCGAGGGTCGAAGTCAGCGAGCGGAGCCTCGTATGGAAGCATTACACCTGTAAAGAGTGCATCATCACCAGTTCGATTCATCAGAATGCGAGTGTGGTCATGTATAAGTTCCTGTAGCCCATTTAGCCACTCAATACCATTCACTGCATGAAATACTGACATAAAATCTATTTAACCTTTGCAATCTATGCTTCACGGGCCCGGTTTTCTTAAACGGCCGCGGAGCTGAATTCTCTTCGGTATCAGCGTCATTGGCAGTGTCATCAAGAATCTCATCGCGAGATGAACTGTGGCGAGACTCCACAACAGTCCTGAGGTCAGTGATTTGAGTTTCTATGCGACCAAGTCGGGTGTTCACTGTATCTAGATCATCCTTGGATGCTGGAATGAACTGGTGGACATTAATCCTGGGTCAATTATCAAAGTAAGTAACTGAACGTACTGTACGCTCCCTGCGTGACGAATCCCGAGAAGAACGCCCAGTTCCACGTGGCTCAATGTCCATCTGGGGTATCTCGGAACGAATATTGTCATTTCTATCTGTGTTGCTAGGCTTGTTGTCACTTTGCGTCAATTGGAGTTGTCGTTGTGAACGGATACGGTCGTCAGCGACTGTGGGTGAATTCTGATCAGCGGGAGGGTCAGTGTCACCTGTAACGGGCAGCTGATCTGATAGGACTGTGCCGTCAGTTTCATCATCGGTTTTTGTAGAATCAGATTCAGGGGCCAATGGCTCTGTGCCAGTGACGCGACCTGCAGACACAATTTGAACCTGGGGTGCGAATGTCACAGACTGGCGTTCATGCTGAGTCTACTAAAACAGTCAACCACCACCAAGTGCATCAAAATACTGACTCGCTGGTTGTGTGCCATGTGAGAGTGTATCAGAATGGGATGAAGAACCGCTGGGTGCCGGAAATCCACTGCTAAAGAATTGCCTGGCATAAATGTTCCTGAAAATTCGAGAGACAGTGTGGCTAGGACCACTGCTAGTGGAAAGAGCTGTAGATGGGACCTACACAAAATTTAATGGATATCTCCTAAGCTAAAGTACCCTTCTTACATCGCTGTCGTTGGCGCCCCTATGTCTCTTCTTGAGGTGACTCGGACCCTGTTCCAGTTGCTTACCCTTTGCACCACTTCACTTTAATCATGCAGGTTAGTGATAGTATACATCGGGTTATGCTACTCAGCAACATACAGAGGATTCCGCAACCACCAAACTATTGGCATCCGATTCATTCCGACTGATCACACGTTCCTGCAACAAACCAATTGTAAATCACCAACATGATACATAGCCAGGTGAGCAGCGAAATCGCACCTTGTCTTCTGAGTCATCCTCAGAGGTATCTCCGCGCTCGCGATGTCGCTTACCAAGTATCCGTGAATTTTGGTCAGTTTGCAAGGAAGCGTTCATATCCACATCTTTGTCGGCAATCGTGTTGGATGATACCATGATCCCAAGACCAGTCTACTGCACGGGTATATTTCAATTTCCCATCCTCGATAGCCACAATAAATACTAGTTATACAGCGTGGCAGTGCGGTACGCATCCTTTGTTTGTTTTTTTATGCATTGTGATCATCAAAACGTGCTGTGACTGGTGTCTGCACAATGCATCATTAGTGAACACATGAGCGCTTGATATGGTGGCCATGAGAACAAACATTTCACAGAACTTTCGAAATGGTGGCAGCTACCGGAACGAGATGGTTGATTATCCGAAGAAAATAGATATCCTTTACTGAGAGGGGGGGGGGGGGGCGAAAAGGAGAGTGGAAATGATGACAGCCCAGAAACATAGATCTGCTGTTTATTTTAGGTTTTTAAGAGACGTTGTGATACTCTTAGAGACGTGGTGGCCGTGGCTTCTTTGGCCAATATTTCATGTGTCGTCACGCCACTGGTCCCTAAATCGGAAGCCAGTCAGGCGTAGTCGCATCACACATACAGTACAGAAACTTACATGAACTCTGTGATCCTGCTCATAGTGTAGCACATTGCAACCATCGTTTTCATATTGAGAGCCTGAAGAGACTAACATAGTGGGCTTGATAAGGCCCACAACCACGGTTTCTTGGTGGCCATTCCCTCGGAAATTAATCATATCCCTAATCATCACAAAAAATATGATACCTCATGTTCAGCAGATTTTGATGGAAGTTAGAAGGGACCCCAAGTTTGGGGATGTGATTGCGAATACAAAGGGCGAAGCCACTACCCTTTGATAAGTCACATCAAAGGCCCATCTACGGACGACTCACCATTATTCCTTAACATTAGACATCAGTTGGTACATCTCCTGTTCAAGACAGGCTTCTGCCGCATTTTAATCCAAGTTAGAAGGGCCCGCATTAAAGGAAACTTCAAGTTTGGGGATTTGACTGCACAGTACAAAGGGCAAAACCACTACCCTCTGATAAGTCACATTACAGGCTGATCTACAGAAAACGACTCACCGTTTTTTCTTTAGCATTAGAAATTGGTCGGTAGATAGTGGTGCATCTGTTCCCATTTGAGATAGGCTCCAGGGGAAACACGAGATCTGCAGGCTCACTTCCGATGTATAAAACTTTCAAAGTGATGTGTGAGCTCACGAATTAAGCCAACATGGTTGAGCCAAAAAGATGCGTGTGTTGCAGAGCATGCAAGGTCAGTCATTTAAAATTTTATTTGATGTCCATGCCTCAGCTTGGCCCACCTCAAAAGTCGGGTCCGAGTTCAACAAGCAAAAATGAGTTGTACCGGGGCAGTTAAGCAGAGACGACCGAAAATAAGTGGTGACAGGTGTAAACAAATGTTAAGAGCATGGTTGCAGCACTGGGGCCGTAAGTATGCGAAAATTTAAGTGGTGGACGTGAGGACTATGGGTACTCACAAGCGCAGGTTCCATTGTGAGCTGGGGTAAGCAGATGAACAACACATTAGTTTGAAAGTGATGATAATAAAGAAACAATGCTCACCCACCGCACAGGAAAACAAGTGGCGGGCTGGCATCAAGCAAAGTAGTTACAGGCGTGGCGGCAGGCGCAACAAGCACTGCAAGCGACACAGCTACTGCTGAGACAATGCAGAGAGTCTTGTGAAAGTCCTGCAGAGGAACCAGACGGCGAATCAAAATTTTCCCTACAAATGAGTGTTAGAAACAAAAATCAGGTACAAGTTAGTGAAGCATGGATGAGTGGGCGAGGCAAGCACTCCGAGCAATCTGAGATGGTAAGGTTAATCAATGATTGAATGCAGTCTTGCAGCCTCATTCGCGAGTGCTCATACAGCAGTGAATGGGTCGAACTGCAGAATTCTTCACCCAAGGGCTCATATACTACAAGCGGGTGATATGTTGAGTAGCATTGTCGGCCGTCATGACCGAGTGACGATCGAGTGCGACATAGAGAAACCTCTCGTTCTTAAACCTGGACTTTGTTTGGTCCAGGAATACAGGTCATACTATGATACAGCATGGCATGACTCGTCTCTACTTAAATTGCGTGATCTGTGTGATGCTAGTAAATATGCTTCAGAGTCTGCCTGGATCAACACAACTTTTGACTTACCTGAAACCTTCAGGCGTCCCTTGTACGTGCTTATCGTCTTCTGAGTGACCCAATGAGGTTCTCTGTTTGCGCCAAGCCAGAGGCGATGGGTTGGAAGGAGAGGGTGAACCTGATTCTCTTGAGCATTCTCCCAGCCTTGCTGGGCACTCCATATCCATATTTGGTAGATACTTGGCGTGGAAAGTGACTGATGAATGTAGAGGTCTCCACACTCAAGCGGCTGACATGGTGGGGGAGAAGGTAGAGGCTCACAACCGTGAGAATAAAACCAATGCATGTATTGATTGAGACCACAAATTTTATGCTGGATACGATGGACGCTATACGCGGTGTTAGAAGGGGTCACACTGCTCGAACACAATGCCTGATTGGAGGCGCTGGTCATCAATTGAGGATGACTGAGAACTGAAACATTGACTGGAGTGAACAACAGAGCACAATGAATGAGCGGAAGTTCACTGGGCACACACGGCTCTGATGATGGCTGGGCTGGAGAGGCGAGATTGTCAGAAGTCATCGGTAGGATTTGAGAGTGTGACATCAATGATAGGGCACTGCCAGTGAGATGCGATGCTGGGGAGGTGAGAGTTTGGGGGTGTACTAGGGAATCATTCAGACCAGAAAATTGGGGAGATTTAGCCTGAGGTGCATTCGGAGTTGCCAAAGGAGGGAGGCTTCGGGTGTTGCCTGGCATGGGACATTCAGAACACACGGAATAATGTTGAGGTTGTGGACCATGGGACCATCGGCGACGAAGCAGCACCTGTTCCTGGAGAAACTGCTTGAGTGTAGGTATCATTTCATTAAAAGACTCCCGATGAGGAGGGAAGACCTGTGAAGATCAGTGCATGTTTCTCCACTAGAATAAAATACTAACATCTGATTCCTGTTTCGATATACCAGAAGTGAAATATGTGTGCAGTTTTCCAGGCTTTGGGAAAGAGTGGCGGTGAACTGCTATCGGCTATTGGAGGCATTAGCACAATACAATTATAATATATCTACGATTTAAAGCTTACATTGTGCTCACGCCAAAGTACTTGTCGGTATGGGGCATTGATTGGACGGTGAAGTAGAACACGACGGGTATTGGCCTGTGTTTGGTTTTTCATGATAATGAGCTACTTAAGCTGAGGAGGTATCAAAATTTCGTCACTTAGCATGGCATATGACTTACCATGTTATAGTCCGTATGAGATATGTTAGGCGAAGACACAATGAGTGAATGGCTTGATGACAAGTATCAGTGTAAACGCAACTTGTACAGTGGTTAATGTTGTGGCCCTGGGAGTGCACGGACTGAGGAAATTGACGGTCCAGAAGTTTGACTTTTGTCAGTGTCTCTAAGTAGGTACATATATGATCTATGTAAGCATTGCCATTTGCCATTCATCATTGGGAGAAATTGAAGAGTGGTTTACATGTAGTACAAAGAATCGCAGATGAAAAAATGAAGTATGGGCATATTTTATTATCCCACATAGACGGGTGATGAATATGGTAGGAATGAGAGTTATGGCTTATTCCGTCGCTATGAAGACAATCTCACTCGGGAATCTTACTGGAATCAGTTCATCGCGGCCTCAAGTGATTGCACGAGAACAATCAATCACAGTACTGGAGATCCCCCATCAATATGATATAGGTTTGGTCTTACTTGAACATACCGTTGAATAGCGAGCTGTGCAAGGCGTTGCACCCTTCCATTCCGGAGGCCTGTTACCTGCCTCATTTGACCGACTCTCATTGTGAGAATCCCACCCCTCCACTCAAGGTCAGGAAATGAGGCTTCAAGGCTATCATTGATGGGTAATGTTGCCGCAAACTGGAAGAAGACAAGGAATGTCTCTCCATGCTGAAGGCCCGTCACGTTGACGCTAACATAGCAAGAATAGATCTGGTGCTGTGAACCAAGGATGGCTTCTACTGAGGGAAAGCGAGGATTGCGGGCAGACTCCTTGCTTGGAATAATGGTGCAGACAGATGTGGTGCAGGATCTAGTCCCCGTCATAGGGAAGTAAATAGCCTTTAAAAAGATGGCCCTCTGCTAACAACCCCAGTTCAGCTACAAAGACAGTGTACATAGAAACGCTACGCACAGTTCCAATGTCGGGGATAACACAGTAGAACTCCGGGGGAGTTATCTGCATTGCGGCCATTGTGGGAGTGATCTGCATTGTGGCCATTGTGGGAGTGATCAGGAGCATTAGTAGTATAAGTGCTGATAGGAACAATGTCAGTAGGAACACAACGAATTGATGATGCGTTTTAATACCTGTGTGCCTGCTCGAGGTTTGATAGTTATATTGCATCAACATAAGATTGAGGAAGTCATACAAAGGGCGAAGCTACTGGCAACTGATGTACCCTTTCCTGAAATCACATTTGGGCTCGTTCATGGAAGGCGAGAATGGAAAACAACTTACCACTTTCATGATCTTCTTGATACACACCATAGTGCTGTCAAATTTCCATTGACAATTGGTCAGTTCATATATACACTTTTGGGGTAAAAAAAACATGAGGCCAATCCCGAGGACCACCACAATTTTGAGGTGCAGTCATGGTTCATCGAATAGTCTGTGGGGCCATATTGAGTTAGTTACTGCATGTGGCTATCCGGAGGTATTCGATCAAACTTATCACAGTGGCTGGAACGTGCATATCTGTGGCTCATTGGTATCACTCGCTGTTCACCATAAAAACATTGAAAGGGGCTCACTACCATGTAGAACATTCTGGGAGTCCACCAGAATCCAAATTGAGTGGCAAGGTTAGCCGCGAAGTCTGCAGTGGCATAGCTCTGAGTGGTTCATTCCGCCTATCGAGCAAATCAGCAACACAAATTGACAAAGCCCCGACTGCAGCATACCGTTAATAGACACAATGGTGTAATGTGAACTGTGAGTGAACAGAGCTGGCAGATTGAGGTCCGTGATATTGAAAATCCAGCTTGTTCCTGCCCGGTTGCAACTGAATTGAGTCAACCCGGCTGACTGTAGGCACTTCGATCATCCCGTTGGGCGTGCTCAACACCAGTGCAGCGTGCTCTTCAACGCATCGAAGTAAGTGAATGTCGTAGGCTGAATGAGACATCAACTTGTCCATGAGTTACCAGTATGTGTCAGGCTGCTCTGCTGGCCATTTTTGCATCCGAGACAGATGCTCTAGACTCATGTTGTAGTCAAATGGAATCGTAATGGAATTGGCTGGACAGCCACAGCAAAGTTCGATTTCCAATCACTCAAGCTTACATAATGAGATAAGCATTTACAGAATCAGCAGCACCAAGAACGCCAACGTGTATAGTACGGTTCCACCAGCTCCCATGCACCGCAGAACTTCACGCTCCTCTATACCTCGTTGACTAAGGTATGCACTTATGAAAACTTTGACTCCTGATTCCACAGCAAAAACAAGATGGTCGGTCAGTTGAAGAAGATGACTATCTTTTACTGAGAAAGCAACCATGAAGATAATAATGGCTAATGCAATCTTCTGGGCGATACCTGTGATGACAGCCTGAAGATGTACCCTAAGGACCTGCCGTTTGTGTCAGAGACAGCCACACCACACACAAAGCACGGATACTTACAGCTAGAGGTCCAGTCACATTGTCTGTTTCGTCTGGGAGTGCTTCGCTACCACTGTCGTCATGTTGAGAAAAGACTGAGTACATGGACATGGTGCATTCCAGGAGTGCAGGATATCCACTTTTCGGCCATAAAATGGAACCCAGTTGGTCCTGTCGCTTCGTTGTGAGTATACTGACATGGGGCCTCGTTGGAGCAATCTAAAGCAAGAATAGATCCGAATGTCAGAGGCAGTCGCATCATACACATAGTACAAACACTTACATCAGTTGCATGATCCACTTCATCATAGAGTGCATCACTAGAGGAAACTACTGGAGTAATCTAAGGCAAGAGTGGATCTGAACTGTGACGTTAGAGGGAATCACATAGTAATGCATAATACAGATACTAGTACTTACATCGGTTGTGCGTTCCACTCCGTTTTGGAGTGTATTGTGACTACTGGCACTGTTCTCATGTTCGGAGGAGACTGAGAAGGACATAAAAAGGATATCCACTTGTTGTGGGCTTGATAATTATGTTCTATCGGCCATTCAGACTCATTAAATAGGGAGCGAACGAACAGTCTGATCCTCGGCAGACTATCATCCACAGCCATCGCAATGTCCTCGTGTTTGCGGCATTCCGATTCAAATTAGATATCTAGCCGACATATTCCAGAGGACAGGGACTGAGTTCAAGGAGATTTTAGGTTTGTTAACAAAGACAATGTATTTGCTATGCCGGGACTGTCTGTAAGTCACATCGAACTCGAGGCAGTTGTACAAAGGGCGAAGCCATATGTGCCCTTTCCTGAAGTCACATGGTCCGTTTGTGGAAATTCCTGTCCAAGAATTTGGGGGTAAATCAGAACATGAGGTCTCAAGATCTGGTTACATTCAGGACGGTGATCTGAACGATTACAATTCAGCATCGGCGAGGAATATTGATGTGTGAAAAATCTGCAACAAAGAATGATTTTGATTAATGCAGTGACAGACTCAGAATCACAAAACTTAGGAAAGATCAGTCGATCAACATGGGAGAAGAATGTATTTGGAATCACTTAGTATTATGTAGATGTGGAATTTTGCTCTTTAGGTGGAAGTTCTTAGTACCATCCTGTGGAGCGCCTTTATGATATATTTTCAATGTTTGACCAATGAAACAGTGGAATGCCAGCCAGTAGCCCTTGCTCTTGATTTTGCTATCCGAGGATTCTATTCTCCCGTGCTTTGGAGATGTCCACATTATCAACTAGATTCCAAGCCAAAACTACATTATATACATGTACCAGTCATTGATATCACCGTAAATTGTGCAGCCGTGCGCGTATATCTTATGCAAATCATGGAGTACTCACTTACTCTAGAAAGTACCCTGTCCAATTGGTTGGTAGATCTTCTTCACCGCATGCACCCCCCAAAAGTGATGTTATGGAGTTTGAAATCTGACAGAGGGTGATGACCTTGAATGGTTCTTGCTTGCCAACTGAACCCCGACAAGTTGGACAGGTGAACAGCATTGGTCCGACGTGTTTCGTCACGACTGATATGACTGCAGATGATAGTGGCAGCCTTGAGATGTCTCGGAGACTGAGTGTGACTGGCACTGGATTGTCCGAGTCTGCCACCCATCTACTCCAACAACATTGAAACCATTGTTTCAGACACGCCGCACAGAAGCTATGTCCGCATTTGAGACTATAAAAAGATTGAATCAAGTTATTTGAACACATTGTGATGACCTATATACTGACCTGTGTAATTCTTTGAATATTGTTTTGCAAACGGGGCACTCCAGAGACAGATCCCTTTCCGATAGGACCTTTAAAGTATAAGATCGTGATATTATCAAGGCTTTAAATACCACACCTTCTGGATCGCAGCGCGGAGACTTCCTAGCTTGGTTTTTGTTGCATCTATATCAGGTGAAGGCGTATTATATGTGGACTAGTGTATGCATCATAAGAGCTAATACTGATATATCTGTGCACGGAAACTTACCGCAACATTCCCCCCTTGCTCAATGGCTTTAATGTCGGATAGTGTTTTGACTGAAGCTTTGGCACGAACAGCGGGCTGTAAGGCAGGAAAGGAAGTGGCCTGAGCCAGAAAACTCAAAAACTTACTGCTGGCTCACAATGCGCATGGACTGGCATCTGACTTGCGTCTTCGTCGTCAGTTGTTACGATCTCAATAACTGACACCTGACTTAAAATTTCCTCATCAGTGGTGATCTCGATAACATCATGTAGAAGTGCGGGCGCCACCCGAAGTTGTGAAGTTGTAGGTCCTGGCTGGGCTGCTGCCAAGTGGTAGAAAGGTGTTTGAGCACGTCTGCGTCTATTCCTGACAGGTCCAGAAGACATTTTTGCACGAACATGTGTGAGACTGGGAAGTTGAGGGATCACGTATATCATTTACCTGGAATACTGTAATAATTGCAATCTTTCCAGGATGATGGTCGTGAGCCAAATTGGTCTCGTGAGATTTGATGTTATACTCAAGATCCAGGCGTACAAAGGCGCAGTCGCTGGTGACTGAAGTAACCTGTCTTGAAGTCACATTAATATTTGCCTGGTTCATGGAAAGTGACAATAGAAAAAGACTCGCCACCTCTGCGACCTTCTCTGACACATTTCCATGGGTGATCAGTTGGTACATATAGTCTTGTTCGAGATATGTGTTAGGAGTAAGCGAAGAACAAAGGCCTGAGGGTCGTTCGATTCGAAGGTTCACATTGCCATAATTAGCTGTCAACCGATTATGATTAGATTTGATTTATGCAGGTGAATGCTTTTACTTCACTTAATTGCTACAGCCGATGTCCGGGGACAACCCAGAAATGAGTGCGAGCCTTATGATGCAAGGAGTTGCAAGCACATACGATAGATAAGCGGGAGTAAGCCCCCTGTGTATAGGGCTATGTCCGACATAGGGTCTACGACCCCAAAGGACAATAAAATGGATTTTTTAAAGTTAAGCAAGATAGCTATAGCATGACTCAATAGCAATATCTTCACACACAGCTCCCGAATAGTGGGGGCATACAGAACAAGGTAGGACTCTGACTGTCCGAAAAAATGAAGGATAATATCGAGTTCGTGTTGATGTGAGGAGCGTAAACACAGAAGGAATGAAGAGCCACTCAGATAACATCTGTTGGATCCAAAACCACAGCAAACACATAAGAGGCACAAACAATCGTTTTGATCTAGGTTGCACATCAAGACCTAAAATGAGTCGGACCAAAGACCTCTTGATCTGTTGCCCTAAAACAGTGCTCCTTCTTGGGCCTGGAACATATCAGAAGTATTCAGGTCGCTTTGTGATTTCAGCTCTTGAGTGTTACTGAAGGGAATGTATGTATGGGGAGGCCAGGAGGCGAGAGAAAGGTCAGGGCAAGAAAAATATCTGCAACAACTAGCGCCTGCATGACTAATTGAACTTAAAATGATGGATGGAAAGCTCGGATCGCTTACTACAGGCGTGTTTTCGCAGCGGCGACCTAAGTTGTTGACACTGGGGATGAGGTTGTTGTAACGCTCTGCGTTCGCTGTCCAGAATACAGCAACATGGTACGGCATGGTCGACATTAGCGTGCTGTACATTAGCGCGCAGGCAGTGAGGGAAGGGAAGGGGGGGAAGTACGATCTGAATCGTCGACTTGTTGAACTGTTTTCTTCCATGGACGAGCATGTTGGGCTAGCTGGCCCTGGCTTATCACCTTATGCAGCAGGGACTCGAGGTTTGACACACTATTGTACTTGAAGATACGGACCACCCTGGCGTCTGTCGGTCATTTTTCTGGGCAACGTGTACGGATCATGTCCACGGCAGGGACAGAAGCATTCATTTCGTCAACCTTGATCTCAGTGAGCGTGGTGTCAGTGGCTTCTATAAAAGGGCTGTGGAAGTTGTCTTCTCTTCCTGGAAGTATGCTTTAAGCTTGAAAACGCCCGATCAGCGAGCTTCGAAGAAGCACTCACTATGCACTGAGGGTTGTCCCAACACCTGAAACCTTCATGTCTCTAATGGAGGCCCATCTATTGCACACCAGGCAAACTGCTTTGAGGCACTTTTTCAGGAGCCCGGGCTGTTAGGTCTCAGGAACGCGAGAAGCGCGCTGTAGGAGGGCTTGCAATGTGGCACCCATACAGCACCCACGTTGTAACATTTTATTTATCAAATCCTCTTTGTCCCGAGGATCGCAGAAAATGTTCGTGAGATCATCAAGATAGCGCACATCCAAAATACATCAGAATATCTCAGCGAGGCTCTTCTCGTCCACTGCTATGTTTTTCAATATGTCTCTGGCTTCTCTCGCAGGTCTCGATATAGTGGAGCGTTCGTTGGCACCACTTCCTTCGACTTTCAGAGCCACACTGCGTAAGATTCCCAATTTTGGTGAACAGTGTGGCCACTGGCTTTGGGTAATCGTTCAAATCGGGAGATAGGACAGCAAGGATGGCAGGCGATGCTTGGACTGATGGAGATATTCCAGAGATCAAGTATGCACTGATGATGATGGTCAACAGTGAAAGTAAATGGAAGTGTTCTTTTCACTTACTTTACAATTGGCTTCAGTGATTGCAGATTTGCTGCCAATGAGGCTATTGATGTTGCTGTTGCCTGGACATAGTAATATAAGAGATTTGTTGGCACAAGCACGAGACCAGTCCCCATAAAACTTACCCTTGTGAGTTTCCCGGAACGCGTCATTGAGAAGTCCCTAGCCTTATCTCCAATACCACCATGCGCAGAAGAACTCTTCACAATGTTCGCAATGCAAGGACGAAGCTAGCAGCAGTCTCCTCGCTGGCTCTCACACCAGCAATAAGCTCCATGACAACAGGATCAACTCTTGGCTGGCTGTGCATGAGGATACCCAAAGCGTCTGCTGCACGAGTTTGTACGACGGTAGAGGAGGCGTCACTGACTGTCTTCACAAACATGCGCCAAAGCTGAGGGAAGAACAGTTTAATATGACCGGGAATTCTCTCGAGCATGGATGCTAGTGCACTGAAGATGGCGGTCTTCACACCAGGAAGATGTGTGGTGGCTTGTGTTGCAACACAAATGAGGGGCCTAGTGAATGGCACCATGAAAGGTTTGGTAGCAGACTCCTCCGTCTGTTCTACCAAGTTTCCGATAGCGTATGCTGCCATTTGTGAGACCAGAAATAATGATAAGGAGGGCGGATGCAACTCCCTTTTAGACTGAAACCAGAAGCATATCAGCTAGGTGCACTACTCATCCTTTGGTACTGACTTGACAAATATATCAAATGCCTGCCAAGCCGCAGTGCGGACTGAAACCTCTTGACTATCGAAGAGAGAAACAAGCTGTCGGACCCAGTCAACACGATGTAACAACGACTCTAGGTCAGATTCCTCGCAGAACACTGCAAAGAGATTGCGGGAGCGAATCCACCATTTCGGCATATCACTCTCAGCTCTGAAGCAGAATACAATCAATAAACATGCAAGCTCACAGAGCAGAAGCAGCTGACCATCCAAGGAGTAACATCAAGGTGTTCAAACTTCTGGGTCTTCTATCGAGGCTGAAAGTCCATGCACAGCCTCATCAATGGCACTCCATAGTTCATCATCTTAGTCTTCTTCCAAACCCTTTTATTAATGCTCCAAGGGTGATAATGAGATGCTTGCTCAAGGCATGACCAGCAATGGTGACAAGAGAGGCCAAAGCTCTGGCATTGAAAACCATCATAGGTATGGCAATCAAGGTTGGGATGAGAACAGAAAACACAGTAGACGCCCGGACCTTGAATTGGGTAAGCACATCCTTGTTCACAAACAAAAAAGACGATGCATACCGACATGACCTCCCTCAAGGCTTGAAGTGGGGTATCTGAGCTTGCACATGGCTGGCGTAAAGCCTCTAACAAAGTGGGGATCATCTGATCAATCGCTTTCGCGCCGGGATGCTCTTGAAGTACTCAAATGCCTTCGCAGCCGCCGAACGTACACTAGTGTCATCATCCACCAGAGAGGTACGGATGTCTGGTTGTGCCAGTGCGAGTGCTTGAACTTGCTTCGACAAGGTAGCTGTTCCCCTTCTTGTTCGCAAGCGATTTATGAAGCTCGGCCTCCCAGCGGGCAATATCAGCATCTTTCCCCCTTTTGGAACCTTCCTCGGCCTTCTGATAAGAGAGAGCCACACAGCAAGAACACAATGAACGTGGCGTGGTTCCTATGATCCATTTACTCACCATCTACATACATCATGCCTTCTGGCGTTTCCCAGATACCGAACTCAGCCTCGGACAGTGCCGATGTCGGCGCGTAACTTCTCCATGATCTTCGGCAATACATTTTCGGGACATACAAACGCCAATGTGCTAATTGCCTGATAGCTCGTGTCTGAAAAGCCACACTTCAAATCTACAAGTTATATGTGTCAGCACGTGTATAAGTCTTGGAAATACAAAAAACACCTTCGAATCGACGGTGGATGCCGCCAAAATGCTCAACATCGCCCAGTCAACACAGCGAAAAATTAAATCGTGCGGGTCCACGCCAACCTTCTGGCACAACTCAATCCATTGCATGTGGGATGGAGGACCTGATACATTTTTAGAATATTCAGCAGCAGTCGATAGGATAATGGACAAGGAAGCTCACAAACGACAAAGTAATGTGCTAAAAAATGAGGTCTCCTAGTGTGCTTTTGACGGCAGCCGACTTCTCTTTGTGGCATTTGTGCGCACGACAGGGTTGTTAGACTTGGCGGAGTTGAGGGAGGCAGTGAGGAGTTTTTTGAAAGTGGCAGAGTCGAGGTTATGAGAGTGTGCAAGCAAAAAATCTGCGATTGCTGCAAACAGTTAGTCAGAAAGCGATGATCCTGATGTAGTACATACGCATGATCTGCCTTAGGCTCAATTAATCTGACATTACGATGTGGCTTGAACTGCAGCACATGCCTTTGTTGGTCGCGAGCCATAAAAGTTCCTCCTGTAGGAACTGCAGGTAAATTCTGGCACTGCTGTTTAAAAGTCTTCCATGAGCGAAATTTGCATGGCCTTTTGCCAGTTCGCCTGTACGAGATCTCTGGTTACTTAGCATTTGGTCCCTCTCATCGATTCACATGTGGGAAGAAATTTCCTAAAAACTGACGCCCACTCAGAGAAATGCAAAGTTGCCAGTGACTTTGTTGCCTACTTAGTGAATTACCGCGCCAGGCTAGTTACTAGTACATGGCATGATGGCCTGTTATGTACGCGTTTGAGACCTACAGTGGCTCAAAAAACCGTCCGTATGTTTTGGCATTTTTCACTATCTATAATATTGTGTGAGAACAAACAAATGCCTCAAAAACATGCTTATACCACATTGTAGTATGGCTTCAGGGCTTTCATTTGAGCCCTACACCGTGGGAATCGGTGGAGATATGGTGGAGATACAAGGCTCACAAAATGGTGACTCATGCGGACAGTTTTTTGACTCAAGTATTTTACAGTAATAACCAGGTATTCTAGTATTTTGTATGACCTCCCTTGGCTTTAATTACTGCCTCTATCCTTCTAGGCATACTCTCAATTAATTTCTGGCAATCCTCAGCTGTGATCTTCCCCCATTCCACTGCTACTCTCTCCCAAAGCTCCCATACTCCTTTAGGGGGGTTTTCATAGGCTTGAAGCTTTTTCTTGAGTGTTCCCCAGAGATGTTCAATGACATTGACATCAGGAGACTGTGCTGGCCAGTCAAGAACATTGATGTTATGTTCTTCAAACCATTCCCTAGCTCTTCTGGATGTGTGCTTGGGATCATTATCCTGTTGGAAAATGATATCTTCTTCATCAATCCCTGATTCTGCCAAGCTAGGCAGCAAGTGGTCATTTAAAATGTCCACATACTGCTCAGCATTCATCTTCCCCTCAACCTCAGCAAGCATTCCCACACCATTCCATCCCATACAGCCCCATACCATTAAAGAACCTCCTCCAAACTTGACAGTCCCATTAACCTCTCTGTCTGTTAGGCCATCTCCCTTCTTTTTCCATACATACACCTTCCCATCTGACCCAATCCTATTGATTTTGGTCTCATCTGACCATATAACATGCTTCCAGTCCTCTACAGTCCAGTGTTGATGAGCTAAGGCAAAGGCTAGTCTTCTCTGCCTATGTTTGATGGAGAGAAGAGGCTTTTTCTTCTTTGTTACTGCCTTGAGATGAGCTGCCTTGAGAACATTCCTCACAGTTTGTGAAGAGACAGGGGTAGTGATGGTGGAATTGATATAATGGGTGGCTTGGACAGCATTATCAGCCTTTCCTGTAGTGATATGTTGGATAATAGCCCTTTTGTCAGTAGAGGTAAGCTTGGATGGACGTCCTCCACAAGAGTTTTCCTTGTCTGGGTGGCTTTCTTTGATGAACTTGGCCACAGTGGACTTGCATATTCCAGTTCTAGAGGAAATTTGGCGAGCAGAGAGGCCAGCATAAGACAGAGAGAGGATATTATCTCTTTGAGCAGAGGAGATGGCTTTCATGGTGATTATGACTATGATACATGAGATATTCTGGTTTATATAGTTAGATATAGTCATAAAATAACATAATGACACCACTTTATAATTTATATAATAGTGGCATGATTTTTATGGTGTCATAAATAATGATTTATATAGTTTTAATATACACTCAAAAAACTGTCCACATGAGTCATCATTTTATAAGCCTTATATCTCCACCATATCTCCGCCGATTCCCACGGTGTAGGGCTCAAATAAAAGCCCTGAAGCCATACTACAATGTGGTATAAGTATGTCCTTGAGGAATTTGTTCATTCTCACACAATATCATAGATAGTGAAAAATGTCAAAACATGCGGACAGTTTTTTGAGCCACTGTACTACTAGAGTACTAGTTATGCCACATTCCCTGTAAAATATCCTTAATCCGACCTAAGATACTCTTGCCGGTGTCAATCTGATCCTTCACTTCCTGAATTTGCGCCTTAACTTCCTGTATCTGAGACTGGACTTCAATATTGTTTGCTTCAGCCGCCTCTTTTGCCTCTTTTGCAGCCTCCTTGGCCTCCTCTGCAGCCTTTTGGGCAGCCTCTTTCGTCTCATTGGCAAGTTTGGTAATGCGGTCCACAAAAATGGCATTGGTTTCTCCAAGAGCTGCCAAACAGGACAAATTTTCATCCATCTTCAACTCCAACTTCGCTTGCAAGAAGCCAAGCGCTTCGGTGATTATATCATCTTCTGACATTAGTACACAGTCAATAGACTTTAATCTCAGTCTGAGGACCTACTCATGCTGTCGTGGTTGGAGGCGGCTGTACTGCCCGAGTCTGCTGCCGCAATACTTGAGTGAGACCTGATGCTGTTGGAATCCTCCACTGCCATACAGGATCCAAATGAGAACTCAGCAGCAAAACTATCCATTGATGGGGCAGTGGATTCTATCAGAATCAAATAGTAAGGCATGAGTAGCCATAGTTCATTAATAGCGCATACCTGAAGTACGGGCGTCCATTGTGTAATGGTCTGCAGTGAGGATACATAACTTATGTGATTGCTCGTGAACTATAGATAATCAATTCTTATAAGCACTGCAAGTGATGAATCATGATGTCGACCAGTTTTAGCACACAATGAAAAAGTGGAGCTCACTGAGCTGTACTGTCAGACAATTGCAAATCAATTTGTGACCATCGTATTGGTTCAATGTTAGTAGTGAGAGGAGGTGTTTTGTAGAATGCAAAACTCCCATCAGACGTGCGCTGATTTTTTCCACAGCTTATTAGTAATTCCTTGTACCGTCGGCTGAAAACGGATCCAGCTTCATCTGCAGGATTCTGCGCTCAGGCTACCAATTCATCGACATGATCTTAGGCTGGTCCGAGCATATCTCAGGGTGGGACATGAGCAGCTGGAGCTGCTAGGAGGGCAGGACAACTGATTGCGAATTTGGCTGTGTCAGACTTGGGGAAAAAATGGTGCGGTAATCCTTACCGCTTCAAAGATAAACTTTATATTGCTCTATAATGAATGCGATGAAGATAAAGCTAATTAAAGTATCGAAGGGAGAGGTGGGTAGGTGTAAAAGAAGGAACCCCAGAGCGAGAAGGAATATGAGTTCGTTGTCGAGGAGCTGGAGGAGCTGGAGATGGCATTGATGAAGCTTTGAAGAGGAGAGGCGCAGCTTGCTGCTGAGCACCTGTGGTGCCGGAAACTTTAACTGTACGTTGCTAGTGTCTGAGTTTAAAAATTGTTAATTGTCATTAGATTAGTAGCCACTCTCCCCTTTGTTAGACCTGCAATGTACTATCTACTGTACGATCTTCCTCACACACGCTTTGCTATCAATGCTATTTTTTTTTGCAGGATGGTCATTTACTCGCTAGTGGGGATGATGACAGATACATTCGGCTCTTCAATTTTCGACTAGGAAAGGAATTGCGTAGGGTGAGAGTTCTTACATCTGTAACATCACTTCTATGGCATCCAAACAAGCCTGGCATTATCTTCATTGGTGATACAAGGGGGAGTATCATGGTTATGAGCCTTCATGCCGAAGTGAGTAAAAAGTAGTCATATCATTAAGTTCCCGTTTGATGTCTATCTTGAGCGCCCTGATGCTTACTGTCTTCGTACTGGCATCAATGCTCCAGCAGAGACATTGGCCTATGATACCTGCAATGGGTATCTGGCTGTCGCAGTGGGGACAGACATCATCCTATTCAACTGTCCGGAAGGTGAAGTCAAGTGATTCCGCTGGAAAATAATGAACACAACGACTGAGATGCATACTACAGACCCTTGGACATTCGGTGTAAATGTTCCGCCACCGCCTACGATTAAGGCTGGTAGTGTGGGTCATGACGAGATCTTACTACCCTTACCTCATGTTCTGAAATTCAGCGACAACGGGCATTCTCTTGTTGCAGTGTATTTTCAACATGGAATTGTGTAGGTAATGTCACTTACCACTGGTAGAAAATGTTTGATTAATCATTGTAAAAGCTCCTGGTTGATCGAGTCTCTCCAACCAGAATGGACCATTTGGCCTACAAGCAGACGCGCGTAAGTGCATTATTTCGTCATCGTCATAATTAGGCGATATAGACAGCCTATCAGGGGAGGGGCCTGTTTCTCCGCTGATGGAAGGAGTGTAGTGGTGTAAAATCTCCATGATGGCTTCGATTGTTACGATATCAGCAATGGAAGGCACTTGGCTAATCTCCCAACTCCAATCATCCACAATGTCCCGCTACCTTCACTATTCATCGAAGATGATACATTCATATTGTGCGGAAGCTCTTGCGGCTATGTTTTGCTATATTCTGGAAATATGAAGAACATCCGCCAGGTATTGAGACATGGTGGTATGAACGAGGCTCCTGCTAGTAGTGAACTAATTTTAATGTGTCCTCTAGAGCATGATATAATCCAGGCATTGGTTTGTTTCTCTTGCTGTATTTCAGTTTGGACCGGTGCTGACCCGTCAGAGAAGGCATATTTCAAATGTGAGGCCAGGTTCATTGCAACAGCCTCGTCAGAGGCTGAATCAGATAATTATGTTCGAATATGGAGGAGTATATCCAGTGAGAGATTTTTCTCCTTGTCTGTATAAATCTTCACAGTAGTTGCCGACATGACAGCTCCGAAAAATATTTCAGTAAGTGACCTTACCATATCCTACTAAAGCACCATACTGATGTGAGAAAGGGCTCTTCGTGATCTTACTGGAAAATTAGTGGGATTTTGTCGATATTCCTTCTGGTGGTATTCATTTGGGTTAGATGTTTGGGTATCAATATGGTCCCGGTCGGTTGATTGTCTGCTGCATCTTCCCCTAATATCTCTCACACTTGACAACAGACCAGCGTGAATAGCTATGTAGAACTCTGGGACAACCTGACTAGTCGAGCCTTTGAGGGCTTGGTGCCAACTTCAGTTTTCACCTGGCAGGGGTCGAGCATATGTTTTTGGAGCTTAGGAGTCGAGATTGTGTTTGGCGACAAGCGTTATGATTCCGGAATTCAGGAATTATGATTTGTGATTTGCCATGAAGTGTAAAGTTTATATCGCCATCTTTAGACTGAATGGGGACTGATGGAACTTTGTTCTTTGCGCTGGTGTTTTTGTCGCATCTAATTCTGACCGTGCAGATCCTGTTATCATCAACAGCTAGTGATCTGCAGCATTAGCAACCACGAGATGGCGACATCATCAATTCATTAATCACAATCACTCTTAAATGCAAGCCTGAACACATGGTTACTTGAATTTTTTGACACCCGACCACATTGAATTTCACTATCAAAGATTGGTGCTGCCGCCTGCGCAAGTTTGACTTTCAGATGGGCACTTATGACGCTGGGTGATCAGATCAACCGACCAGCTGTCACGATTTCTCCCGCAATGTGGACTAACATGCTGATTTACAGCCACGAAACGGTCAGATCATTGAAATCAGAAAAAACATATCATATGTAAAATTGAGGCAGGAAGAGAATGAAATCTGCTACGCCCCCATACCCAACAGAGCCTTATAAGACACCGACAAGACCCATCTATGGGAAGAAATAAATTGATGAAGTTGAATCCCCACAACCATGCCTCTTGCATATCACTTGAGGGGGGGACAACAAATCTCTCAGCTGATTGTGTTTGCCGGTCTATTATAACTTATCCGCCTTGTTAGGTACGTTTCAGGGAATGATCAAGAACGTACCTGGGCCAACTCCATCCAGGTATTGGAGTTATTACTGTGAGACTGGTGAAAGCGAGACAAGAGATACATGAGTCGGAAGTCGAGGAGTTCAATAACATGTCCGAATGACCAAGGTTCGGGTCCAGTAGAAACTGCTTATGACCATGTGCTAACCCTAAAGTTAAGGGTGCAGACAAGGTCTGCTGAGATGCTACGGTGGCTTGACTCCGCCACAGATGGGTGGCCTTTGTTGTACTATGACTACGACACGGGTGCCATTAGCATCGTCAAATAAAGAAAAGAATGATCATCAGCTTACTTGATGCTGTATACAACTTTTCTGCTCTCTTGATCGAGTCTGAGTTGGAATTGAGGAGAAACCCTCCGGCGATTAAAGGGATGGTTCTGTATTTTTGGTCAAGTTCAAGGATCCAAGCGAGCCACTTACCCTGATGGTTTTCAATAATGTCTCCCTTTCATCACCACCCACCCACAATACTGCACCTTCTTGTCCGTTAGTTACAGGTACAGATGTTGTGCCACCGGCCATTGTTGCATCTGAGGCAGGCATCTGGTCCTCTAGATCTTGTAACTCAGGCCTCAGCCAGCACTTCAAGGTTATATGGATCCACAGTTCATTCAGAAAGCCCAAATTCACATATTTAAAAGCTGTGGCTGTTCAAAGATAGCTGAAAGTTCTCAAAATTCAGCAAAGTTCGAACACACAAGCAGTTAAAGTCTGGTTTTCGACAGGACACCAAATCGATTGTAAATCTCAAACCTAGATTCAGTTCGGAGTTTTGATTTGAAACAATTTTGGCCATTTTCAAACCGAATCGAGTTGTGAACCTATACCCCTGCTTTTCTGAAACAAGGGAAATAAATTGTCTACAACAAGGTTTAGCGCATGTCAACGGATGAAGAATTTGGATTGCTTAGTGTGCGTGTATGAGGGGTTCTGCCGGACAAAATGTAAAAACAATTTTGTATGGTAAAAACAAACTTCGATGAAGAAAACCAAATTCCGTCCTCGATTATCTTTATAAAGTTCACACATTCAGATTCCAAAGTTGTGCCATCATCATACCAAGTTCAAAAAGATCCTACCATTGGCCTCTGAGTGACGTGGCTTCAAGCTTTCAAATGTCAGTAGCTTTCATTTTCCTGAGTCTTCGGTAACGGGCTACATATGCCCCAACACACTTTGTAGGTGAATTAGAGCATCAGTTGGACAATAGCAAAATCTGCTCCACCTCGAGACTATTTACACATTTTTTCGAGAGCAAATCGGGGGAACTACTCCATCGCTTCCACCACAACAATCGGGTGGATTCCATCGCACTTTCAACCAATCACAGTGTCCTCGCGTGCATAGGCAGCGATGGCATGGTAGAACTTTGGGACACAGAGTCCGACCAGCCCCTCCTCGGCCAGCCATTACATTCACAAATCCACCTTTTGCTGCGTATCGTTCTCTCGAGACGGGAGATACGTCGCATATGGCGGAGACGACAAGAAACTCACTCTATGGATGCTCAAAGGCATAGCTCCTCAACTTCCAGCACCCACATTACTTCAACAAAGTGATAGACAAAGCACACAACAGGAAACTCGGCCCAACTCCCCATTATCATCTCGATGTCAGTACTTTTACGTTTGACTACCTGTGCTCTTTACTCAGCGTTGTTGCAGGCTGATGCCACGGGAAGTGGTGGCTTCATTGAGGAGTTACATGATGACCCATACAACAACTTCTTCCAGGTAAAACTCTTATTTTCGTCCAAGGGCACTAGCACTGACAACAAGTACTTCTAGTCTTCGCAGCAATCTCTTCCATCGCCATCCCCTGGCTTCCATCTACTCCCCTTGTTTTCGGTTCCCCACTTCTTGAATGTCATCTCTTGACGTCGCTCACTGCCAGACAAGTCTGTTCCACAAGAATGCTCCAAGTGTGGTTTCTTCAGTTGTCGTGGTCGCTCAAACTCGTCCCAGGAGCTCGCAACCATTAAACCCGACCAACCAGTACCAGAAGGTAAAGCAGGAGAAGGCGAAGGCGAAAAAGTTGAAAAAGTTGATGATGTAAGTGCTGTTTCGACTCTCACACAATATCATCTTAGCACGACAGCCATCAGCACAGTTCCATGCATGACTCACTCAGCGCCACAAAGGAGAAAGGCAAACAGCAAGATGATCCTCTTGACAACATGCAGAGCCCACCGTCTGATGATCGCACTTCCTCCGCCAAGCTCGATAGCAAAGATAATCGAAACATCTGGGGACGACTAATGCATGCTCAAGGCAAACATCTCACATTTGGTTCACTGTATCCTAGTACTCAACTTGCAAATGCACCCCAATCCAGAATACCGAGCAATCCCTGGCACTGGAATTCCAGCTTATTTCCAGTAGGATCTTCCAGACATCCTGTCGATATTGCTGCTTGCCGCAATGAGGATGTGAGTAACTTGTCGTCACTTCCCTTTTATATTATTGAAATCACTCTGCAGAGATATGGCATTGCACCTGAATCTGATGCGGAAGCTGCTGCAGCCATACTACATACTAATGACATTGTGGTCCATAGTTCAATGCAACCAGGTCGACCTGCAGTAGTGGTACTAGTGTCTCAAGAGCGGCCCACACAAATCCAAGCTTCGACAAGTGGGCCAGAAGAGATTGGAGTAAGCTGCTGTGAATTTAAAAACAAACTTCAACGAAGAAAACCAAATTTCGCCCTCGATTATAATCATGGGTAACGGCACCTACACGCCCAGTCCCCAACTCCAATTTCCCACAATGCTCAAACCCTTTACTTCACCTCGCACTGACAGATTTTCCTTATATGCTCACACCATCCCAGACCATTCATATATACAACTCGCTAGATACATTTATGTTGAAGAGCTAGAACTGAACACAGCCAAACTACCAAGATCCTGAGCAGTTGAATACCCGGCAGCTGCGGCCTCTTTATCCATGCCTACATCTGACATCGTTAGATGATACATAACCCATGATTGATACACATGACACTGCTGTCTCGATCGCTTTCATTGAATGGGCAGAAGCATGGAACAACCATGTCATGTCTATTTGAGGTGATCGGCACAGCAGTCCACGAGATATGTTTTTCTTTGGAATGTTAGAAAATGGAGCGCGTGAATTTGACGGTACAGAAGATGACAAAGATATAGATGATCCAGCATCGTATGGCATTGACTGGGCTTCCATCGATAACCATCACATCATTGACCACCATCATGCCCACAACGAAGAAGATGAGCTCGGTAACAACCCTTTCCTCACCCATCATCCACATCAGTTCTCGGAGGTTGTGGTTCCAGAAGCAGAGCCCATTATCACTCGAACAACCACAGTCTCTCGGTGTACAGTTCAATACCAATCCACTCTCGCAGCATGGAATCCAGACGTCTCATTTGGTCTACAGCTTTACAGATTTGTAGGGGTTTTTTCACGTACGAAGATGGTGTACTGTAGTTTACATGTGTACCTGCACAAGTCAATGCCAGCAAATGGCGTACAATGTCCTGAAGTCTCCAACCCTCTTGTGAGGAATGCCTCATGCACGGCCATGTCTTCCACAACTGCTAAGATCAAAAGGGTGCCAACAATAAAGATACAAAAGAAGATGTGAGGCCATACCAAGCTAGTCTGTGTTGCACAACTGCCCGGTGGGCGCATGTGAATGCAGAATGACAGTAGCTAACCGTAGTGTCGTGAAACATGATTCAGTCCCACATGTACCAGCTCATGCAGCCGCAGAAGGTGCAAACACAGGAAGAATTATTTAGCGGTGGTCTTCAATAAGAATGCACGTAACAGTGGTGCCCTGTCATCGCTCGATGATAGGCTGTACAGCCGGTATCGATGGCAGTATGCATAATCTCGCGTGTATATGGGCCAGCCCACATATAGACCTGCGCGTCCATATGGTGGCCATACTTACGCGTGACAACCTGTAGATGGAATCAGCTTATAGTGATTAGGAGAAGTTGTGTAATCGAGTGTACAGAGAGGGTAGTTGCCAGCTAATGATACTGGCAGGAACACAAAGTTGCTTCTCCCTCTGGCTAAAATTATGACATTGGTGGGACGAGAAATAGAATCAGCCACAACAGGGCGAAGCGCATTACAAGCGGCCACCATGCTACTCCTGAAATAGGACACCACATATCTACAGCAAGGCCGACATGTGGATTTAGTATCCTGTAGCAGCGTGCAAATGACCACTGCCTTGTCTGTCACTGGCACTTACTTGCAAAGTACGTGTGTCACTGACACCGCTACATTCTGTGTAGTGCAAGTTTCAATGTCCCTTCGGTCGCAATGTAACACTGGAAGTACCAATCTGGCATAATTCATTTATTATGTAATCCTATATCGATTGACAACATCAAGGTTTCATGCACCACCCTTCCCATTGATAACACAACCACCATTTGCAGACTACAACCGCTATCTTATCCATACAGCAGGAGATGGACACGCAACTAGACTTTGGTCGTGTTCCCTCCGGACACAGTTTCTTCTTGCAGTACAACCAACTTTGGTGCACAGCATCGTCGCCATTCTCCCCATTCGTCCACATCCATACATCATACCCAGAAGGACAGCATCAAACCAAAAGCTTCGCAGTCCCTGGACGAATGAGTTTTGGAACAGACACTGGAGTTGGAGTTGACGGCCCTTTGACAACAGATCAATGAAAATTTACTGGTAAATTTGAATCATCCCCACTTACTACTCCCAATCTCGCTCCATCCACTCAGCTGATCACTTCAACCCTCATCCCAGACTTGACTAGTTTTATCACCCGATGCAGCCCAGACCCGATTTCTGGCAGTACACATCGAAATATTTACAAGTGTATATACCACGGACCAGGGGGTGATGAAGAGGTTCGTGCGGATGTTATAGTTCTTCCATTCTCACTAACTCGATGCTCGCCAGCAGGTTGCCATCAAAGCGATTCGACAACAATGCTTTAATTCTGAGGTAATGTTTTAAATGGTCAGATTCTCATTAAACGTTCTTAGATGTTTCAGAGAGAGCTTGGAATTTGGAAGAGGTTGAGGCATTCTAATATTTTGAAATCCATCGGTACAACTTCGGATTTTGGTCCCTCAGTAGCTTTAGTTGCTCCGTGAATGACCAATGGCACTCTGACGTCGTTTCTCGACCAGAATAACGAGACCCTTGGGCTGCGTGATCGTGTATTTTTGGTGAGCACCTAAAATATGTTCCCACTTTGCACAGTCAAGTTTATTGTTTCGTGCACAAGCTTCATGGTATTGCTGCTGACCTCAACTATTGTGGGTGAAAACTTGCATGTCCAAAAGAAAATGAGTATTTTTTTCATGTCAATTCAAGTGTTTAGCTTGACAGAAGACAGACATATGGACTTGAACCCCATCGTTCATGGAGACCTCAGCGGTGTAAGATCCATTATTTATTCTATCTCTTGCATACTGATGACCAGTTGCAAGGCCAACGTCCTCATCAATGGTGAAAGAAAGGCATATCTTGCAGATTTTGGCCTTTCTGGAACTTTTAAAAAGCTGATCGGCATGACGTACCTCGCAAAGATGACTGGTCATCCAGGAGCGGTGAAATGGGTAGCTCCTGAACTTCTTTCTGGGGAGAATCAGCTTCTGTGGCCACCGCTCAAAGCGGCGTGTACTCCTTTGGTAGCATCATGCTTCAAGTAAGTCGTTCCCTCTTGCTAGTGCAGCTCACTAAGATGTCTTGCAGGTTTCGACAGGATATGTGCCCTGGTGTCACTTGATTTGTGACTTCTAGATCTCATACCAAGTGGTTATTGAGGGGAAAATACATCCCCGTCCAGATGAAGTTTGTGTCACTGACTGGCACTGGAATTTTATGACCTGTTGCTGGTCTATTGTAAGCCCGTGCTTATCATGCAATCGACGCGCCTTTGTTCTGATTGGACACCTCTCAAGATCTCACTATGCTTCACTATATATGTGTATATCTCGTCGCCATATCTTATCTCTCTCTTACCGCATCATCAATCATACACTGTTCCATGTTGCTGCTTATCTGCTATTCCATCTATGTCATTGACCGATCAGCTCCCTGCCAAGGAAACAGCTCAATTTGTTAATAGGGCTTTGCACCTGAGCGTGAGACCCAGGAGCCCGACATTGTCGATCTCCAGCGATGAGCGACACCCGGGCATAGCCCGTGATAAAGACACTGCGCGCGCCAAATAGGGTTGTTACAGGTGCAGAATCCGCCGGAAGGTAGGTCCTTGCATCCATGTCACTCTTTGGATCTTCAATCGTCACTTCATTGTCATCAGACGCTTATTCACCCCTAGAAATGCGACGAGCAGCCCAACGCAGACGGCAGCTGCCAAACATGTCTTCGTCTTCGTCTACTGGTTTTGGCGCAAAGCGTCCAGAATGGTTGCATGTATGTTGTTTATTTTTATCATTCCCTCATCATTTGACTTATTCCATCCCTCAAGGCAAGAGGACATCGACCATCGAGCAAAAATTAAAGAATTTCTGGCCGCACAAGGAATAATCAAGGGTACGAGGTCTCACTGCAATGACTGGGAGACTTCTATTCTATCACTTTTGGTGGACTATGCTTCCCCAAGCACGAGTCCGCAGAGCCTGACATTGTCGATCTCTGATGACGAGCGACACCTGGGTATAGCCCGTAATGATTATCTTTGGGAGGACACTGATGCTCATAAGTCCTATTGTGGAATACCCTTGTTTGCTTTCTCATATCGTCGTAGGACTTCCGGTGATGCAGGACATCGATTCACCATTGGATGTTTGGGACCATGATGCCAGGGTTATTGATCAGGAATGTACTTGTAAGTCTAGTTGTGAAAAGCAAATTCAAAGGGTAATGATAAATCGAGACGAGAATAAGAAATACATTGGGAGTGAGACTTTGGCCTACACACAGACTTCTGAAACGTTGGGAGTGAGACTTTGGTTGACACACAGACTTCTGAAACGTTGGGAGGAATACTCTTGATTCGACAATGCATGGACAGTTACAGCGCTTCTTAAGTATAGCGAGAGGCTTGAGTGGCTCGACACTGTATTCTAGGTAGGAGAAATGATAAGAGAAATGCGAACTCAAAGTACAAAGGATAACGTAGAGGGATGTATCCGAGTGTGTCAGATGTGAAGAGTAGAGCTCTTCGCATCGATCAATGACAGACTATGTAGGAATGCTCGTGCTTCGGAAAATTATACTATTTGCGTATCTTGCCACTACTTACTATATGGCTAGCTTGGAGACGTAGAGGATACCATGATTACACACCTACAGATGGAAGGGGTCATCTAATTTATGCAAAGCGCTGGGACAATCAATCATCATTCACAGGTGATCACTTCTTTCCGGATGCTGCTCAATGAGGCCACTCGGGAAGCCATTCGGACGCTTCTCGTCAGCATTGAGTACGGCAGAAAAGAATTGGCCTCATGCAATTGGTGAGGGTATAAACAGTGAGAGATGGAATTATCTGTTCATTGAAAGTGACTCGACTGCCAGCATGCTCTGACTGACCGGTACTGATTGATGATCACTTGACAAGTTGCAATTTGTAATACTTTGAGGGCACCTACTAAGATGCAAGGGTAAAGGAGCGGGCGCAGTACTATTTGAATCTTGCAAACCGTTCTTTAAGTGACAGGAAATAATAATAATAAAAAAGGAAAGAGCTGGTGGAGTCTGCAACTGGCGCGTTAGTGCGCTATGATTCTGCCTCAAAATCACAATTTTAGCTGACCTGTGCTTGCATCCTGCCATACAAAATGTCACCTGCAAAGCTCAAATGACTAGACCGATCGGGAGTCCTCATTCAAACCCGATAACAAGTCATGGTTAGTCTCGACAAATCCGTCGCACGAGATGGATGGTGAGGATACTAAGAAGCTGGCAACTTTGCATTTCTCTGAGTGGGCGTCAGTTTTTAGGAAATTTCTTCCCACATGTGAATCGATGAGAGGGACCAAATGCTAAGTAACCAGAGATCTCGTACAGGCGAACTGGCAAAAGGCCATGCAAATTTCGCTCATGGAAGACTTTTAAACAGCAGTGCCAGAATTTACCTGCAGTTCCTACAGGAGGAACTTTTATGGCTCGCGACCAACAAAGGCATGTGCTGCAGTTCAAGCCACATCGTAATGTCAGATTAATTGAGCCTAAGGCAGATCATGCGTATGTACTACATCAGGATCATCGCTTTCTGACTAACTGTTTGCAGCAATCGCAGATTTTTTGCTTGCACACTCTCATAACCTCGACTCTGCCACTTTCAAAAAACTCCTCACTGCCTCCCTCAACTCCGCCAAGTCTAACAACCCTGTCGTGCGCACAAATGCCACAAAGAGAAGTCGGCTGCCGTCAAAAGCACACTAGGAGACCTCATTTTTTAGCACATTACTTTGTCGTTTGTGAGCTTCCTTGTCCATTATCCTATCGACTGCTGCTGAATATTCTAAAAATGTATCAGGTCCTCCATCCCACATGCAATGGATTGAGTTGTGCCAGAAGGTTGGCGTGGACCCGCACGATTTAATTTTTCGCTGTGTTGACTGGGCGATGTTGAGCATTTTGGCGGCATCCACCGTCGATTCGAAGGTGTTTTTTGTATTTCCAAGACTTATACACGTGCTGACACATATAACTTGTAGATTTGAAGTGTGGCTTTTCAGACACGAGCTATCAGGCAATTAGCACATTGGCGTTTGTATGTCCCGAAAATGTATTGCCGAAGATCATGGAGAAGTTACGCGCCGACATCGGCACTGTCCGAGGCTGAGTTCGGTATCTGGGAAACGCCAGAAGGCATGATGTATGTAGATGGTGAGTAAATGGATCATAGGAACCACGCCACGTTCATTGTGTTCTTGCTGTGTGGCTCTCTCTTATCAGAAGGCCGAGGAAGGTTCCAAAAGGGGGAAAGATGCTGATATTGCCCGCTGGGAGGCCGAGCTTCATAAATCGCTTGCGAACAAGAAGGGGAACAGCTACCTTGTCGAAGCAAGTTCAAGCACTCGCACTGGCACAACCAGACATCCGTACCTCTCTGGTGGATGATGACACTAGTGTACGTTCGGCGGCTGCGAAGGCATTTGAGTACTTCAAGAGCATCCCGGCGCGAAAGCGATTGATCAGATGATCCCCACTTTGTTAGAGGCTTTACGCCAGCCATGTGCAAGCTCAGATACCCCACTTCAAGCCTTGAGGGAGGTCATGTCGGTATGCATCGTCTTTTTTGTTTGTGAACAAGGATGTGCTTACCCAATTCAAGGTCCGGGCGTCTACTGTGTTTTCTGTTCTCATCCCAACCTTGATTGCCATACCTATGATGGTTTTCAATGCCAGAGCTTTGGCCTCTCTTGTCACCATTGCTGGTCATGCCTTGAGCAAGCATCTCATTATCACCCTTGGAGCATTAATAAAAGGGTTTGGAAGAAGACTAAGATGATGAACTATGGAGTGCCATTGATGAGGCTGTGCATGGACTTTCAGCCTCGATAGAAGACCCAGAAGTTTGAACACCTTGATGTTACTCCTTGGATGGTCAGCTGCTTCTGCTCTGTGAGCTTGCATGTTTATTGATTGTATTCTGCTTCAGAGCTGAGAGTGATATGCCGAAATGGTGGATTCGCTCCCGCAATCTCTTTGCAGTGTTCTGCGAGGAATCTGACCTAGAGTCGTTGTTACATCGTGTTGACTGGGTCCGACAGCTTGTTTCTCTCTTCGATAGTCAAGAGGTTTCAGTCCGCACTGCGGCTTGGCAGGCATTTGATATATTTGTCAAGTCAGTACCAAAGGATGAGTAGTGCACCTAGCTGATATGCTTCTGGTTTCAGTCTAAAAGGGAGTTGCATCCGCCCTCCTTATCATTATTTCTGGTCTCACAAATGGCAGCATACGCTATCGGAAACTTGGTAGAACAGACGGAGGAGTCTGCTACCAAACCTTTCATGGTGCCATTCACTAGGCCCCTCATTTGTGTTGCAACACAAGCCACCACACATCTTCCTGGTGTGAAGACCGCCATCTTCAGTGCACTAGCATCCATGCTCGAGAGAATTCCCGGTCATATTAAACTGTTCTTCCCTCAGCTTTGGCGCATGTTTGTGAAGACAGTCAGTGACGCCTCCTCTACCGTCGTACAAACTCGTGCAGCAGACGCTTTGGGTATCCTCATGCACAGCCAGCCAAGAGTTGATCCTGTTGTCATGGAGCTTATTGCTGGTGTGAGAGCCAGCGAGGAGACTGCTGCTAGCTTCGTCCTTGCATTGCGAACATTGTGAAGAGTTCTTCTGCGCATGGTGGTATTGGAGATAAGGCTAGGGACTTCTCAATGACGCGTTCCGGGAAACTCACAAGGGTAAGTTTTATGGGGACTGGTCTCGTGCTTGTGCCAACAAATCTCTTATATTACTATGTCCAGGCAACAGCAACATCAATAGCCTCATTGGCAGCAAATCTGCAATCACTGAAGCCAATTGTAAAGTAAGTGAAAAGAACACTTCCATTTACTTTCACTGTTGACCATCATCATCAGTGCATACTTGATCTCTGGAATATCTCCATCAGTCCAAGCATCGCCTGCCATCCTTGCTGTCCTATCTCCCGATTTGAACGATTACCCAAAGCCAGTGGCCACACTGTTCACCAAAATTGGGAATCTTACGCAGTGTGGCTCTGAAAGTCGAAGGAAGTGGTGCCAACGAACGCTCCACTATATCGAGACCTGCGAGAGAAGCCAGAGACATATTGAAAAACATAGCAGTGGACGAGAAGAGCCTCGCTGAGATATTCTGATGTATTTTGGATGTGCGCTATCTTGATGATCTCACGAACATTTTCTGCGATCCTCGGGACAAAGAGGATTTGATAAATAAAATGTTACAACGTGGGTGCTGTATGGGTGCCACATTGCAAGCCCTCCTACAGCGCGCTTCTCGCGTTCCTGAGACCTAACAGCCCGGGCTCCTGAAAAAGTGCCTCAAAGCAGTTTGCCTGGTGTGCAATAGATGGGCCTCCATTAGAGACATGAAGGTTTCAGGTGTTGGGACAACCCTCAGTGCATAGTGAGTGCTTCTTCGAAGCTCGCTGATCGGGCGTTTTCAAGCTTAAAGCATACTTCCAGGAAGAGAAGACAACTTCCACAGCCCTTTTATAGAAGCCACTGACACCACGCTCACTGAGATCAAGGTTGACGAAATGAATGCTTCTGTCCCTGCCGTGGACATGATCCGTACACGTTGCCCAGAAAAATGACCGACAGACGCCAGGGTGGTCCGTATCTTCAAGTACAATAGTGTGTCAAACCTCGAGTCCCTGCTGCATAAGGTGATAAGCCAGGGCCAGCTAGCCCAACATGCTCGTCCATGGAAGAAAACAGTTCAACAAGTCGACGATTCAGATCGTACTTCCCCCCCTTCCCTTCCCTCACTGCCTGCGCGCTAATGTACAGCACGTTAATGTCGACCATGCCATACCGTGTTGCTGTACATTTTTGTCATCTTGAAATACTGAGACCCGAGACCCGAGATTTGGCACTCGGTAGTCAGTGAAATGAGTACAGAAATACATAAGATAATACACATTGTTCTCAGAAATCACAAGTTTCAAATTTCGATTTGTGAATCGAGTCTCAAGTCTCGAGACTCGAGTCACCAAGTACCGAGTACCGACACCCAACACCCAACACCCGGAATTTGGCACTCAGCATGTAAGAGAGTTGAGTTTGACATGAGCTAAGATTTTGTTTCAAAACATAAAAGCGCTCATAAAAATAAAAATAAGCAATAAGGGAGAAGAATAACATCTGAAGTGAACAAACATGATGATTATAATTGATTGTGGCAATGAGGGGAGTTGAACGGCAGAGCAGCTTCCTGGCTAAATCCTGCACAGCATCGCAACAGGGACCAAGTTACCACAACACTATCCAGCTAATAATGCACAATCGATTTTCACTTCTGCTGCCACCCATTTTTGTCGTCTTGAAATACCGAGACCCGAGACCCGAGATTCGGCACTCAGTAGTCGGTGAAATGAGTACAGAAATACATAAGTAAGATAATACACATAGTTCTCAGAAATCACAAGTTTCAAATGTTGATTTGTAAATCACAAGTCTCAAGTCTCAAGACTCGAATCACTGAGTACCAAGTACCGACACCCAACACCCAACACCCAACACCCAACACCCAGAATTCGGCACTCGGCACGCGAGACAAAAGATTGGAAACAAAATTCAAATTCGAAACTCGAAAGTACTGACTACCGAATACCGAGTACTGAGTACCGAGACCCGAGATTCGAGTGCTTTCGAGGTTCAAGTTTCAAGTTTCAAATCTGTCATCTCAAGTGCTGAGTGCCGAATTCCGGGTCTTGGGTCTTGGGTATCAGAACTCAGTGACTCAATCAATGGACTGGCAGAGGTTACATTCATTGAAAACTTGTATATACATCTATCACTATGCAATTATGTAGCCATGTCAACCTCCACAGAAGACTCTTCAACCTTCACCTCCACCTCAACATCCATGTTGCTGGAAGAGTCATATTCTGGGACAAGGTTGCTTGGATCACCTGGGTCCACAATTTTGCCGGACACATCTGGATCCTCTGGATGCACAACTTGATTGTAGTCGAACAGGAGACCCTCAATGGCAGAGGCATCTGGGAATGTTGGGGCTGCGGGTGTGGGAGCCATTGTTTTCATACTGAGATCAATCAGAGGAGGGAGTGCGGATTCTGGGGGTGACATGGTGCAGGGGCCGGATTGATCAAGCAACAAGGATGTTGCAGGGGCAGGAGTGTCGGGAAGTGGGAATGAGGGGTGCCGGTTGATGATTTCGCGCCTAAGGCCTTCATGAAGGCGTTGCAGGGTGTCAATCTTACCATCCTGCTCTGCCACATGAGCCTCGAGAAGAGTGATTCGAGCTGCGCCATCTCGAATCGCAATGGACATGGCATGGAGATCTGGCATGGGCACCCCAAGTGCTGCAGCAGGGACTGCCGACCTGGAAGATGGAGGGGCTACAAGGGAAAATGAAGGTCAGACAGTGAAGAATGAAAAACTCGGGTGACTTACGAGCTGGTGCAGGTGCAGGTGCAGGTGCCTTGACAGCAGTGATGGTCTTGCGGCGACCACGCATCTGGGTCTTGGGAGTGGTCACAGCAGTGACACCAGAAGTTCCGGCCGGGCCACGAGACTGACTGCGAGTTTGGGCCCTGGACTGGGAGGCAGGGGAAGCTTTGGAGGGGGCGGGAGTTTGGGATGCGGGGGGAGCCTTGGAGGGAGTCTTGGAGGAAGCCCTGGATGGTGTTCTGGACCTCATCTTCCGGGTAGTAGAGGAAGAACGATCGCGAGGAGGCAGGGATCCCATAGTCGCGGGGGTGCACTTGATCTTCTTTGTTGTGCAGTAGACGCACGACATACATGGAGCCCCAGCCCTCTTGTCCGGCCGAGTTGCACAAGGCCAGTTGTGCTTGTGGCAAGCATAGCATGGGTTGTTCTGTTGGTTGTATTAGTGTATGGACACTTGAGATATTTCAAAGTACTCACCGGTCCAGGAATGAGAATGTCAACTGCAGGGATGACTGGGGGTGCCTGCACTGGAGGTTCGGGAGTTGGCTGGGAGGGCTCCACAACTGCTGTGTGACTGCCGGCAATCACCTGGTATAATATAAGCACACACCCAAGTCCCGGACGCATAAATGACACTTACTGTGGCAGGGCCAAAGGGCTTCTTCTTGGGTACCCGGGGTGAGCGAGGCGAATCAGGTGTCCTTGCAACAATTGTGGAGAGCTGGGGAAGGACGACCTCCGGCACTCCACCCAAAAGTGGCTACACAAAAATGAGAGACAATGAAAAAATGAACAAGACGACATACCTGCATAACCGAGTCTTCATCATCTTCCGACTCCACGATGGGCTTGGACTTCACAACGCGAGCAGACCTCTGATGCTTGTGACTCTTCATCACGGATTTTGGGGGTTGGGAGGAGAGTCCAGAAATCAAGGGGGACTTCCTCTTCTTACTCCCTTCTGCCTTGGGGTCTGGGTCAGTGAAGACGGCCTTACCTTTCCCCTTGTCCCAGGACTCGGTGGTGGGGTTGGTGGAAGGGCCGGCGACATTGCCGGCAGGGATGGCTGGGGAGGGAAGGTTGACAGGAATTGGACCTGTGGATGGGGGGGCAGCAGTTGGGAGATTGAAGGTCTGGTCGCCCAAGGCGTTCCAGGCGAGGACCTTGGGGTACCAGGTGTGCCTCAGAATGCGAGGATCGTCATACCTGATGGAGTGCCAGTCTGGCCAGACCTTGGGAACCATGTTCCGGATGCGCTGGAGCTCTTTGGAGCATGAGATGATGAGGCCGGGAATAGGACCATCCCCGGACCCATACTCCTTGGCTACATCAGACTACCAAGATGTTAGAGAAGAAAAAGCACCCACAAACAATACATACCACAATGTAGCAACCTGTTTTCCAAAAGCCGAGTGGCTGGGACCCGGGGGAATCTGCCGGGCGGCACTGATGATGGCCATGATCTGGGCAGCGGATGCCTTGAGATGGGTCAAAGAGTTGTCAACTGGAGTGGACATGATGAGTGGGTTGAGAGATTTAAAGATCTTGAAATCAGATTGAAATCAGTTATCAGAAAGATGAAGTTTCAAACAAACAAGACATTGATGGGCAATCCACAAATTGTTTATTGTTTGTGTTTGTTTGGTCGTGGTTCAACTTTCAGCAATTGCCGGCTTTGTGTTGAACTTTGAAGTTTTTTAGATCATCAGTCAATCAGTCCACCAATTCTCCACACATGAGTTCCCATCCAGCCGTTAGATTTAATGACCCACCGGTGACCGACTATAATTCTATGGATGTGGATGACTCATCTATGGGCCGGGTATCACTAGGTATGTTGTATTCTTATCATGCCTTATCTATTCACCGGGTATCCCTTAGATGACTTAGATGACTTATACCTTGGGCCAGATGATGACATAGAATATGATTCTATGTCATCCGGACCCCCAGATGCGTCGGCTGCAATACCCGGTATGACTATACATTCCTGATGACCTGGGTTCACCATGCATGCTAACTGCACCCTTGAAGATCAATCACATCCGGGTCAAGCTGATGATGCCAGCTGTCTCATTGATCCAGACTTGTACCTCGGGCCTGAGGATGATGTCATTGATGTTGATGAGTTGCTGGACTCTGCTGATCCTCCCACTTTTGCTCCGGCTACCTCAGAGGTGTCTATTTCATGTGGGTCCATTCATTCTGGACCATTATGGAGACTGATCTTATCTCCCAAGCCAACAAATCATCTACCGAACTCCCTGCAGACCAGCCAGAGCTCAATATCGAGGATGTATGGTTGATGGTCCAGGAGCTCCATCCTATTGGAAAATACCAACACCCAGAATGTGAGTATCTGAAAGCAGAGCAGTTATCTTTGAGCTAATCTTTCTGGAAGACCAATCCGTCCAAGATCGACTCCATGATTACAAACGCCGTACTGGAGGTCTTCCTGACCCTTCCATCCAACAACTAATCAAGGCCGAGCGTCCATTCCGAACTGCTTGGGCAGAAACATCCGACAAACTGAAAAAAGCTGATACAGACCTGCAGAGGTTGCAAAGAGTTGAACAGATGAGCATTGAAATGCTCAAGGTAGTAGATTCCATGATTGAACACTTTGAAGAACAACTGACCATGTAAATTACTGCATTACAACCTGTGAATTTTCATTGACATCCCCACATCATGTACACTAACGAATTTTCCAATACATGTCCCCAGGTGTCGAACGGGACTCGATACACAATGGTCGGGATTCAATAATTGGGACTCAACACTCGGGACTCGATAGTCGGGACTTGATGTTCAGGACTCGATGGTCGATACTCGGGACTTGATGTTTGATATTTGGGAGTCAATAATCGGGACTTAACACTCAGCACTCAATATTTGGGACTCGATGTTTGATGCTCGGGACTCGATGCTCAATAGTCGGGACTCGAGGTTTGATAGTCGGGATTCAATGTTTGTGACTCAATAGTCGGGACTGAATAGTTGGGACTCAATAATCAATATTCACTAGTGGGGACTCTGCATATCATATTAGGTCAGATATATGAAAGTTACACATTGACATGTAAATACAAGCAGGTAAAGGCAGGCAGTGTAGTATCTTCCCATTACTTCTTTCCCCTTGCTCTCATCACTCGAGGGCTTGTGTCCAATGGCTGCTGTGTTGACTTACTCCAGGTTGTCCTCGCCGATGGCTCAATCACCGCTTTCTTTCCCCGCATGTTCTTCGGCGCCGGCGACCTATTGACTCATTCGGTTGCACCATCCTCCTGAACATTGCGAGTGACTCTCTCAGTCAGCCCAGTCAGGAGGTCGCCCATTCGCAATGTCAGCAGTGCACCAGTCTTCCCTCCATTGACCGGGCGAGGCTTTGGAATTGCATGTGGGACCACTGTCCCTTCATGTGCTGTTGAAGGACCAGGCTCTGTTCTGGGTCTCTTTTGCAGGGATCTACCTTCCTCTGTGTCATCATCAGCATCATCCTCCATGTGATGAGTGTCACCCTTGGGATTGCTCTCTGGATCACTCTCATGATTGGCCTCGGGATCACTGTCAGTTTTGGTCGCCGAATTCCGAGGCCTTCGGATCATAACTTGTCTGACATTACGAGTCTGATGAGAAGGTGAATTCCCGGATACAACCGAGGCTACCATGTCCCCATCTCTGTTCCTCCATGCTTTGAACAGGAATGTTGGACCTTCACCTTTCTCCTGCCGAGCATACCAGAAATTCAGTAAGGCGGTCGTGTCCCAATGTTGCAACTTCGAAGGCTCCTTCAAGTCCACATCCCCTGGAAGATACATTCTTGCCACAAAGTTATCCTGACTTTGTATGATGGTGCTCCATGGCACAACTGCCTTGACAATCCCAGAACAGATACCTGTATAAATGCATTCAATAAATGTTCGCATGTTGCGACGACGGACTCACGATAGTGCGATGTGAGAAATGCTCTGACGATGGCTTTCTTCTCCTCGAGTTTCGTTTTGGTGATGTCAGGAAGCACCGGCATCCCATCCCTGTCGATTTCGAGTTCAAAAGCAGGCTTCCTGATTCTCTTTCGACCTCCATTCACCTGTTGCCCACCATCTCGTGCCCCAGCACCTATCATGACAAAGATCAACCAATTCATTCCAGTAGCCAGAGATCAAACACTCACTGAATTGTTCCTGCACGTACTCCTGCCAAACTGGCTCGATGTCCTCCCAGTCCTTCATCTTCATGAAACTTTCCCCATCTCCTAATGCCTCATTATCATTGTGCCTGTGTTGCATTGCAATTCAAATGATAGCTAAGTATAACAAATCCAGAGTCAGAATGACTACCTCAGGCAATGGCTGCCAAGGCAGGAATCATATCTGCATCACCTCCTGGATCGAGAAGCTCCACCAGAAGATAGGAGATGTGTCATCTGCGACCAGGATGGGGTCTACAAATGTCAAGATTGTCTTGGGGAGCCACTCTATTGCACTGGCTGTTGCAGAAGTCAACATCTTTGCAATCCCTTCCATTGGATCAGTCAATGGAATGGTCAATTCTTTGAGCAAAGTTGTCTCGCTCACGTCGGACTCATCATACACCTTGGTCATGAGGGCAAACAATGTCCGGTACTTACAGATAGGTGGGATTTGTTCGAAGAAGATGAACCGGAAGACCAGCTTGAGCCTGAAGATCTACCATCTGTGTTGGGACCCAAGTTCCAGCCGAAGGAAAACACCATGGTCATCATTGACAAGTCCGGAGTTTATCGCCTCCGGGTTCGATGCTGCAATTGTCCAAATGCCATGAGTCCAGACCTTCAAATGTTTCGAGATGGATTTTTCCCCACTTCATTTAACAAGCCGAAGACTTTGTTCACCTTCAGGGTTCTCGATGATTTTCTATTGGACAACCTTGAATGTGGGACCTCGGTGATGAACTATTACAGCAAGCTCCGGCGAATGACCTCAAGGATGTTTCCACACCTTGTACCGGTAATGCCATATCTCTCTCATCTAAAGGACATTATATTGACAAGGCATGGGGCAAGGACCAATACCAAGAGCTCATGAGAGTCCCCCGACAGTGGAGGCAGTTGAAGACGATGAAATGGCATGGCTTCAGCCATTGTTCCGACAGCCCGAATGCAGGAGATCTCGCATTATTTTTCCCGGCATGTCCTCAGCCTGGGATTAATGTGTCCTTCTCAGGGGATAAATCACTTGATGAGTGAGTCTTCCTCGATACCAAAGTCACCTCAGAAGCTGAACACCTGCATCCCATGAAGCCATTTGATGAAGTTTGGCTGTCAGATGGGTTGGGATTCATGGTGGGAAAGGACAGGTATAAAACGCATCTTGCAGAGGCTGCCGACACTTTAGAAAAATCAAGCTGCAACAATCACTGGGCAGTAAATCAAGCAAATGCAGCTCGGCACAAGCTGGAATCCACGGGCATTGGGGGAGTAGCCTGTGCTTGACACGGTTGCTTTGTTCCTCACTCAATGGTAGATTTTCAGAAAGGCGAAAGGCAAGCTGACCCAGCCATTTGATATTCACGAGTTAACCATGCATCATTCACAGACAAATGAACATGGACTATGCCCTTTGTGAGGCTGCCCGGCACAACATGAAAGGCATCACCAGGGCGGTCACCTTCTATGATATCAACTGTCAATACAACAAGCACTTTCGGGTTTGGGTGGATCGAAGCCGATTTAATGGTTCCAGAATTGACCATCATTCCTGGAATCAGGTTGTGGCACATCCACGGACATCAGGGCAGCTGCTATGTCTGATATGCGTCGAATTTTATCAAAGGCATCGGTCGGATTGATGGAGAGATCATGGAGACCCTATGGCCATGTCTCAACCTAATTTCCCCTGCTGCTCGGGGAATGTCATCCCCGCATCGAAAGGAATGTCTCGATTATCAGATGAATGATTCCAATTTCTGCAAGATGATCTGCATGAAAAGGACCCTTTGCCGAAAATACAAGCAGGCGAAGAATGGCATTGCCGAAAGTGAAAAGGCTTTCGACATACTCAATGAAGCAGCACCCAGTGATTCAAAGACAGAGTGGCTTGCCAGCGAGAGGATCACTCAGTCCAGCAGAATAAATAATCCTGCGGCTATGGATGTATATGAGATTAATATCAAGAAGGGTTAGTTGACTTTGTCTCCATCAAAGTCTGAATTAATTTTGCACTCAGCACCAAGCAAAAAGGAGATCGAGCTTAGACTACTAGAGGAGGGTAATGCCCGAAATGCAGCACCTGCTCGCAGATCTGTGGCGACATGGATATCAATGGGTTGGCGATTGAAGAGGCTCAAATCGCATTGCTCATCGAGGTCCGAAGAATTGGTAGAAGAACTACTGAGACACAGAAGTTAGACATCGCCCGGCAACGCGATCGTCTCCAAGGACAGATAGATGGATTCACTCAGTCTGCTATTATGCATCTCAGAGAGGGATTTGATGCAGATGATGATACTGAAGACTTGAACTTGGACATTCTTGATGATCTCGATGATGACTTGGCGGACTTCACCGAGACATCTGACACATGGGCAAACTCTCCTGAGCTCACTGTAATCCCATTGCCATCAAACCTCAGGGTAGATTGATGCAGACGCTGTATGGCAGACAATCTCATTCCACTGGAGATGTCTCTTCGTGAAGGGCAGGCCAATGACTCCCTTCACAACCTCCGAATTCACTTGTGCAACAAGGCGATTCTGTTTCAAACAACAGTTAGGCAAGCCAAATCCCAGGCCCTGAAAACTCGAGCTTGGTCCCAGGTGACGTCGGTGCAGCAGGCAGTGTCCCTCCATGCCAGTATGTATACAAAGACGAGGAAGCAAATGATGCAACTGGAGCCAGGGCAAGACCAGGCTCAGAAATACAAACCCCTGCTTCGAGAGCAACTCAAAATCAGCACTGCCGTCGGCGATCCAAATGCCCGAGGTCAGCGAAACGAGTCCCTCGCTTGGTTCTGGTCAGTCGAAGTCGACCTTGGGGGTCCCGATCACTCGTGGAATGAGGAATGTGAGTTTGGGCATGCTTGATGTGTCCCGCGCTCAGCTGACGGAGTCATCTGAAGTTTACCAAGTTCATTGGCTCCAGGCAAAGGCACTACGGGATCGATGGAAGGAAGAAATGATGTTGGTCCAATTGGAGATGGATTGGACATGTAACTTTTTCTTGTGGAAAGCAACCCAATGGGGTGACAGGATGCGCGAATCATTGGTGAAACACCTTCCGGGTCATGCATGCTACTCGGGAAGGCAATCCCAAATGTATTCATTGCTGGCACTGGATGCCCAGGCAGCATTTCAAGACCTGAAGACTGGGTTTATAGATGCTCGAGATGAATGAATTTTTTTGCCAACGATATGAAACAGCTACTTTGACCCAAACATTTTAGTCCCAGGAATTGGCCGGGTCAACCCATGTCGGAGTTTGAAAAATTTTATCAATCAACCAGTGGCTCATATCTTCACCTCCAAACCAACTGCCATTGTCATTGTCATTTCCAGCTTCATAATCCTGCATTAACCATGTCTGTATTGCATACTCCCCCAACATCCCCTTCTAATTCTCAGACTTCCGGCAATGGGTTCCGACCCCTCACACTCACTCAGGCAGATATTGCAGCTACAATGTCAATGGCTGCATCTCGCATCCGAGCGTCCATCTCTCAATATCAGATGGAGGCTGCCCACACCCAGGAGCCTTCTGCTACTCGGATCATGCACTTTAAAGCCAGGCTGCAATGGGAGATAGCTGTAAGAGACTGATGACTGTGGTGGTCAATGCTGACATTTCCAACAGACTTTTGTGACTCCCATCCTGCAGTACTCAGCTGCAAGGAACATCATTTCGGTTGTTCCGAGCCTAGTTGCTCATATTCTTCAGTTGATTCCTGAGCTCACCTGGAACATGGTTCCAGACCACATCTTTTCATCCCACCTATGCCAGTTTCAAGACGTTGCAGATCTGGGGGATCCCTCCCGCATTGTATCCACCTATGGTACTCAATGGTGGACCGGACCAACTGCCATCCCAAACGAATTATGGCCATGGGATCAGGTATTCGCTAATTGTGTCTGTCACTACCAGCATTGGCTAGTAAGACTTGTACAGAATTTCCTTGAGTGATGACTAATCCTTTCTAGTCTGGCGTTGAGGACGAACGTCTTGTTGTTCCCGAGCAGGTGGATGAAAGCTCGGTTGCAACGCTGAAGGCACTGAGGTGGATGAGGGAACACCTCCTGACAGTGATTGAGGATCAACAAGCTGGCCTCCATGAAAAGATGGCAGAGATTCAGATGTACACCGCTGTCCTAACCAAATTGAACCCAAGGGGACCAGAGTAGTTCTAGTCCTTCAGTTCAGAATGTTGAAGTCTAAATTCTGTACATGATGAAATAAGTACTGAAAATTACATGCTGACTTTCGAATATCTGACCTATTGCTATATGCTGAGTCCTGCATACCAAATATCGAGTATCGAGATCCAGATATCTTGAGTCCCAAATATTGAGTCCCAAACATAGAGTCCCGAATATCCAGTCCTGAAGCCCAAGATTTGAGACGAGACTTGAAACTCGAACATTGCTATGAGTTGCGAGTTTTGAGTCCCCACTATCAACCATCGAGTCCTGACTACCGAGTCTTGAACCCCGAGTCCCGACAATCGAGTCCCACAGCCCGACTATCAAGTCTTGAAACCCACATCCGCACTATCGAGTCCCGACTACCAAGTCTTGAAACCCAAGTCCTGACAATCAACTCCCGAAGCCCGAGATTTGAGTGCCGACCATCGAGTATCGAGTCCCCAATATCGAGACCCGAAACCCGAAGCCCGAGATTCGACACTCAAAACAAATCAAAACTCAAAACAAAACATGACACTTTCTTGAATCACCGAGTACCGAAACCCGAGTACCGGGTACCGAGTCTTGAAACCCGAATCCGCACTATCAAGTCCTGACTACCGAGTCTTGAAACCCGAGTCCCAACAATCGACTCCCGAAGCCCGAGATTTGAGTGCTGACCATCGAGTATTGAGTCCCTATTATCGAGACCCGAAACCCAAAGCCCGAGCTTCGACACTCAAAACAAATCAAAACTCAAAACTCAAAACATGACACTCATCAATTTTGGGAGTTGTTTTCTTGAATCACCAAGTACTGGGTACCGTATACTGAAACCCGCTACTTGGTAGTCGGTGAAATGTGTACAAAATCACTATGGAGTATACTCGAATATCGAGTTCCGGCTATCAAGACCCGAAACCTGAATGTCGAGTATGGAGTGCCTAATATCTAGTATCATGTGTTTGAAGGTGGGTACTAACACAGGTAACTACCTTTTCTACTTCTTCCAATCCAACCTTGCCCATCCACACGACGGAATCCTGGCATAAATATGAACAGCATCCCTCATATACCATGCCCAGGCAATCCGATCCCCTTCCACTGCATGAACCGCGTGTCTGACAATCCTTCCAGAAAACGCAATCATGCACCCCAGATTGTACCTGAACTCCAGCTGCAGGCTTGGCATACTCATCCAAGCATTAGAATAATTCCCCACGCTAGTGAGAATATCGAAGCATTCGGAAATTGATGAGGGGTCTCGATGATTTGGGGTTTCCCGATTGCATATGACAGTGAGGCTGTTAAAACCATTGCCCAGTACTGGAGAGTCTCTGACATCTTCGGCAGTTCCTTGCTTTGTGCCTTTTCTCCGAGGTTCGCAAAGGCTTGCAACCCTGCCCAGTACTGCTCAGGATGCATCACCCTGAGTGCCGCTGTGGCAATGGCTGCTGGCCTCGCAATGGCTTTGAGGATGTTCTTGGAGGATGGTCCCTTCAATGATGCAGATACCTCTGGATCGGACTGATTCTATGGGATTGGTGAGTTTAACTACCAAGATCGCCATCTCATCAGATCCTACCTCGTGCCCCTGGTGAAACCATGCCAGAGATAAATTAACGCATCCGGGAGTTAGGACATCATTTTCCGAGCTTGGTGTAAACCACTGTTGATTAGTCCGCCAAATCCCATCAAGCTTTATGCTTTGTTCGAGCATGGGAGCAAGCAAATCCGAGGCTGCCCAAATTTCATTCTGTACATACCATTTGATGTTCAATATCCATCCAGTAACAATATATATATAACACCTGGGTGGCATCGGTCAAGGCATCAGGGAGGTACCATGCGATGATGGCACCGGATGCATCAAGAATTGTCGCGGGTATGTCGATCAACTTTGTGCCCTCATGGCCAGGAGGACACCTCTCGAGCAACTTTTCCTCTCTCTCTTCATTACGCCCCGTGTCCTTTGGGGAGATCAATTTGCTATATCTTGCAATATCAATCGGCATCTGAACTGTGATGAAGCAATTTGACTGATAAAACGAATTTTCCGAATCTGCAGGAAGACTCACTGGGATTTTTATATGCCTTTATGAGCCAATCAACCAATCAATCACAAGCCATCACCAGATCAGTGTCTAGGTTTGGAGAAGGTATAACTGGGTCTCCTCCTGTCTTCTCTGCATTGAATTTCTGTTCCGTATAATCACATGCCACATGAGTGACAGTCAGGGCCCAAGTGTGCAAGAGGGTTATTTCATCATCGGAAGTGGAAGAAACATCCATGATTGAACTGATCTTGTGAGATCAGAAGCTGAATCCTGAATGTCCGCACTTTGGTGTTAAAGGGGGTGGAGATTGAGAGGATCAGATAAGGGAGCCTTGGATGATCTGAGCTTTCAAAGATCTATTATCTCTTATCATCTATTGCTCAATGAAATACCACATGATTGGAAGTCTGTTGGATGTCAGATACTCGTTTGTCAAGACCCGGGCCTCGGATCTCGGTACACTTCACTTGATTTTGATACCTGGGACACCATAGTTGGAACTTGTCTCGAATCTTGGGTCCCAGGTCTCAATGATCGGGACTTGATACTCGATTGTCGTGATTCAATGGTCAGGCGTCGGGTTTCATGACTCGGTAGTTGGGACTCGATGGTCGGGACTCGATGGTCGGGACTCGATGGTCGGGACTTGATGGTCGGGACTTGATGGTCGGGACTCAATGGTCGATTTTCGGGATTCAATAGTTGGGGCTCAGATATTGGTACACTTCACTCGATTTTCAGTGGTCGGAACTTGGCATTTGGCATTTGGTAGGCTTGGATGATGTTGGCTTTCAAAGATCTATTATCATCCATTGCTCAATGAGATACCAGATGATTGGAAGTGTGCTGGACATCACATATTTGTTTGTCGAGACCCGGGTCTCGGAACTCGGTACACTTCGCTCGAGTTTCCACTTCACCCCTTTGCAAAGCTCCGTGTTATACCACATCATTAGATGACTTTGAATAATTACCTCCTTTGATTTGGATGATATACAACTAGCTGAGCTCCATCATGTCTACAATTATCATTCTCCTGGGCCCACCCATCTATCTTATATACCCCCACATCGGCCTACCCATCTATGCAATATATGTCTCCCGTCAGCCCACCCGTATATAATACATCTTTTACTGCTCCCTCGGCCCACCTGTCTAATATGATATATATCTGGGCCCACCTGTCTATGTGATAACAAGCACCCTTGATATACCTGGCTATTTGATACATATCTACCTTGGTACACCCATCTACATAATATCCAACTACCTCGGCCGATCCGTCTATTAAAAATTCATGTCCATCGGCCCACCCATCTACTTTACATATTCCCCACCTGGACCCACCCGTCTCCATCAGGAATAATAACACTCCCGGCCCATCCGTCACAGTCGAGGATATATCTACCTTCGGCCCATGGTCCGCTGGCCCGTATCATATGAGATATTATGCACATCCATCCACTCGTATAATACGGAGATATGTTACTGCAATATGTGCGCTAATGTCGACCATACCGTACCGTGTTGCTGTATTCTGGACGGCGAACACAGAGCGTTACAACAACCTCATCCCCGGTGTCAACAACTTAGGTCGCCACTGCGACAACACGCCTGTAGTAAGCGATCCGAGCTTTTCATCCATCATTTTGAGTTCAATTAGTCACGCGGGCGCTAGTTGTTGCAGATATTTTTCTTGCCCTGACCTTTCTCTCACCTCCTGGCCTCCCCATACATACATTCCCTTCAGTAACACTCAAGAGCTGAAATCACAAAGCGACCTGAATGCTCCTGATATGTTCCAAACCCAGAGTGATGAAACATATCAGATCAATACCGTCCACCTGTCCAACTTGTCGGGGTTCAGTTGGCAAGCAAGAACCATTCAAGGCCATAGCCCTGTGTCAAATTTTGAGCTCCATAATGTCAATTTTTGGGGGTGCATGCGGTGAAGATCTACCCACCAATTGGACAGGGTACTTTCCAGAGTACTAAGTGAATATTTCATGATTGGGAGCAGTGGTTCGACGTTCAACATAGGTCGTCATCCCGTGCTTCCGTGATTAAATCATTCTTCACCCCTTTTTGTTGCGTCTATCGTGATGCATCTCTATTACACTATTTGATCCTTCCGGAGGTATGTCACTCCCTAATACCAATAGCCAGGAAATTCTTGATTGACTCTTGACGCATGCAAGTGACCCTGTTTTAAACTGGTAAACACAATGTACTAAGGATTCTGTATCATTCTAACAATAAATTCCCCTCCCCGTGATAAGTCGCTGTGGCATCCATTGCACATTGGACGTCAGCGCCCCACGCACCCATTATCTCGCAACATTCAGAGTCATCGCATTGGGTCAAGTATCACGTACATCCGATGCAGTGAGAATGCATCTCGTTCATTCCAAGTACAATGCCTACAAATTTATCTGCGTAGCATAAGCTTGCACCTCTTAGATATCTCCACATTAGAGTATTTGTCGAAGGCATTGAAATACGAAGTTACCAGGGACAGTGAAGTCCTTCCAAGCATCCATGAGCATCTCCTTGGTGAGCCCCGAACCACGCTTGGGGTCGTAATACGAGGCAGTCATGATGTGCATGAAGCACCAGAATACCGCAGGAGTTTGGAAGTAAACATGGGAAATTGGAAATTGCTTCCTTGATCTGAAGAGATACCACATTCAAGTTGGCCTGAAACAAATGATATTTGATGTCACGGAGGGAAGTGAATAATGATCTCCACCAAAATCGCTCACCCCAGGTGCTTTCGATTGGCTGAAAGTGTGGTCAGCAAATCCAGCCTCAAGTGAATGGACATGGACAATGTCCCCAAACTTAAGAAGAAGCCAAGCTGTAGAGATCGCACATCAGTGAGAAACGAAGAAGAGAAGTCAAGGCACACTTACGACACTGACCACACTTTTCAGGCGCAACCATGACAACTGAAGCAGATTGCGGGGGGCTTACAGAAACATCTGTATTAGCCCACATCTGAAAGGGCCTCTGTAATTTTCAATGTGAATTTTCAAGTGAGGTTGTACTAACTTGCTTGAAGGGCAAGAAATCAGGGGACCGGCATGGAGGCCAAATCAAATCCAATCGCAATTGCTGGAGTCCCCATCCCTTTGTTTACTATCTCGATTCGAGATCAAATGTGACTTGAAGGAAGGGTATTTTCTTCTCGGAAACAGTACCCACTTCGCCCTTTGTATGACTGCCTCGAGCCTGTCAGCGGACTGTCAAACCTAAAGCCCTCGTAATTTGGTCCCTTCAAGGATAACAATATTTACCTTGTAACTTGACTTGCGAAATATTTGCCCATGATTTCAAGAGGTGGAAATGCAGTATCAAGCACTACCCGAGAACTTTGCGGATTTTCTTCTGAAGTTACTAATTAGAATTACAAGTGTGAAAACCGAAATGCTTTGTTAGTGGCAGTAGGAGAAAGTTGGAAACTGCTAGGTGACAACGTTTACGCTTAACTGAAGCGAAGGTTGTGGAGAACGTGCTGATGGGTCACCTTGTGATTCATCCAAATCACTATGTTCTGATGTAAGAACCTGATAAGCAGAATACAGATAAGTGTCCCGATGCTGGATTGATGGAATGTCTAAATTAAGTACCTCGTTGTCGGCGTTGGAGATGAAAGAATCTCAGTCCCGAGTCGTGAATTGTGAATTGTGAGGCTGCTGCATGACAAGATGCTATGGCATGTGGTATAATCCTGAGGGTTCCTGAGGGTATCTGGTATGGTGATAATGAATGGATCGTAGTGTGCTTAAGGATGACAATAGATTATATAGAACTGGGACTGTCGGACGCGACCGATGATTGGGTAATGAAGAGATTGTCTAAAACTGCTGTCTCAATGGATATCTACGACAACAAAAGGACATAGGACAATTCTACAGACCTCTATTCAGATGGTTTTCTGTTAAGAAATGTAATCATTCCCTTATCCGCCAGCTGTGTATAAGTAAAAATACATGTTCTTGTCAAAATAGCTGAAATTTTGGACTCCTGGCGTCAGGTGGTGTTTGGGATTCACCGAACACCCGGTGTTCGCATGTAATCGCAGCATCTAGATCATACATACCAAATGCTGTCACTCCAGTGGATTTTTGACATGGGAAAGACCTCCATCAATCATTCCAAAGAATCGTAAATCTAAGGTGGTTTTACTTGTTCGGAGCCGCCCAAGGTGATGTGTGCATAATTTACTACAACCTATTATTGTGTTGGAGGGAATGTACCCTAGCTTTCACAGTGGACATCAAGTTGGTGAAGCAGCCCCGTTGGACTAATCCCAGGAAGATCTTGATATGCATTCATTATCGCATCGCACTTCTTAATCGTTCATACCGCACATAGGCGCTGTGTACTCGTCGGGTGGAAAAGTCCCTTTGTGAGATCTGAGGTGCTTACTACAGTCCTACATAATTTAACCCCACAGCACTCGCACCCCGCTAGATCTTTACATGAATAATGAAGGTTCGTCTCCCACAGCCATGATGCAAGTCATCTATTTGATTATCGTCCTTATCACACACATTTTAGTTTACCTACATGCCTTCTTCCCTCCCTCCATAGAGCGGCTATGCCCTTGGCAAGTTCCGGTGTTCCTTCTGACCTTCCTCCCATATACGTGTCTTTTATGTGTTTACTCTCATCACAGGTGACTTGGAAGCGGTGTGTATCAGTATTGAGAACAGGAAAGGTAGAGAATCCCGTGGAATTTCCATTCCATGCACATCCTCAACAATTGATCATCCACTCGCACAGGTACAATCACATTCTCAAGGCACCCTCTTGCATCCTATCCCTAACGCTCCAGAGCCTCCTTCTATGTCCTCCAAGCTGCCAACACAGCCTACACCTCCGAAGACTTTCCCTCATCATCAAGATGTCAATTGGTGTGATAGGCATAACTGACGCTGGTGATTCGGAACAACTCTTGCAACACTTATCGTGCAGGCGTCGTGAATATACGCATGTCCTCCTTCTATATGACTATACTAACATTTCATTTCTTATTTAGTGTATGCCTCTAGACAAAGTGGACTTGGATTGGAGACCATTTAGAGTGCATGATGTGGCATGCCAAACCACTCAGGTCACGTCCCATATGCATTCCGCATGGTTATTCCTCAGTATTTCCCTCGCAAAAGTATTGCAGTGTGCACTGTAGTTGCAAATTCTACCCATAATTAAATGTTAAATGCTCATACTTCAATAGATCTTATTGATCATACTGTCTCTTTAACTTCCAGTAAATCAGCGGCTGGCTTGACAGCTTCAAAAAGGGTTTCTGTAAGTTGCCAATATGTGATATCCGAGGGCACGAAACTGACGTGAGAACTTTGGGTGCGGCGGCATTCATTTGGACTAGGGATTTTGTACAATTCCAGCGCAACAAATATATAATATCCCCAAATAATCTGTTCAGCTTCTTGTCATGCGATCAGAGGTCCCGCTGAATTCGGGGTTTCCCCTCGAAATTGCTGTATGGCTGCTCGTTTGTCCATTATTTAATAACTGTGATGGCCGAGCAAACATGAGTATTGAACCTACCTGGCATTGATAACTCACTCCATGTCTGTTAGCTCAGTCGCCTCTCCACATCAAACCGACAGTCACTCGGCATTTCACCTTGAAGTAGAGTGTCCAATGTCTTCTTTCAGTAAGTTTTCGTTCATCACCTCAAGTGCATCCTCTAACCAGAGGTCTACCTACCCTCACCAACCACATATCTTCATATCGCTTTGCATCTTCTGCTTGCATTCATGAATCACTGTCGGCCATCACACGCTGGCAATCAAACAAACCTGCGTTCTTCATGCCTCTACCTATACGCTGTCATCACAATGCTATAAAACAAAATGGGACTCCAGGCCAAACATGTGCCTTCTGTTGATATCGCATCAACGGGCCCATATATGCTGTCATCACAACACGCCTCTCGCCATATGTATCACATCAACGGCCACCCCCCCCCCTTTTCTTGTCGCTATCACAGCAAGCGGCCACCTCATTCATGGCTAACAACCAGGCGCTGCTGCATCAGCAAACGACTGTGTCATCATACCAGCCAACAAATCAGAAGCGACCTTTCCAGTCAGCGGAAGACCTGGCTGGAAGTAACAAGAAGGTATGCACCATTCGCACACCTGTTACTTCTGGCCCCTTCCCCTGTTGCGCAGTATGCCTGGGCAGGCACCAGCACCGCACCATTGAATGTGCCACATCTCACACCTGGAACGGGCAACATGAAACGTTCGCCAAGCGCATCCAGAAAGGCCTCTGGACAAAAGACGGAAAACAAATCTGCACCCCCAAGCATGATGCACGCCACGTTTGTTCCGGCTGTGGTGCCACCACACACGGGGCCCTGAAATGCCCTAGAGCACAGAAGGAAGAACCCACTAACACCATACCAAGCTGAGAGTTGGGAGCGAGAGTTAAGATGTGCAGGTATACTCGAGTGTTTTGTTAAAGTCCCAGAAGGTTTCCGTTCAGGCTTCAGAATAGATTTTCCCGCTATCACAGTTGTACAATCTCCGCCTAATAGAGATTCAATTAAAGAATACGAAAACGAGTTCAAAGCGATCATTCAAAAAGAAATCTCCAAAGGCAGGTACATTGGGCCATTCTCGGCCAACGAGTTACAAGACCTAATAGGTCCTTTCCAAACCTCCCCGCTATCCATCATTCCAAAACCAGGAAAGCCGGGCAAGTTTTGCCTAATTCAAAACTTTTCGTTCCCACATGCCCCGAGCGTGCGCTTTCCAAACCCCTCAATCAATTCTCACATAGACGCAGATAATTTTCCCACTACATGGGGTAAGTGTGAGACAGTCTACCAACTGATTGCAATGCTCCCACCAGGGTCAGAAGCTGCAACTTGAGACGTGGCAGAGGCGTACTGCACGGTGCCTCTACACCCATCACAATGGCCAGCAGGAGTAGTATGAGCCTCCAAAGACCAGTTCTACGTCGACACATGTACGGCCTTTGGAGCAACACCGTCGGCAGGAGCATATGGACATGTAGCAGATGCAGGGGCAGAAATCTTCCGTCACCAAGGCATAGGACCCCTGGACAAATGGGTTGATGACTACATCTTCTTTCGGGTAAGGCGCGAGTTCCTAAATCAGTTCAATGAGATCAGAAAGAACTGGTGCCAAGTGTTTGCAAAAGATGGCATGAGCCAGACAGGCAGATGCATATGGTATGGGGGAGTATCCCCACTAACAGGCCAATTAGAGGAAAGAAATGAAGACTGCTCTCAGCCGCTGGCAGACCTATCAAAGAACTTGCTGAGATCAGCTCATGATGTACAGTTTAGCTGCTGCATGCAAGACATAGATATGCTTTCCCACGAGACAGGCATCATCTGGGAACCACTGAAAGACCAGCCATTCTTACCTTCAACAATCTACATAGGTTTCATATGGGACATCAAGCAAAGAATAGTCTACTTGAGCTCCCCGAAAGTCGACAAGTACCTCTTAGCGATACACAGATGGAGAAAACGACACTTGCACGTTTTACAAGATGTCCAACAACTGTACGGCAAGTTACTACACGCCTGCACAGCAGCGCCACAAGGCAGAGCTTATCTGACAAGCCTCGAGGAGATGCTGTCGTACTGCGGCGATAGACCCTTCATGCCGTGAAGACCCGGACAACACGTAGCTGGCGATCTAGACTGGTGGTCCAGTCTCCTGCAATCAGGCGGGGTGTCGAAGCCGATCTGTCCTGCACAACCTCCAGCAAACCTCCTCGCTTTCTCAGATGCGAGCTCAGGCATAGGCCTAGGCATCATCATAGGCAAATTCTGGAGAGCTTGGCGCCTCATACCAGGGTGGAAGACATCCAATGGCAAACAAGACATCAGATGGGCCGAGGCTATCGCCTTCGAGCTACTGGTATATTCCCTCGCCACTTTCACTAATGCTAACGGTAACTTCATCATCCACGGAGACAACATGGGAATCATCGAAGGGTGGTGGAAGCGCCGTCACCGCAATAGAGCAGTCAATGACGTCTTCCGAAGGATTCACAAGTTCATTAGCAACCTACCCAGATGTTTCGAGGTCACTACCACCTACATTGCAAGTGCGCTCAATCCAGCAGATGACCCATCCAGAGGCATCCTCGGACCAGTTGAACTTCTTCTCCCTCCCATCGATATTCCCCCAGAACTTAACGAGTTCATCATCGATGCAACCAAGCCCCTCTCCCCTACCGAACTCCGTCATTTGCGGGACAGGAGCTACTCCACTCCTGCATGCAAGCTCATCAATCAGGAGTTCATCAAGCAACAAGCAGCAGAACAAACCAGAGCATCTTGCATCGAGGAAGAAGAGCTCATCAGGGCAGCTCTCCAGGACGAATGACTCCACAAGATCATCGCGCTTTGGTGCCCCACTAACGACTGCCATGACCATTCCAGCTACCACTCCCAAAAGTTACAAACCAGGCCTAACACCCCGCCCATCATCACTCTGCCCCCACTGCCTAGCAAGGGACAGACTGAGGCTATGGTCACCTTCAGGAACCAACCCGAGACTGCTACAACTAGCAGCAGCATCAGACAGCCAGCAGAGAGCAGAGATAACAGATGCCCAACTGGACCACATTTTGGATGTCATGAGATCATCCTGGGAGCAGTCGATGAAAGAGACCTACGGGGCAGGGTTGTTAGTATTCCACGTGTTCTGTGATGCAAACAACATAGAAGAGGATCAGAGATGTCCAGTAGCCCCCACCCTCCTCCTCACCTTCCTATCCAACTGCACCGGTTCATACTCAGGGTCAGCCCTATCCAATTACGCAGCCGGCATAAAAGCATGACATCTCCTCCATGGAAGGATGTGGCTCATCTCGGCTGATGAGCTGAAAGCTATCCTAGATGGGGCGAAAGCACGTGCACCTGAGTCTTCCAAACAGCCAAAATGTCTACCCTTCACGCCAGACGTGTTAGCCTCCATCCAGGAGCATTTGAACCTGAATGAACCATTAGATGCGGCAGTATACGCTTGCCTGATGACAACATTCTACTGCATTGCAAGGCTGGGCGAATTCACTGTAAAAACTGTAAAGAACTTTGACCTGAGTAAGCACATTCCAAGAAGGGGAGTATCCGAAGCAACAGACCGTCACGGACACCCCATTACCAAATTCCATATTCCAAGCACCAAAACCGCCCCCATAGCTGGAGAGGACACCTTTTGGGCAGAACAAGACGGCCCAACCGATCCTAAAGCCGCACTCCTGAATCATCTGCATGTCAACATTGCAAGCGACAATTCACACCTATTCACTTGGAAACATCCTAAAGGCACCAGACTGTTGTCAAAGAAAGAGCTCACCAAATGCGTAGCATCAGTGGCTTCAATAGCCAGTCTCCCCGACCTAAAAGGGCATGGCCTATGAACCGGGGGGACATTAGAATACCTCTTGTGAGGAATACCTTTTGAAGTAGTGAAGAGCATGGGCAGATGGTCCAGTGATGCCTTCGCACTGTACCTTAGAGACCACGCCTTGATCCTAGCGCCCTACATCCAAGCGTCCCCAGCCTTGGAGCCATTCACGCACTATATGTTGCCACCAGTGCGGTAGACAACCCTTGAAGTGATTTTTCGCTCCTAAAATGAGGGTATCAAGCTTCGCTATACGCATCGCTCCACTCTTAACTCCTGGGATCACAGCTCATCTTGACACCTAGGTTCAGACCCTTGTTTCAGGCCGGAAAAGCCCGCGGGGCTTTTGCCCAAACACCCAAAAACCATTTCTCACCACCACGTCAGTCCTGTGCATACCTGACCCCCATATCATAGTCCAACGCCTGTCCTGTAAACCACAAACATTTTCGCTACCTTGAAATCTCACCATTTTCAATTGCCATCAAGCATAGCAGCACATAGATCAACCTTTCATAAAGTTGACAAAAACATCTTACCAGGTGTCTGGGGTGCTTTTGCCTTCTTCGGCTCCTTGCTTGCTGTGCTATTGCCTTCATGTTTCCATTTTTGGATGTGCTTACCATTTGGTCATCAAGGGTCTTTGCCTTGTCTATGAGCTTCGTAGCACACTTTGCGGTCCTCAAAAGAAGTTCAGCTGCATACTGTGATGTTTGGGAGTGGATTATAGGTAGTTTTGTATTTAGGTTTAGACTTTAAGGTTTGAATTTGAGCTGTACCTTTGAAGTTACAAAATCATAGTTTTTTGGATGACAAACCCACCCCATGGGTATGGGTAAGGGTGTGAGTATCACAACCCCATACCCCTACCCATACCCCAGTGATACCCACACCCATAACCCACATGGGTATCCCATACCCCTAGCTGTTCTCATGCTCTAGGATCCACTCGGAACATTGGAATCCATCCATTGTCCATCCTACCTCATTGGTATGTAATTTGCCTTGCCTCAAGTTTTGTAACAAGTGCTACAGTCTTATTACATGTACATCCTATCCCTTCCAAGTCCAACAGGGTACAGTTTACTAGTAAGAGAAGCCTATAGTGACTACTTCAACATTACTTCAACATTACTTCCCTTTGACTGTATTTCCTTCTCCTTAGGTTTTACTTAGAAGTAGTCACCTTTAGCTGCACTCTATAGCCCTTATTAGTTTCCCTATACCTGAACACTTTACCTTGACTTTCCCTTACCCTTGCAATCAATACCTTTGACCTCACTCATTATCTACTACCCTCCTTTGACTCAGTGTCCGCTTTTCTTGACTTCCACCTTTCCCGCACACTAGCGCTCTATCTTGTGAGGTGCTTTCCCATGCATTAGAGCTCTTTCAGGTCTTTCTATCTTGAGTTGTCCTCAGCAGCTATTCTCTCGGGTCGCACATTCTTGCTTCATTGTTTGCAAGTATAGCAGCATAGGCAGAGCTTAGACATATATTGGCTAGGTGCTTTAACAAGTGTCTAGCCAAGTTGTGTTTTTCACACTGGACAGGGTCCAAACTAGAAACTATTGGAGGTAGACTGTCCTAAGACAGAGGCAGAGATATAGACTATAGGAGTCAATCCTAAGTCTTGAAGTAGACATGAGTCAAAGTAACTGAGTTATACAGAGATTTATATACTGGAAGGGATCCAAGAGGATCAGGAAGCAGGAGACTTGTCATATACCATATATCCGGTTACAGATCCGATGATCTGGATCTCAGATCCGATCCAGATCCGATGAACATATCCGTCGTCCGGTCCACAGATCCGCTTTGATTCTTATTTCATTTCCTGTTCATATAACTCTAACTATCGTTCATCTCCTTTCGGTATTCCTGTACACCGGTATACCGGTTATCCTTTACTTCCGCTTTGATTACTGATCCGCTATGCTTACTGATCCGCTACACTTACGAATCCACTTTTACTTGTACTTCATTCCCGGTTCATGATTCGTGATCCATCCAACTTACCAATACACTCCACTTAGACTTTGCTTATACTTTCATACATAGCCTCGCACCTTTGCTTATTGATCATTCTGTTAGCTATCCGTAGTATATAAACCTTTGTATATGCGCTGTAGTAGATCAGTTCGAATATCATCTTAGATTGCACTCATTCCATCTGGACTCTAAGTCCCTCCGTTATCCATCCGGACTTGAGTACGCTACTCTTGTCTACTCCGAGACTTAGGATAGATTCCTATAGTCTACATATCCGCCTCTGTCTTCGGACAGTCCTCACCCGTTAGTTTCTAGTCCGGATCCGATCCGGATTAGCCGTTACTCTATACGTTCGATATCCGGAAGTCTTAACGGATCCATTGCAATACTTATCCGTTGCAATACAAGACTTATCCATTATGAGACTTATCCGTCTCACTAGACGCAATACTTTAGCTCTCTGAAATAAGGGGCAAGACTCGGGAAAGGGGCACAGCGCACGAGCTGAGGCCGAAGCCCTTCGGATCCGATACTACTTGAGTACGGTCTTAACAAGACTAATACTATGTATGAACATGTGGAAATACATTAGTAAGTGAGATAGAACATAAGTAAATGAACTTGGAGATGAACAGAGTACAAGGATCAATGAGCAAGACAGTAACAGAGATAACTGAAGTCCAGAGGAAAGGGGATTACCATAAGGGGATAGACACTGATTTAAGGTTTGAGTTTGGATATAAAGTACAGGTCAGATCCAGAGATCCAGGAAGTGGCTATCAGATCAGGTGTCTGGATATTGGATCCGGAATTGGATGGAATATGCTCAAGACAGATGGGACAAAGGATGGATGATGCAGGCTAACTGCAGAAGTCCAGAGGTGTAGAATATAGAGGTGCAGGGGTACGGATATGGATGTGCGGAGGTGCATGGATCTGGATGTACTGGGATCTGGATGGATAGAGGTCTGGAGACATGGAATGGGGGTCTGGGGGTCCAGAGGTCTGGACAAGGTGTGGGAACATTGTTGGATGTAGATCCAGAATGCAGGATATGACACATGTTCTGGAAGTACCGTGACTTTGCCTCACTCCCATCTGATACCCATGCTGATGATTGCTTTGATGATAGCTTTTCAACCTCATATGCATCTTCAAATGCTTCTGTACTCCTGTGATACACTTGCATGTACTTGTATATAAGTTGTATATAAGTTGTATATAAGTTGGTTGTAAGTTGGTTTTGATCTATGTTATTTGTGTTACTTGTATTTGAGTACTTTGTTTTTGACCAATTGCTATCAATTGGGGGTTTCTGTGTTGACAAGTAGATAAAATTGAAGTCTTCAATCTTAAGCTCCTTTAGGTGATGATGTGCACATTTATTCACTCTACATTGCACAATATTCTTGAGTCCTCGCTTGCAGACCAGGCCATTTTCCTGGATATTCAAGGTAGGGTTTCTACTATTATCACAACAGTTCTAATCCATATATGCTCACTTCCACTCAAATAAATCTCAACCTCAAACTTCAACTACCGACTTTCTAATTTCAGAACCTGGTCTATTCCCGGTGTAGAGACTCGTGTTTCTCCAGGCACATATGGGCTCATATTAAGAATTCTGACAACTGGCCTTCACGGCACAACTCGCACCATCATCCACTATGACTTCCACCATGGAGCGCACCACTTCCCATGAAATGCGCCATAGGCGCGATACTCTCCTGCACAATGTGCTGCATTTCCGCATGCGCGCCTTGCACGCTTTCTCGCACTTAAGTGCCCTATGTCACGCAGCATCCAGGAGCATCCATTCATCATCCAACCAGTCCCTTGGTATGTCCCTTTTCGTTATCTGACCATATTTGGCATATTACACTTCCTATTTCATTATGGACCCTTACTTTACATCATTTACATACTTGGAGTGCTACCTATTCGGCTCCGAGCCCTGGGAGAGCGCTTAGGTAGAACCTACATACTCTCATGTTCGTTTTACACCCCACTTACCCACCTTAGCTTCCTACCACCATGTACTTGGCAGTTAGTTCCATGCAATGCATGTGTCCATCATCATCTTGAGGCCCTAGCATCAGTCTATAGCTAGTGGCACCATCAGTATACGTCTTCTACACTTGTGCACCACTTGCACTACCTTCCCGCGCTTCGCGCACTTTCGCACTTCGCTTTTCCGTGCGCGCCTTCAGCACATTTCACCACCATTCACCAGGGTTGATCAGCATCATTCTGTGGATCCTTGCTTTCCTTGCTTCCCCTTTAGGGTCGAACGTTCTTGCATTCTGCGAGTATAGCAGCTAGGCAGAGCTGAGACTCACTTATACTGGCTGAGCACTTTTCTTATATGTGCCTGCCAGGTCGTGATACCCACACCAGTCTTATGCTGCCAACTCGGTGAGCTCTGAAGGCTTGGATCCTTGTATGCATCCACATACAATAAAGACAAATCCATTGGGGAAGCTGGCCATGGGTTGGGAGCTTCACATGATGCTCTGGCACCACTCTCTTATGTTTACACATGCAAAAAGTTTGCAACTGCAAACTCTTGTTGGGTTTTCTCCTGGCTAATTTCATATGGTGAGCTATCACTAAGTACTGCTTTTGCCCTCCCAATATTGCCTTTGCCCACATTTTGCTTATGTGGATGCCTCGCTTCCTCTTTGGCGATGCTGCCACACTTTCACTTTGGTGATGCTGCCATGCTACCTCTTATCTGCTACCTCTCACCAAGCTGCCTCGTGCTACCCTGCCTCTCGTGCTGAGCTATATTTTCCATTATGTTCCTTGTTTCTTCACCTCATTACATCGCTCTGCAGCTCCTATGACTGTGGGGATCTGAGGCTCACTTCGCTGTGTCACATTCACTCCTACTTTCTTGGGATTTGTAGCTCACCTCAGCTCACTCTTGCACAGGTTTAGGCCGCTGTGAAAAATACAACCTGACTATGCACTTGTTAAGGTACTCAGCCAGTATATGTCTAATGCTCTGCCTATGCTGCTATACTTGCAAACAATAAAGCAAGAACATTCGACCCAAGGGAAAAGCTACTAAGGACAACTCAAGATCGAAAGACTCGAAAGAGCGCTAAAGCGTGGGAATAGCTCGTCGCAAGATAGAGCACTAATGCACGGGAAAGAGCGGAAGTCAGGAAAACAGACACTGAGTCAAAGGAGGGTAATGGATAGCGAGTGAGATCAAAGGTATTGATTGCAAAGGTAAGGAAAGTCAGATAGGGGCCATAGAGCGCAACTAAAGGGTGACTACTTTTAAGTAAAACCTAAGGGGAAGGAAATACAGTTGAAGGGAAGTTATGTCAAAGTAATCACCATAGGCTTCTTATACTAGTAACTTTACCATCTCAGACTCGGAAGGGATAGGATATACATGTAATAAGACTGTAGCACTTTTTACAAACTCGAGGCAAGGCAAATTAAGTTCTGATAGCGCTATAAGCGTGGGAATAGTGTCAGATAAGTCGCGGGGAGCATGAATTGCACTGTGGGAATGTGCACGCATAGTGTGGGAAAGTGCGGAATAGTGTCGGACAAGGGTTATGGCTGAGGCAAGTGAAGACTGCTGATAGGGGAGTAGTGAATAATATGAGGGATAACTTTGGTCCACCTATTGAAGACTTATGCAGGTATACATGCCTAGCGCCAATATGATTGTCACACCGCTATGGGGGCCAGGTGCCCCTCTTGGGGCTCTGCCCAAATAGCTATCTGCATCCAGTCAATGCAAGCATTCTCTCTCCCTCTCTCACTGAAACTGCTGCACGATAGCCCCCACAAAGTTGCATAAAACCTCTTGTACAGCTCTCACAAATGGTAGAAGTGTATATTAGCCCTGAAATACATTTATGCCATAAAATTTTCACTATCTCTGTCACAGAGAGCTTTCATTTGGAGCTATCTGAGAGCTCAGAAACGGCCCAGTAAGATATACCATAAGTGGTGCTGTGACTAGATAAAAAACTTTAAAAATTCGGCACCAGGAATACTCAAACTTGAGCATTCACAATCTAATATTGCAAACATTCTACAGAGACATACCACTAGACCACAGGTCCTTGTATAACTATGTTACTATTAGTGCATCAGGAAATCAACCTGGAATTGATATGACCAGGTAGAGCTGACAGATATAACTCATTATGGATTTAGAATTCTACATAATTATCTTTGTGCAATATGTATATGAAATAATATATGACTATGCTAGGGATATATCATTTTGTTAAATTTTGTAGTATAGTTTGAATGCATACCCACAGGTTTACTGCCATACCCATGCAACCTGTCAATACCTGTTTGAAGACTCATACCTGTTGGTACCCTTGGATACATGAGTATGGGTATATGGTGGGTACAGGTGCAGGTAGAGCTCTGGACACCTGTGGGTTTACCCATGCTAATCCCTGATTGCAGCTTCTATATCCTTTCAAATATATGTTGCGTGCTTATAAGGAGATACCCCTAGCATAGCTATATATTCTTTCATACATATGCTGCATAATCATAAGATGCATATCAAAATGACATATCCTTAATATAGTCATATATTCTTTCATATATCTGTTGCATACTTGTAAGATACATGTCAAAATGACATGCCCCTAGTATAGTCATGTATTCTCTCACATATTTGTCATATACTTATAAGATGCATATCAAAATGAGATACCCCTACAGAGCAAAAAAGGATAAGACGCACAGGCTATATACAGTAGCGTAGTACGGCCCTTGAATTTTGTCTGGCTAGTGTGATAGATTTTGCTGCTAGTCTCGAGATTGAAAGAGGGTCAAAAAGAATTCAATGTCAGGCATCCAGGAGATGAGTACATGTGCATATGTGCATCGAAAAGTCTTGAATGCAAAATGGACCACATCAACAGATATGCACAAATATGAAGTGGACTACTCATCAAAGAATCTGTCTCCGTGATCAAGCAGTTCATGCTACAATATATGTTTGTTGATCAAGTCTCCATGCCCCAGCATTCGGTGAGCTAAAGGATGCCATGATCTCCGATGGTAATCTAGGTAACTCATCTCTGGTAGTTATAACAAGATTTCAGTATTGCCAACTATGGGATGGTAGAACTAGGACAGCTGGATTCCAGCGTGTCTTTGATTCACCATTGATGGACACATAAATGCCTGCAGTTATGTGGAAGGAAGGAACTTTGAGATTCTTTCCCCTCATGGCTGGATAGAGCTAGATCACACAGCTGAGCCCGAGGCCCCACTGCTGCGGCCAACTTCTGAGACTTGAGAGACCGTTTAGCTTTTAATTTACATAATACATTGCACTGTCTGCAGTGGCTATCATTGAAAGTACAACTCCGTGATATATGTAATGTCCATCCATATGTGATGTATAAGTGTAGACACAAACGAAAAATTTAAGAAATGAGCTGACTAAAGGAAATGGACGGAACTAAGTCGGGGATGATCCCATTGAGTCAAGTTGTTTACACAACGCGTCTGCCTGAGCCTCAGTGCCTTCCGTGGTAGGTAAAATAAACTTAACCCTAGTATGTCGACGATAGATAACGTTCCAATCACTTCGGGGAGCGAATGAGCTCAAATCCCGGTTGTGTATCAGGGCGATACGAGTCATGAACCATGTCTCCCATTGCGGGGTCCACTCTCCATTCCACTTCTGGTACCTATGAAAGATATCAAGGGGAGGCCATAAACTAGACATGTCTACAGCGACGCCCAGAAGAAGTTGGATGTCTTGCGGGAACACCGCGTCATCTACGTGCGTGCCATTACGCTCAACGTTGCCATGTACGTAAGCATCGGTAGATGGCCCGGACAGGGCAGCTGCAAAGAGATGATCCGGTCCGTAGTGCAGTGCGATGCGCCATATAATACCACCCATTGTAAGGAAACGCCGGGCGTACGGACGGAGGAGTAATTCCCGGACTCTGTCCTCGTAAATCTGGAGGGATGTGATTCGATTATTGTACAGGGGTGGGTAAACACAATCGAAATAGGCGGGGCGAGGGGCACAGAGGTTGTAACGAGGGCCAGTTACATCATGCGGGTCGACGAAGACTTGCCAGTCGATCCCCCGGGAGAGACAGCGGGTGGCGAAAAACCCTCTCGGTGCATCAGGATACTGATTTCCCCATAGGCGCAGTCTTATCTCCGTTCTCTTCGAGACTATGGAGTTACCACGAGCGACCAGGTGTAAGAAGTGAGATGGGGGATCAGATATGAGATGCAGAAGGCGATTCTGCAAGAAGGGGTTTTCCAAAGACACCGATGTGGGGGCATTGTTGGGCAGGCCAAGGAATGGTGCTCGATCGATGATCCAACGGGTTGTCGTGGTGTCCATAGCAGGCCCAGGACTCGTCTGGTCTAAACCTGTACCCGGTGTGACGTTCACAGGAGGCGACGGTTGTGATGGGTAAGACGAAGGGCCAGGGATTGGTGGAACAGTATGCAAGACTGGGGTTGAAGGACCTGCAACAGGATGAGCAGATACAAGAGCTAGACATGTTAAAGGTTAGTTCTATAGGGAATTAGGTTAAAATCGAAACTCACGATCACGGTTAGTGAAAAGTTGATGTGCTGATGACGAGCCGTAATCAGGAGAGGGTGCTATGACGAAATAAATCAGTTGTGGGTACTGGTGCAGTCAAGTGTAGACATACAACGACGATTTAATCGAAGACTGCGACTGCGATGACGCACGGACTGTTGGTATCTTATTCGACCTCTAATCGGTGATGGTGAACGATAACGGCGAGTTGAACGCTCAGGGGAACGCGAACGACCACGGCGAGAAGTTGCGCAGTCCCACCGAGACGAACAATAGTCCCTGTATGACGGCGGTCTAGGAGTGTGATAATCTTTGAGTGATGGTGAACGATAACGGCGAGTTGAACGCTCAGGGGAACGCGAACGACCACGGTGAGAAATTGCGCAGTCCCACTGAGACGAACAATAGTCCCTGTATGACAACGATCTAGGAGAGACCGGTCGACGAGAGTGATAATCTTTGTAGGATGATGATGCATAGCGAGTGGGTGATACGGAGCTCCGACGCATACGGCGAGCTTCAGGAGCAATGGGCGTGCACGTGTGATAATTGGTATCAGCCGCCTTTCCTTTTCCCTGCGACACTGTATGGATGCGGTATAAATCAGCATCCATCCCATTGTCGCTGTCGTATACCAATCCTTGGGTGTCGTCTGTCATGACGACATCGTACATTTCATGGTCCACCTTGGACTGTTGCTCCTGCTCGAGTCGTTCCTGCTCTAATCGTTCTTTCTCCAGTCGTTCTTGCTCCAGTCGCGCCTGCTCGACTTGTTCTTGCTCGAGCCGTGCTTGCTCCAGTCGTTCTTCCTCGAGTCGTGCCTGTTCGAGGCTTTGTTGCTCCAATCGTTCTTTCTCCAGTCGCGCCTGCTCGACTTGTTCTTGCTCGAGCCGTGCTTGCTCCAGTCGTTCTTCCTCGAGTCGTGCCTGTTCGAGTCTTTGTTGCTCTAATCGTTCTTTCTCCAGTCGCGCCTGCTCGAGTTGTTCTTGCTCGAGTCGTACCTGCTCCAGTCTTTCCTGCCCCTGCCTTTCTTGCTCGAGTCGTTCCTGTTCCATCCTTTCTCGCTCCATTCTTTCCTCATTGAGTTTCTGGCACCCACCCTCTAATCGCTCCACCACACACTGAAGTTTCTGCCGCTCGGCCTGGCGCTGTGCCTGTTTTGCGAGATATGACTGTTTCATTTCAGATCGACGAATGGCGTCTGACAAGCCCTCTGCTTGGGTGGGTAGGAGCGAGGCCATTGGTCGCTCTGGCAAGACGGGTGGAACTCGGTTCTGGGCTCCTGCTGTCAGAGCGAACCATCTGGCTCTCTCAGAGGCGGGATTGGGAATACCCAGCGTGCATCCAAAGACATGATGCTCGATGGTGTTGATAGCGAAAAGCCCGCACGAAGACGAATCCACCTGGTGACCATGAGACAAAGTAGGTCCTAAATCCTTGAATTCTCCGTCGAAACGTTTGGAGAACCACCATTGTAGCTTATTTATGATAAGTTCTGGCCGAGATTTAGGATCAAGAGAGTCGCCTATATGCGAGTTAGTTTGCGCAACAAAAATTGAACTCGGACTGTAACTAACCATAGGCAAAGGTTCTGTTATGAAAGTCGATTACAAACGCGATGTAATGTTTCGATACACGAAGATGCACGGGAAAGTAGAGATATCTCTTTATGTTGACATCCCTTTTGATATTCTCCAATACGTCGTACTTTTGATTGTGGTACGAGATATCACGCGCCAAGAGGAGGGTGTCAGAAAAGTGGGTTGAGACGATGGTCACATCATGCCGTCTAGCCATTCCCAGCCGTGAATTGAGATTTGCTGTCATCATATCGATCAGAGAGTCTGATAACCACCTGTCATCGGATAGAAACAGGACCAAAGATTGAGTTGTTCTGCCAGGAAGCGCGGCCGGGCCGTGTAACGGCTTGTCATGAGGGAGGATGAGCAGCTGCTTCTCTGCCTCGTAGAATACCTCCACATCCACGCGTTCTGCCATTCTTTGCTGTAACCACTCCCTCGCAGCCACCCATTCACCCTGAATGTCGTTTATGTGGTGCAACCGCCACCAGAATTCGATTGTCCATAAAGGATATAGGTTGTCTGGAATGCGTGGATCGCGTATGGAGCACATCCCATCCAGAAGCGCCTGGCCGAAGTCATTACGAAGACGTTCAACGTCTGACTTGCGAGGGAGTTCTTTGGTGTGGAAAACCTCGTCTGTAGGCAAGTGAGATTCAAAATTTATGAATTGTGATTTTTGCCATTTGTCGATGGGAGCAATGTGAAATTGGAATAATTCTTGGACCGAGATGTCGTGTGGAGGGAGTGCCAGAGTTAACATCCTTTCTGGGACCGTCAAAATCGCCTGGCAGAGCTGCTGGAGGGCGTAGGGAGTGGCTGTAGCATTGGGCGGGAATCTTCTGCCCTTATTAATCCACTCGTCCGCCGTTTTGTCGAAGGTTGCCGCTTTGGGGTCATGCGACTGTTCGAGGAGGGAGAACCACGTGGGGTGGAGGGGTGAACGCTGGAAAACTAGGGCCGCTGCTTTACCAGATAACACCGTGATTCCGTTATGAACTTCCACGTGGTCGTCGTCATCATCGAGGGTTGTATTTGTGGCGGCTTGTTTGCCGAATCGAGCGAGTGCCTTACCTGAATGGATATGCACGCCGTCAAGGATATCTACATCCTCGAATAAGGCATCTTCAGGGTCCTCGTAGTCTGAATAGTCGTGGTAGAGCACCACGTCGCCGGTATTAGGTGTAAATGTTTCCGACGAGCGAGGTTTATTCTTGATTCGCCCGATTTCGGCACTTTGCCCAGTAATCTCTATTCGCGGATGATCTTTGCCGCTGGTCTTGAAGAAGCGTTTTGGCATTTTCTTATGCGTAATGGGCTCTTGTCCATCTGGCCAGAACTTTCCTGGCCGCGCAACGCCAGTCACGACTTGAGGCAATTGTTAAATGAGAATAAAGAGATATGAGAACCACTCACTCAGAGGAGCTTTTTTGGGTCGCCTGGCAGGAAAACCAGTCTCTTCCCATGGGCTCTGTCCCCAAGGCAAGGGGACAGAAGACGCTTCTGGCTTTTCTTTCGCCCATGAGTCATTTTCCTGTCCCCACGGCAAGGCCTCTGATGAGGTTCCTTCTTCGTCTTTCGTGTGTTCTGAGTAACAACGGGTGAGAAAGTAAAGGACGTAGGATATCGCGACTGACCTTCAGGAAATTGCCAAGCATGGGTGTCGTTGGATGCCGACATTCTTGGTACCTTGACCGTTCTCTTGGGCCTGGGGTTGCCGGAAGGCGCGCAGTCGTTGCGGTGATTGTAAGAGGACTTGCGTCTCTCAGACATATCGTGTGATCAAACGCAAACGTTCGACGTTGATCGATAGAGGGTGCTCCGGTATTGGAATTAAACGCAAGCGTTCGATGCTGGATGCAGGGATGTCTAGCCAGAAATTACTGGGTAAAGATCCAAACTGCACAGATTAGAAGACGTGCGGGGTGACACGGGGTGTAGTTGCAAGTCAGAGTGAGAGTGAGAGTGTGATGAACTTGATATAGCAAGAACTGTGGCTGAAACATTGAAATATTGTGGATGAAATGTGGATGAAATTAAAACACGCGATCCTGACTAATGATCCACAATGAATCGCGACCGAGATTCCATAGATGGGCATAACTAAATATGGCAGTAATAGCTGACTACAATGACAATTTTACGACTTTTGAGACCTCTAAGACTTCAGTCTAGAGCCTCAGTTCGCACTCCTGCTCACTTCAACACGACCTCTTCATCGTAATTCGAAGAAGACGTCCGTCATACACGCCGTGCTTGCGACCGCCAGATAGATGATGGATTCTCCAATTCCTGGAGTGGGAGCTAAATGTTGGAAATCCCCCATCTCACATTTCCTTGAAAAGTTTCAGTAAGTGTGCTACATCCCCTTTTCACCCATGCTTATGGTGACCGACAGAGATTGAAAGTGTATAATGGCGCTGCTGACATATCCGCTTTCATCACCGCCGGTCAAGGGTTGCCTACTAGCTATACCCTGCAGTATCATTACTTCGCCCAGGTCATGTCATCCTGGGACCATGACCATGGGCCATGTTTCACCTACTGCATTATCATCATATGTTGTGTCATGCACCTGGTAACGCCCAGGATGATCTGTAGGTCATACTTCCTTCCTCTGAGACAACTGCTCCACCTACCACAACCTTCCAGCCGCTTTGGCACCCACGCCTTCATAAGCAAATCTCGCTTTTCCTTCCCCAGGTTGGGGTGTCGCGCTGCATTGACAACGACACTTACTTCAACAAATCTTCCAGCGTCATGGTCCGGGACATGTTTCAATCGCGAAAAATCAACCAGATTTCCCATCACATATCCCCTTGACCGAGTTCACCTTGTGAACAGGATTTCGTCCATATGATACTTACATTACTTACATTTATATAACCTAGATACGCGTGTTGGAATAGCTAGAAACAGTACTTGTAGACTCACCTCTTAACTGTAACCTCAATTCGTCACTCAGTCTTCTCTGAACGTTGAGTAAGCGTCATAATATTAAAGTCTGACTCTCAAACCACTGTCATCTGCGCGAACCATAACTGACAACACGACTTAAATTACTACAGTAGTAGGTCTTTACACTGCTCTCACTGAACAGCCATCCGCCAACGGACATCCTCGAGTAAGCAACCAGATGGAGAACGTTGCAATGGACATCGATCAACACTGGACGGATAATGCCATGGAAATGGAAGTTAGTTTGCCGGAATGGAACGTAAGTAAATGCATTGATTCTCTTGCGACTTAACGTAGCGTTAATTCAGGCGGCACTTGACAACCTCACGCCTCACATCACGAAGACTGCCGAATACCCTGTCGCACGGGGCGGTTTTGGGGAGGTCTGGAAGTGCCTCTTACAATCCACCAAGGGGCCCGTCAAGGTTCGTCCCCAACCAAGGTTTTATTCCGACATCGGATCACAATCGTATAGGTTGCAGTGAAGGCGTTCCAGATGTACAGTGCCGCTGAGGCCATTTCTACCAACGCTAAAAATATTAAAGTAAGTCGCCGGTGAATATATCACTCTTTATTCACACCGTTTGGTGCTCAGCGTATACGCCGTGAACTTGGGACCAGCGCGGGGCTCAGACACCCGAACGTTCTCCGAGTTTACGGCTACTCTTTGGGCTTCGGTCCCCTTCCCGCTATAGTCACTCCCTGGGTTGAACAGGGAAACCTCTCCGGATTTTTGGAGCGTGAAGGATTATCCCTCACCACAGCACACCGATTCAAAATGGTACGTCCCGTCATCAGATGTCATAATTCTCTAACGTCGTTTTAGCTCAGAGCCATCGCGTCTGGTCTGCAATATCGTAAGTCTTCCCTCTTCGTTTCCCTCTTTTTGCGGCGTACAATTTCCTTTGCAGTACATACCAACAACATCGTTCACGGAGACCTCACCGGGGTAGGTCTAATGCATTGCATAATCCAATCTCTATTCAGACTTCATTCTAGCCTAACGTACTCATCCACGGCGACGGTTCCGCGTGCGTAGCTGACTTTGGACTTTCGCTCTTGGATGCCCCATATGCATCCTGGACTTCAAGGATGAAGGGAAACCTCAGGTGGATGGCACCCGAGCTTCTACGAGATGACTACGGAACTCCGGTGCGCCCCACCAAGCGTAGCGACATATACTCTTTTGGGGGTGTCATGTTACAAGTAAGTATTCACTGACTCCAAGGCAGCGCACCAACTATTACTACCACAGGTCATCACAGGCGACGTACCGTTCCATTATCTACCAGAATTTCCGATCGTACTCATGAAGTATAACGCGGAGATACCCAGCCGGGTTAAATACCCATCATGCAACGATGCCCACTGGAATTTCATAGAAGAATGTTGGTCCACGGACCCTCTGATGCGCCCATCGGTGGAGAGTGTCGTCACATTCATCGGTCGTTAAGTTGCTTTCATCCATGCCCAATTAATTAGTGAGCATGCTACATATAACCCCCGTCATATATATACATTCGGATTACTTGTGTACCATACCTCTCTACTTACATGATAATCAGACATTGCCTACATGATTTTTTTTCGTCTATCACCGATGGCTACATACGGCGACTGCGCGCCCCAAACCCCGACTCCTAGTATTGTCGGTCTGCAATGTCAGCCGGGCTCCTCAATTGTCGAGAAGCCGTTGTTGGCCATTCTATCAGTGAACGTGCGCTTTTCGGAATCGTGCGAGGTCCATCAGTCAGGCGTTCATCACACTTGTTTTTGAGTCAAGACTAAAGCTGTCGAGGATCAAGCAATACACAGGGTATAGTGGAACATTCTACGTCTTGCGAGCGTCCCGTCTCGAACGCCTCATCTTCTCTATCGAAATCAGCACTGCATTCTTCATCTGACGCACGACTCTTTGAACGCACTGACATGATCCCACGCCATTTCACGCCATTTCTCTCGTCTCGTCTAATGTCTCCCTCTGCAAACGTAGAGTTCACGTATCGTGGCTTTTCTTTTGCTCGTTGGCCTTGGTTCCTACCGTCGTCCGATCATTTTCTCTCATCATCTCTGTGTCTCACCATCTACACTCCGTATTTATTACATTGCGTTACTGCATGACGAATCAGTTCTTTCGTTTTTTGGAGAAGGATACCTCACCGAATGTGGTTTTGAGTGGACAGGTGTTGTTTACATATCTGACTAGGTGAGTGATTGCGGTGAGAGGGGGAGGTATGGACGATGCGTCGCGTCTACATACAAGCCGCCAGGTGCTGAATTATGATTCGAATTGGTCAAACGCAAGCGTTAGCTGGAGGGCCTGAAAGAATTGACGTCCGATAGGATGACCAGCTAGAAATTACTAGCTAGATGTCCACAAGGATGCAACTCAAAAGCTGGCGTTCGACGGAGGGCTTAAAAGAGTCGACGTCCGATTGGATGACTGCCTAGAAATTACGAGCTAGCTGTTCGCAGGATGAAAGTCAAACGATGGGGTTCGGCAGAGGGCTTGAAAGAGTCGACGTCCGATTGGATGACTGCCTAGAAATTACGAGCTAGCTGTTCGCAGGATGAAAGTCAAACGATGGGGTTCGGCAGAGGGCTTGAAAGAGTCGACGTCCGATTGGATGACTGCCTAGAAATTACGAGCTAGCTGTTCGCAGGATGAAAGTCAAACGATGGGGTTCGGCAGAGGGCTTGAAAGAGTCGACGTCCGATTGGATGACCAGCTGGAAATTACGAACTATTACTAGATGCCCACAAGGATGCAAATCAAACGCAAGCGTTCGATAGGATGACTGGCTAGATGTCAACAAGGATAGAAGTCAAACGCAAGCGTTCGACGGAGTGCCTAAAACAGTTGACGTCCGATTGGAGGACTACCTAGAAATTACGAGCTAGACCTCTGCAAGGATGTAAGTCAAACGCGGCTGGCGTTCGACCGGACGACTAGATTGAAAATGTCCGAAAGGAAGCGAGTCAAACGCAAGCGTTCGATAGAGGGCTTGAAATAGTCGACGTCCGATTGGATGACTAGCTGGAAATTACGAGCTAGATGTCCACAAGGATGCAAATCAAACGCAAGCGTTCGATAGGATGACTGGCTGGATGTCCATAAGGATAGAAGTCAAACGCAAGCGTTCGACGGAGCGCTTGAAAGAGTCGACCTCCGATTGGATGACTAGCTTGAAATTACGAGCTAGATGTCCAGAATGATGCAAGTCAAACACAAGTGTTCGATGATGCATTCAAGTTTTATGAATTCTCACGGGATGGGAAGAGCCACAAGAGTTTGCCACGGCCGTATACAAAGCAGTACAAACAACATCGATGACTATATTTGGAAATAATACGTGTGCTGGGACTTTTGAGACTTTGGCGACTTCGGCGACTTAGCAGGGAATTTGTTGTGAGACTTCAGAGCCTCGTGGAGTCGTGCAACCTCTAACTTCAGCGATGTCCGTTCACAATGCGAAAATACTATACTTAAATTACAGGCAAGCTCGTGCTCTACCAGGGAGAAATTTTTTGAGATCTATGGAAGTCGCAGAAGAGTCTCCCAAAGTCGCAGAAGTCGCAAGAGAAGATTCACGTTGAGTTACCGTTTATTGTTAAATTTGGCTTAACTCCGTATAATAAATCTGCATCGCATGCAAGCATAAAATTACATACCATACCATACAATTACTTGGTATGAAAGAGTGAACTTGCTGAAGTTCAATGGTGAAAATACGTAAAGAGTCCAAAGAATCCATGGATGCGGCGAAGGTTACGAAGGAATGGATGGTAATGGACAAATATCTAAGAATTTTCGATCGCCGTGAATGATCGGAGGCAAGTGGTTAACTGGTCTCTATCGATCAAGTCCCCTGGGCCAAATATACCCTGACTCCCGGCAGTCTGTTTGGGAGTACGATATAGCTTTTGTGCCGTCTTGAGGTTCGTCCAGAAATGGTTGACGATAGCGGTTGCAATAGCGGATGCTCGGTTGGTGCTTCCAGATACCAGTTCTCTCTTTTCTGCGCCAGCAGCCGCATAGGCGCCCGGGTCTAAAACCATGAGACAGAGTGCCATCAAAGGCCTGGTATACAACTCTTAAATGGATGTTAGAGACGGTCGAAGAGGGTTAGATGATTCAGATAATTACTAGTGCGGCGAGATAGGCGCGGTAAGTTCACGACCAATCGTTGAAACGTTTCCAGGGAGTGAGAGTGAATTTGGTTCGTCAAGTATTTACCGTGTTTGTTATCCAAATGACGAGAGTTTTTTGACAAATGGTGAGTGTCGCGATTATAAAAATGCCCGCCGGTAAAGAAGGCCTTCGCAGGCGAATACACTGCGTGGAATTGACCAGGTGGTTGTATACTTGAAAATGTCAGGCAAATTAATGAAATATCGCGGATTATGAACTTACAGAAGGTCCCCCTTTCCTACCGTGATGACTTCCATGTCCCACAGAGCGGCAATCTCGTCGCGGTTCTCGGGGAAAGTACCCAACAATCTGGCTGCCTTGGCGAACGATGTCTGAGAGATCGTGTCCTGATTTTTCAGGTTAGCCACGGTCCATTGTTTCGTGCCGACGACGCCATAAATAAAAGTGCAGCCGCCGTCCGCGTCGTGGTGAAAATAGGTAAACCAACCGGGCTTAGCCAGCAAACCCCACGAGCGTACGGTGAAGTTGTCGGGGTGAACTTGATGGCCGACGGGGCAATCATTGGTGGACTGATTCCATCCGTCGACGATGCCGCTGTCCAGGGAGCTAAAAAGACAAAGTTCAGAATGTCAATATGAGAGGACGGGATAAAGTGCACCTCAAGAAAAATGGGAGACCCCCTTGTGAGAGCGGAACATCTAGAATACACTGTATCTTGTTAGGGTCGTGTATGTTGCGCATAAATTGCTCAAGTGTTGCATGCTGCTGCGGATAGGTGAAATCTTTCGTACGTTGTTCCGCATCTGTTGGAACGCATGAGGTCGACAGGCAAATAGAGCGAATAAAAACGGACTGACCATGTATTACAACGCGCATTAGCTCTGACGCACCCCAATCATACAGGAGCTCGAGGTCAAGTTCGTCCGCGGTGGCCTGATCGCATTGACGAAGGACGACAGCTTTATTTTGGCAAAGCGCGGCGGTGATAATTTCGCGCAGCTCTCGTGGCTTCGAACGCCAGTCACTGTAGTGTAGATGAACCACGTATTTTGATGAATCCGGACAAGATTCAGGAAGTGCGGAGATATACGCGACCGCATCTGCGTCGCGTTGCAGTACGTTTTTACCGTCCTTGTAAATATACGGCAGCACGGTCGTTGTGCCACTTTGCCATGCGACTGTCGGCGAATTTTCGTGAACTTGCGAGCCGATTATGGGAGTTGCCAAGTCGAGGGACTCGATGTCAGTGAGATCGGACAAAGCTGGCGAGGGGGGTGACGGGTAACCGGGAAATGAGGGGGGATGATTCGGTGGGGAATCCGTCATGACACATACTTCGTGTGTGGTCACCGGTGAAGATGGTCGTGGAGTTTGCGATGGCGATGGTATGTCCGTCATGATGCATACGTCGCGCGTGGTGACTTCAGCATCCAGAGTTGGAGGGGGGGAAGTACGCGGAGGTTGAGCGTCGGGTTGTTGTAGCAGGGTGGGATCGATGAAGGTATCGTCGAATGAGACATGAGAAGAAGGCCCCGCGGTGTTCTCAGTGTTTAAAGGAACTTCTCCGCTAGCGTTCGAAGGACCCGCAGTGTTCTCGACGTTTTCGACGTCGTTGCGGTTAGGCTGGATCGCTCTAGATGATAGGACACGTCGCCGTTTTGGAGGAGGCTTGTCGCCAGCGTTTTCGAGTGCTCTCTGTTTCTGAGCTGCCCGCGAACGACGTTTGTTTGCGGTATTTTTCTCGCGTAGCCTTCGCTCTTCTGCGGGATCTTGTCTCTTGAAGTCTGTCCATCGTTTCTGCTGCTCGTACGCCTTGACCTTTGGATCTAGGCCCACCAGATCGGGATGATGAAGTCTCTGCTTAGACATTGTATGTCAACGAGGAATTACCCAGTTGAGATACAGCAGTCTGTGAAAAAGGTATGGAGAAGTCTCAGAGTTGTTAAAGAAGATCAACGGAGAAGGGGTAAGTGACGTTGAAGAACGGGAAAGGAATATATTTAAAATGGAAATGGCCGCGGTTTACATAAACAGAGAATGTCCACAGTTCGGTGCTCATTGTCAATACTCAGTACGATGAGCTTGGATGCGACCAAATTTACGAAAGGATCGATACGTTATAGGAGTTTATGTAAACATACTCTCATTGTTGTGACATGGATAAGGTCTTAAAAATCGCCAAAGAGTCTCAAAAGAGTCTCAGAAGAGTCTCGAAAGTCGCAAGAGTCTCACAATTTCAAAAGTCGTAAATGAGTTTACACAAGCCAGTGTTTTTCTTCTTCTTTTGGATCCTTGTTTATTGTCCTTTGGGGCGGGGTCCTATGATGGACACTACGTACAGTGATTATACTATTCTATGTGTATGTGCTTTGTCTTTGGGGTGTCGATGCTGTGCAATGGTCCGTGCTTAGGCAGGTGCCAGGGACAGTGACGCCGTCTTAAGGAGTGAAGTTAGTGTTACATGGTGCTCGTTCCTTTCCTTTCCCTCGCTCTCTCTCTTTCTCGTCTATTCGTCACATCTCCTTTGGGGGCTGACGTCGCCCAAGTTCTGTTCCATTCTTTTAGTGCGTGCGATGTATCATATTTGAGTGTGGCTCTGATCCCTTTGCCCTCGCTCAGTAGATATTTAATGAGCCGTGCTTCCTTGATAGGTCTACGATTTTACTCAGGAACTTCTTGGACTCACAAACCAGTGTGATTGTATAATATTAGTGTTGTACAGGGCATCGTGGTGAGCTATTATAATGTTACAAACTGCTGTCCGGGTATCACAGTAAACTGACTAATGCTACGCATTCCCTGTCGACGCCCCCAATAAATTTCCTGGTCTGGTTCTTGTAAAACTTCAAGTCTCCCTTCCACTTTCGAGCCGTGAGCAATGTGGCTTCTCCTTCTCGTATCTTCCTCAACCTCGACTGAAACACTTGTTCATTAGAATGGGTCCAGTATCCCATGTCCAAGCCAGACGTAGTCCACAGGTGGGGCGTGGGCCACCACGACAATATTGTCGTTTGTTCGCCTCTATCTGTGGAAAAAATACATAAGACGGTGATATCACAGTTATATCAGAACATGCTCACCTGTAAGGACATGATAAACGCCACATAGTGTGTCTATCTCCTCTTGACTCAGAGTGTCGAAGACGTAATTGCGAGGTGCATCGGAAGACATATCCGCAAAAAAATGTACGTCTATGGACGGCCCGCTGGGTATGTCGCTGGCAAGTTCCTGCTTGCATATACGCCAGAGTATGCCGCCTTGGGCAACAGCAACCCTTACATGGGGCAATTTTAGCAGGCGGTTTCGTCGGCGTTCGTAGTCCATGTATTCGTACTTGTCAGGTTGCCATCCATAAGGACGCCGGTTGGATTCGAAGACAGAAATAGGACGAGGGATGGAAGTATGTGCAGTGTTGAACATGACTTTGAAATGAATGCCGCGCTCAAAAAAGCAGAGGATGACATCCTCTAGAGACGGGCCCCAGTCTTCTCTGATGCACTGAACCACAGACAGGGCGCTATCGACGAAGAGGTTCCATTTCCGAGAGAATTTTTCGATCCGTGGAAGCACGAGGTAACCGGTCAAGGTATTATCTTTCACGGGGGTGAATGCGAAATGGGGGTTTGGTGCGGCGAGTTCCCCGGCATTTTTGGGATGTAGATCCCATACAAGAGACGGAGGCTTCATGGCGAGCACGAGGGATGACATAAAGTACCGAATGGCGAACTCGTTCTTTTTGTTAGTTAGGGGGAGATTCATTTCCATCAGGTATTTTCGAACCGTCTGCATGTCGATTACTTGGGCGTCTGGAATAGCAATGTAATCGGGGTCAGACTGGATGTCTGACTGGTTGCGGCAGAGTAGCCCGTAACGGCTCTGCAGAACGTCTTCCAAAGAAGTCGCGAACAAAATGTCCTCCCGAATGTGTCCACAATAAACGATTGTTCTTCCTGACTCATTATGGTCGGCCGGAAGGACGGGGGGTCGGCTGAGTTCAGGACGAGAGATGGGAGGGGCTATTTCGTTGCTGGTGAAATCGTTAGAGTGGTCGACGAGGTCGTCGTCAGTGACCTCGGGTTCGCTGTCGAAGAGGGAACATATGTCCCATTGATTGGAGAGCTCGTCGTATACAAGTTGCCCGCGGGGTCGCGTCTCGAACTCCGTTCGTGCATCTTCGAAATCGATCTCTCCTCTGAACCTCCCCTTCTTCGATCGATACCACATAAAGAACCTAGTGCCATCTGGTCTCGTCGGAAGAAGAAAGTTGGCAGCCTTTTCGAGCCGTTCGCGAACGCGTCTCTTGATGCTATCGGATGCATGATTGACGAAATCGACCTGCTTGCGCTTGCGCGCTTCGACGAGTGCGTCCCATCTATGAAGACTGTCGGGGTTACTGGCAGAAGAATCGGGAGCAGTTTCTTCTGAAATTGTTGTGTTGATGACACTCCCGACCTTGATCTTTTCGGCTTCGCGGGGTGCAGCGAGCTTAAAGTTGTCCGCCTTGAAAGTGTTGGGATCATAAGCGCCGTGGTGTCTTCCGACCTTGATCCAAACGGGGACGCGTATGTGATTTAGGTGAGGGAATATGGAACCCCATTCCGAAGTGCGTGGGTCCAAAATGACACCAACACAGCGACCGAGTATCTCCGGCTGAAGTGCATTGATTATGTCGCAAACGTGAGACTCGCTGAGGCCAGATTCCAGAAGCATTCGAGAAGGAGAAGGCGGCCGTTCTCGTGCGATTGAGCTGGCTGTGTCGTATCTCCACAGAACTCTTCCGTAAAACAAATTCAACAATCCTAGAAGACTGTGAAACGCCAGTCTGGATCTCTTGGCACAACGCAAAGCATAACGATGAGTCTTGTGATCGCGGAGGTAACCGTAAGAGGAGGGGAGTGGTAACGTGCCGAAATCCATGGGGAGTAGGGCATTGGAGCTGAAGACAGAAGCAGCGTGGTAGAGGGTGTTCTCAAGCCACTGCCAGCTAGTCTTTTGTTCCATAGAAAGGGCATGCGACATTCCACGACCGACTATGTTGATCGTAGCGAGACGCTGAAGGAGTGGGCCAGAGTACTTGAGTTCCATGTCGTCTGGCGTAGAGGCGATCTGAATGTATTGATGCAAGGCGAATCTCAACTCGAATATTTCTTCAGGGTCTGGATCTTCGTGCTTGAAGTCGTCTTTGACCTCTGAGAAGGACGGGCACACTGTCTGCGTGGCCGAAAATAGGACAGAATCGGCTGCCTTGACATAGAAAAAGTTGCGGGTGGGTTTGGATGATCTTGATCGATGATGAGCGATTATTTAGGGTTAAGTGAAATGGGTTGCTTACCCAGACAACATGGTATTGCTATTGTTAGAGGAAGGTGGTGGCGCGGATGAGCTTTGGGCGCGAGATGACGTCTGATTCGAATCACGAGCGGGAGGGTTGGGAAGTTGCGGGTTCGGTGGCAGCATGTTGTAAAACGCAAGGGTTCGACGGGATGACTGGAAATTCGAAAGGGGAAGCAAATCAAACGCCAGCGTTCGATAGGATGACTAGATAAATGTCCTTAAGAGTCAAGATGCAAATTAAACGCAACCGTTCGACAGGATGACTAGCTTGAAATTACAAGCTAGATGTCCAAAATGAAAATGATATGAGTCAAAGAAGGCAAGCACTGGTTAAGATGAGTGATTGTAAATACGAGAAAGATGTATAAGATGATGCAAGTAAAACGCAAGCGTTCGACAATGCATTTTATCAAAATGTAGACCACAAGAGCTGCCCACACGCAAATGTCATTGATAACTGGATTTGGAAATTTATGTATGAAACTTCTGCGACTTGTGTGACTTTTGCGACTTTTGAGACATAAGCAACCACATTTGGAAATTCGTGTTCCGAGCAACCTCCGACTTTGGTGACTTATTACAGTACTTAGCCTCGGATCTTTCGCGGATCTTTCTGCTGTTATGATTCGAGTCTTGATTCTAACGTGTTGTTCTCTTTTCTGCATGATTGAAATGTGCCGCGATCACTGTAGAGTCCACTTTTGATCCGGCGTGCGTCTTTAAACTAAAATCAAAAGTCCATGTTACATGTAAGTAAAAGTATATTCCGTTGCTCGATACATTTGATGGATATGCGATGCGCGGTGTGGATATAATGAAAGTACCGTGTACAAAATGACGACCGTCGACAGCCCAAAATCATGTGCAAACTTTGAATTCAAGCTGGTGATGCGTTACATAGTACGCGCATTGTCGGAGACATTCAAGTTGCCGGTCAGATAACAAGAAAACCACGTCCATATCACCTATCCGCCTCACACCAAACTCACGACAAAAGTCTCCCCTTCTCGTTGTTCACAATATGCTACAGGCCGTTTCTGTAAGACAACCGAGTACAGCGCAGATTGAAGCGACTTACCACATCACGAACAGGAACATATGTGCTCTGCCTGCGCTTGAATCACAACAGAAAACACGCCAAGGAGCAAGAATGTCGAGAAAGTAGCGAGTAGTATGTTCATGTTCTCAGCAGCCCACAGAATCCAATTGCTTTTGGCTCGATGACATAGCGTAATTCTGAAAAACGTACGAGTGCGAGCCAAACACGACGCGCACGAACCTCACCTCAAGAATGATATCGTGTTGCCACGATGTTTCCTTTGTGAGTGAAAATGGGATAAGTCTGGAAATCCTTGTTGGTCCCGTTCTTAAACTTGATGCGGACGAATGCGCGGAGTTCAGGTAGAGGTCCATAAAGAAGCTCAAGGCAAGATGCATGGTTGGCTGTTGTGATGCAAACATCGAGTCGCTGTATGGTGGCCTGAAGTAGAATACTCACGAATAGCAGTGAGCTGAGGGTGCTCGTGGACCGTCTCCATCATGCGGAACAGTAAGGTGAGTGGGCGGTAACTCGTCTCAAGGAGAAGTAACTTGAGGAGGTCCTCGTCAAAACTGATGCGTTGAAGGGTGCGAAGAATGGTGTGAATGATAGAACGACCAGCAACTAAGCAGGTGGTTAGTTGTAAACCATACGAAGCAGTGAAACGCACTATTTTCGATTCCAACCGTTTCCATGTCACAGAAGGTCACGTTTTCGTGGTAGTTGGCACATCCGTCGGCCTTCTCAATGAAAGTTGGAGGAAGACGATATGCATAGGTTTGGTTGCGCTCAAGTCGCGAGTTCATGAAGTCATAGTGAATCTTTAAAATAACCATGAGAATGTTGCGTGTTACATCCATTCCATTGTCAGCACGAGTAAATGCTTGTGATTGAAAGGGGCGTTGAACAACCTACAGTAATGCCCATTGATGCCTGTAATGAGTAGTCACGACACTATGATATGATAAAACGAGAGAAGCCCACCTCAAACGTTCTAGTCAGAAATGAATATGAGTGGCACGACAAGTGCGAAATGACATATTTGGATATATATGACGACATTGCGATGCCACCTTGCCAAACTATAGTATATTGATATATTGATGTGGCGACAAGAGCGAGCTGTGCTGTGTCCAATGCCCTAGGGAATGCGAGTCAGTGAAACCCAATGAGTTTCAATTGACAAACCACAGAAAGGCTACCTGAAAAAAAAGCTTGAGACTTGTAATTGGGGATGGAGTACATAATATGCGGTGCTTACCAAGGCCTTCATAGACCATATATCTTTTGGATATGTTCGGAAATACCGCCAGGTCTGGGCGAGAGTAAAGCCATAAAACCTAGCAAAAAGATAAAGATAAACGATGTCAGGGTCAACTGCAATAAGCTCACATGCTAGAGATGATGACTCCTGATAGCGGTCAGTAGGATGTCATGAAAGGATGGAAAATGATACTAACCAATGAAATGTGGAGTTAGGATAGAGAGAGTATCGTTCATGGTGGGCGTTGGAAGGGATGGAAGAATAAGGGGAGGACGAGAGGGACATAGTATGAGTCGGATATACATGCCGTGGTCTACGGGGTGCTTCGACGAAGAACATGAACCATCAGCGATTTTTGATTTGCTTCCTATTTGTGAGCTTGCTCGGTTAATCACGATTTTCAGTACAAGTGTCACTGCACGAGCTTGCTCACAAAATTTAATAACTTTAATTTGAGCCTGGCCGGCTATAGCCGACAGGCGTCTTAATAAACCAACTTACTCGCTTCGCTACATATCTCGAACTCTTTTGGGTCACGGCAACTTGGGGCTCGGGCGCCTGGCCTCCGCCGAGATCGTTTTACCCTTGCCATGACCCAATTTTCTGCATTCAATACTTTGGAGCCTACTAGCTTGTTTTTTTTGTCGTCTCTTACTAGCTATATCCTGAATTACAACTTCAAGTGTCTCACTACGTCATTGTATCCTAACGCATTTTTGCATCCTTGATTCCTCTCATTACTACATAGCAGGTGGGTGACTCTGATGCATCTGCAACGTTGGCATTGACTTTTGTGTAAGCTATTGTATTTGGTCGCCCAACTTACGTGCAAGGGTTTGGGTGCCCGGCCTCCACCGAGACGGTTTTACCCCTTGCCATGACGTAGTTGCCTATGCAGTCACATGATGGAGATGCTGTAGACACGTTTGTCCGTGTGTGCGCATATATGGATCGGCCGCGTATATCCTCTCATTCCGAGTCATATTCTCATGTTTCAAATTTCTTTTGGTAGATGTGTCATGCTCCTCCCCCCTCCTGACGATCACTTTCTTGTGCACGATACACAGGCATGCGTCGGGGAATCATTAGGGGCATACTTGCGCATATGAGCAAGGGCGACGCGGAAGACGGGCATAGAACAGCCACCAGAGATGAGAGGAGCGGCAACAGGGGCAGGGTCGATCTCTCTCGACATATTGCAGACAAGCCGGGCAAAATCATGAACAGAGAGCTTCGCTTTGGTTGGATTTGGCAGTCCTTCGTGGTGATCCATGGATTTAGAATGCACGCATGAAACTAAATGCTCATATCCTTTGTCAGCGTAGCCGAGAGGATTAGCGGTTGCTAGCCACTTGCGGAGGCCTTTGCGGCGCACTGCCGCATGCCGTTCCACATCACCGCCATCCTCTGCCTCCACGACACTGCAGGCGGCATTGACAGCTTTGGTAACAAGTGTCTTGACATCGGCAATATACGCCTGGAGAGCAACCAATGCGATGACAATAGCATGGCGGAGGTTGCCAGGGTACCCAAGGAAAGCGTTGGAAGAGAGTTGATTCACAGAAAGTTGTATGTGAAACTCGGCCTTGTAAGCCTGGGAGACAAGCTGGATGAATGGCAGTACAGAGGCAGTCGATCCCAAACCACGAACCTCAAAGTGGTCATTGCCATATGTCAAAATTTGAGAGCGCTTGGAGGCTATGGCTGGGACTTTCATGCTGGTGAGAGTTGGCCAATCTGCAGGGCTGATGGCAACAGGAATAGATGGAGCTGCGGCGAAGCGCACGGAGGGAGAAAAAGTGGGCAGGCCATGTTCAAGGAGACTCTGGACCAACCACAAAGGCCTCATGAGACTCGTAGCGATTACCCTAGTATTTCCGGTGTGAGCATAAGCCAAAGCGCGCTCAAGCACTGAACAGAGTTCAATGACTTGGGGAGCGGGTTTGACACCTTTCTGAACGAGAGGGTAGAAATGATCCCAAATGCGCTCAAGCAAGGACGTAATGGGGTAGGTAGTCCACTGGTATATCTGGGGAAATGCCTGAAGATATGATATAGGGAAAGGAGCGCGGTGAGCATACGTGCATACCCACGAATAAGAGCAGCGCACGTCTGAAGTCAATACGAAAAGATGCGGACGGAGAGCCTGGAAGATGGTGGGATGAGACCAAGAGCTGGCTAAGGGTACCACCATCTCTCTATATATGGAGCTAAGGCAGAGGCATGTTGTCAGCACCACCGCAATGTATGGTGAGATATTAATATGATAACTCACGCTCCATTGCGCTTATGGCGCTTCAGGGAGTCTAGCTGAAAAATGTAAACGTTCTCCAAACGCAGAGCCCGAGGAACATCATTGACTTTAATTTTATTGTCGTAACGTTGATGAGGGAGATTGAGGCTGCATTCCCTCATCACAATGCGGTGCGTCGTCTGGCCATGACCGCGAGAGTAAGCACCTGAGAGGGCCGACGTGATGCGCCCTTGCTGGACATCGTGAAGATCAGCGGACGGTCTGATGCGGTGGGAGATCTCGTTGTAAAACTGTGAGCCACTGGCGAAGAGTACAGTGGGCAGGGGTCCATTAGGCAAGTGATCGAACTCGTCTGCATCATCTTCCGCAGGCTGGCCATTAAACGGATCATCATTTTGGTTGCGACTCAAGCGCGAAACAGAATTGCGAATTTTGGACATGAATGGAGAAAAATGAGGCAAGATGGTGTTGCATTGTATGTGACCATACTTTCGCAGGAATGCTTGAGGATACACGTTGACCGTAGGAGTACGAACATCATCGTCCAAAATGATATCTGGGTCGAGGGCCATGTCATCGTCATCAGGAATGAATGTAGAAAACAATTCGGTAATAGTCTCGAGATTGTAAATATTGTTCTCCCTCTGAGTCTGGGGATCTCGAAGAGGCAGATCATCGAGATTGACAAGTTGTCGGAATATTGGTCTATTCGGACTCGGACTCCACCGATTCAATGCCAATGAATGCAATCTATCGCGAGTGGAAGCGAACGAGACTGATTGATTACCAAACAGCTGAACAGAATGGTCGCGATCTGCGCGCAGTGTCCATGATCAGGAGAACATCATCCTCATTCTTTGTAGAGTGAGCACGACGCTGCAGGTCGAGCCTTGCAGCAGGGGGCGAGATGCTGCACAGTAGTACCGTGGGCCTTTGTCTGCGCGGGTGGCGCGTGCTCAGGCCTGAGGCCTGAGGTCTCAAGGTTCTACATTAACGTTGTTCGGAACCTCTGACGTATGGTGAGCGAATGCTAGCGGGAAGTGCGTTAGCAAGGGCCCGCGTCAGAATGTTTGAGGCGTAAAAGTACGTACCTGCGCACAGCAGCGAGCCGCCAATCCGGTGAATGCCGATCTCGCGGATTGAGCATACATCTTCACTATGTCGTTTATTATCTTCCTGTAAGTGAATAACCCAGGTGGTATCGGCGTGGCAAGCAATGAAGTAATATCCAATTGAGCTAGCTCCGTCTCCATTTTTCCACTGAGAAGGCTGGCGCTCTCATTGAGTGGTCATTTCACCCGCCAACTCCAGCGCGTCCAAGATGCACTCCCATCAGTCGGGTAGGCGACGAATCTCTATCCCTCCTTCCTGCGCAGGTCGTCCACGTTGACCCTCGCGAGCTCCTGTGACATGCGCGTGGACCCAGAAGGTGACGGCGAGACTCTGTTTCAAGACTGCCGGATTTCGCTGTAATGGAGGGTATCCTGACGCAGCTATCGTTGATGTACAGCTCAAGAAAGTCCCTATGCAGTCTAATACGCCTCTATCCAGACCTCGAGTGCTACTCGCCACCGCAATCAAAGCAGCCACGCCCATCCAGCAGCCTAAATTCCGCAAGGAACCGAACGATGGGGTTCGGCAGAGAGCTTGAAAGAGTCGACGTCCGATTGGATGACTAGCTAGAAATTAGACGTCCGCAAGATCTCGGAAGTAATTCAAACGCGGCTGGCATTCGACCGAACGACTAGATTGAAAATATCCGAAAGGAAGCGAGTCAAACGCAAGCGTTCGATAGAGGGCTTGAAAGAGTCTATATACAGTCGGATAACTGGCCAGAAATACTAGATGTCTAGAGGGACTCGGATGTAAACCAAACGCAAGCGTTCGATTGGATGACTGACTAGATACACACAAGGATGGAAGTCAAACGCAAGCGTTCGACTGAGGGCTTGCAAGAGTCGACGTCCGATTGGATGACTAGCTTGAAATTACCAGCTAGATGTCCAGAATGATGCAAATCAAACAAAAGTAAGAACCACGAGAGTTTAACATTGATGTGACTATATTTGGAAATAATACGTGTATTGGGACTTTTGAGACTTTTGAGACTTGTGCGACTTTTGAGATATTCGCAACGGCCCTCCTGGCGATCATAATATATACCAGATCGTCTAAAAAAGTTGTGGTAAGAGCGCGACCAATTTCGACAGACAGGGTAGCAACGAAGATAAGATAGTAGATAATTGACGGCAAGATGGGCTGCAAACCTTTCGGCGGCGTACTACTATTACATCCTTGTCTGTATTGGAAGATCTCCGAGAGCGTCGCACCAACGTACGGCAGCATTCAATTCACGGCAACCTATCATGACGAACAAAGGGCAGTAGTATTGACCCCATCCCCCAGTCAAATTTTCGCCCGCCATCCTCCTCGCATCCCAAGTCCACCAACATCCCATTGGCCTTTATTTTGTCTAGCAGTTATGGGTCGACCAGATCTGTTTGGCTTTGTTATCTCGCAACTAATGCTAACAGGCGTCAACAACCGTTGAAATTTGAAAGTTCGCACTTACACCGATCGATCGGATTAAGTAACAAGATCCAGAGTCCTACTTCGAACTAAGTTTTAAATGTCTCGCCTCGGAGAATATCCATACAGCGATCGGGATCCGGAGTCATCTTATGCTGGCTCCATCTATGATCACCATGATGACAAAGCCACCCCCAGTCCAGTCGAAGAAAGTAGCCACGACGAGTACACCCCCCCCAAGAAGAATAGAACCTCCTCCACCCTCTACTCTACCCCCGAAAGTCGCTCGGAAAGATTGAAGGCAATCTCTAACAGAACACGCGATGAATTTCGGAAAATGTGTAAAGAAATTTACGGCGGTCCCGTCTGCCTCATCACGCAGGTGATGGACCAGGTCAGTACCGAAATGGCGTATGTCATACCACGAGCAACCCAATACAGTATGGTATGCAGTTCTATGATCTATGAGAAGCGTGACCCTAATGTTTCTTCAGGTAACGCTATACGAATATTGCCTTGGCTTAGAGTACAAAAGTTGGCATGTTGACACCAGGACAAACCTTTTTCCTCGTACGATACACCATGTCATCTTTTGTGAGATTGTAGCACTGACGTTAGTCCGCAGTCAGCCCCACTTGGCATTCGCTTTTTGATAATAAACAATGGCTTCTCCTGCCGGACGCAGCGACAATGAGAGACGTCCATAATCGTGTCAAGGCAGTTATCGAATGGAGGAAAAGTCCCGACTCTAAACCGGGATTCATACCCCTCCGGTCACAGGTACTTGCGATCATGTCCCTCATGATATTGCTAAATTTACTTTTCTGCAGTGGCCATCCAATACCAAAACACGATACAGTTTCATATCGATATCCTGCACAACCGTGCACTTCTCGCTCAAAAAGGATGGAGACTTTGTTATTTGTCAACATCCTTTTTCCAACCTCCCGTTGCTCGAGTGTCACATCCTCCCTCCATATGCGGTAATAAATGCAGCTCAGAAGTTGAGCAGAGATCAGATCGATGGGATCGTTCGTGACCTTCATGCGGAACAGACAAAAGAGTTCGAGGAACTGAAACAGAGACTCACCCTTGTGTGTGATACTTGGGACCTTTTCATGGATGCCGAAGACGCAGCGAAGGCTTGGGAGAAGTCAGCAGAGGGGGAGAAGTCAGAAGCAGTGGGTAATAGGAAGAGAAAACAGAGCGACTCGGGTGAGGCACCAGACCATCGCGAACGTGAACGATCACCCAATTCAAGCGGGGACAGTCTCACTGAGAAGTTTGTCTCACGCATTAAGCGACGGAGGACGTACGACTGGAAGGCTAGCATCAAACAATGGATCGCAGAGTCAACCCGGGCCTCGCCCTCAATAGACCCGAACCTTCCGCTTGATCTTGCTCTCGCTTAGCAACGCTTCTGCCTTTTTTCATCTTGATACCAGCGTCGTTCACTTACTTGTACTATTGTTGACAGCACTGCCAACGTTTGACAGTCACCTCAGGGATCGCTGTTTACGGTGATCATCAAATATAATGAATGTGAGTGCTGAAGACGGTAACTTTTGAGTGTTGTATACTGAATCCCCTGAACAGGCAATAGTCTTCAAGGATATCCAGCACTCTGCCCTAGTGTACTGCGAAAGTGGCGGTGTGAATTAATTCAATTCACCCTGGCTAATTCACCCGGGTGAATTAGAGTGAATTGGCATATGAATTTCGGGGGCGTACTTTGGGGATGTAAGGTGAATTAGGGGACATAGGGTAAGACGAAGCGAGCATTACCTCAATTCCCCGACTCTACGAAGTAGGGAGGGTTCTGTATGCACGAAACGTCCAGGCACCTGTGTTTTCATTTTTCTGAAAATGGCCCACAAGCCTAGATTCGCTCCCTCGGGTAATTGCGGTCGTCGTGCTTTCTGATGACATTGTCTGTTTTCCATTTTCCATGTGCAGTCTCTGATTTTATTCCATAATGCAGTTACTCGTTAAACGTTAAAACGATAACACCTGAGACACGGCCAAATAAGAGGCTGCGACAGATCCCGTTCAAATCGAGGAACAAATTGTTAATATTTAAAAGGATATAGTTTACCTCAAGATCCATGATCAAAGTTAGAAAATGTCCAGAATTAGTGTTGACCCCAGATTCGTAATCAGATGAGGAATACGCAAGGCCAACAAATGCTGAATTTGTCGGTATCAATCTGCCTCTTTGTTATATTTATAATCAGATAATGAAAATGGTTGGTATATGTTGACTACACAAATTCAGATATAAATTGTAAACATGTCACACGATCAAATAGGTGATAAATTTAAACTATGTATTAAATTGGGCGAGGGGACAGAGGGTGGCTATGTTGGGCAGACAGAGGGCGGAAAAATTACGAATATGTACATGAATATGCCTAAGAGTTAGCCTCTGACAACGACCCTAAGAATGTGTGTGTCATATGAGTGCCCCGCTAAGTGGCTCACTAAGTGGGGCACTGGTTCTAAATTCTAGTGGGCCGCTTACATGGCCGCTTAAGAGGAACTTCGAAAAATACAAGGTCATATGAATGATATGAAAATACAAGGAGCCATGGATGACACAGGAACAAGAGTTTCATTGAGTTAACGTTCACTACAAATACCCACTACATCGTTCACACTTTCAAGATTGCTCCCCAAGATTTCCACACAAGATAAGCAATGGGAAAGCAACGGCCGAAGATAGGGGTGGGTTGAACATCGTGATTTGACACTCGCATCGAGTTTACTTTTGGAGGAATAGAACAACGAGGACCTTGCCAGGAGCATCTTCAAATTGACATTGGAAGACAGGATTGAAGACGGGTGAATCACGGTTGAAAGCTGATGCACGCCAAATGATACCTCTAGAGCTGCAAGGGAACGTTCAGCAAAAATACATGAAGAAGCATCAGATGATTACCACAAGCTTTTCCTCCTCGACATTGAGATGCATGCTTGTCTTCGAATTGTAACTGACACTGTAAATCAGCTTCACTTGGCTGATGGGCAACAAGTACTGGTGATGCTTACCGCAGACTATAAAACAATGACTGATATGCAGGAAGAAGTCAGACACATGCAAGTCAATAGCGATTCTTGTAACGAGGAGTTTCAGCACACAATTTTGGGGACTTTGGAGGAGATGAGAGATGTGGTGAAGAGCATCATGGATGTGATCGCTCATAGAGCAACCAATGATGATTTGAATAGTGCAGAAATCGTCGACACAGGTAAGACATAATTGTTAAGCAGGAATGCCTACATCACTGAATTGCAAATAGGACCCTGCTTCAAACAAAGATACCACAATGCCAATCCCGTCATACTCCTCACCATGCTCATTGCCTTAATATTGAATGTCTTCGGACACATTACTCATCCATGGTGCAATGCAGTCCTCGGCCTTTTGAATCTCCTCCTCGAGACTACACTCAGAAAGTTGACCTGTCCCACCATCCCCTCCGACATCCGTACCGTCTGTAAAAAATTTGACTTGGACCCAATTACTCGAGTATTTGCCACTTGTACCAGATGTTCCTGCACATACCCACCCTCGCCTGCAAGAAAAAAATCACCATACCCCAAACGCTGAACTCATAAGAAGTACCAAGGTAGCAAGCCATGTGGTCAGTTGATGGTCAAATGTAGGAAGGGCTAAGGCAGAAAAATGTGGATGCCAGTGCGCCCGTATGTCATTCAAGACTTCAATGCATTCCTTGCCGGAATGTTAAGTCGGCCTGGTATAGAAGAAGCCATGGACCGTGGAACGATGATGATCGAGAAGTATCGCATGTGGGATATTAAGGATGGCACTGTGATGCAGGAGATCTCTGGTGCTGATGGAAAACCATTCACGGATGGGCTGAAGAGGTAGGACCTCAGATTAGCATGGAGTCTTTCGGTGGACTGGTTTGGCCCTCATGGAAATAAGACCTCTGGCAAGAAAAAATTGGTTGGGTCAATCACAATGGGACTACTGAACCTGCCGCCTAGTCTCCGATACAAACCAGAAAACATGTACTTGGTCGGCATTATCCCTGGACCCAGAGAACCAGCTCTCGATGAAATAAATCATTTTCTTCGACCAATAGTCGACTTTTTTATATCGTCATGGAAAGATGGCACAAGATTTACGAGGACATTTCAACATGCTGAAGGGAGACTTTTGAGGTCTGTCATTGCAGTGGCATCAACGATTCACCAGCTGCTCGCAAACTTGCAGGATGTGTGGGGCCTACTGCAAATCAAATGTGCGGACTTTGCTGGAAGTAAAAGTCAGAGATTGCGAACTTTGACTACGATACTTGGAGACAATGTATGTGCAAAGAACAAAGAGCAGCTGCAGAAGAATGGAAAAGTGCAGCAACGAAGTCATAACATGACAAAGCATTTAAGTGACATGGAGTGAGGTGATCCGAGCTTCTATGACTACCTTACTGGGATCCAGTGAGGTTCGTCATTGTAGACGGCATGCACAACCTCTTTCTTGGGTTGGTGCAACATCATTTCAGAGACTTGATTACCATAGACAAGCAGGCGAGCAAGACAATCAGGGCGATCAGGAAGCCAGATAAAAGACCTTTGGATCCAGAGGAATTAGATAGGGGTAGAACACTCTTGAAATCGAACCCCACCATCTCTGCAATGACCCACTTATGGGTGTCTGTCCTAGAAGCTCTGATCCAAGAAGCGGGGATAATATTGCTGGGCAGTGGTAAACATAGCATGAAAACAAAAATGGCCGAAGCCTTGCTGGTGCATTGTCCATTTTATCGTCATAATCTCCATTGACAACTTGATAGGTTGAACCAACTCGCTGTGCCTCAGTGAACGACAAAGATCGGATGCAAGTAGACGACAAAACATTTATCATGGAGGAATTAGTAAAGCAGTGTGCGGCTGAAGTAGAAGGGAAAAACAACCAAAAGGGCATATCTGGCGAAGTCCTCACAGACGTAGAGATCGATCAAATTCAAGCAGAACTGCACAGCATCAAGCGACCTTCATGGCACCGCGAACCGCTGAAAAACCTGGGGGAAGCAGAGCACGGTAAGATCAAGGCAGAGCAATGGCGATCTGCAATTGAATTTGACTTACCGGTGATTCTCGCAAAACTCTGGGGGATGGATCATATGAAGCCTGGTGATGAAAACAGAAAACGGAGGCAAAAGTTAGCTCATAGCACAATGCTGCTGGCGATGGCAATCCAATGGGGAACATCACATGTAACGTCGACGCACCACACTCAGCAGTACCTCATATACATGAAGGCCTACCTGGAGTGTATCCGGGACATTTTTCCAAGCCATTCTTTCCGCCCTAACCACCACTCCTGTCTCCACCTTCATGAATTTCTTCTAAGATATGGACCTATGCACGGCTGGTGGATGTTTCCCTTTGAGAGGATCATCGGAGGCCTGCAGAAAACCAATATGAACTACAAGATTGGTGAGCATGAATGGAAATACGGGAAACATATTGAATAGGGTTCTTCAGGGGAGTTAGAAAGAACTATGTTAGAAACATTCTGCACAGCTGCACACATCAAGGCAATGCTTCAAGAACCTGGTGCACCTGATGTTCTCAACAAAGCAGCTGAGATACTGCAGCAATGCTGCGCTCCATTCACAGAAGGAGCATTTGTATGGACACTGGCATCCTGCACACAGCAATGGAAGCAATTCCATATATCTTGCATGTTGAAACCAATATCATCAATACCCCTACTTCAGAAGTCCTCTGACACACATGGGAAAAGGCAAGGACTCAACTGCATGGAAATGACATCATCACCGAGTATAAATGGCTGAACATAGCAGGATTGCAATATTGCAGTTGCAACTATTCACGGGCGGATAGTTGTGTGTTCTTCAAGAACATATTGGCAAAAATTGTACTGGGTGTTATTGAACACATGTTTTCTGTGGAGGAGGATCACGAGCGGGTTTACTACATCATGGTCAGATGTTACTTACCGGTAGCTGCAGGGTACCAAGACCCCTTCCTAGGCTACAGCGACTTTGGCGCACAGATATGGAGCTGCACTTTTGACAGCCAGCTTGATATTGTACCAGTATGTAGGAGTAAAATTTGCCACACTATTTCAATGCCTTGGGGAAATGAATTGGTCCTAAAGGCAATAAACAGGGTGAATTCTCTGCTATTATATAAGTCTTACTTCAGTACTAACCTCTTACCCTGTAGGACTTTGGTGTATGACTGGTTGTCATCAGAGGTGGCAGATCGCACTGGTTTAGGAATATTGTAAACAATTTGTAAATGATTGTAGACCTGATAGTACATATTGGAAACATCGTGTATACAGTTTACAAAGCCCCAATGACACGTGTCACACTGCCTTGAAGTAAGAGGAAAAGTTCTGATAATGTGCCTGACTGGAGAGCATGCATTGTCATGTTCACAAGCACGCAGATAATGGCAAACCGAAGCAGCTGGGAGGCAGGTGAAGATCCTGCTGAGGGTGACATATGCATTGTGTTGTCCTCCGTCGTTGTCTATAGTAAGTAGTGATGAGATATCGTCTCAATAAAGATTCAACAGCATGTACTGATTGGCCCTCCACCCAGACCTTCAAGCTACTGTGCCCATTAAAGCAGCTGCCGATAACAACAGTGCACCCAGTACGCCCTTCATGCAGCTACCCCATGTTAGATGGAGAGGGATACATGCTAGAATTGTACTTACCACTACAGGTATGATCTGATCACCCCGATTGCCATGTTCCAACTGACCTCAGTATACACCAGTACTATAATGAAATATGCGAGCAAAACCATCGTTGCCCCCGATGAAAATGAGCCCTGCTTGTCGAGCAATGGAGATTTGCAAAGGCATATTCCACAGGATCACATGGCTGTATGACTGGACACATTGGAGGGTAGGCACAGAGTATTTGTCTACCCCATCTTTAAGATTGCTTACAAGGAGGAAATTGCCCTCGAGGGTGGTATTCCCACTACAGCAGAGGAATCAGTAATCATGTGCGTGGAGTGAATGCCCAACTTACATCCTTCCCTGGACTTTCTTGCATCATTTCAAATCCCAGGGTTTGATGTAATAGCAGAAACTAGTGTTACAGTCAGAGTAAAATCACAGTTGTTGTGGTACATGTACATCTCACTGCTTTCTAGATATGATACCAGTAGTGAAGCACCATTGTCGTAGAAGTGTACCGTGTGTGCCACATACGGCTGCTTGTCGAGCTTTGAGGTGATGGAAGTGAGAGTTTCTAACACAAAGTCAATACAACACAAGTACTGGTGATTTGACAACGAACTGTCTGGCATGAAGTTCCAAACATGGGGCCGACCGTCACCAGCACTTGCCAGTCGGTGATGAACGGGATCCCAAGCAAGCGACTCTACCGGACCCGAGTGACCAATGGTAGTACTGTGAAATTTGAAAAGTGCCTGACAGGAATGAACATTATCAGTGACCCAAGTGATCGCACTAATATATCCAGCTGCTGGTGAAATGATTTCTTGAATCATTTCACCAGATGTGAGGTTCCATACCACAACTCTACTATCATTGCCTATCTCAGCTGTGAGCATGAGTGAGCAAAGAAATTGCATGACTAGCTACCTCCAGTAAGGAGCAATGCTCCATGCATGCTCATAGCCAATACATCGACCGCTTTGGTGTGGCGATTAAGAGTAAATCTGTTGGTAAACTAAATCGGCGTCAGTGAACATAGAGCTCCACTGGACTTTACCACTTACATCCATGACTGACTTTGGGACACATTCGAAAAGCCGACATATTTAACCTGGTAGATTGGCATTGAGATAGATTTCATCTTTGTTGACAAAAGACTTGCAAGAAAAGCACCAGAATGCAACACTGACAATTGTATGGATGGATGGAGGTAAAATGCTTGTATGAAAAGCGCCGAAATGCAGTGCCAACAATGGAACAATTGTATGGATGGAGATATGAATGGATGGAGACAAAGACAAGCGATGGAGACAAAGTGGAGTAGTGTGCATTGATGAGGTACGGTTACCTTATTAAACAAGAAAGAGCTGATCAAGTGCAACTTCTATTGTGATTGCAAAATGAAGAGTACCAGGCATACTTTAAGTTCACGAAATCAATAGATTGCACCAGTCATGGCATTCAAATTACCTTCTTGCAAATTCAGCACTGTAAAAATACGATTCAATCTGTAAAGCAGACCATCAGCTCCTGGAACATAGTTTTCTTTCCTTAACTTGTAGTACCTTCTCCACTCTCTTTCCTTGAACCTGAACCTAATCAAAGATCCTTTAAGGTTGAATGTTCTTGCTAGCAGGAGTAGCAGCTAGGCAGAGCAGGAGACTCATATATTTTGGTTTGGTGCTTTTAACTACAGCCCAGCCAAAACTTGTTCACCACACTGGGTTTCAATGCGCAGGGCTTATGAGAGGAATAGACAAAGGAAGTTGCACAAAGAAGACAAGGCAGGTGCAAATCCATGCAACCATTGTATCATTTCATCTCTTATGATGTCCTCTTATGCATTTATTTATATTCATGAATTTCTCTTATGATATTTAGGCCCAGTGGACTTGGACTCAGGATGTAGACATGGACATGGGAAGTGACATGAGGATTGGCATGGAATATTCTACAGGTACTTTGGTGCCAACAAGAGACAAGGCTATTCTAAAGGCACTTTGGCACCAGGACCACGGCATAGACTAATCGAGGAAGGCAAGATCCTCATCCAAATGCACCAATTCAGTTGACATGGAATAGGCCTGGTGAGACAGCGTGATAAGACAACTCTGCTGAGAGCACCTACTTTGGCGTATTGTGCAGATAATGCTCTTGAGGTGTTGGTTCTCAGCCCTGAGACATTCCACCTGACTCTCAACCTCATCAATGCCATCAGTAGGGACACTGTGCATGCTCTCTTTACCCTTGTCAGCTTTAACTGCACAGGAAGGCAAGGCCTTGATAGTGCAAATAGGCACCTCCTTCTCCTCAACCTCAGACTCTCCAGACCCAGATAAATCAATGTCCATGATGTCCTGGGCGACGAATGAGACAGTGCAATGAACAGAGCCAGAAACTGATGCAGCTCAGAGAGATGTGTTTGGCGTGGACCCCGGCTTGCAAGGCGCAGCAGTCTTATTAGTCGACTCTACCAGTACAAGCGCTATCAGTTAAAGGTACAGGCAAGAGGAAGAAATGCACTCTTGCACGAAAACAAGCAGGTCCTCTTGGCAGACGTGCAAGAAAGGCAATGCCTTCCAGGTGCACCTTTACACTTCAGCCCATCAGCCACACAGTGCATGCAACTAGGTGCCTCAGGATGCACGCCAGATTGCTAAGTATAGCCATACAAGTTAAGCATGCAAGAGAAGAGAAAACCATCACATACCACCACCAACTTTCCCCACTTTCCTTAGAGGCAGGCGGGACGACCTCCACTACCATCTTCTGCAAGGAGTACCTAGGACGCACAGGAGTCTGAGGAATGGGAACCACAACAGCCCTTTCCTTGATCTTGCAAATGTCCTTCAAGAAAGCCTTGTAAGTGCGTTTACCTTCCTCCAATGTCTTCTCTCCGGCATTGTTGAATTCAAGCTCTATCTTCAAATGTGCCGCTGTTGTGGCAGCTTTCGTGAGTTGCACCTACAAGAAGGCCACTTAGCACTCAGGTGGATCCAAGAAGGCTACTAACATGCAGCTAACTCCAACTGTGCATCCATGTCTCTCTATCCTCAAACAACTCAGGATTATCACCAGGAATGATTTTGACCTGGGTGTCCAATGCCTGCAATAGCGTGGCCCAAGAATGGAATACCTTTTTCTCTTCAGTCTCTGGGACCTCTTGGACTGGTGTGTCAGTCTCCTCGGCTGGGAAGACAGGGTGCACATCAGGCTCAGGAGTAGGAGAAAAGGTGAGCAGAGCAGAGTTGAAAGGTGCCATCTTGTTGAGAGGCAGATCACTGATGAGATGGATAAGACAGAAGAAGAGAACCACAACACGTTTTTCATCAATTCAACCACTCTTCCAAATTAGGTCAACTCCTGTGATCACATGATTTTCACATCCACAACTTTTTCTAAGTCCATTTGTGCCTTAATGAACTGACTGAGGATAGTCAGTAGCCAAGTCCCCCACAGATATAGAGACTGAAATCTTTACAGGCTGATATGGGTATAATTTACATCCTTTTCACAATGCACTCACTATCCTCACAACACATATTTGGGTGTGTTACGGTGTAGAGGCTCATGCCCCTACAGGAGTATTTCCAGCATCTTCCCTCTCCCTCTATAGGCACCCTCACATAGCTAAGGAGGCATGCGCCTTACAGGCACACCGCACTATGAGCACTTGTGGCCGCTCGCGCTCACACACTGGATTCTGTTGCATGTCCTCCGCATGTCCTGTCAATGTCCCCCCTGGTCCATTGGTGCGTGTTTCCTTTTGTTTGAGTCATCCTGATAATATCTCCATGTCATACAACACTCTTCGCATTATGGACCCTTACTTACGCGCTGTTACACATTGTACATACTCGCTTGCTTGGCTCCGCACCATGGGAAAGTGCTTGGTGGTACTTACGTGTTAGAATTAGTTTTTCATACTTACTTCTGTTCCACGAGCATCACAGTCCATCGCCCCAGTTACTATTTGAATCCACTCAAGTTTTCTTAGTATCCGCACTTGAAATTATCAGCACATGCCATATATTTGGTGGCCACATCATCAGCGCATTCGAAGCACTTCACACAGAATCATACTCTTTTCAGCGCATTTAGGCTTTAGCGCTCTACTTAGGTTTTCTAGACCGCAGTTCTAGTCTTGGATCTCCCTCACTTTACATTAGAGGAATCTATTCTTGTTACAAACAGTGCGAGTTCGCAACTGGAACTTGGATAGGGGCTCTTGCTAAGCCTGCTGAGACCAGTGAGCATTTGATAGCAAGAGTTCACAGCAATAGCTTCATCAAATAGACTAAGGTATTATCGACAATTAGCACGACGTGTCTCTAATCGTGTTCCTCAGCTAGCAGGACTATCAAGCGATGAGCTCAATAGAGATTAAGATGAGAAAGCGAAGCTTGCTTAAGGCTTCTAGCAGATAGGCAGGTAGAACCAAGTAGATTCAAGTTAGAGAATACAAGCGGTACCCTACTGGTATATATAGGTAGGAAGTGGTTGAGGGCAGGACTGCCGAATTAGTGGTAAGGGCAAAGGGGAACAAGTCATATGTAAGATAGCACCAGTTGGATGGTAAGGGTAAAGGGGAAGTGAGTCAGAGATAGGTACCGGTCAGGCGGTAAGGGCATAGGGTTGTGAGTCAGAGAAACAGAATGATGGTAACAGTAAAATGTGCACAGCGATCTAGAAGAGCTGTGTGTTTGAAGTGAAATGATGTAGTAAGTACAAGTAAGACAAAGAGAAAGAGAAAGAGAATAGGGGCCTAACATGACCCGATTTTTTTGTAACAATTCTCAGTAGCAATCCCCTTGGGACGACTGTTGCTCACTTCCAGAGGAGCACTTGAGAGCCTCACTACACACTCCCCCTAGTATCCACTTATCATTCCTCGCCCTCAACGGTGCACTTCATTGCACTTCCATAGGATCTGTCACCCATCCTCCACATGTCCTGTCCTAGTCCTCCAAGGTCCACTGGTGCATATTCCTCTCATCAGGACTCATATTCCATCACGCAGGCACTTGTACTTATTATTATTTTGTTATGGACCCTGACTTACCTCACCATTACCTTAGTGCTCCCTACTCAGTTCCAAGCCCTGGGAACTCGCTTAGCATACTTACATGTCACCATGTTTGTTTTTCTGTACTTACTTCCATTTCACTACCATCTCAGTGTTTAGCAGGAGTTTCTATCTAAATCCAGAAGTTTCCCTCCTGTTGGTGCTTTGACACCCTTAAGCATCTATTGCCACATCTATCATTCCTCTTGATTCTCTATTTAATTGCCACCTTGACTCAAAGCACTCCATTGAGATCACACGAAGCACACTTTTCCGCACTTTCTGCTTTATTAGTGCCTTTTAGGCGCCTTTCATCAGTGCACTTCACTTTTGGGTGCATTATTTGCATCAGTGTTCCACATAGGCCTCTAGACCGAAGCTCTAGTCATTGATCTCCCTCACCTTTTTATTAGAGGAATCATTCTCAGTAGCAATCCCCTTTGGATGACTTTTCACTTGTATCCAGAGGAGCACTTAAGAGCCCACTTCCCACTCTTCTCCCTTAGCATTCAGCTATCATTCCTCGCCATCAATGAGAATGAGTATAATCTAACATGATATTTGAACTGAGGAACTCTACAGGAGTTGTACAGAGTTTTATATACTGGAAGGGATCTGAGAGGATCAGTAAGCAGGAGACTAATGCTATGTATGAACATGTGGAAACACATTAGTAAGTGAGACGGAATATAAGTAAATGAACTCGGATATGAACAAAGTACAAGGATCAATGAGCAAGACAGCAACAGAGATAACTGAAGTCCAGAGTCAAGGGGATTACCATAAGTGGATAGATGCTGATTTAAGGTTTGAGTTTTGATATAAAGTATAGGTCAGATCTGGAGATCTGGGAAGTGACTATCAGATCAGGTGTCTGGATATTGGATCCAGAATTGGATGGAATGTGCTCAAGATGGATGGGACAAAGCATGGATGATGTAGGCTAACTGCAGAAGTCTGGAGGTGTAGAGTATAGAGGTACAGGGGTACAGATATGGATGTGTAGAGGTGTATAGATTTGGATGTACTGGGATCTGGATGGATAGAGGTCTGGAGACATGGAATGGGGGTCCAGATGTCCAGACAAGGTGTGGGAACATTGTTAGATGTAGGTCCAGAATGCAGGATATGACACATGTTCTGGAAGTACCATGACTTTTGCCTCACTCCTGTCTAATACCTATGCTGATGATTGCTTTGATGATAGCTTTTCAACCTCATAAGCATCTTCAAATGCTTCTGTACTCCAGTGATACACTTGCATGTACTTATACTATAAGTTGGTTTTGATCTATCTTATTTGTGTTACTTGTATTTGATTACTTTGTTTTTTGACCAATTGCTATCAATTGGGGGTTTCTGTGGTGACAAGTAGATGAAATTGAAGTCTTCGATCTTAAGTGATGATATGTACATTTGTTCACTCTACATTGTATGATGTTCTTGAGTCCTCACTTGCAGACCAGGCCATTTTCCTGGATATTCAAGGTAGGGTTTCTACTATTATCACAACAGTTCTAATCCCTATATGCTCACTTCCACTCAAATAAATCTTGACTTCAAACTTCAACTACTGACTTTCTAATTTCAGAACCCAGTCTATTCCTGGTCTTATGCTGCCAACTTGGTGAGCTCTGAAGGCTCAGATCCTTGTATGCATCTACATACAATGAAGACAAGTCTGGCGGGGAAGCTGGCCATGGGTTGGGAGCTTCACAGGGTGCTCCAGCACTGCTCTCTCATGTTGGGTTTTCTCCTGGCTAATTTCATATGGTGAGCTATCCCTAAGTACTGCTTTTGCCCTCCCAATATTGCCTTTGCCTGCATTCTGCTTATGCAGATGCCTTGCTTCCTCTTTGGCGATGCTGCTATGCTACCTCTTATCTGCTACCTCTCACCAAGCTGCCTTGTGCTACACCACCTTTTGCTGAGCAATCTTTTCCAGGGGATCTGAGGCTCACCTCGCTGTGTCACATTCACTCCTACTTTCTTGGGATTCTCAGCTCACCTTGGCTCACTCTTGCACAGGTTTAGGCTGCTATGGGGGCCAGGTGCCCCTCTTGGGGCTCTGCCCAAATAGCTATCTGCATCCAGTCAATGCAAACATTCTCTCTCACTCTCTCACTGAAACTGCTGCATGATAGCCCCCACAAAGTCACTATCAGTTGCATAAAACCTCTTGTACAGCTCTAACAAATGGTAGAAGTGTATATTAAACCTGAAATATATTTATGCCATAAATTTTTCACTATCTCTGTCACAGAGAGGTTTCATTTAGAGCTATCTGAGAGCTCAGAAAGAGCCCAGTAAGATATACCATAAGCAGTGCTGTGACTAGATAGAAAACTAGTGTAAATTATAAAAATTCAGCACCAGGCATACTTGAACTTGAGCATTCACAATCTAATATTGCAAACATTCTACAGAGACATACCACTAGAACACAGGTCCTTGTATAACTATGTTACTATTAGTGCATCAGGAAATAAACCTGGAATTGATATGACCAGGTAGAGCTGACAGATATAACTCATTATGGATTTAGAATTCTACATAATTATCTTTGTGCAATATGTATATGAAATAATATATGACTATGCTAGGGATATATCATTTCATTAAATTTTGTAGTATAGTTTGAATGCATACTGGCAGTTTACTGCCATACCCATGCAATCCGTCAATGTCTGTTTGAAGACTTGTACCTGTTGGTACCTCTGGATACATGAGTATGGGTATATGGTGGGTATGGGTGCAGGTAGAGCTCTGGACACCTGTGGGTTAACCCATGCTAATCCCTGATTGCAGCTTTTATATCCTTTCAAATATATGTTGCATGCTTATAAGGAGATACCTCTAGCATAGCTATATATTCTTTCATACATATGCTGCATAATCATAAGATGCATATCAAAATCACATATCCTTAATATAGTCATATATTCTTTCATATATTTGTTGCATACTTGTAAAATACATGTCAAAATGACATGCCCCTAGTATAGTCATGTATTCTCTCATATATTTGTCATATCCTTATAAGATGCATATCAAAATGAGATACCCCTAGCATAGCAATATATTCTTTCATACATATGCTGCATACTTGTAAGATGTGTATCAAAATGACATGCCCCTAGTATAGCCATACATTCTCTCATACATTTGTCATATACTTATAAGATGCATATCAAAATGATATATTCCTAGCATAGTCATGTATTCTTTCATATATATGTCACATACTTATAAGGTGCTTAATAAAATGATATATCCCCAGCATAGTCATATATTACTTCATATGCATGTTGCAGAGATAATAACATATAATGCTAAATCTAGATGTATCATAATGGGTATTATTTGTCAGCTCTTATAAGATGTATATCAACATGAAATGGTGTTAGCATAGCTATATACTCTTTCATACATATGTTGCATACTTATAAAATGCATATCAAAATGATATATCCCTAGCATAGTCATATATTCTTTCATATATACTCTACATACTTATAAGGTGCTTAACAAAATGATATATCCCTAACATAGTCATATATTATTTCATATACATGTTGCACAAAGATAATCCTAAATCTAGAAGTATCATAATGAGTTTTATTTGTTAGCTATACCTGGTGAGCTAGGATGAAGGCTATGCACTGAGATCTGCTTGGATGGATGGATGTGTGCTACTGTGAGAGCTATGTGTGTGTGTAGGTGCTATCTGACTAAGCTATGGAGACCTCTGTGAGCCTGTGTCTCTAGACTACTGCCTTGGGACCCCTGGTCCATGCACCCCCCTAAAAAACGACTGGCACTGGCCTCAATGTCACTCTCTACTCTCCTGTCTTATACCTTCCTTCTGTTTCTCTCATTGTTTCATTGTCTGTCTTCATCTTCATGTTCTTCCTCATCTTCATTTGTTTTTTCTTCGTCTTCTTCCTCCATTTGTTCTTCAACTTGTCTTGCTTCTTCTTGGTTTATTCTTTGTTTATCTTTGCTGTTTTCTTCATTCTCACTATTATCTCTCATTCTTCCCAACTCTCTTTCATATGTTTCATGATTCCTTGCTAATTCTGTGCCTTGCTGTGGTGTGAAAGCTCATAATCTCTTGGCGCTAAAGTCTCCTGGTAACTGATTTCCTTCAAGGTTTTCTAGTGTATACAAATTTAGTGCTCTTGCTCACACTCTTCGCAGAACAGACCATTTTGGTACAAGTTTCTGCTCCGTTTTGAATGTATAATCTAGATCATTATGGTAGACTTGAACTAATTGGCCTATTTTGAATATCACTTCACCTGGTGCTCATTGCAATATCTTCTTGTCAAATCTTGCCTTTCACTTGATGGTGTTGTAGAGACTCGCATTTCTGTGGGTTGTTATGGGCCTATATTACACCTTTTCACAACTCATGACAATTGGCCTTCAATGCACAACTCACACCATCATCCACATCCGACTTCTACTATGTCTCTGGTCATTCCACATATCATGCACAGCTTTCCCGCAAAACACGCCATAGGCGCGCTACTTTCCGCACTATGCGCAGCATTCCTGCATGTGCGCCTTGTGCACTTTCTTGCACATCATCCAGGAGCGTCCATCCACTGTCCAACCAGCCCATTGGTATGTATTAGTTCGCTATTCTTACTATTTCCCATTACCTTTCATTATTACATACTTTGTATGGCACCATTTTCTTAGGCCGAGTAGGCATTACATACTGCTTACATCACACTGGTTCACTTTGTGTTGAGCCGAAGAGGCAAAAAAAAACTTCTCTTACCACCCATCTACTACCACTTAGAGGCAGTAGAGAGCTGCACTATAGACCAACAATCATATTTCCACTTGATATAGACTTTATCTTGCATCAAGAACCACTTTTCTCATGCTTTGCGCGTCCCCTTGGAGGCTTATTCCATGGATCCTTGCTTTCTTTGCTTCCCCTTTAGGGTCAGACATTCTTGCATTCTGTGAGTATAGCAGCTAGGCAGAGCTGAGACTCACTTATACTGGCTTAGCACACTATTCCATTCTGCGCCTGCCAGGTTGTGATACCCACACTGGTCTTCACCAGGACTGATGGACTTGGACAGGGACGAATCACCTGGTAGCACACCAGAGCATGATGCCACCTTGTCTACCGGGCACTTCATGTTCCATTACAATCACCTGACAATGGCTGTTGGCAATGACCCCTCCTCACCAGCCAAATGTTGGGTGTTCCAGGCCAATCGCCAGATGAAGGCCATCGGCCATGACATATGTGAGTCCAGCAGCCCACTGATTTGTCAACACTATTAATGAGTGTCCAGCAGATCAACATGTGCATGCCATTGTGGAAAATGCAGTGCATGGACTCAATGCAGATCAGGTGCCTGCTCAAATCCTCATGGCAAACAGGTGGGTGCTTGATGCTTTTGCAGATGCCTGAAATCAGGTCACCAACATCAGCTATGACATGAGCACGCTGCACCGACTCATCCAACTTCAACGTGGGTTGCTGAGAACAGTCGATCATGTCATTCCCCAACTAACCCTAACTAACCCTAATGCGCATTGACTTGACTGTAGTCTTGATGTTGCATTATTGATGAGAGATGATATTAGCGTGTGTGTATGCTATTTTCTCTGTTGTCTTGGGGTGTGCTTTTTGGTGGTCTTGCTGTTGTGTTGATTTCACTGATCTTGACTTCATTTTGCTTGATTTTGATGTTTTATTGCTGTTTTATTGCTTGACTTTGCTTGATTTCATCTGTCTTGTTGCTGTCGTAGTCTTGCATGTCGTCTTGTATTGCGTGTCTTGTGGCGACTCTAACCGAGTCACCGAGTCACCAAGAGAATATGTTTTTAGACGAGACAACAAGAAACCTAAAACACTAACGGGTGGGGGGTGGGGTCGAACCCTAAACTCTAACGTGGTGGTTGAACCTAACTGCGCGTATTCTCTTGCTATGCTTATTGAGCGTTTGTCTTGTATCGTAGTGTATCGTGTCTTGTTCTTAGTCTGTCGGATTGTATTGTATCATGGTCTGTTGTGTCTCTTGACTTTGGTGCGTCATCGTAGTCTTAAGCGTCGCATTTCTTATCCTTGACTTGGCTGACCCTCATCCTTGTTATGTGGATGCTTTCTTGATTTTTGATGGTCGTGTTCTATGGTTTCTTGTCCTTATCCTTGTCTTTTCATTGGGGGCACTTTCTTGATTCTTCTGATTTTGTTTTGACTGTCATGGTCTACGCTTAGAGTCCTTGACCTGGTCCTTGACTTTGAAGGTGTTTTCTTGATTATTTGGTGGTCTTTGCTTTGGTTATCTTCCTTGTCGTAGCCCTCGTCTGGTGGGCATGATGCGTGGGTCGAGGTTGGAATTTCGTTTGTTGTTGACTTGATTTTGCTTGATTTTTGCTGTTTCGTTCCTTGACTTTTCTTGATTTATGGACTGTCTTTGATTTCCTGGTCTTGCTTATCATATGCTTATCATGGTGCTTGTCTGAAGTGATGCGTCAGACTAGGACGGAACCTCGCTTTCGCTTGACTTGATTTTGCTTGATTTTTGTCGTTTTGTCGTCTTTTTATTGCTGGGCGTTGCTTGATTTCTGCTGTGATGTGGGTGTGGTAGTCTTGTCTTTGGAGTGATGCATGGGCCTAGGACAGGATCTCATTTCAACTTGACTGCATTTTGCTTGATTTTTGTGATTTTCGATGTTTTATCACTGTGGTGGTCTTGTTTATTATGTGCGTATCTTAGCGCTCATCTGGAATGATGCGTGGGCCGAGGATGGGATCTCGTTTCATCTTGCCTTGATTTTGCTTGATTTTGCTGTTTTGTTGCTTTTGTATTGCTTGATCTTGGCTGTGTTGTTGTCAACGTGGGTTGCTGAGAACAGTTGATCATGTCATTGGATCTCTGGAGGATCGCCCACAGTAGATGTAATGCAGATATTTGATGGATTTAGAACCTCATGCAATGCAGAATTAATTGTGATTTCTGGAATATACAAGATGGTGAACCAAGCAAGTTGTGCCCGGGACAATTGAATTTTCATTTAAATGACATCTAAGAGACAGCAAGGGAAATTTGATTCATGATCTGTCAAAGTTGGCAGCATATCTGGAGTTGGGCTTCTTTGATCTGTTTGGCTGGACATCCGCAGTTTTGCTCCTGGTATGTTTGGCCAGAGATTCATCCAATGGATCTTCAGCAGGTTGTTTCTTTCCCTTTGTTTGCACCCTGGTCCTTCTATGAGGAGAGTCATGCGAGACGATTTCGGCACCATGCCACTTTGTGAGATTCAGATGTCTGGGGGACTCTTGCGAGCTGGATGGTTCAACCACATTGGAATGGTCACCCAGTTTAGACCTCAATGCACTGCCGGGATGAGATGCTGGCCCCACTTTTCTGGGTTTGTCCAATGGAGTTGGTGGAACTCGAGAGGCAGATGGCTCCTGAGAAATCTTAGCAGCCTTGGCCATGTTCTTGGCCAATTTGGCCCAGAAACCGGTTGCTGGTTCTCTATTCTCAGGAGGTGCTATGATCTTTACTGGGCGACTGGTTTTTTCTTTAACCAGGCATTTGCCCTTTCTTGTGGCCAGCATTTCATCATCCAAAGATTTGTCTGATGAATCTGGCATGCCGATCAGATTGGTTGACTCATCTGAGGACACCTGAGATTTTGACTTCCAGTGTTTCTTTGCTGTTTTCTTTGAAGGTTTTTGCCTACGGGTCAAGACACCGTCCTCATCAGAGCTGTCTGATGTATCATCCACCATTGCAGTGGGATTTTGCCCAGTCCTTTTTCAGGTCTTGCCATTTCCTCCCGAATTCTTCCCTTGCTGGTCATCCACCGGTGTGGGTAACACAACAAAGTGAACGCAAGTCAGATGACAAGCAAACACTCTCTATGTTGGGTCTTGATATGCCGTGCGATATGTTCGACCCTTAAGGGAAGCAAAGAAAGCAAGAATCCACGAAATGATGCTGATCAACCCTGATCAAAGGCGACAAAAGGGCGATGTAAGCGCGAGAAATGCACTCAAGGCGTGCGCGGGAAAGTGAAATGCGAAAATGCGCGAAGCGCGGGAAGGCGAAAGTATGAAAGGCGAAAATGCACAGAGAACTGGAATGGTAGTGCAAGCAGTGCACAAGTGTAGAGAGACAATGATATGGTGAAAGTGCAGATATTGATGGATACTGATACTGCCACTAGCTTTAGACTGATGCTAGGGCCTTAAGACGATGATGGACGCATGCATTGCATGGAACTAACTGCCAAGTATATGGTGGTGAAAGATCTCAGTGGTAGGAAGCTAAGGTGTAAAACGAACATGAAAGTATGTAAGTTCTACCTAAGCGCTCTCCCAGGGCTCAGAGCCGAATAGGGAGTGCTCTTAGTATGTAAGTGAGGTAAAATGATGTAAAGTAAGGGTGCATAACGAAATACAAAGTGTAATAGGCTAAATATGGTCTGATAATGAAAAGGGACACACCTAGGAACTGGTTGGACGATGGATGGATGCTCCTGGATGATGCGTGATGGAGTGCGCTTAAGCGCAAGAAATGTGCTAAGTGCGCGTGCCGGAACGCGAAACGCGAAAATGTGAGAAAGTGTTGTGCCTATGGCGCGTTTTACAGGGGAGCTGTGCATTGTATGCGCAAATGACTGGAGACATAGCAGAAGTTGCGTATGGAGTAGGGCGACAAGTGCGAGAGAAATGCACTAAGCGCGCGCAGGAATGCTGCGCATTGTGTGGAAAAGTAGCGTGCCTATGGCGCGTTTCGTGGGAAAGCTGCGTGTTATGTGTAAAACGACTAGAGACATGATAGAAGTCGAATATAGCTGATGGTGCAAGTTGTGCATTGAAGGCCAATTGTCATGAGTTGTGAAAAGGTGCAAAATGTGCCCATATGTGCCTGCAGAAACGCAAGTCTCTACACTGGTTTATCATCTTCAAATAAGCTCATCTTTCTGATAGGGGGTTTCACCTCTTTGTCCGCCTTGCTCCACCAACTGCAGAACTCGAAAGTGATATCCCAGCAGGTTGTTGTCTGTTGTACCAGAAATCCAACAATTCAGTAGCATCGTTCCAATTCATCCTCGATGGCTCCCAAATTTTTCTTCTCTCTGGAAGATAAGATGGTGGTATGAGCTCTTCTTGCCAAGGTATCACTTCACTCCAAGGCACAGGATCCTTGGTCCTTCCACTGCAGTCTTCTGATATAATTGTCACATCATCATCCGAGAAATACAATTTGTTCACCTACCATAATGCCAATTCAAGAAGGCCCAGACAATGGCCTTCCGGTGTCCTGCATGGTATGCAACTCATACCATGACAGATACACAAGAGGTGTGATAAGGAAGGTATAATAGACCCTACTGTATCCTATCACCAAGTTACCCCATCATTTTCCCCCTAGTTATTAGCTAGTATTTTCACTTTCAAACTTCACTTCCATTTTTCCATGTATTTCTATTTAGTTCTATGACATTCCATCTCTTTCTATTTTTCCTAGGCACATTCAGCCAACAGACTTTTCTTTTCAGCCACCAAACATGTTTGTAAGCATGTCATGTGACTGGTAAATATCATGATTTGTCATGCTTTGTAAGATTTCTAACTGTATTTATAAGCTACTTAGTAAGAAGGCTGATTCAGCACACCAAATGGCATTGTTTGTAAGCACATTCTTACCAATCCATGTGATGATTCATGCTTTGTAATCAGGGCCTCCAAAAGGTATATAAGGAGCCAAATTTTGCCATGTAATAAATGGAGCACTTCCCACCTTCACTCATCTCAAACAGTGTGAGATTAAGTAAGAACCTAAGTACAGGCAAATCATTAGCCTCAAAGTAAGACTAAGAAACATTTATTCAATTATATACTACCTTACAGGGGTTGATTATATAATTTATCAGCTATTCTAACTAAGTTTAACCCATACTATTTTCCTCTCTCTTTTACAGGAAGGGAGACATGTTTCACGCTACACAATACACAAGCACACTAACTCTCAGACACAATTCATACCATAGACTCAGTATACAGAATCAAATTGTTTTAAACTAACCAAAGAACAAGGAAAGAAGGTATATTGAAATAAATCCTCCCAAGAACTCACATGTTATCTACCACAAAAACTAGAAAAGTCATAGACCGTATACTTAAGGACTGGCAATAAGTCTTATCCTGTATATTGTGTTGTCACTATATATGTAAGTGGCATACATGAGACCCTTCTGCATGCACCCACTGAACTGTTTTGCGACATAGCCCTCCCATTCTGGCAGTATAACCTCCCAATCACAAGTCTTGATGAAGCTTTCCCCATTGCCAAACTCCTCATTGTAGGCATGGCTGTCCATTGTTGAGACCCGGCATTCTTTTATCACATCTCGACATTGCTCACCTTGACACCATGAGTTTTCCCTCTTTGTTCTTCCAGGCCAACATCATGAACAGCCGCATTCTGGCCTTCTTGAACATTTCCTTGGCCACGTACCAGAGAATGTCCTCGCCCTTTCATCTTGCCATGTCTGCCTGAAGCTCCGGAGAAACACCCTGCTTGTTCCACTCTGCAGCCATCTCGGTAGCCTCCTTCTTGGTCAGAGAATTCACCATGTCTGTCAGATATCTAGCGTAATGGTTCATCATTTCCAGCTCTCTGGGCTTCGTGCCAGTCTCAGCCTTGATCTTCTTCAGGAGTTCCCTCTTCCTCAGAGACTCGACAACAGATTGGTACGTCCACTTCCAGCCTAGATTGATGGGAGGTTTGACTTCCTTCTTCCCCCCATGGTTCTGCAGCCATTTTCTGTGGACCTGAACACAGGATATCTAAATGCATGTCTTGCAATTCATGGCAACATGCATTCACGTTCTTCCGGGACCTCAACGACTCAGCTTTCATGGCAGGCGCCTTCACCCGAGCCTCTCTTGTGGCATCCTCCCAGACCATATTTCTCTCTGCACCCGAAGTGGACTTCCATTGCTCAAGGTAGCTGTCTTTTTTTCTTTTCTTTTTTTAAATCCAATTTTGTCCATTTGGGGTATAGTACCCTATGTAGGACATTACTAACTAGGAATGGGGGACACCTGTGTCCCCCACCGCATCTCCGACTTCGCAAATGCCCTGGTGGGGGGCGACCCCCACCAGTCTGCCGTTCACACCGGCTGTTTTAGAAGGTAGCTGTCTAGAACAGCCACCTCCTGTTCATTCAATGGCAGGTGCTTCGGAGCGTCCTCACCCGACTGCTAGTCATTCCCTGTCATGGAAGAAAGATGTTGGAATGGGAAGACGACAGATGGGAGCAAGAATAGTCTGGAAAGGTTTCAGTTGAGCAAGGTTTAGATAATTAGCATACATCTGAGGCTAAATTAAGTGAGACTGGGCCTGAACAAACAAGACTAGCATTGTGTTGTAGATTCACATTCGGAATCATTATGTTTCAGGCTATCTTTGCCTTAGATTCAGATGCATTACATCTCCCTATAATTGAGCCTAGTCCTTGAACTTCGAAATAAGACTATGGAATCATGCAGGATGCATGGACTTTCTTCGTCTTTGCTACAATCACCTAGGAATCAACTCAATTCATTCTTACTGGGATATCTTGACCATGATTTGTGCGTCTTCATAAGTGTTGTGCTTTGATGTCTCGATCATTGTTTCTTAGTCCATAGTGTTGTGTTAGGCCATATGCATCGATCTTCCTGATCGTTCGATAGCAATACAGTCCATTGAGCTTCATCCTTGCATTGATCAAGATGTGAACCCTATGTTTCCATGTTCAAATGCAGTATTATACAATATGACTCAAGCTATTTTAGGGACGGTCTTGTTAAGGCAGGATGCAATAATAGATCAGCCCTTGTCTTTTATCATCTCACAGACCTCAGTATGGCCAAGTCGAAGGCAAAGGAGGTCATGCCTTGCGGGACCGTGCATCTAGTAAAATGGGTGCGGACAAACACCACCCGAGGGGTGAAAGGTTGGTGGGTATCAGAAAAATGCAAGAATACAGGGAGATCTGCACAGTCTTCCCCGACCAAGTCACCCACCAAGTCGCCCACCAAGCAGCCTTCAGACAAGACCATGCATAGGTTCTCTGAGGACTTTGATGCAAGCTACAATGACCAAGGGGGCATCAATCGCATACGACTTCCAAATGGCCGGGGAAAGAAAAAAACAGCTGTGAGTTGGTCTCCTCAATTCCATTGATGTCCAGCTAATCTTGTGGTGTAGAGTCCCAATGAGTACCTCTGGCAGTGGAAGTATAGGACCCATGATTATCTGGACATCATGCTTCAATGGGAGGCGCCTCCTCCAGACTGTGTATGCTGTTTGTGCGGTGGGGATGGGACCCAGGAGTGCCAGTGGCCATTCCACCATATCAGTCAATGGAACAGAGATTTCTTTGAGAGGACCACTCTGACCAAGCTAGGCATTGAGATTCATGCTGGCCATGGGGGAAAGCCTTGCCAAACCTATGACTGGGAATGGGAGGACACGGATGATGAAGATCAGTATGCTCCTGGAACTCCAGGACCAGGTGAAGATGCACCATCTGCAGAAGTGCCTCCGGGATCGCCAGAGGCTTATGATGGAGAACCTGATGTATTTGTAGAATTGGTATCAGGGGCAGCTGCCCAGGACTCACCGGAGGTAAACATACTGCCTGCAGGAATAACAGTAATCACAGTGGTGCACACTTCAGGCATTCATACCATGTCGATAAGATTCTGTCAATGCCCTGATGCCGAAACACTTGTCAAACAGCTTTTAAAATGGGATTGTTCCCAGCATCTTTCACCCACCTGAAGATCACATTCACCTTTGCATTGCTGTATGATTTCATCCTGGACAATCTGGAGTGCGGGACTTCGGCAATGAACTATTACAGCAAACTCAAGCGCATCACATCCAGCGTGTTTCCACATTTATTACCGGTGAGTTCCAACAAGATCATACCAATCATGAGCTGAGTCTTGGAAGGACCAATATCAGGAGTTGATGAGGGTGGCTAGGCAGTGGTGACAACTGAAGCTTTTGAAATGGAATGGATTCTGCCATGAGAGGAAGGACCCAAAGGGTGGAGAGCTGGCTCTGTTCTGCCCCGCATGTCCTCAGCCTGGGATCAATGTTGCAGTACCAACCAAATATGACGCATCACCAAAGTGGCTTTACACCTGATTGTTGGTTATGGACGGCAATTTCAAAGCCAAACATCTTCACCCTACACACCCAGAAGATGAGGTTTGGCTCACCAACGGGCAATGTTTCATGGTGGCAAGAGCCAGATACCAAGCTCATCTCGCCAACTCAAAGGACTTGGCACAAAGGTCTGAATGCAATAACCATAGAGCAGTGAACCAGGCCAATGCCTCTAGGCACAAATTGGAGGCCACCGGAATCGGGGGGTGCACCTGTGCCAGGCACAGGTGCTTTGTTCTGAATTCAATGGTGGATTTTCAAAAGGGTGAAAGGTGAGTTGTTCACAAAGTATGCAGTTCTGCTTGAATTTTAGGAGAAGACAGATGAAAATGGACTATGCCCTATGCAATGCCCTGAGCTATAATACAGATGGGCTTAGCCAGGCTTTTACGTTTTATGATGTCAACTGCCAGTACAACAAGCACCTCCAGCGGCGGGTGGGCGAGAGCCTGCATCTCACCATTCCTTCTGGAATGGAGATCATTCCGGGAATCAGGCTTTGGCACATTCATGGCCACCAAGACAAATGCTTCATCTGGTACGCATCCAACTTCATCCCAGGCACAGCCAGAATAGACGGTGAAATTATGGAGACCCTATGGGCGCCTCTGAATATAATTTCGCCTTCAGCTTGGGGGATGTCAATGCCGTATAGACAGGAATGCCTGGATTATCAGATGAACAACTGTAATTTCATGAAGATGATCTGAATGGGTCAGTTTTATCCACTTGCATGTTTGCATACTGCTGTGTGACCTGTGTTGTGTTGAAAATAGGGTTGTTCTTGTCCCAGAAATACAAAGAGGCAAACAAGGCATCCAAGAAAGCACCGAGGCCTTTCAGAAGTGGAATGATGCAGCAGATCCGGAAATGGTGCAGTGGTGGGAAGCGGAAGAAAATGAAGTGCATGCTTGCCAAATGACAGATCCCTCGGCCATGGACATTTATGATGTCTGGTTGCACAAGGGTATGTATCAGGATTCGCCAATATAGCTGTTTTGTTGATCTGAGATTCTGGAAGCATGATCCTGGAAGGAGGTGGAGATAGCTTTGCTGCATAACTCAGCTCCCCGGCCAGGAGAAAGATCTCAGCTGGAGGCCCTCACTTGGTTGGCATCCGGGATTACCATTGAAGAAATGCGGATAGCACTGGCCATGGAGATCAGGAGGGCAGGCAAACATCAGACTGAGACCCAGACATTGGAGATCAGCCGTCGCTGGGTCAGGTTGGAACACTCCATTGATGAGTTCATTGCAGGAGCAGCAAGATATCTCGGTGAATAATATGATGCGGATGATTGCATTGCAGTGTGGAAGAGAAATAGCGACTAGGCTGGTTAGAAACTAGCACTACTTATCCAAATAGGCGCGAGTGTAGTATTTGACCCAAGAGGACTGCTATTGAAGCAACTCCCTTCTAATATGCAAGGGTAGCGATAGCGCTGTCCTGCATGATTTGGGAATCATGCATGGACATGACTACTAGGTATCCCCCTAAAAGACAAAGTCTGTTAGCTTAGTCCTCAGACTAGTCAACCCATACCTTGGTATCAAACCTTGGTCCAATAGTTTCAGTTTTCCCTCAGTGATTCATGAATCCACCATGTTTTGAAGAAAAGTCATATGTGAGATGGGAATCACATAATGACCTAGTTGATATGAGAAGCAAAATGAAGGTTAATGTATTGCCTTTCATTTGGCTTATTCACTTTGGCTAGAGAAACCCATAGAGAAAAGTTCAAAGCCTAACAAAAACCTATCTAAAAAGCCTGCGTATTGTGTACTATTATTTGTTCCATTATTTCTGAGTTGTTTTCTCTAGTGTTTCTTTACTTTACTTTTCTATTAGGATGCTCTGACTAATCAGATGCTTCATAAAATTGTACCTACAGGGTATGATGTCATAATGATGTCATAGGACTTCACCTACACTCCTGCAGGTATTTTGGTTGAAAGATATGATATCATAGTGATGTCATAATGATGTCATGTTCCATGGAATTTGCTAGAACATTCCAATGACTCATAATGACTCATAGTGACTCATAGTGACTCAGAATGATGTCGTTATCCCACCATGAATATTCTGGAATGTTCTTTTGCACTTGCTAGAACATTCTGCTCCAGTTTTTGGAATATTCTTCTCACATTCTGAAGTCATTACATCACCTTTTTACTTACATAATATTCCCACACAAAATGTATATAAGGAGAGCCCATTCTCCCCCAAAAAATAGATCTCCCACTTGTTGCATTCAAGAACTCCCACTTGAGCAAATTGAACTCTCACCTAAGAAGCTTCAGTCTGAACAAATTGCTGCTTACAAAGCCCATTTCCTTTGTAAGAACTGTCCAGGCAAGTGCAGGGAAAGTGTTTCCCTTGAGATTACGTAAGTTTCTCGCGATAGAAACCCAGTTTTGTGAGACCAGTGTTCTCACCACGTAGTGTTTACTGACCAACACGAGCTTTGGTCACCGTTGTTTTTTGTGAGACCAGCGTTCTCACCAGGTATTTGTATACTGACCAACACGAGCTTTGGTCATTGTTGTTATTTGTCATTGTTTTATATTTGTCATTTGTTGTTATTTGTGAGACCAGCGTTCTCACCAGGTATTTGTATATTGACCAACATGAGCTTTGGTCCACGTAGTCACATTTGAGACCAGCTTCTCAACAGTTAACCGTATATTCAGGAAACCAGTTCAAGTGTCTAGACGGTATATCCTAGACAATCTCATAGTTTCAATCAGAGATAATAAAGCTCCGGCTAAGTTAATCTGACTGATTGGTTTAGCGAGCCTCCCAAGAACTCACACGTTATCTACTACGAAAGAAGAAAAGTCGTAGACCATGTTAATCGAGGACTGGCAAGAAGTCTTATCCAGTGTAATTGTGGTGTCATTACATTCTTACACGTATTTATATAAGACCCTCGGTTATTAAGACAGCGCGAAGGACTAATAACCTATAGCGACCTAAGACCAAAAAAACTGATGAGTAGCGCTGTAGCAATCTGCGACTAGCAATGAGTTCCGACAGAGAAATGTGCATATAAGTGAGAAGCGCTATGCAAGTTGTTTTATGTGGTAGCACTATGCGACATCCAACTAGCAACAGCGAGAAGAAATCAAAGGAAGCGAAAGCGAGGAGTTAAGGTAAGACAGTGCAAGTGAAATGCCTGATAGTGACTAGATTATAGCTCGACTACCGATAGTGATCCCGACGTTGCGAAAGTCAGACTTAAGAGGGAAACTTTAGCGACGCGCACTCAAAGCAAGTCAAGCGACACGCAATCAGAGAGATTGGCAAGAGCGGAATCAATTGCACCAAAACTAGGATATAGCGACTAAAGTGACTCCGACACCAGCAAAGGTCCGGGGAAGGGAAGTACTGTACTGTATGTGCGACAGGTCATTTTATCATACTGCGTAAAAGTTTGGGAAAGCGTAGGTGAGAATAGTAGCGACACTTGCGAGGGCACGATGTAGCGACAGGTAATAAAACATGCTGCACTGCGGAACATGAGGATAAATGTAATAAGACCTGCGACTGATGAGTAGCGACATTTAAGGAAAAATAATGCACCAGCGGAGGTAGGTGGACATAGGCAGGACATGGAAGGACGGAATACCTAGGCGTCAGACCGGGTAGCGCACTATGGGAGAAAAGTGGTTCCAAAGCGGATAGCTTGGGAGCTGAATGGTGCTGGTGACTAGTGCCTTACTCTTTTCCTCTAGGCAATGCAAAATATGCCTATGACACTCATACGCGCCTAGCACTGGTATGATTGTCACAGCGGACATAAACATCAACTTCCTGGAGGATGGGCTTGATAGCAATTGTTCCAACAATGATGTTCCGGACGTGGGGGGACACCGACCTTGGGTGTTGTTTAGACCAAAAATAGCTGACATCCCTCTCCTGTTGAATTGGGATTAGAGAGGTGCAAGGAGTTCGGCATCATTGGTCTTGTCAGCAAAGAGATCACCCTGCGGGAAGGGCAGGCCAATGACATGCTGCATGCAATCAGAGTTCACCTGGCTGACAAGGCTGTCTTGTTTAGGACCACAGTCTGGCCAGCAAAGTCTCAAGCCACCACCACACAAGCATAGGCCCAGGTCCACTCTGTGGAATGAGTCATCAACCTCAACAGCAAGATTTACAAGAAATTCAGGGCCCAACTGACCAATCTTCAGGCAGACCAACTGTTGGAAAATACCGGGAGTTGGAGAAAAAGGATCTCAAAGCCACCTCAGCTGTAGCTGATCCCAATGCCTGAGGTCAAAGAAATTCTACACTGCCTTGGTTTTGGTCATTGGACATTGGAGGAGACTCAGTGAGCAACAACTGGATGAATGAATGTGAGTCATTCTTGGGACCTTTGTTCTCGACTCATGTCCACCTGAAATCCAGTTTATAGGGTGCATTGGCTTCATACCAAGGCTTTACGGGACCGGTGAGGGGGAGGAATGATAGCTGCGTGCTAGGGGGAAGAGTGGGAAGTGGGCTCTCAAGTGCTCCTCTGGATACAAGTGGAAAGTCGTCCCAAGGGGATTGCTACTGAGAAAGATTCCTCTAGTGAAAGGTGAGGGGGATCTATAACCAGTGGTTCGGTCTCGAAGCCTGAAGGGGACACTGAGGCAAATAATGCACCCAAAAGCGAAGTGCACTAGCTAAAGGCGCCTAAATGCGCTAACAAGGCGGAAAGTGCGGAAAAGCGCGCTTCAATGTCAAAGTGCACTTCGTGCGATCACAATGGAGTGCTTTGAGTAGAGATGACAATCAAATGGGGGAATCAGGACTTTGATAGATGTAGAAATAGACACTTAAAGGTGTCAAAGCACCAATAGGAAGGAAAACCGGTGTATTCAGATAGAACATCGAGCTATACACTTTGATGGTAGTGGAGTGGAAGTAAGTGACAGGAAAACAAACATGGTGACATGTAGGTATGCTAAGCGAGTTCCCATGGCTCGGAGCCGAATAGGAAGTACTAAGGTAAATGGTGAGGTAAGTCAGGGTCCATAACGAGATATGATGATAAGTACTAGTGCCTGCATGATGGAGTATGAGTTCTGAAGAAGGGAAAATGCACCAATGGACCTTGGAGGACTAGGACAGGACATGCGGAGGACAGGTGACAGATCCTAAGGAAATGCAACGAAGTGCACCGTAACGCGCTCAAACGCACTCGGACGCGCTGGTACACGCCGAAGCGCGCGTTGCGCGGAAGTCGTATGAGAAGTGTGTTGTAAGGATATTGAGTGCGTCGTGAAAAGCCGTGAATTTGGCCCATATGAGCCTGGAGAAATGTGAATCTCTACACCGGTGAGCCGAAGAATTACTCCTGATTGGACACAAGATGCGTTGGACGATCAAATTTCTTGCACACAAAGCCGAAACCTGGCTTGGCCGAACAACCTGAAATGGTGAGCCTGTAGAGGATGGGCTGAGATGTTATGTGATCAGACAAGTGCAGATGTACAGACAATTGGTGGAGGATACTCATGCTGGATTTGCAGAAGTCAACCAAACATTCGGTCACAACTTGTAATGTCTTCAGTAGATTCCGTGTGGCAACCTTTTCCATGTATGTAGTCACAGCTATGTGGAAACAATGCAGTTTTATATTGTTTCATTTCGGGCGCATTGTTTGCCCGGTGGACAGATGATTGTCTGGCCACAGATGGATCAGACTGGGTTTGAATTGCTGGCCATTTATACTGACAGATCATTGCGGCATTCACAACTTGCAACCTCACGCATTTCCCCCACATATTAAAACCCACCCAAATTATGTCATATGCATTCACCCGGGAAAATTCATCCCAACCTGCACCCACCTTATGGGATGTGGCGAATATATTTGAATATGCCACCTCCCACTTTGCTGCGATCCGGGAGTCCCTGGACAAGAGCCAAGTATCTCGCACTCCACATTACCAAGAGTGATTTGTCCCGCATCTGGTTTGGGAAGACAATGTGAGTCTTTTTTATATCCCGGGTCTTCACTTTCTTCAATCCGGTGTGAAAGAGAAATAGCGACTAGGCTGGTTAGAAACTAGCACTACTTGTCCAAATAGGCGCGAGTGTAGTATTCGACCCAAGAGGACTGCTATTGAAGCAACTCCTTTCAAATATGCAAGGGTAGCGATGACGCGAAGGGCTAATAACCTATAGCGACCTAAGACCAAAAAAAAAGTAATGAGTAGCATTGTAGCGATCAGCGACTAGCGACAAGTGAGTTCTGACAGAGAAACGTGCATATAAGTGAGGAGCGCTATGCAAGTTGTCCTATGTGATAGCGCTATGTGACGTCCAACTAGCGACAGCGAGAAGAAATCAAAAGAAGGGAAAGCGAGGAATAAGGTATGATAGTGCAAGTGGAATGCCCGATAGCGACTAGATTATAGCTTGACTACCGATAGCGATCCCAACATTGCGAAAATCAAACTTATGAGGGAACTTTAGCAACGCACACTCAAAGCAAGTCAAGCGACACGCGATCAGAGAGATTGGCAAGAGCGGAATCAATTGCACCAAAACTAGGATATAGCGACTAAAGTGACTCCGACACCAGCAAAGGTCCGGGGAAGGGAAGTACTGTACTGTATGTGCGACAGGTCATTTTATCATACTGCGTAAAAGTTCGGGAATGCGTAGGCGAGAATAGTAGCGACACTGATGAAGGCACGATGTAGCGACAGGTAATAAGACATGCAGCGCAGCGGAACATGAGGATGCATGTAATAAGACCTGCGACTGATGAGTAGCGACATTTAAGGAAAAATAATGCACCAGCAGAGGTAGGTGGACGTAGGCAGGACATGGGAGGGCGGAATACCTAGACATCGGACCGGGTAGCGCGCTATGGGAGAAAAGCGGTTCCAAAGCGGATAGCTTGGGAGCTGAATAGCGCTGATGACTAGTGCCTTACTCTTTTCCTCTAGGCAAGTCAAAATATGCCTATGACACTCATACGTGCCTAGCGCTGGTATGATTGTCACAGTGGGAAGTTGTTCCCAGTATCCTTTAAATTGTTTGGCTGTTCCCAGTAGATTGCCGGCAGCTTTCCATGCGGCTGCGCAAAGGTTCCTGTTGAGGACTGTCAGAATTGCCCTGGCATTGAGAAAACATACACACCATGCATTGATTGTCTTCTGGATATGCATTGCCTTGGCTTTGTTTGGCGCGTTCGGAGCTTTTGGCACTGCGGGAGTCTTCAATTTGACCGGATGAGGCTTTGGTTTTGATTTTGCGTTGGTGGTGGGGGGCGCAGGAGTCTCTGCAGTGACAGGAATGATGGGCAGTGTCGGTAATGTTGCGGGAATAGAAGGTATCGCAGGAATAGGAATAGGTGTTGCAGGAATTGATGGTGTCGATGAGCTCGAAGGTGTCTGTCGGAAGGTGCCTGAAACACCCGCTACTCTAGAGTTGAGTCTAAGAGGATTCTTCACCTTGGTATTCAATGTCAGAACCAATCAATCGAAAGGTGGATGCGCTACTTACCTGAGGAACAAAGGAAGCTGGTGGGACCTCGGGTGTGTTGATGTGAGTGGGATTGGCAATGGCTGGATCAGCCACTGCTGTAGTCTTTGCGACAGCGTCACTCACTGCAAGCAGATCACTGGAGCTGTGATTACTAATCACTTTCAACACAGGATCTATGAGGTTGTCGAGAGAGGTAGGGTTTGTAGCAGTGATAGGGATGGTGGGGGTGTCGAAGATGACGGAGATCACATTAGGCTCGACGGGCATGGCCCAGGTAGACTCGATGGGGAGCTCTGAAGTAGCAAGGATAGGGATGGTGGGGGTGTTGAAGACGACGGATGTCACATCAGGCTTGACGGGCATGGTAGACACAATGGGGAGCTCTGAGGTAGTACTGGTGGGGCTGTCCACATACTCGAGTTCTTCATCCTCAAGTGGAATCTCCTTGACTTTTTGCTTCTTGCTGTGTGATGATGATGAGTCTGTATTTGTGTGCTTCTTGCCATTAGTGATATGATACTTGTACCACTGCAAGTAGTTGTGTGTCGCGAGAAGATCTGCTTTCCAGTTGTCCGAACAGTACCGAAACTCGACAAAATTCAACCGGATGGTATGGTAGAATGTTTGTTTGACATCGAGTGCCACTTGCGACCATCCAGAGGGAAGCTTTAAATTTCCTTGATTGAGCTGATGGAGGTAAGCAAAAAAATGTTGCGCATAATCTTTGCACAATGACCGTCAACAGGCACCCCATCAGCGCCTTTGATGTATAGACAGGCTACATTTTCACCCTTGGCAAGTCTGGATGATCCACACGTGCTTGCGGATAAGCCAAGCTTGGTAACACTCTTTTCAGCATGGAGGTGCTGTGACCATTTTGACCGAGTCCAAAATTTGATGGAGGGGAAATTCGCAGGACTGAGTTCTTTATCGACATCATCTAGTGCAGGAATTGTTGGTGGATCTTGAGGATTGCATCCAAGGGAGTTCGAAAGGGTGATAAATGAGCCTCTGCAATCTTTGTTAGGACGTAAATGACATAAAAAATTAACTCACTGTAATGTGTCTAGTTTTGCTGCAAGGAATTCTCTATCCCGTGCTAATTGATGGTTCTGTTGCTCAAGTGCGTGAATGTGCTGCTTGGACTCCTCTAGTTGATTCTCAAGACGCATATATGTACTACTATTGTTGGAGTCCAGCGACAAGTGGCTGCTGCTTCGAGAGAAAAGGGAGCTGTGCGAAGATGTACCACTCGAAATGCTTGCTGAGTGAAATGGGGGTGATTCAAATCCATCAACCAGCGGGGTGGAATGCCCATACTGAGGTGTATCTCCAAGTTGTCCCAAGAAATTCCTAGAGAAATTAAATGGTTGTAGAGAGTCATGTGTGTTGTTATTCATAGTGTATAAGCAAGAGTGAAGGGATGTTGCGCAATGGTGGCAGGAAGAAAGGGGTGTCGTTGATGTTACTGGGTTGAAAACTTGAACTATTAAGTCTTTCAAACTCTGATTGATGTACTGCTGCGTCACAATTCACTAAGTCCCTCTCACATACGCTATGTCACTACCACAGGCTCTTCAAGACTTTTTTGACATGTTGTCTGATCCAGATATTGAAGGATATGATGCCGATACAAGGTAATGTACATTCCATCTGTCGAAATCTTAATATTTAATGCTGTAACTATGATAGCCTTAGTCTCTCTGAGTCCGACATGCCTCCAGGTCTGATGACACCATCAGATGATCTTGTTGTTGACCCTGCATACTGGCTTGCAAATCCGGAGCGAGAGCATCTCATGAGACAACAGTTTAATGAGTCTGTTAATATGTGAGTGTGTTATGTTGTCTTAATTCTCGCTATTGAATCAATTCACTTGAAGGTGTCCTACATCTACAGCACTGGAGTCTGACTTGACCATTACTATTCTCCCTTGAACTCTCGATACTGGCAGTGCGACGGAGTCTGAGAGTGATCCGACAAATCCCACTATGGCTCACATTCCATGTCGTCCTTATCAAGATGACACTGGTAGCACTACGGAGTCCGAGAGCGAAACGGACAGCTTACTCAATGGCTATTTTGTCATATGATCCATTGTAGTACATACTTTGAAATACATTTATACCTCGTCTGTCTCTGTCTCTGTCTCTGTCTCTGTCTCGTCTCTGTCTCTGTCTCTGTCTCTGTCTCTGTCTCTGTCTCTGTCTCTGTCTCTGTCTCTGTCTCTGTCTCTGTCTCTGTCTCTGTCTCTGTCTCTGTCTCTGTCTCTGTCTCCATCTCCTTCCTCATCTTCATCAACATGGCCTGCAAATTGAGCAACATCAAGACCAGGTTTTTTAACAAGGAAGAAACGAAGTTCTGGGTTGTTGGGGAGCTTATGGGGGATCATTGTGATGACAGCTTGAATTTCAAAGACCTCGACAACCACAAGTGCTTCGTTGCCTCAATGTGTGCATGAGTATAAAGTATTGTAAGACTCTCGTAGAAGCTCGTAATCAGGTGCCGAATATAGGGATACAAGAGCAAGAGTTTTGACAGCTCCATTCAAGTTCATCTGAAAATAAAACTGAACCTCGCCGAATTGTATGTGGTCATTGATACAAAGCTGGAGTATTGTTTTTAGCTGGAGTATCACAATTTGAAGTAGTGCCAACTTACCTTCACATTGCGTGCCATGCGTAGCATATGTGTCATAGTATTTTCCTTCCAACTCGATCGTGCAACTTGGCCATTCGGAATTCACAGACGGGCCCATCGAACAATTCGCGGACATTGATTTGCAGTAGTGTTGATACCATGAGTGCCAAGGTATGAAACAAGGGCATTTGCTTGATGTGGTGGTAGGTGATGGGCAGTGTGTTCTCATTTGTTGAGCAGTACATATCCATGACCCAGGTCAGATGAGCAGCGCGGGAGTGTGTCTGTTGGTGGGTCGAGAGTGGGAATCATAACTTTCAGTGCGTTGACTTGACAACGTCGAACACTGCATCCAGACAAGTTCGCATAAGGTTGAGAATGCGAACGAATTTCGCGGCCAAGGTTGCTGATTGTGTGTTCCATGGTCCACTGTGAAGAGCAGATTGGAGGACCCTTTGTGACAGTCTCGGGTGCGAGATGTCCAAGTGAATGTGCCCATGGTCACATGAAATGGAGGCGGTCGACACAACACTGATAGTACAGGAGTTCAAACTCTTTCTCGAACTGTGTGAGCATCTCGTGAGCTTCACACAAGTCAGCTCCGAGAATTTTGTGTTGCTGCATGATTCGAATCCCACAAATGAGCTTGCAAAAGTTCTTCCAGTAGATGTCTGGGAGAACACCATAAAGGATTGCAGGTCCGAGGCCAAAGAGATAGAGTAAGAACTCCCAAGCCTTGTATCCACTGTTGATTTTCTGTGCAGGGTTGTGAGGGAGACGATCAAATGACCTGGGAAGGTAAGGAGTTGCATCTGCTACAGCTTTTCCGTGGTCCTGCCATACCCGACCCTCGAGAACAGCCCATTCCCATGTCTCCTTATTGTCAGTGGGTTCACACCGAAACGAGCCATGCCAGATTGGAATAAGTTCATCAGCGATGTTGATTGCAGCAAGGTGCATGATATCAGACCCGAAACAGCCAGGAATACCAAGGATATTGTTGGGTTGTATACCAAGAAAGATAGTGGGTTTCAAGATACCTGTTTGGAGATGGCGCTGCTCATACTGATTTTGGGTGTGTGATTCCATCAGGTGCTTAAGGCTTTCGAGATAGTTTCCCAAAGATGCTGGAGAAAGGCTCTTGACGTTGATATCAGGATGGTTAGAACTGGCGTGATCATAGTTGTTTGGCTTAAGAAGTGCAGGATAATAATGTCCACCAGCACCTGGTTTATGGCGCCCTCTCGTACCACAGTAAAGTCGACAGCCATTACCTCCATGCGAACCTATGAGTCCATTGAGATAAACCATGCCCAGGCCATCTGCAGTTGCAAGAGCAAGGAAGGGAGTTGATTTGAATACACGATTTCGTGATGCGTCCCAGTGAGACCTTCACGCTGAACGGCCGCGAGGTGATATAGGCCAGGAAACAAGAATGAGTCCACATTCTTCAGCTTGTTGGGACCAGGAATAAATCCACCAGGTAGTACATACTTCTGCTTGTAGTGGTCCTGCGGGTGGTGGTCAAACACTACACAGATATATATCCAGCAGTCAGACTGCTTACTCTCATACAACTGAGCACCATCAATCGAAAGCATGAGGATAGGATCACCCTCTTTGATCTTGCCCAATCGGACAGCATCAAGATAATCTGTTCCATCAAAGAAATCTTCGTAAGCATCAATAATGCCACCATTTGTCTTGAGCTTGCTGAGAAGCACACTGGTGGCATCATCCCAATATCGCATCTTTTGGGCACTGCTAGGGTCCCTCCAAAGTGCCTGAATCTGGTCTGCAACAGGTATAGTCTCAAAGACACGAACAGGCACCTTTTTTCTCCCGTGACTCTTTCGTAAGATATTCTGGTCATAACGATCTTGCCCGCACTTTGGACACTTGTTGTGGTGTTGCCAGGGCCTGCAAAATGCGATACATGAGTCTATGCACATGTCATGCACAATAGGTTGAATTCTGCTAAGAAGGGCAACACGATGACAGACTTGATAGTGTGATAAGACTTCGGAGTTAGGAAAGTGTTCCATGATAGCCTGGCGGATGGAATTGTAAGCGGCTTCAGTGGTGTCGGCAAGGAACAGCTTCAATGACAAGAGTACATCAGGATCGTCAATAGTGAGAACCTCTTGAGGTGGGTTGCAAAGGCGTTCAAGAGCGTCTGGATCTATATTGATAACTCCATCATCCAATGTTGCACTACGAAGGGCTTCGATAAAGACCATGGCATCTTTGATGTCGTCAAGTCTTGTAAGACGAGAGAGCTCCGTAAGGTCCGCGTCGTTGAGTCCAACAGTATGATCTTGTTGGGGGTCTGCACCATTAGTTTAGGCTTGCCTGGTGGCATAAATTGGATACATACTGTGATCCAGCTGATGAATATCAACATCGGGTCCATGGAAATTACCTTCGTCATCCTGATTTGCGATGTTGTGTCCCTCATCATGATCCTCATTGGCATGGCCCTGGGTACCATCATCACGAGTCTCGAATATGTTCTCAGGAGCAGGGGTGTTATCATGTCCATGAAATGTGTTATTGTGGTCCTGGATCCCATCATCACTGTGAGGTACGAAGTCCGGTGTGACAATCATATCAGCGCTAGGTGCGTATGAGTGTCATAGGCACATTTTGCCTTACCTAGAGGAAAGGAGTAAAGCGCTAGTCACCAGCGCTATTCAGCTCCCAAGCTATCCGCTTTGGAACCGCTTTTCTCCCATAGCGCGCTACCCGGTCCGACGTCTAGGTATTCCGCCCTCCCATGTCCTGCCTACGTCCACCTACCTCTGCTGGTGCATTATTTTTCCTTAAATGTCGCTACTCATCAGTCGCAGGTCTTATTACATGCATCCTCATGTTCCGCTGCGCTGCATGTCTTATTACCTGTCGCTACATCGTGCCTTCATCAGTGTCGCTACTATTCTCGCCTACGCATTCCCGAACTTTTACGCAGTATGATAAAATGACCTGTCGCACATACAGTACAGTACTTCCCTTCCCCGGACCTTTGCTGGTGTCGGAGTCACTTTAGTCGCTATATCCTAGTTTTGGTGCAATTGATTCCGCTCTTGCCAATCTCTCTGATCGCGTGTCGCTTGACTTGCTTTGAGTGTGCGTTGCTAAAGTTCCCTCATAAGTTTGATTTTCGCAATGTTGGGATCGCTATCGGTAGTCAAGCTATAATCTAGTCGCTATCGGGCATTCCACTTGCACTATCATACCTTATTCCTCGCTTTCCCTTCTTTTGATTTCTTCTCGCTGTCGCTAGTTGGACGTCACATAGCGCTATCACATAGGACAACTTGCATAGCGCTCCTCACTTATATGCACGTTTCTCTGTCAGAACTCACTTGTCGCTAGTCGCTGATCGCTACAATGCTACTCATTACTTTTTTTTTGGTCTTAGGTCGCTATAGGTTATTAGCCCTTCGCGTCATCGCTACCCTTGCATATTTGAAAGGAGTTGCTTCAATAGCAGTCCTCTTGGGTCGAATACTACACTCGCGCCTATTTGGACAAGTAGTGCTAGTTTCTAACCAGCCTAGTCGCATTTACTCTTTCACACTGGTATGTCCTCCTGTATAGGTTGTGCTATGTCAGAATATCGAAACCCTCGAGAATATTGATACATCTTACCTTGAAGTGCAAAGAACTATCAACTGATATGTCTGCGGCCTCTTCGACACGTCTGCACTTGACAGGAGTAGGGTCACGCATGAGCTGGACATCTGTGTCATTGGGCCGGACACTGACGGATGTAGTGCTAGAATTCGACTGGATCAATGTGGTGAGGGATTTGTCGAAACGGCCTTGGGAGCATGATATTTAGCATGACAGAAGTACGTAGCTCGAGATACGCGCTGGGGAAGTCCTGCGCATTTCATAGTACAATTGCAGAGGAATTGCTGCTCCATGTGATCACGATTCGTGACTCGCAATACTGCAGATTACCCGAAGTGTGTGAGTGTGTAGTAGATCTATGTGCGAGTGTGCACAATGTGTAGGAAACACAGGACCGTGAAAAAACTCGACCGTCGTGTGTAGGATTGCACAGGAAATGCAGGAAATGCAGGCTGTATGCGCTGATGGTCACTGTAGAAAGTTAAAACTGATCTTATCTGCAGAGTGTAGGATTGTTTGGACCAATACATATCATCACTGTTCAATTTATATCGATTGTATCTACCCTATTCGATTTATATCCACCTCTACCTTGCTTGTTTTCACTGGGCATCAAGTCCTACATGATCACCCTGGGTCCAGTCGTTAACCAATCCCATACCCATGATGGCCAGTCAAATCCTACATTGTCACCCTGGCCCAGTCCTTGAATTGTACCCATCCCTGGGCCCAGTCATCAAATCCTACATTGTCACACTGGGCCAGGTCGTCGAATCATATGCACGCCCAGGCCTGCCTATCAAATCCTACATTGCCACCCTGAGCCCAGTTTTTGAATCGTGCCCATGCCCATGCCCATGCCCAGGCCCAACCATCAAATCCTACATTGTCACCCTGTGCCTGGTTGTTTGAATCATACCCATGCCTGGGCCAGCCCATCAAATCCTACGTCGCCATCCTGGGCCCGGTCATTGAATCATACCCATGCCTGGGCCCGCCCATCAAATCCTACATTGTCACCCTGGGCCCGGTCATTGAATCATACCCATGCCTGGGCCCGCCCATCAAATCCTATGTTGCCACCCTGGGCCCGGTCATTGAATCATGCCCATGCCTTGGCCCTCCTGTCAAATCCTACATCATCCCCTTGGGCCTGGTCGTTAAAATCATACCTTATCCCCTGGGCATGGCCATAAAAACCAGGATCATTGCATTGGGCCCAGTCATGAACCATAACCATACCTGGGCCCACCCGTCAGATCCTACATCATCACCCTAGGCCTGGGTGTCAAAACCTGCATCATCCCCTTGGGCCCGGTCGTTAACCATAACCATAACTGGGCCCAGGCATCAAAACTTGTATCATCCCCTTGGGCCCGGTCGTTAACCATAACCATACCTGGGCCTGCCTGTCAAATCCTAGATCATCCCCTTGGGCCCAGTCGTCAACCATAACCATACCCAGGCCTGCCCGTCAGATCCTACATCATTGCCCTAGGCCCAGGTGTCAAAACCTGCATCATCCCCTTGGGCCCGGTCATTAACCATAACCAGTGTGACAATCATACCAGTGCTAGGTGCGTATGAGTGTCATAGGCATATTTTGCCTTGCCTAGAGGAAAAAGAGTAAAGCGCTAGTTACCAGCGCTTCAACTCCCAAGCTATCCGCTTTGGAACCACTTTTCTCCCATAGAGCGCTACCCGGTCCGATGCCTAGGTATTCTGTCCTCCCATGTCCTGCCTATGTCCACCTACCTCCGCTGGTGCATCCCTTGCTTATTAGTAGGGAGTTGCTTCAATAGCAGTCCTCTTGGGTCGAATACTACACTCGCGCCTATTTGGATAAGTAGCGCTAGTCTTCTAACAGCCTAGTCACTATTTCTCTTTCACACCGGGCCCGCCCATCAAATGCTACACCATCACCTTGGACCCGGTCATTCAACCATTTCCATTCCACATCCCTCAGGCCCAACTGTCAAATCCTACATCATCCTGGGCCTGGCCGTCAGATTCTACATCACCCTGAACCCGGTCATTAAATCCTACATTGCAATTCGGGCTCGGCCCACCACCACCACCAGCTCATCATCACATGCCCCTTGGGCCCAACCATCCTGTCAGTTGCCACCTGTGGGCCTGGCCGTTCATATTGAAGCATCACAAACATCATGGGCCCGGCTGTGCCTATCAGCCTACACTTGTCTCTGGGCCCACCTTGGGTGGCCATTTAACACAGGAAAAAGTTACTGAATGGGCTCTACTGTTTTGTTTATGATATTATGTCTCGAATAATAATCTGCTTGGCTACCTTATCTGCCTTGAGAACTATGATCTCCTTATTCTCAGGAGGTTCTAAGGTAATTCTAAGGAGATATTAAGGAGATATTAAGGAGATATTAAGGAGATATTAAGGAGATGGACCTCCTTATTCTCCTTATTTTAGGTGTGAACAAGCTTCCTTAAATGTTTCTCATTATGTAAATTAAGGCCAATAAGGCGGGATAAAGGAACCCAGTGATTTGCTGATCCAGCCCTCAGGCTGCATCTGCCTCTGTGTGCACACGTGCATTCAGCAGGTTTGAAAAGATTGGATGGAGTATCAAATTCCTGAAGAGGCTCATAGTAATCTACTGTGACAACACCAACATCAAGCACCAGAATACAGATGTATGTAGAGGCTGATCTGAAGTATCATCACATTACAGTCTTTCACTGAGAGCAAAAAGATAAGACGCACGGGCTACCAGGAGAAGAGTACACATGCATATGTGCATCGAAAGTCTTGAATGCAAAATGGACCGCATGAACAAATATGCACAAATATGAAGTGGACTACTTGTGAAAGGTGCCGGGTCCTGAGTGCCCGGAAGGAATCGGCACCACACATCCAGCAGAGCGGCAAGCCTGTCCTTCTTGCCCTGGGGCCTGGGTTCCCTTTCATCACTGCACTATACAACTCGCTCGCTCAAATCCGCTATACCCTCGCTCGCTCACATATTTTCACCCACCCACCACTCCCAGGATCAGTTATTGCACCTTTAATATCAGCCGTTCTTTGTCGATTACATACCAAATTTTTGTTACACTCTTAGCTTCATACATCTACACTCATAATGGTCATTCATTCAGCCCACTTGTCAAGTTTTCCCGCCCACCCAGCGGCAATCTCGCCAGCGTCCGAACCAAGCTAACGCTCGGCCCAGCCCAACCACTGTTTGTCTGACCATCAATGATTGTGCGATAGACAAAGCCCACTGCTGCGGCCAACTTCTGAGACTTGAGAGACCGTTCAGCCTTTAATTTACATAATACATTGCACTGTCTGCAGTAGCTATCATTGAAAGTACAACTCCGTGATATATGTAATGTCCGTCCATATGTGATGTATAAGTGTAGACACAAACGAAAAATTTAAGAAATGAGCTGACTAAAGGAAATGGACGGAACTAAGTCGGGGATGATCCCATTGAGTCAAGTTGTTTACACAACGCGTCTGCCTGAGCCTCAGTGCCTTCCGTGGTAGGTAAAATAAACTTAACCCTAGTATGTCGACGATAGATAACGTTCCAATCACTTCGGGGAGCGAATGAGCTCAAATCCCGGTTGTGTATCAGGGCGATACGAGTCATGAACCATGTCTCCCATTGCGGGGTCCACTCTCCATTCCACTTCTGGTACCTATGAAAGATATCAAGGGGAGGCCATAAACTAGACATGTCTACAGCGACGCCCAGAAGAAGTTGGATGTCTTGCGGGAACACCGCGTCATCTACGTGCGTGCCATTACGCTCAACGTTGCCATGTACGTAAGCATCGGTAGATGGCCCGGACAGGGCAGCTGCAAAGAGATGATCCGGTCCGTAGTGCAGTGCGATGCGCCATATAATACCACCCATTGTAAGGAAACGCCGGGCGTACGGACGGAGGAGTAATTCCCGGACTCTGTCCTCGTAAATCTGGAGGGATGTGATTCGATTATTGTACAGGGGTGGGTAAACGCAATCGAAATAGGCGGGGCGAGGGGCACAGAGGTTGTAACGAGGGCCAGTTACATCATGCGGGTCGACGAAGACTTGCCAGTCGATCCCCCGGGAGAGACAGCGGGTGGCGAAAAACCCTCTCGGTGCATCAGGATACTGATTTCCCCATAGGCGCAGTCTTATCTCCGTTCTCTTCGAGACTATGGAGTTACCACGAGCGACCAGGTGTAAGAAGTGAGATGGGGGATCAGATATGAGATGCAGAAGGCGATTCTGCAAGAAGGGGTTTTCCAAAGACACCGATGTGGGGGCATTGTTGGGCAGGCCAAGGAATGGTGCTCGATCGATGATCCAACGGGTTGTCGTGGTGTCCATAGCAGGCCCAGGACTCGTCTGGTCTAAACCTGTACCCGGTGTGACGTTCACAGGAGGCGACGGTTGTGATGGGTAAGACGAAGGGCCAGGGATTGGTGGAACAGTATGCAAGACTGGGGTTGAAGGACCTGCAACAGGATGAGCAGATACAAGAGCTAGACATGTTAAAGGTTAGTTCTATAGGGAATTAGGTTAAAATCGAAACTCACGATCACGGTTAGTGAAAAGTTGATGTGCTGATGACGAGCCGTAATCAGGAGAGGGTGCTATGACGAAATAAATCAGTTGTGGGTACTGGTGCAGTCAAGTGTAGACATACAACGACGATTTAATCGAAGACTGCGACTGCGATGACGCACGGACTGTTGGTATCTTATTCGACCTCTAATCGGTGATGGTGAACGATAACGGCGAGTTGAACGCTCAGGGGAACGCGAACGACCACGGTGAGAAATTGCGCAGTCCCACTGAGACGAACAATAGTCCCTGTATGACAACGATCTAGGAGAGACCGGTCGACGAGAGTGATAATCTTTGTAGGATGATGATGCATAGCGAGTGGGTGATACGGAGCTCCGACGCATACGGCGAGCTTCAGGAGCAATGGGCGTGCACGTGTGATAATTGGTATCAGCCGCCTTTCCTTTTCCCTGCGACACTGTATGGATGCGGTATAAATCAGCATCCATCCCATTGTCGCTGTCGTATACCAATCCTTGGGTGTCGTCTGTCATGACGACATCGTACATTTCATGGTCCACCTTGGACTGTTGCTCCTGCTCGAGTCGTTCCTGCTCTAATCGTTCTTTCTCCAGTCGTTCTTGCTCCAGTCGCGCCTGCTCGACTTGTTCTTGCTCGAGCCGTGCTTGCTCCAGTCGTTCTTCCTCGAGTCGTGCCTGTTCGAGGCTTTGTTGCTCCAATCGTTCTTTCTCCAGTCGCGCCTGCTCGACTTGTTCTTGCTCGAGTCGTACCTGCTCCAGCCTTTCCTGCCCCTGCCTTTCTTGCTCGAGTCGTTCCTGTTCCATCCTTTCTCGCTCCATTCTTTCCTCATTGAGTTTCTGGCACCCACCCTCTAATCGCTCCACCACACACTGAAGTTTCTGCCGCTCGGCCTGGCGCTGTGCCTGTTTTGCGAGATATGACTGTTTCATTTCAGATCGACGATTGGCGTCTGACAAGCCCTCTGCTTGGGTGGGTAGGAGCGAGGCCATTGGTCGATCTGGCAAGACGGGTGGAACTCGGTTCTGGGCTCCTGCTGCCAGAGCGAACCATCTGGCTCTCTCAGAGGCGGGATTGGGAATACCCAGCGTGCATCCAAAGACATGATGCTCGATGGTGTTGATAGCGAAAAGCCCGCACGAAGACGAATCCACCTGGTGACCATGAGACAAAGTAGGTCCTAAATCCTTGAATTCTCCGTCGAAACGTTTGGAGAACCACCATTGTAGCTTATTTATGATAAGTTCTGGCCGAGATTTAGGATCAAGAGAGTCGCCTATATGCGAGTTAGTTTGCGCAACAAAAATTGAACTCGGACTGTAACTAACCACAGGCAAAGGTTCTGTTATGAAAGTCGATTACAAACGCGATGTAATGTTTCGATACACGAAGATGCACGGGAAAGTAGAGATATCTCTTTATGTTGACATCCCTTTTGATATTCTCCAATACGTCGTACTTTTGATTGTGGTACGAGATATCACGCGCCAAGAGGAGGGTGTCAGAAAAGTGGGTTGAGACGATGGTCACATCATGCCGTCTAGCCATTCCCAGCCGTGAATTGAGATTTGCTGTCATCATATCGATCAGAGAGTCTGATAACCACCTGTCATCGGATAGAAACAGGACCAAAGATTGAGTTGTTCTGCCAGGAAGCGCGGCCGGGCCGTGTAACGGCTTGTCATGAGGGAGGATGAGCAGCTGCTTCTCTGCCTCGTACCATCACATATCCCCTTGACCGAGTTACCTTGCGAACAGGATTTCGTCCATATGGTACTTACATTACTTACCCTTACCCTGACTCCTACTATTGTCAGTCTGCAATGTCAGCCGGCTTCCTCAATTGTCGAGGAGCTGTTGTTGGCTATTCTATCAGTGAGCGTGCGCTTTTCGGAATCGTGCGATGTCCATCAGTCAGGCGTTCATCACACTTGTTTTTGAGTCAAGGCTGAAGCTGTCGAGGATCAAGCAATATACAGGGTATAGTGGCGTATTTATTACATTGCGTTACTGCGTGGCAAATCAGTTCTTTCGTTTTTTGGAGAAGGGTACCTCACCGAATGTGGTTTTGAGTCGACAGGTGTTGTTTATATATCTGACTAGGTGGGTGATTGCGGTGAGAAGGAGAGGTATGGACGATGCGTCGCGGCCGAGTGCGTATTGAAGGACATGCCCTTTCTCTCTGGTACTGGGGCATTCTAAGAGGAAGTGATGAACTGATTCTTCTACGTTTGGGCAATGGGGGCAGAACGAGTTTTCGGCTTTGTTGATCCGGCGGATATGGCGGTTGAAAGGGATGCGTTGGGTGTGGAGAGTCAGGAGTCCCATTAGGCGCTTGGGGTAAGATCTTCAGATGCTGTTCATTTAACGAATGAGCGGTTAATGACGTCAGGATCTAACCGTTGGGATTGTATCGGACCACGGTCTCTTCCATCTTGCGTGCGTTTCTTTGCGGTGGGCTTGTTTTCTGGAGGGCCTGAAATAATTGACGTCAGATAGGATGACTAGCTAGATCGATAGAGGGCTTGAAATAGTCGACGTCCGATTGGATGACTAGCTGGAAATTACGAGCTAGATGTCCACAAGGATGCAAATCAAACGCAAGCGTTCGATAGGATGACTGGCTGGATGTCCAAAAGGATAGAAGTCAAACGCAAGCGTTCGACGGAGCGCTTGAAAGAGTCGACCTCCGATTGGATGACTAGCTTGAAATTACGAGCTAGATGTCCAGAATGATGCAAGTCAAACACAAGTGTTCGATGATGCATTCAAGTTTTATGAATTCTCACGGGATGGGAAGAGCCACAAGAGTTTGCCACGGCCGTATACAAAGCAGTACAAACAACATCGATGACTATATTTGGAAATAATACGTGTGCTGGGACTTTTGAGACTTTGGCGACTTCGGCGACTTAGCAGGGAATTTGTTGTGAGACTTCCGAGCCTCGTGGAGTCGTGCAACCTCTAACTTCAGCGATGTCCGTTCACAATGCGAAAATACTATACTTAAATTACAGGCAAGCTCGTGCTCTACCAGGGAGAAATTTTTTGAGATCTATGGAAGTCGCAGAAGAGTCTCCCAAAGTCGCAGAAGTCGCAAGAGAAGATTCACGTTGAGTTACCGTTTATTGTTAAATTTGGCTTAACTCCGTATAATCAATCTGCATCGCATGCAAGCATAAAATTACATACCATACCATACAATTACTTGGTATGAAAGAGTGAACTTGCTGAAGTTCAACGGTGAAAATACGTAAAGAGTCCAAAGAGTCCATGGATATAAATTAGAGGGAAAACGTCGGGGTACTTATTTCACCACGCAGCGAATGTTATGGAGGAATGGATGGTAATGGACAAATATCTAAGAATTTTCGATCGCCGTGAATGATCGGAGGCAAGTGGTTAACTGGTCTCTATCGATCAAGTCTCCTGGGCCAAATATACCCTTACTCCCGGCAGTCCATTGACTGTGAATCAGCAAGTTCGTATCCAGCTTTCAACGTCTTGTGAATTGTGGTACGCGTCGTATTATCTACCACGAGGTCTAATGTTCAGGTTTCAGCGGTAAAGTAGCAGAGGGCGTTCCGATTTCGAGGGCAGGATCAGCGAGCAATCCTAACATGTTTCAGGGGGTGTCATGAAGAATGTGCATGAGTAGATGTACCTTCAAGTTGGGCACATACGTCACGATTTGATGCAGTCAAAACAGGGCCAGGTGAAATTGACGCGGTCGTGATGCGCCTGTGACGCGGCACTGTCACAAATCCTAGGGTATGTTCCAACACCAGATGATAAATCACACTCCTAGACACAATGGCTAAGATTCTTTCATCATGCGTCGCAGACGATCTAACGTACATTTCAGAGCAGAATAACCTCCTCCTCCCCACGCACTTCGGTGGACGCCCAGGCCGCTCCACAACGGACTCGCTACACCTCCTCACCAAGTTCATAACTGACTCCTGGGCATCACAAAACAACCACGTCTCGCTGCTCTTCCTGGACGTCAAGGCGGCCTTCCCGAGCGTAGTGGTCAACAAACTAATGCACAATCTTAGGAAAGCTGGCATCCCGCAGGAGTACGTCAAGTGGTACCGAAGACGCCTCGATAACCGGACGACCTACCTCTTCTTCGACGACTATCAATCCAACCTCTTCAAAGTGATAGACGGAGTAGACCAGGGATGTCCTTTGTCACCATTAGGATTTTTTTTCTATAACTCGGGCGTGTTAAGGGTACCTGATCCCAATCCCAGACAGGGAGAACTAGGCCTGGGCTTCCTAGACGACGTCGCCCTAGTAGCAAGAGAGAAGTCGTACGAGGAATCTAACAGCAAACTCAAAAGGATGATGGAAAAGCGGGGAGGAGCTCTCGAATGGAGCGAAGAGCATAGTGCAGAGTTCGAGCTCGAGAAAACCGCGCTGATATGCCTATCCAGCAAGCGGATCCCTGACCCAGACAATCCCCGAAAAACAATCCCTGTCCCTCGACCTCCAATCACCATCCGCAACCACACCATACAACCTTCAATGTCGCACAAGTTCCTAGGAGTTATTATAGATCAGAACCTCAATTTCAAAGAACACGCCGCCTACGCAACTGCAAAAGGGACGAAGTACGTGATGGCATGTAGACGGATCATCCGCCTCACAAGAGGCATTCACGGAAAGCTGGTCAAGAGACTCTTTGAGAGTGTTATACTTCCAAAGATGTTTTACGCAGCCGATGTATGGTGCGCGGACCTCGTCGAAAAGGGCAAAGGAAAGAACGGGGGTGGTCGAGGAGCAAGGGGATTCGCGTCCCAGATGGCCAGGGTTCAGGTCAAGAAAGTCCCTATGCAGTCTAATACGCCTCTATCCAGACCTCGAGTGCTACTCACCACCGCAATCAAAGCAGCCACGCCCATCCAGCAGCCTAAATTCCGCAAGGGACCGAACGATGGGGTTCGGCAGAGGGCTTGAAAGAGTCGACGTCAGATTGGATGACTAGCTAGAAATTAGACGTCCGCAAGGTCTCGGAAGTAAGTCAAACACGGCTGGCATTCGAACGACTAAATTGAAAATGTCCAAAAGGTCACGAGTCAAACGCTGGCATTCGACGGAATGCCAATTCTAGCGTTCGATAGAGGGCTTGAAAGAGTCTATATACAGTCGGATAACTGGCCAGAAATACTAGATGTCTAGAGGGACTCGGATGTAAACCAAACGCAAGCGTTCGATTGGATGACTGGCTAGATACACACAAGGATGGGAGTCAAACGCAAGCGTTCGACTGAGGGCTTGCAAGAGTCGACGTCCGATTGGATGACTAGCTTGAAATTACCAGCTAGATGTCCAGAATGATGCAAATCAAACAAAAGTAAGAACCACGAGAGTTTAACATTGATGTGACTATATTTGGAAATAATACGTGTATTGGGACTTTTGAGACTTTTGAGACTTGTGCGACTTTTGAGACATTCGCAACGGCCCTCCTGGCGATCATAATATATACCAGATCGTCTAAAAAGTTGTGGTAAGAGCGCGACCAATTTCGACAGACAGGGTAGCAACGAAGATAAGATAGTAGATAATTGACGGCAAGATGGGCTGCAAACCTTTCGGCGGTGTACTACTATTACATCCTTGTCTGTATTGGAAGATCTCCGAGAGCGTCGCACCAACGTACGGCAGCATTCAATTCATGGCAACCTATCATGACGAACAAAGGGCAGTAGTATTGACCCCACCCCCCAGTCAAATTTTCGCCCGCCATCCTCCTCGCATCCCAAGTCCACCAACATCCCATTGGCCTTTATTTTGTCTAGCAGTTATGGGTCGACCAGATCTGTTTGGCTTTGTTATCTAGCAACTAATGCTAACAGGCGTCAACAACCGTTGAAAGTTGGCACTTACACCGATCGATCGGATTAAGTGATAAGATCCAGAGCCCTACTTCGAACTAAGCCTTGACATTTGTTAGATGTCTAGCCTCGGAGAATATCTTGACAGCGATCGGGATCCGGAGTCGTCTTATGCTGACTCCATCCATGATCACCATGATGATAAAGCTACCCCCAGTCCAGTCGAAGAAAGTAGCCACGACGATTACACCCCCCCCAAGAAGAATAAAACCTCCTCCACCCTCTACTCTACCCCCGAAAGTCGCTCGGAAAGATGGAAGGCAATCACTCAAAAAACACGTGACGAATTTCGGGAAAAGTGTAAAGAAATTTACGGCGGTCCCGTCTGCCTCATCACGCAGGTGATGGACCAGGTCAATACCCAAATTGCGCATGTCATTCCACGAAAAACTCCACGCAATAGGGTATGCAGTCCTATGATCTATGAGAAGCGTGACCCTAATGTTTCTTCAGGTAACGCTATACGAATATTGCCTTGGCTTAGAGTACGAAAGTTGGCATGTTGACACCAGGACAAACCTTTTTCTTCGTACGATACACCATGTCATCTTTTGTGAGATTGTAGCACTGACGTTAGTCCGCAGTCAGCCCCACTTGGCATTCGCTTTTTGATAATAAACAATGGCTTCTCCTGCCGGACGCAGCGACAATGAGAGACGTCCATAATCGTGTCAAGGCAGTTATCGAATGGAGGAAAAGTCCTGACTCTGAACCGGGATTCATACCCCTCCGGTCACAGGTACTTGCGATCATGTCCCTCATGATATTGCTAAATTTACCTTTCTGCAGTGGCCATCCAATACCAAAACACAGTACAGTTTCATAACAACATCCTATACAGCCCAGCACTTCTCGCTCAAAAAGGATGGAGACTTTGTTATTTGTCAACATCCTTTTTCCAACTTCCCGTTGCTCGAGTGTCACATCCTCCCTCCATATGCGGTAATAAATGCAGCTCAGAAGTTGAGCAGAGATCAGATCGATGGGATCGTTCGTGACCTTCATGCGGAACAGACAAAAGAGTTCGAGGAACTGAAACAGAGACTCACCCTCGTGTGTGATACTTGGGACCTTTTCATGGATGCCGAAGACGCAGCGAAGGCTTGGGAGAAGTCAGCAAATGGGGATAAGTCAGAAGCAGTGGGTGATAGGAAGAGAAAACAGAGTGACTCGGGCGAGGCATACAGACGTAGCACACGGTCCAAATCTGGCACTGATCCAAACCACCCATGAATATATCCTAGGATGACGCTCAGTACCCACCAGACCATCGCAAACGTGAACGATCACCCAATTCAAGCGGGGGCAATCTCGCTGAGCAGTTTGTCTCACGCATTAAGCGACAGAGGACGTACGACTGGAAGACTAGCATCAAACAATGGATCGCATAGTCAACCCGGGCCTCACCCTCAGGAGACCCGAATCTTCCGCTTGATCTTGCTCTCGCTTAGCAACGCTTCTGCCTTTTTTTCATCTTGATACCAGCGTCGTTCACTTACCTGTACTATTGTTGACAGCACTGCCAACGTTTGACTGTCACCTCGGGGATCGCTGTTTACGGTGACCATCGAATATAATGAATGTGAGTGCTGAAGACGGTAACTTTTGAGTGTTGGATACTGAATCCCCTGAACAGGCAATAGTCTTCAAGGATATCCAGCACTCTGCCCGCCTGGCTGAAAATACGCGTACGAGAATCCATCTCATTTGTGACCTTGAGAGGTTTCAAACATCGAGATGTCTGTCGTTCCCGAGTTTTGGATGGAATGTTTCTCAGTAGTATATGGTACGGAGGACCAGGTTCCTGTGCGGATAGATTCAATTTTGAGTGTCTAGAAGAAATAACGACGGACATACTGCGCTTTCAAACAAGGGTGACGTGTCAAGCCTTTTATATATAATCCTATTTAAGGTCTGCTTAGGGCAAAGCCTGATGTAGACAGTACATGCTAGGCGTTCTATTGACTTTTCTGGCGTTGGTGTAATTGAGGACCATTGGCTCGCACCCCGTACGGGGGTTTGGGGTGGTGGAGCATCGGAAGCCAACCTAAGGCTAACGTGGGGTGGGGTGTATGCGCGGTTACACTAGGTTTCCACGGGCTCAGTTCTTTGCAGGTGCGTTCTGAGGGATGGGTCTGGGCATGTGCGAGGGATGAGATGGCTCAGTTCCTTTTAGACGTTGTCTGCGAAGTTTCCAACCTCTCGTTCTAGTCGTTTCGTGGCGGCAATATACTTGAACAAGTCGGAGATGTGCTTGTTGCTGTTGAGGAGACTGCGGATATGATACGCGCGGTTAGGAATTGATCTACGCAGGGCGTCTCTCTGAGTGCGGTATGAGGGGCACGACATCAAGAAGTGATGCACTGACTCTTCACCGGTTTCGCAGGCTGGGCAAAGTGGTGTTTTGGCGCTCTTTATGTGGTGGAGGTGTTTGTTGAGTGGGGCATGAGCCATTCTCAACTGCATGAGGAGGCTGGCTTGCCTTCGAGGAAGGCCTGCGACGAGTTTCTGGAATTGGTTCGATGGGACACCGTCATCGGTCTTCTTGAGCAGTGGGTAAAGTGGTGATTCGTGCATTATGGATTGTCCTTCTTTCTTCAGCTGGTCAGAGCGTTGCTGTCTGAGTGCTGATTTGCTGCACGGGAGTGTATCGAAAATATAGACTGAATGAGAGTATTGGCTAGTTAGATAGAATGTTAATGAAAGTGTCTCACCTCAGTTGACTGTATAAGCAACTGAGGTGCGTTGAGGCCAGGCTCCTTCCCAGCCCCCGATTCGAGTGTGGGCAGCTTCGACATGGCAAGGGTTTTCACGCAAACGGTCGACCGTTTTTTCAAAGACCGAACGACCGTTTGGACCGTTTGAAAAGCACGTGAGGTCGAAGGTCACGTGACGCCGGCATTTGCCGCACTTACAGTCTCAGTCAGAACATGGCGCGGGGGGCGACATTGTAGACGCGGGAATCATTGATCTTGTTCGAGTCTACCATCTTGTCTTCGGCAGAATAATATCATTGATCCTGTTCTCCTACAATCTTGTCTTCGGCAGAATATATCGTTGATCTTGTTCTCTACCTATCTTGCCAATATCTTAAGTTTTGGAGGGCCTGCTGCATGAATAGGGAACATGAGACGATGAAACAAACAAGACGTCGAGCAAACAAGACGTCGAACAAACAAGACCACAATGGCATTGTGTGTTGGACAAACGCAGCGACGGACAGAACGAACGGACAAACAGAACAAACAGATCGATGTGGTGTTCAAGCTCGGGCTAGCCTCGCAGAACCCCATTTCGCTATAGGAGTCAAGCAGTCTAGATATCCACATTGCATCCATACACCACTTCCTTGCAAAGTCTTGACTCACTCGACCCATCTATGTCCGACTTGGCTGATACAGATCCGTGGTCTCAGTCTCTCGCAGAAGAGCCAGGGTTGTCATAACCATCCCTTGCTTGTCGGATCGGCCATCGCGCACCTCGGCCGACCATTCCGTCCCATCGGTACCGAATCCTCCCATGTCCTGCCCATGTCCACCTATCTCCATTGGTGCGTTTTAAGCTTATTTTACTGTTACTGAATGAACAGCAGGCGTTATTACATGTATTCCCATGGCCACAGCACTCGCGAGCCTTATTACATATCGACATGAGTACCTCACGTTTCGCTACTACTCTCACCTGTGCGATTCCGGACGTTCACGCAGTTAGATAAATAGGACTCGAGTTTCGTATTATTCCTTACTTCCCTTCCTCGGACATACCTGGTACCGTTGTAGGAGTCACCTTAGTTAGTCTTTGATTGTGCAAATTGATCCCCCTTGCTTTTATCATCGGACGTGCCTTGACCGCTCTAAGTGCACTCTATCTGAGGTTTCTTTACCTAGGCCTTGTGAGATCTGGACTGCTACCGGTAGTCTTACATCGCCAACCCATACCTAGTCTTACCTCATCATACCTAGTTATACCTGGACTCTCCTTACCTCGGCCTAGACTTACTTGCCACTCATCGGCATCAGACTCCTCACCTCGCATCGGTATCTCACATCAGTATCTCGCATCAGTATCTCGCATCGGTGTCCTTCATCGGTATCTCGCTTCGGGTGTACCATCGGTATCCCATATCGTGTCGGACATTCTCGGACTCGGACCTTTGGTCGGTTGGATATCTCAGGTCTTAGATCTTAGTTTCTTCCTTTCTCTTCCCTCACACTATTAGAAGGAAGTGCTTCAATAGCAGTCCCCTTGGGTCAAAGTACTGCACTCGCACCCATTAGGATTTAGGAAGTTAGTTGGTATATCTAGCTGACTACTATTTCTTTCACCACAAGTGGAGCCCACCGCGAGGGGGTCATTGAAACTGGAAGACAGATCGCTTAGACCAACCGAGACCCGACGACTTCGCCATCACAGCGAACTCTCGCAAGAAGACTTCTTTTACTCGGTAAGAGAAAGCATTGAAGACGAAGTCGTGTGCGGTCCATCAAGCCCAAGATCCTGTTCCTCCTCGGAAGCAACCGTTATCCAAAACCTAATCCCTGATTCGCCCAATCCCATCCCTGAAGAAGAAGAAGAACCACTCCCCTATCTTTCAACACATCTCTACCCACTCCCTAAAATCCCGTTCATTACTATAGACACTCCTTCCACGGAATCCTCACTCTCTTCCAACCCAACCTGAGATCCCTCACCGGAGAGACATAACCTTTTCAAACCCGCCCCCTTTCGATCTACATCCGTTCCATCCCCACGTAAAAGATTAACCACTCTCGCACCCACCCTTCCCGATCCAGCTCTTGTTACTTCATCCGCACCGAATATTCCACAACTCTTCAAACCCGTTCCTAGCCAAACCGTACCAACAACTCTAACAGCAACAATGACTACACAATTCAGAATGCCCGCCAGAGGCGCAGAATCGGCACCCAAGTTTGATGGCACGCCCGCGCACCTGGTCCCCTTCTTCGAGGAACTAGACCTTTTAGCCGATGACACGAGCCTAGACACTGCTCAACGCATTAAGGCAGCCCTCCGATATGTGCCGATTGATGAAGCAGATACTTGGGCAATGACTCCAGAAGCTCAGGGACAAGACTGGGCTGAGTTCATGACAGCAATAAAAGCCATGTACCCAGGATGCGAAGGTGACCGTCGCTACACCCATACCGACCTAGAGAACCTTTGTGCAGATCAAGCTTGCATCCCAATGTGCTCTAAGGAAGAGCTCGGGCAGTATTACCGGAAGTTCTTCAAGATCTCTCAATACCTCATGAACAACAAGAGGTCAGCGGATCTCGAAAGGGATCAGCTTTTCTTAGAAGGAATACATCCCATCGCCAATACAGCCATCAAGTGGAGGTTGGAGATCCAGCTCACCAGTCATCACCCCGACGACCTGTACCCAACCAAAAGCGTGTATGAAGCCGCCATCTTCCTGTTACCTAGTATTGCTAGCATGGCAATGCCAATCTTACTGACAACCTCTCGTTCAGCATCTTCGGTCTGTGAAAAGTATTAGGGCTGCAAATATTTGGAATTCGTTAGTGCGAGAATTGGGGGAGCTGGGAGGGGAGCCAGTCAAAATAGGTAACTGGTGAGAGACAAGAGATCTGTGCGCAACTCACCAAAAAAAAACATTACTGCTGCAGGTAGTTAATCCTCAGCCACTCCTCACCATCGTGAGAGACAGTCCAGTCGCAGGGAGTGGTTGGGTCAGTGACGAAACCCTTGAACAGTGGAAAAAGCACCATGTAATCCAACTCATGAACCTCGGTGCATGAAATCAGCAGCTTCGAGAATGCTTCAGTCTCGAGCAGGTCTGTCTCTCCTGGTCCCTGCATGAAGATGTGCTCGTAGATGCGCTGGACCGTTGACAGGAACACGTGAGGGTGGAATGTTCGGCCCTCAGAGAAGATTCCTCGTGGCTGAGGCCAGGGAGGCAGTTCCTTGCCAGCAGCCTTGGAGGACTGCTTGACACCATCTGCACAATACCCCTTCTTGTGGTTGAGGGGCGAGTTCTCGGGTCCTGGATACATAATTGTTTGACAGCAGGAGCATGTCTGTGCCTTTCGAGCCTTGAAAATAAAAAAAATGGTTGATGGGTCAGCACGAAAAACGTGCAAATGACCAGACACAAGTGACTGACCTTTCTGCCTGGTTCTTCCTTCACAAGTGGGATGATGGAACAATAATGGCGCCAAAATGACTCGCTGTTTTTGCGTGCTGTTTGCCCAATGTAAGAAAAGCAGTTGAGAGATGGGTGTTTGCAAACGGACTCACAGGTATAGTCATTCTTGGTGATTTTGCTCATCAGCTTTGGCTCGATGTCACCCAGCGCACATAGGAGGGCTTGTGGGTTCTTCTGGATGACTGACTGGCCCTTTTTCTTGATGAGACGGCGGTTGTACTCTTCTGTCGCCAGCATCCAGCACTTCGAAGTCATTTAATATGACAGCCATTTGAACTCAGCCCGCATTTCCATAAATAAGTAGAACTCGTCTGAATTTTGGAAGGTGAGCGAGTGAGGATCAATACCTGTGGAAATGGAGAACAGGCACTGAGACCAGGTCTGGCCTGCCGCGATAGCCATCGAGTTATTGATGCCAGTGCTGCCAAGCACTGTGCAATCCTGTGAAGAATTCGGGAGGAAGCTTCCGCATGTAACATTGATTGGAAGTGATTTGACATACCTCTGTGGCAGCGCTGGCAAGCACTGGGCGATCAGTGTATCATTGATCAGGAGTGGTAGCAGTGCTGGCAACCACTGGGCGATCCTGCAAGAATTCAGGAGGAAGCTTTCATGTGCATCATTGATCGGGAGTGATTTGATGTACCTCTGTGGTAGTGCTGGTCAGCACTGGGCGATCAGTGTATCGTTGATCAGGAGTGTATGCAGCACTGGAAACCACTGGGCAATCCTACAAGAATTTGGGGAGGAAGCTTTCATGGTGTAACATTGATCAGGAGCTGATTTGACGTACCTCTGTGGTAGTGCTGGCAAGCACTGAGCAATCCTGCAAGAATTCGGGAGGGAACTTTTGTGTGTAACATTGATGAGGAGTGATAGCAGTGCTGGCAACCACTGGGCAATCCTGTGAGAATTTGGGAGGAAGCTTTCGTGTGTATCATTGATTGGGAGCTGATTCGACATACCTCTGTAGCAGCGCTGGTCAGCACTGGGCGATCCTGCGAGAATTCAGGAGGAAGCTTTTGTGTGCTGCACCATTGATTGTCTTGCACAGAAGGAAAGTACGCATCAAGTCGTCCAGTACCTGGGGCCATACTAGGAACTTCTGTGCTGGGCAATGCTAAGGTTCGTAGTTTTTTGATGGTGCTGCCGCTGGCATCCCCTTTATCATCCGAGTCTAACAAGATGCAGACAGCCTTTCTCTTTGGCGCTGGAGGTTTCTGCGCGAAAAAATTGAGATATGGGGGGGTTGAATGAAAGTGTTGTTACTTACCATTGGTCTTGAAGTTTCAGCTGGGAGCATAAGAAGGGTGGGGTCGATTTGCCACTCGTTGATGATGACATTTCGACTGGCAAGAAACGCAAGGTCGACTTCCTCACCTGTGGTGGGGTCAACAGATGAATCAAAGGAGTCAAGTAGGCCCTTCTCAATGTTCTCCTCCTTGATAAAAAGACCACTGAATGTTGCTACATGATCTGACATAACTAACCCAAAAGTCTCGCCTGAGTCGATGTCACCAAGCTCAGGAAGAAGCTGCAGCTGAGAGTTGGTGGTTTTCTGCTGGAGCGTGTTGTGAAGCCTCGCTATGTAGTCACAGAGTCAGAGATGATGTGAACCGTTGGCAAACTTGAGGAATGGCATGAGTTCGGGCCTGCTGAAAGCCACTCGCACATTGCGATGGAGGACAAAATCATGGTCGAGGGCAGCGAGCATCATCACACCGCTTGGCTGTACTCGCTGAAGGGAATTCCACTCTTTGTGGGATCCCACAATGCAACTCCCATCAGCTCTGATGCCTTGGATGCTGCGCTCAAGGCACCCTTTGCAGACATGTTTCAACTGTTCTTGGTGAACCTGAGTCATTATTGTCAGTAGCGATTACAGGGGTGGGATTATAAGGTTGTACACACCCCTTCGTACACACCATTTGGCTGACTCTGCATTGCATGTAGCTCATCTGAACTGCCTGGGCCCAAGCTATTATGGTGACCAGGATGACCAGCTAGCATTCAGTGCAAGTACATGTGAGTTTCCTTCGAGATATTTCCTTTTGTTTGGAGTCTGAAATCTACTTTATCTCTCAGGCCATCATCATCCTCTTCATCCACTGCACTGTTGCCCACACATACACACCCACTCAACATTCACATACATCTCCATTTGGCTCCCGAAGCAACAAAGAAATTGGTTTAGAGCTGTTTACTCAGGATGGTCTGTGTAGTTTGCTGACATCATGAGCAGGGTGGATTATAATAATTGCCCTCATTGCTTATGATGTAACTACTAGGGCCCATTGCTAGTCAGTGCTTTGTTGGCTGGCTTTAGGTTTATATATAGACTGCGTCTCTGTTAGAGATAAGTACTTTGACGTTGCTCTAGATACCAGTATTGGCAAGAAATTTAATGAAGTCTCAGCTGCAGTCAGTTTGATGATCCAAGTCGGTCATGATTATCTGCGCTCTCAGGCTCGAAGCTCCAGTCCAGAAGAGCCAGAAATCCGGGTGATACTTATCATTGATGAGTCACTACCAGGTCACCAGTAAATTATTCAATTAATTGCAGAGGTTCATGAGGCCCAGTGAAAATCGACCAGAAACAGGCCGATATGTAACAATATACGTTGAGGGAAATTGAGGCTGTCAATTTTATCGCTGGGTTTTGAGGTCTTTCGAAAAAACAGCACTTTTTGAGACAGTGAAAGATACAGGTTGAGAGGAATTTTTGGTCTATCGATAGGTTTTTTGTCCCGATGTATGCGTTGAAAATAATTCGATTTGGCCTCGAAATGGTACCAATACAGATATAATGCTATAGAATGAAATGTAGGTGGGCATCGCTGTGAATTGATGGTATTAGGTTACACTGGGTACTATCTGCTGGTCCTCACCCTGCCCACCATCCCACCTCTCCCACCGCCTCCCAATTCCACCCTAGGACTGTGCAGGCACCCACTCCTACTTGTCAACGTTGATCGCATCCTCCCTGTTGACGGCCTGCTGTGTTGAAGAAGAACGAGCCTGTAAAAGACTCGGATTAGCAGCCAAACTCGGATCTCGGACAATTGTACTTACTTGTGCAGTTGCCTTGCTTTTGTACTCCTAGTAGTGCGCCGTGTTAGCTGTGCCATAAGAGAGAATGGACAGTACTTATCGCCTTCATGCTCATGGATATGTTGTCCCAGTAGAGTGCAAACGCACTCGCCAGCTCTCACTGGTGACCTAACAAAGTTCAAGGAATTGTTTGCATAGCATGTGAGTAAGCCAATGTAAAACTTGCAATGATGCTTGACCAATTGATTCAGGTGCGAGACCTTGCGTCTCAAGTTGACAAAAGCTTGATAGCATAAGCTGTCGGATTGCCTTGGCATGCTGAGCAGAGACAGGATTCCCTTGCTTGTCCTGAAGGTACTGTAAGTGCAAGATACATTGATGCCTTTTGCCATTTGTGCGGATCCTTGAGATGATTTTGCAGCAGACCCAGGAACAGCTTCCTGCCATTGCTGCTTCATTCATGACCTCAAGTGTGGGTAGTCTTCGGGATCTAGCTCTCGATCACATTCTTCATCCGTGATTGTGTCCAATAGACATGGTTTTTGCTCATCTTTAGTATTATTTGAGGTCTCTGATGAATTTGATGTGATGGAGTTTGTGGAGCCTCGAATAACATTCCTATATCACATGTTTTCCTGCATATATGTGCTGATTATATAGTACTCACTGTAAAGTTTCACATTTGGTACTTAGAGTGGTGTTCTCGCTGACAAGCATGGCCCTATCTGCTTGTAGACAGGTGACTGCGTGTTGTAATTCGGAATTTTTGTGCTTGAGCTGCATGACCATACTGGCATCAGACTTGCTGCAAGCCAGACACTCATTCTTGAGCATTAATTGAAGGCTGGATTGTGAGTGAAAAGACTTGCCATCAAATTTCAAGGTGAGCTGTTGTCATCAAATCATCAGAATTGAACTCACACTAGTATTTGGATCCCGTATTGCTGGTGTGTCACATGCATATGACAGACGGGACATGCCCAGATCAAGAACATCGGAAATGCCTGTTGCAGATTAAGCTAAGCTCATAAAAGGTTGGAATATCCTGCAGAGGGTATCGCTGTAATCATGTTGTTGATGGACGACATGATGGTAGTATAGAGGTAAGGTGCACGGTTGTTCCAAGACAAAAAAGGAAACCTACTAAGTAGTGTGCCACCATGATACTGGGCTTAAGCAAGTCAACTAGTATGTGGTGCATTTGACCTGTTTAGGTTTTCTGCAGTTCTTTCAGAGACATATATCGCAATTGCAGATGTAAACGACGGCAGTGTCTTGTGGCCGGTATATACCAGCCTGGAGATTGTCCATGGTATGGTATGTGGTGACTTAGAGAAATTTCGATCAGTAAGTGCAAAGCATGATTTAAGATAAGCATATGTATGCACGACACAAACACGTGTAGCAATGTTGCAAATGTTGCGCAAATGTGAAGTTGTTGTAAGCACTGTGCAAATTACAATATCATTCTTACATTTTTGACCTTAACAAAGATTCTTTGCATTTTGCACAAATTTAAACATTTGTCGTCTCGGATTTCTTAGATTTGTATCTACCTCATTGTATACTTCGACCTGTTTCGCCACCTATCGGCCTGTTTCTGGTCAATTTTCACTGGGCATGAGGCTGTATCACCCACTCTTTCAATTTATTGAGGAGCAAGAATTGAGGAAAGAGGGAATTGCACATGCACACAGCACAAACTTGGCACTAGGGGTTTGCCGTGTGAACTGATGACCTTGCTCCGATTCCATTTTCGAAATTGCACGGCATTAAGGCTATTTGCACATGTGTACACTTTTTATTGGTTGTTCTTTGGTGCTAATTGGTCCTCTCAATCCATCCATTATTTTGACCGTTGCAGCAGCTTTTGCTCAGTCTCTGGCGAACTACATCTCATCGACAGCGAAGCCAATGATCAACAACCGCCTCACAGGAAGCCTGAGACTGTGTCGGAGGCAACTAGTTCCAAGGGCGAACAGGTTTCGTTGTGTCGATTGATTTTATTGTATTTGTATCGGTGTTTCAGACACGGACGTGTTCTTGCTGGTGATATTTGTATTACTATTGCTGGTGGTATTCTGTAGGGCGTTAACGTGTTCTTGAGCGTTGTATTTGTATCATTATTCACGCTTTATTTTGTACTTTATTGGTAAATGGAACGCGTAATTGCACAGCGTGATGTTGATGTCAGGTGACTGACAGATTATCCCAACAGCACCATGATGTAAGCTCATTGCTTACCTGAGTTCCCATAATCAACATAAATACTGTCCGCGATAATCAAGCTTGAGCTTTGATTATCACTGCCTTTTGGCGTAACTGTTAAGGGACAACAGTCTTAACTACTTACATATAATCAAAGCTCAAAGGTTTGCAGGAGCATCAGGAAAAACCTCCCTTGGGAATTCCACTGAAATCCTCAAACTCGCATGTAAAACAGCTGAATTCCAGAAACTCTGCTAATTTGACCGAAATCGATGTATTTCGAAAGTAATAAAATCTACCGGTCAGATTCAACAGAAAGTGTTGTATTTCCAATGAACTCGGAGTAAATTCCGCCAGTCAGATTATAGTGAGATAAGCATGCCTGTCACTAAACGAGTTTACAAAGAAGCTAGAACAAAGCTCCAGAACGGTACTGCTCGTCCATTCACGAGGTACAACTGGGCCGAATTTTGGAATAAGGTGTACACTCCTGCAAATATCAGAGATATCGATGATGCTCGCGAGACGCTCTCCATTACGAATGACGCAGGAAATTTTGTATAAACCATGGTTTGCTTCGGGTTGCCCGAATGGCGTGAACCACTCCACATAAGCAAAGTGGGTAGGTGCCTTTGCAGGTGTGCGAAATAAGGCAGCTGCAGCATGACTTGTCAGTGTGAAGACGACACGGACTTGTGCAACACGATACCCTCAAATTCATGATCAAATATTAGTTTAGTGAGGGAGTAGTACGAAAACACAACTAGAACAAGAATGAGAATGGTGACCATTGACCGTCGAGAACTGGCAAATGAGAATGAGCGAGCGAGATCACTAGTCACAAGTGCAATTATATGAATCGGAAAATGAGTGAAAACAAGCAGGAACACTCACAGGCTAAGCGCGGACAGGGACAAACAAGCGCAGAAACGCAGACATGAAAAAACAAACTAGAATGATTAAAAATGAGTGAAACGAGTGGCAAAAGCCCATATAAGAAGAAATACTCACAAGTGGACAAGCAGAAATGAGTGTAGAGCATTAGCATGATCAAAACGGTTGAAAATGTAAATGGTAGCTACAGCGCAGCACTGAGGAGCGAAACACTTAGACAGATTCTGATCAATCCGGGAAATGCCAAGTTTATTCTCACAGTCGAATTTTAAAAGTTTGGTTTGAAAATGACATGCAGGTCCATTCCCCTTCTCTCTACTACTTCGAGTTGTGCACACTCTTCTCTTTACTGCATGTTTTCGCTCGTTGTCAGGATGTTCCATGTCCCGCTCTGTGCGTGTCCTTGTCTTTGACCTGTTTACCCAATGCTGATGGTGCCATGGCCATGTTCTGCTTTCAGAATGTGTGTGACCTTTTTTCTCGTGTCCCGCTAACCTTGTCCTTTTGCCCGCTTATCTGACGCTGATGGTGCTTCGGCCGTATCCCGCAATTGGAGTTGTGGTTGCAACTATCGTAGATTTTTAGGTGTTTTTACTGTAGACCGACAATGCTAAGTATATTATTTTCACAGACTTAGTCTATACTGATGGACTGGATGAGTGGCAATCCACCATCAAGCTCGCAAGTCAAATCCTTCAACACTACCCTCCACATTGCAACCCTCACTCGGATTTCCGAACGCGGGAAAAAAGTATCACGCGCTTATGGCATGGCTTTTCAAGGCTGTCAGGTGTGTTTCAGGTTCCTTGGATTGCGCCTGTCATTCACACACTCTCTGTTAGCGTGCCGCAGAGCATGTTACTGCTGGCTGGTTCGGGGAGCAACTTCGACTACCTTGATGTTAATGCAATGTCCGAGGATTAAAGGTTGTTGTTTCTCTATTGCTGATCCGACTTGATCATAGTTGCATCTAATTCAAGCACTAGCGTCTTCGTGTGCTGTTGATACCCATGTTCATGCCCAGTGAAAATCGACAAGAAAGAGGTAGATAGGTAGCAATAGACATCTAAGCACAAATCGAGGTAGATACAAATGTAATAAATTCGAGACGGCAAAAACACACGCTGCCCGAAAATTCACAAGTCCCCACCTAACAACATATGGACCTCGAAGCCAGCATACATCGACTCAGACTACATGATGATACCGTCATATACGTATGTGACTGTGAAGTCTGCCTCCGCAAGAACTTCGGCAAACCCAAGACAGTCAAACGGACGACATACTATGCTCATCGCCCTAGCAGAATTACCCCACAATGCCCCCTTCCACATCCTTTTTCCGAGCCTTCTGTTGTCCCACAGCCGCAACCTGCAGCTCCCATTGTTCCTGTACCCTCGTCAAGCAAGCGATTGCTTCAAACGGACAAGGACGAGGATCAGCCAACCATATCCATCAAGAAACCACGCACAGACTTGGACGTGGACTTCAAGCAAGGTAAGCTACTTACACACTTACTCGTTATGATCGAGACTGATCACAAATGCACACTGGCACAGATTTCGACATCTACGATAACAGGCCCGGAGGTGAGCAAGAGCAAGAGCTTGGCTATGAAGAATGTGGAGAGGAGAGATTGAGACATGAAGAGCTCGATGACCACCCAGATACCATTAATCCCTCCATCGATCTCGATAATGCCCACCTGCGCAGTGATGATATTGTCGATGATGAAGATCTACATAATTCTAATGATGACTTCATACGTGATGAAGAGCGCGATGACCACCTGAACACCGTCAATGCCGACATCAATCGTAATGATGACCACCCACACAATGCTGATGTCGCTGATGATGAAGGTCTGCCTCACGCTAACGATCCTCTCATACAAGCAATGGGGTGGACAGATGAAGACCTAGATGAGTTACACTGCATGGCGCAGCTCGGGGACACCCAAGATGCAATGTCGTTTATCACAGCGCTCCGTAAAGCGTCTTTGGATGACCCCCATTCACGCCTGCCTGAAGAGGCTCTTGCCAGGCTTCGCAATCCCCCTCATCAACTACCTGACAGTACAGACCTGGATCTAATTAGACACAACTCCTGACGACATCAACACAACACCTGAAACCCACGAGTCCTCCATCGAGATCCCAGATATCTTGGCCACCTCCCCCTCCAATCCTCTGAAACGAGCTGTATCTCCTGATGTCGAAGTTTGACCAATACCAGCACAGAAAAAACAGCGAACCGACAGTACTATGAGTGGCATCCCAGACTCACATTCACCACTCTCCATCAGTTCCGAGATTCCCTGTATCGAATCTTGTGATCAAGAGAATGAGGTAAGTGCCATATTTTTCATACTATTTTATTGAATAAGTCACTGGCAGGTAATGAGATGACCAGACTCACCCTGTGGCTCAGACGTTCCATGGCACATGCCGTCTGAATGTGGATCAGCACCAGCGCTATCAATGCCGCTATGTAGTACCGACAAAGGAAAGGCCAAGGAAACAACCAACATAGAGGGGAGTCAAGTGTGCACCTCGCATTGCATCAATTTGGTACTAACTTCAACTGTACTTGCTAGATCAAAAATCCATTGTAAGTTTTAGATGTCTCGATACTGATCTCTGTATTGATATATTAATCTAGGGACAACCTTGTCTTGAAACCTCAACCTCGACCTCTCCCGAAAGTGACCCCGGCGCCCACATCTGATGCCAACACCAACTCACCGGCAGTTACAGCCCCTTCCAATGACTCGACACCGACGCCATCCTTAGTGACCCCAACTAACCCTGACTCCGATGCAGCATCGCTCTCAGTCAAGAAAGAGCTGCTTGTACCTGCGCCCGCTAAGAAGGCTCATCAACCAAGCGTGAAGCCGATGCGTATTGGCACGAAAGTAACACCTCGGTACGTCTTAGTTGATATCACTTACTAGTATTTTCTGATCTGTTTTTGTAGTAATCTGTGTGCGCTCGATTGGCAAGCAAATGGTCACCAGCGTGAACCGGCTACATCAGTAAACTACAAATTTCGTCACAGACATCAACATTTTCAACAGTTCCCACAGTAACCCACAGAGGGACAGCGCTCACAGCAAACCTCTCCCAGGCAGAGCAATTTCACACACTGCTTGGTATTTTACTTTCAAATTTGTTAAGTCCCGCATTACATGTACTACTTTAATCAAACTTTTGCTAGTACTCTATACTCTCAAACTCGACCCTCATCATGCAACTATTATAGACGACGGCATCAACATGCAACAACTCGCCAGCCGCCACTCACCGTCGATATCCTCTGCCTGCACCCTCTCACACCCTCTCACAGATTTTTTTCTTTATTTTTCATTCATTTTCACTAATTAGTAGTAATTACAACCTTCCCGCACACTGTCAGGATGTGCATGATATCTTTTTCGACCTACTTACTCGACGCTGATGGTGCCATGGCCATGTTCTGCTCTCAGAATGTCGTTTTCACTTGTTCTCACTCGCCCTCACTCATTCTGACTTGTTCTCGCCCGTTCTGACTCGTTCTGACTTGTCCTTGCTCGTTCTGATTCATCCTTGCTCGTTCTGGCCCGTTTGGACTCGCCCTCACTCGTTCTGGCCTGTTCTGATTCATCCTTGTTCGTTCTTACTCGTTCTGGCCCATTCTTACTCGTCCTCGCTCATTCTGGCCCATTCTGACTTGTCCTTGTTTGTTCTGACTTGTTCTTGCCTGTTCTTACTCGTCCTCGCTTGTCCTTGCCCATTCTGACTCATCCTCGCTCGTTCTAGCCCATTCTAACTCGTCCTCACTCATTCTGACTTGTCCTTGCTTGTCTGCGCTCGTTCTCACTTGTAGGTAGTACCCACGGGTAAACCCCTCAACTATGATACGACAACGACGATGACGACAACGACTCGACGATGATGATGACAACTCAACGATAATGACGACAACTCGACGATGACGATGACAACGACAACGACAACATCGACTCAATGACGACTCGACTCCAATGACTTGACTCCTCCGATGACTCGACTCCGATGACTCGACAACAACAACTCAATGACAATGACTCAATGACAACGACGATGACGACTCAACTCCTCCTCAACGACAGCAACAACAACAATGACAACGACAACAGCCCAATAATGATGATGATGATGACGACGACGACACAACGACGATGATGACAATACAGCACAACGAAGCGCTGCATTTGCATGACGTCCGTCATAGATTACTTAATGTCTAGTAGTACTTGTTCATTTGCAATGCATTTGTTTTCATTTACTTTTATGTGTAGCTTGAGTTGCAAAAAAAAAGCGATTTCTAATATATTCTGTGTAACTAGAGGGCTACTGTGGAGCTCTGGGAAGCTCTGTACAGAGCTGTACAGAGATTTACAGAGATGAGCCTGTCTGTCCAGTGGGGACCAAGCTGTGGCTCTTGTGAGCTGTACAGCTCTGTACAGCTCTGTACAGAACAAAGCAGTTTACTGATGTAGTGCATTCGCACTCTACTGGAACAATCTGTCTACCAGTATCAAGGAGGTACGTGCTACATTTGGGAGAACCTCCTGCGCTAATGCAGTACACCAGGAATACAAACGAAAGGCCACGGCGCAGGTGAGTGTCGTCATGCCTACTGGTTCTATAGGCCACTGTACTTAACCAGTTCTACTACTACTACAGGGCAGCTCTTCTTCGATGCTCCAAGGCAAGAAAAGCGAGAATGTGCACCAAGACTAGCTACGGGATCCCGGTGGATGTGTGCACGATAGCATTGGCGTCAGGATGGCGGGCAGGGCGGGATGGCGGGAGGAGCAATCCCACTATTATAATACCTCCTTAATACCAGCAATTCACAGCGATACCCATCTACAATTCATTCAATAGCATTAGATCTGTATCGATACCATTTTTCCGGGCCAAATCGAATCATTTTGACCTATCTAAAGATCTAAATTTCCTTTCGACTTCTATCTTTTATTGTCTCGAAAAGTGCCGTTTTTTCGAAAGACGCACCTGTGACTCCCACATAACGACAGTAATTATAGGCGATAACACATGGGTATCGCACCTATAAGACAAGGGGGTTACAGCGTCCCAGAGCCTCCTTCAATATTGTTTGAATAAAGAGTGACTTGTACTGTACAGCCAGGGTGTAGGTAGTATATACTAAGTACCGCCGGCATTTCGGCAATGACGTGACGTGGTCCCGGCGCCGTGCTAATAATATCTGACCCTTCGTGCTCGCTGTGTCGCACGATGAGCTCGCGTATCTCATGATGGTGTGGATGGATTGACAGCGCGTTTTCGACGAACAGTGCAAAACTAATGATTGTGATACGTAAATTAGTCATAAAGCTATCTACTCCTCATAAACCTCATGGTCAAGAAGGTCCAGTCGCAAGAAATCATCGGCGACGCGGAGGACGTCTTGCAGGCTCTTCAATGCTTCCTCTTCCACCTCCTCTGCCTGCTCCTCATCATCAAGGTCATCTGGGGTATCTGGGTCTACTGTAGATGGTCTATTAAAAGGTATGTGTTCGGCAAGCAGTCGCGATGGGACCTGCGCGTTTGGTGTGCTGCAGCTTTCCCCAAGACTTGTATTAGTACTTACACCTGGGACTATTGTCCCGCTGAAACCAGGAAGCTTCGATATCTCATGGAGCCGCCTCAGGTGGCGCGAATTGAATCGTCCTCGAGCGTTTCGATGTATGGCAATTTGATGGGCAATGGCTGGACTGGTCACCTTCAACTGATCCTCGCACGTCCGCAAATACTTGTCTTCATCTCGGATGTAAGTTACTAGACGCCGTACCTCCACATTCAAGCGCTGAATTTCCTCCCGCGCCTGACACATCTTGAAGTACAAGTCCATCACACTGCGAGCAGCAGCCGATGACCAAGGCCGTTGAGAGACGTCCGCACGTGTGTCGCGTAGGAGGTCAAAGTCGGCGAGAAACGCATACTCCACGACCTCTTCCCACTTCAGCGTTTGGCGGGGAGGGTGCATTGCTTCTGCGATGGTATTGTATGTGTTGAGGGCAGTTTTGATGGCGACAGAGCGTGTCTGTAATGCTTTGGCGATGTGTTTACGTAGTTTGTAGCCTATGGTAACATTAGAATCAGCAGTTGCAAGCAAGACAACACCTATACAACCTACCTGTACCTGCCCGGTTCATCTTTGATAGTTCAAATATACGTGCTACGACCAAACCTTCGAGTCGATCCAGTGCACGCTGGTACTTCCTCTGAGCAACGAGCCTCCCCACCCTCTGCCAATCTGCATCTGCAGGAGTCCAGCGCGTCACGATCTCGAGCTTACACTCGAGCACTTGAATGAGCTTCAAATTCCTCTCGTGGTCCTCGACAGCATGACGCCGTGCGGTTTCGGCCTTGCGGGTATGTTGCATCTGGACGTCATACGATGTAACATCCTCGTGAGAATACACCTGGAAGGCTGCCATTGCAGCTTTGAGAGCCTCCCTGAGTGAATGAAGTGTTAGTGAACAGAATCCCGATATACCTTGGGAGCCACACTCACTCGCTTGCAGTTAAATTTACCAGCCTTTGCCAGTACTCCATCTGGAGGGTTTCATTTTCAGGCTCTCGCGTTAGACCTTGAAGGTAGACCTTTTCCTCTTCTATCCAGCACTCGAAAATACTCTCGTCCGTGAGTCCTAGGTCTTGCATGAGCCTCGGTAGAGTTGCATTGCCATCATTCAAGATGTCCAGTGCTTGCTTGTAGTTCCCATGCAAAAAATTCGCTAACACCATGATTATGTCAGCTAGCATTGGATCAAGGTATTAGCCATGCTTACAACGATGAGCGTAGACCTCGAAGTCGTCAGTGTGCTTGAAATAAGAGTCGATGGCTTGTTGCCGATGGAACACGCTTGCATAGCGCAGCACAGATGCCAGAGAATTTGATTTTGAGAATGTCCTTTCACAGGTTTCGAGATCCTCGAGGCCTAGACCCTTGATGTACGTTGTAAGCGAAAACAACTGGCACAAGCGCCTGTGGGCATGTCCGTGGAAGGCGCCAACCAGGCAGGTGTGTTGAAGTGAGCGTGCGAGTGGTCCAAGGGAGCTCTGGTCGAGTGTCGTTTTGAACTGACAACCAATATCATACCCACCGCCCAGATTTTTCCCAAATACGTCCATCAACTTTGACACGACAGCCAACGGGTACTTCGTGCTATTTAGACCCTTGTCAGTGCAATGATTGAGAACAAAAGATAGTACTTACAGCTCACCGCTTTGTACCATGTCTGCAATAAGTAGAGAAAACCCGTGGCGGCAGACAGCCACGAATACACCTGTTTCATCATATATCCCCCAAGCCTTCTTCGTCTTGGCGTCGTCCATGTTTTTCCATCATCCGGCGCAAGCATTTTCGGCGGCTGTATCCTCCTCATCACCCGCAATAGCAGTTTGTGCCGAGTCCCGAGAATACTGGTCTACAAATGCGCGAGGTAAGTAACGATCACTTGTGAATTGTTGGCCCATAGGAACTTCAGATGAGGGAGCGACACAGTCATTGGCATCATGATCCAGAGATCTCCGAAGGACTCGCTTTAAGGAGTCGTTACCGTCCATAGCATACAGCAGCCTGAATGTTAGTTCCTCTTCATCCTTGAGTTCATACATACATGCAGGACACGCATGCTTAAGGTGCCAGTTGGGTGAGTTGCGTTGAAGCGATTCGGCTACGAGGGCTGCCACGGAGCGTCGAATTTGAAGGAATAAGTCGAATGCGATGGAAAATTGACGGGATAGATGTCTATGAAATTCCACCTGCACATGATCAGCACAATAACTAGAGAATTTGAAACAGTTACCCCTTGCAAGTCGCACACAGTTTTCACAAAAGCCTGGATAGACAAGTGAGGACTCCTGAGATGCGCTACACGATATAAGTCAAGTGCTTCTGTGGTTATGCCTACAGTTGGTGATATAGGCGAGCACGGCATTACACCTTGACGCACCAGTGCAGAGCTGATGGTGGCGTCTGTTGGTAAGATTTGAAGGGTCGCTTTCTCAGCGTCTACAATGAGCATGCCGTTATTGATATCAAAAGTAAGCAAACGACAACAGATCACTCACAGAAGACGTCAATCACGCTGATTGACCATTCACCACAGTCCCGCGCCGAGTTCCTTTCCAATCTCTCAGAAAAACTCTTGAACTCCTCCTTGGATTTTGCGAGACTCCAGGCAAGGTAAGCGTCGGTCATCACAGGCATCTGCTCTGTAAATGCCTGGTTCCTGCGGAGGACGCGGTCACGACGAGTGCGGTTATCCACGCGTCGAACACGATTGTTTCTGCTCATAAAGGTATGTCGCACAGTATCAGCGGTCAACACACACTAACACTCACATTTTCCAGAAGTCTCCTAACACCTCTCTTGCAAGGTCAGTGAACTCGCCGCCAGCATGACTGATAGCGAGCGGTTCGGTCCCATTCCAGATATCGCCAAAGCTCATATCATCACAGTCATCCTGCCAGACCTCTATGGTGGTGTTATTCTCTCTCAGTGCTTCGAGAGCACAACGCTCGTCCAAGCCCATGGCTATACAACAGGTTTATATATATATATATAACATATTGGATTAATAAAAAATACCTTGTAGACGTGCTTGCCGCCGCTCGTTAGAAGTTGCTGCTTGCTGAACCAACCGTGTGTGTTTGAGCACTTTGGATACGCCATTGACTGGCAACCCATTCTTGTTCCTAGATGCCCCAATGTGCCGAATTGATCGCAGAGAGAGATTAGTGCGGACTCGCTGGCGTACACTACGCGCCATTCAGATGTATCTTACATTTGTACTAGTACCATAGATCAAGTCTTATCGATTTTCCACGTGACTGATACTCTGTAGCACTCCGACCAAGTCCTTGGTGAGATCGCTACTACGATGTTGACACCATCTAGCTGGGGTGATCATATCCAGGACTTGCGCAATTTGTTGCAAGGGATGTCACTATCAGGTGGGTGTTTTACTCGTTCAAAACCTAACATGTTCACACTCTTAATAGATTTATCATTCGACACCGTCACTTGGAGCCGTAAGACAACTGAAGAGTCCATCACACTGTCCAAATCATCGCTCCCGCAATCTACGCCTGCCAAAAAACCATCGCCCACTCTCCCTTCCACCTCAGCTCGCTTGCATCGCCCAAGTCACCCACCTTCTGCTGCTACATCATCCCACCCCCAGTCGCAAACTGTCACCCAGACACCGTGCCAAGTCACAGTTCCAATACCTAGTGAGATCCATCTCCCACGAGGCGGTGAGACACCTGAGAGGTTCTGGGTTATAATAGTCGGGCAGGAAGTTGGTGTATTTTACCGCTGGTAAGTGTCTGGGTAGTTGTGGGCTTGTGTTGGCTAAATTTTGAAGCTATCGTTAGGTCCGACGTTGCTGAATGAACGAATTTCGTTAGTGGTAACGTCCAGAAAAGATACCCGTCGTTTCAGGAAGCATTATCAGCATATATGGTCAAATATGACGAAGGTAGGGTTCGAGCAGTTCCACTGCCAGGTGGCGCCTTCTGGCCATCCCCTCCAGAGTCCTCGCCCAACCCTCCTTCACCCACACTCTCTGTAGACTCATCTGTGAGCTCAGACTCGTATGAGCTATGGTCGCAGGTTGAGGACTTGATGGAGACGATGAGCCAACTGTAATAATTGCTACATAGTTTTGATTGTGTGCCGTACATACAAAGAAATGTATCTTGCCTTACTCCTTGTCACTGCAACTGCAACTGTCACTGCAACTGCAACTGTCACTGCAACTGCGACTGTGACTGCTACTGCGACTGCTACTGCGACTGCTGATGTGGGCGTAGGATTGAGTGCAGGCAGGGGCAAAGTTGTAGAAATCATTGATTCCATTTCGATTGACTTCTGGGGGTGGTATACTAGCTAGTCTGATTCCATTTCGATTGAGTGGACTTTCGAGAGGGGTATACTTGAACATATATTAACTCTGTGTCTACAGGTAGTGCGCAGTGAATAGTTGTGTGATGTACAACAGATTTACTGGCTAATGTAAGGTAGTGTGGTAGCCTGTGCACGTACTAAATGTGTCACATTTGACGAGCATCCCAAACAGCCGTCCGTTATCGTAAAATCTCTAAGTCACTTGCAACACTTTCTTTCAGCTTCGGTTCAAGAATGTATATCCGGTTCTGATCATTGAAGCGCTCTCCTTCTTCAAAAATTTCAAACACATTGTTTTTCACGATCCCGGACATCCGCACAATCTGTTCGCTATGCGTTCGCTATCTGTTCGCTATGCGTTCACTATCTGTTCGCTATATTTACTAAATGTTCGCTATGTGTTCGCTATTTAACATGTTCACCGTGTTGACCTAAAGGCTCCTAAGAACCATGACATTGCTAATCTAGTTACAACCTTCTAGTTACAACCTTGTATTTAGTTTCACCTCAAAGAATTTTACCTGTGAGATGACACAAACGAGCAAATCGTATAGTAAGATAGTGTCGCCCTTAAGCCGCTCCCTGCAACACAGACAAAGCGTGTGCACGACCTCATGAATACCCTCCAGGAGGACCCTCCCTTCTCCAACGTGTTGTGCGCATTCATCGAGGAATACAGTTGTGGCGCGCTCCCCCTTTATGCGAGCGCGCTCAAGTAAACTGTCGAATTCCTCATTCCACATGCTCTCTGATTCCCACTCCTTCCGCCATTGCCCGACGAGGTTCTCGAGTGTTTGCAGTGTGGGAGTGCCACAAGAACATGGTAGGTCGTTGTCCATGTCCATGGTGAGCACAGAATCATCAGCCTCGTAAGAGAAATCGTTGTTGTCCATGGTGAGTACAGAATCATCAGCCTCGTTAGGGAAATCGTCGAGTGGGGTGACCACAGAATCATTGGCCTCGGAAGAAAAATCTTTGAGTGGGGGGGAACTGATGGCAGCGACAGGCTGTTGTTCAGCGTCGTAAGGGAAATCGCAAGACTGCGTTGTTTTCCTGTCAATTATGTTAGTGAGTTGGAGCGAGTGGGCATAGGACTCACTTTTTCATGTTGTGGTAAATTTCCTGTAAGTAGAAAGCCTGATCTTCATAGTCCGACTGGGAAATTTTACGGGAAATGTTGAGTGGGGAGGAGCCAGTAGTAGGAATGGGTGAATGTTGCTCTGCGGGAGATAACCGATCTTCATAGTCCGACTGGGGATCATGGGAAATGTTGTCGCAATCGAGTGAGGGGGAACCAGTGTCAGGAATGGGTGAATTTTGCTCTGCGGGAGGTTGCGTCTGCATTTTCTTTGCCCTGTTGCTGAAAATTCCTCTAAGTAGTCGTAGATTTAATTGAAGAGCATAGACTTACCGAGCCACTCGAAGACGCGCTTTCGCGTTTTGGCTGTCTCGGATTCTGCAAGGCAAGGTAAGCAACATTCTCCGTGGCTGAAAACCTTCAACTTACCCTGGTTTAGCGAGCCAGCGCTCTGTGGCCAAGCACTGCCTCAAAGCAGGACTGCAGGACTTGTCCCGACGACCCTTTGATTTGAATTCCAATGTCAGATGAATCAACACAGGTGCGAGTATTTGAGCTTACCATGCTGCAAAATTGAAAGAAAGAGAGACAATCTCTGGTGAGATACCGCTGATCGATAATATATTTCTTGATAACATCATTGATCTGCGAGCAAAATTGAAGAGGGAAATGAGATGGTCGTTGTCTTGTGACGATCAGAAAAATATACGTTGTGACAGTATCTGTCATTGAAAGATATGAGGTTGCGGCGCTTGCGCGGATGTAGACTCGACTTGATTACTACATTTGGAAATGTTGTGGGTCCAAGGTTTGCGTTCAAGTTGTTTCACTCACTATCACCGTGCGTGTCTATGGGTGTCATGCAGCCACATCTTTACCAGGATACCTACTCACCTACTCTACTGCAGACATAAGATTCAAGACTGTTTGTCTTACCACAGTGAGTCCCACTCATCGCATTCTGTGCAACTCCGAGTTGGAGGGACTCATCATGATAGTATGTCGTTGTTTGATGCTCTCGTCGGCGACATGATTCGCCACATGAGATCTATAGTATGCCGGGTGCTTGGAAGTTTGACTCGAAGGAACAGGACAAGGTCATATTCACTGTACTTTGTGATTTTGTGAGTGACTTATTAATGCACTCTGTTCTCAATGCTTACCCGACCTACGGCAAATACCAGGTGTAACTCAGACTGGATTGAAAGGAACAGGATGAGGTCATGCACACCGTGTTTCGTCATATTGTGAGTGGCATTGAATGCATTGTTGACGAGTCTCAGTGCTGATATAACTTGAATTTACTTAAACCTCTAGTTGCATTTACAGCAGCTCAAACAGCAGCAGACAGGGACCTGAGACGTGCAGCAAAGGTAGGTATATATTATCATCATATCCTCTGCCTCATATGGCGTTAGCAGTTCCAGATCAATATCGACCTCAAGATCTTAACCCGATATCTGTTTATTTTAAAAATAAGCGAGGTGCTCTCAATGACACTGTAGCGATGCACACGACACGTCGTGCTTTTTTTTTTGCATCATCTGTACCATTTTTTTTGTATCATTCATACTGACCAACACATACTACAACCCCTCATCACAGCACCTGCAATGAGCTTTATCTATTCAGCTGATGACTTCGACATTAATGGTAATTTTGTCTCCACTGGACGCTTTCAGGATCTCCCGAACGAAGGCAATGGTCTTACTGGACATGTTCCCTCGTTCAACGAGATTGATTGGAACGACCCAGCACTCTACACCATGCCCCTGACAAGTGATGAGATAGCAGCTATCATGTCTAATACCAATAATTCACTCCCTAATCTCCCGCCTGGTCTCCCACCCCCCACGTCTGATCCCCTATCGCGTCAGCTTTCTGAATCACGCTCCCCGCTCCCTGATTTCCCGCCCCCCACGTCTGATCCCCCATTGTGTCAGCCTTCTGAAGCACGCTCCCCGAGTCCTGAGAGGTCAAAGCCACTGCGCGAGGCCAATTCGTCCAGCTGGGCAGCACGGAACTGTCATATACCATATATCCGGTTACAGATCCGATGATCTGGATCTCAGATCCGATCCAGATCCGATGAACATATCCATCGTCCGGTCCACAGATCCGCTTTGATTCTTATTTCATTTCCTGTTCATATAACTCTAACTATCGTTCATCTCCTTTCGGTATTCCTGTACACCGGTATACCGGTTATCCTTTACTTCCGCTTTGCTTACTGATCCGCTATGCTTACTGATCCGCTATGCTTACTGATCCGCTACACTTACGAATCCGCTTTTACTTACTTTGCTTATACTTTCATACATAGCCTCGCACCTTTGCTTATTGATCATTCCGTTAGCTATCCGTAGTATATAAACCTTTGTATATGCGCTGTAGTAGATCAGTTCGAATATCATCTTAGATTGCACTCATTCCGTCTGGACTCTGAGTCCCTCCGTTATCCATCCGGACTTGAGTACGCTACTCTTGTCTACTCCGAGACTTAGGATAGATTCCTATAGTCTACATATCCGCCTCTGTCTTCGGACAGTCCTCACCCGTTAGTTTCTAGTCCGGATCCGATCCGGATTGGCCGTTACTCTATATACGCGATACTTTAGCTCTCTGAAATAAGGGGCAAGACTCGGGAAAGGGGCACAGCGCACGAGCTGAGGCCGAAGCCCTTCGGATCCGATACTACTTGAGTACGGTCTTAACAGTATATTCGAACTCATACCTTTCCGAGTTACTTAACATCTATCATGCCTCCTACCAAGACACAAACAACTCTGCACGCGGTCGGACTAACCTCCCTCCGTCGTGATCCGACACCTATAGTCAACACCTTCACCAGTTTCTCTCAGCGCCGTGTTAGCGCCCACGGAACCGCTCAAACCATATCCGAACTCCTTAATCGTCGACACCCGGAAACCCCAACACGCACCCCTGCCGTAGGACCTCCGGACGATGATGATCCCGATGATGGTGATGATGATTTCCCTGGTAATCCACCCGATGATAACGGTGGTGACCCGGATGATGATCCGGATGTTGAGGATGATGAAAATGACGGTCTAAACCCACAAGACCGCGTTATGCTTCGACTCTCAGAAGCCATCGATAACCTTGCTCGCAATAATCGTCGCGCGCCCGCATCCGAAGATTCTAGAGTCAAGGTCCGAGAACCGGATACCTTCGACGGATCCGAACCACGGAAGCTCCGTGCGTTCTTTGTCCAGTGTGAGCTTAACTTCCAGAGCAAGCCTAAGGCTTTCCGTACCGGAAGGGCTAAAGTCAACTTCGCCCAATCCTACCTTAAGGGTATGGCCCTTGAATGGTTTGAACCGGATCTCCTGTCCGATGATTCGGACGACCATCCGGATTGGATGGATGACTATTCCGTGTTCATGCTTGAACTCCAAGCCAACTTCGGGCCTCATGACCCATCCGGTGATGCAGAAATGCAGCTCGAACAGCTCCACATGCGCGATGGACAGCGCATCAACAAGTACGTTGTGGAATTCCAGCGTCTTGCTTCACAGGTTCGTGGCTGGGGCGACGGAGCCTTACGACGCCAATTCTACAACGGACTCCCGGCCCGTATCAAGGATGAAATCAGTCGCATGGGTAAACCCTCTACTCTTTCCGAATACAAAGTCCTCGCTCAGACTATCGACGCCCGATACTGGGAACGGAAGGGAGAGATCTCTCGAGAAGCTAAACCCACTTCATCCACTACCCCTAAGCAATCCACTTCTGACCGGACGAACTCCAATACGTCCGGATCCGGAAATCACAAATCTGGAAACTCCCATGATCAGAAGTCTACAAAGCCATCCGCGTCCTCGAACTCGTCCGCTCCTAAAGTTCCGGATCTTACTTCCAAGCTGGGTAAGGACGGAAAGTTAACGTCCGAAGAGCGGCAGAGAAGGATGGACAAGAAACTCTGCTTATTCTGTGGTGGGCCCGGCCATACTGCTCGGGAATGCACCAAGTCTACTTCGCGTGCTGCCAAAGGCCGCGCTGCAGTAGTCGCTCCGGAAGTCAAACCGGATGTCTCTACTGAGACAAAAAAATAGTCCGCGACTCTCCTAGCTCCGTGCAGGAAGAGGGTCGCGTTGACTCTGCCTGCACAAAGGAGTTAAGACTCAACGCTGTCGCGCTCTCGGATCCGACTTCCCTCTGTCCATATGTTTCACTTCCGTTACTTCCATCCGTATCCGAATTTCCAGCTCTTGTAGATTGTGGTTCTTCTCATTGTTTCATAGATACTGCGTTCATCCGAAAACACAAAATCCCTACATATCCGATACCTACGATTCCGCTCCGCTTGTTTGATGGTACTTGTAATAATACTATTTCCGAAGCTATAGATTTGTCCGTCCGCTTTCCGTCCGGTGTAGTCACCTCTGATACGTTCTACGTTACCCCTTTGGATTCATCTTGTTTTATCGTTCTTGGATATAGCTGGCTCACCCGACACAATCCGTTGATTGACTGGGTTTTGGGCAGCATCGAATTCCGGACGACATCTCATGGAATGCCATCGACCCCTCCGACGTCACTTCCGTCCTCGGATATCCCTCCTCCGACGGAAACCATACCTCCTCCGACTACATCCGTACCCTCCGCTGATAACACTGTTCCTAATATATCCCTAATCAATGCAGTTGCCTTTTGCCGGGCCTGCAAGTTAGAAGGATCGGTCCAGTTCAGTATATACCTTCGACCATCCGGTGTCGATCTCCGATCCGCTTCTCTATCGTCCGATCCTCCGGATCTATCCCAAATTCCTTCGGACTATCACGAGTTTGCGGATGTCTTCGACAAGGGAAAGGCTGGTCAGCTTCCTCCACATCGTCCTTATGATCTGAACATAGATCTGGAAGAAGGAACTAGTCCTCCCCTCGGAACTATCTATTCTCTATCCCCGGTCGAGCTTGCAGCCCTCCGGAAGTTTCTTGATGAAAATATTGCCTCTGGACTCCTCCGCTCCTCGTCCTCTCCTCACGGAGCTCCAGTCCTATTTGTCAAGAAAAAGGACGGATCCCTCCGCCTTTGTGTGGATTTCCGTGGACTCAACCAGATCACTAAGAAAGACCGATATCCATTACCCCTCATTGCTGACCTATTAGACTCTCCGAGCCGTGCTAAAGTTTATACCAAAATCGACCTCCGATCCGCTTATCATCTCGTCCGGATAGCGGAAGGGGACGAATGGAAGACTGCCTTCCGAACGCGCTATGGCTCCTATGAATGGTTGGTGATGCCGGAAGGTCTCACTAATGCTCCAGCAGCATTCCAGCGCTTTGTCAATAGCGTGTTTGCTGATATGCTGGATGTATGCGTTATCGTATATCTGGACGACATCCTCATCTATTCCCATGACCTTGCGTCCCACAAGCAACACGTCCGAGAAGTACTCCGTCGACTCCGTAAACATCGTCTCTATGCCAAACCCGAAAAATGCGAATTCCATTCCACTTCCGTTGAATATCTCGGATATCTCCTATCTCCGGATGGCTTAACTATGTCGTCCGATAAGATCCAAGCTATTACTGACTGGCCGGAACCTCGGAAAGTCAAGGATATCCAATCCTTCCTCGGATTCGCAAATTTCTATAGACGGTTTATATTCAACTACTCGGATATCGTGGTTCCGTTAACACGGCTTACACGCAAGGATGCTCCGTGGAACTTTTCCGATGAATGTCGGAAATCCTTCGAGGAACTCAAGAAAGCCTTCACTACGGCTCCGGTGCTTACGCACTGGATGCCGGATGTTCCTATAGTTGTGGAAACCGATGCCTCTGACTACGCTATAGCTGGAATACTATCCATAGTATGTCCGGACTCAGAGCTTCGTCCGGTAGCGTTCTACTCTCGAACGCTAACCGCTCCGGAACTTAACTATGACACCCACGATAAGGAACTTCTAGCTATATATGAAGCTTTCCGGACCTGGCGACATTATCTAGAAGGCTCGGCTGAGCCTGTAGATGTTGTCACGGACCACAAGAACCTTGAGTACTTCGCCACTACCAAACTCCTCTCTCGACGTCAGGCCCGCTGGTCGGAATTCCTCCATCAGTTCAATCTTGTCATCCGCTTCCGTCCCGGAAAACTCGGAGTTAAACCGGATTCCCTTACTAGACGCTGGGACGTCTATCCCAAAGAGGGGGATAAGGACTACGCTCGAGTTAACCCTCATAACTTCCGTCCGGTATTCACGTCCGAACAGTTAGCTTCGTCCCTACGAGCCTCAACCTTAGCAACTCCGGTTCTTAGAGCAGCTGTTCTAATGGATATTGATGACCTTCGGAAAGACATCCTGACCGCACTTCCTAATGACCCTATTGCAACCAACCATCTTCCGGTACCTTCGGATCCGAGATGGACAGTGGACGATAGGGGTTTCCTCCGTTGCGACAACCGTATATATGTCCCAGAATCCGATAACCTTCGACTTCGCGTCCTCCGTAATACTCATGATCACCCCTTATCCGGACATTTTGGTCAAAACCGAACCCTAGACCTCATCCGACGCGAGTATACATGGCCGGGTATACGCACCTATGTTAAGGACTACGTCCGGTCCTGCACTACCTGCGCCCGAGCCAAGGTTCCGAGACATAAACCCTACGGATTGCTCAAGCAACTACCCATACCGGAAAAGCCTTGGAATTCCATATCCATGGATTTCATAGAGCAACTTCCGGACTCATCAGGCTTTACAGCCATCCTCGTTATCATAGATCGTTTATCCAAACAAGCAATATTTGTTCCGACTCACGATACCATTACCTCTCCGGATCTCGCTCGTCTATTCCTACTTCATGTGTTTTCCAAGCACGGAGTTCCGTCCCATGTCACCTCGGATCGCGGTACAGAGTTTGTATCCCACTTCTTCCGATCCTTAGGAAAAGCATTGGATATGGTCCTCCACTTCACATCCGGATATCATCCGGAAGGGGATGGACAAACCGAGCGTGCCAACCAAACCCTGGAACAATACCTTCGGATATATTGCAATTATCAACAGGACAACTGGTCGGAACTACTTCCCTTAGCAGAATTTGCCTACAATAACGCTCCAAGTGCTACTACCGGAGTATCACCTTTCTTTGCTAATAAGGGTTATCATCCGAACATATCCGTCCATCCGGAACGCGATCTATCCTCCATCCGCGCTCGCGACTATGCTATAGACCTCGACGACCTTCACCAATTCCTTAGAGAAGAAATGGCTCACGCCCAAGAAAGATATCAAGGACCTGCGGACGCCAAACGGAAACCTGCTCCGGATATCAATATCGGAGACCAAGTCTTTGTCAAGGCTAAGTACTTCCGGTCCACTCGTCCGTCTAAGAAACTCTCGGAAAAGAATCTAGGCCCGTTTGAAGTCATATCCCGTCCGGGTACCCATTCCTTTACCATCCGACTTCCCGAATCCATGAAATCCGTCCACCCCGTCTTCCACGTCTCACAGCTAGAACCATCCGTTCCGAACACAATTCCCAATCGGATCCAGCCTCCTCCACCTCCGGTCGAAGTCGACGGAGAACCAGAATATGAGATATCCGAAATCCTAGACTCTAAGCTGGACCGTCGTAGAAGACAATGCCAACTCTTATACCTCGTCCGATGGTCCGGATACGAAGGAACAGACGAAGAGACTTCATGGCTACTAGCCACGGAACTCGGAAACGCGTCCGATCTAGTCTCGGATTTCCACACTGCATATCCAGACAAACCCGGTCCTATTGCTATACAATGAATATACAAAGCGGATATACAAGTACATTAGTAGCAGAGAAGGCAGATCCGAAAATCCTCAGCCATCCATCTCCATGTCCCCACCCGATCCGGATCCGGATCCGGATTCTTCAACGTCCTTGTCAGTGGCCTCAGAACGAGCCGCCTCTGTAATCCGGATTCCATTCCGGATCCCCTCAAGAAGGATGGTCTGGAACTCCCTCTGCTGCTCCAAAAACGCCTCCAAGTTAGTATTCATCCGCTCTATAGCAGTCCTACTCCCTTCCGCCGCTCCGATGCTCTGCTGGAGCAATCCGTTGGTCCGAGCCAGTTCCGCTACAATGCTATTAGCGGCCGCGACCCAGGCCTGATCATCATACTCCACTTCCACCTCATCCGCTACTACCGTCTTCATATCCGGATCCGGAGTTGGACTCTGCTGGCGCTTCTTACCCTTGCCTCTCGGAGATGGGTTCTCAGCAGCGCGCTGCCTCTTCTTAGACTTGGAATCCGTAACGGTTCCAGGTCGTCCGGGACAAGGAGCCTTGTCCTTCCGGCACGCGTTACAAGCCTTGATCTATCCGAATGTTAAGAGTCACGGATCCGAAGATTCAAGGATGACTTACCAAGGAATTGCTATCCGCATCGGACCACAGACAGGCCCGACCCTTCTTAGCGCAGCGGGTACAAGCCCCATCCTTATCCGCTGAGATGGCGCGAGACTACGGATCCGATAAGGGACGGATCCGATAGAACAAGTCATAACTCACCATTTCCGCTACTATAGCCCTGCGCCTAGCCTCCTCCGCTTCCCTTCGGGCCTCAGCCCGTTCAATCTTCTTAATCCCTGCCAAGCGCTTCCGTTCCGCCTCTTCCGCTTGTTGCTTCAGCTTTTCAGCCTCTTCCTCCTTCTGAACCTCGGCCTCAGCAGCAGCCAGCGCGGCCTGGATATCCGCCAGAGTCTGCTTAGCGGTCTTCTTAGAGCCGGATCCGTTATCAGTCATGGTTGAGATAAGCTAGTGGTAGTGAAAAAGTAGGGAAAGGAAGGAACACCCTGCGACGCTTTGGCATCCGTATATCTGTCAGAATCCGAACTCAGCAACTTCTCCCATCAGCTTCTCCATTGTCTCGCACTCATACCATCCGTTCCGGATCGCTGATTCTTGTGCCTCTAGGGATCGGCCCTAAGGGGGGGATACTGTCATATACCATATATCCGGTTACAGATCCGATGATCTGGATCTCAGATCCGATCCAGATCCGATGAACATATCCATCGTCCGGTCCACAGATCCGCTTTGATTCTTATTTCATTTCCTGTTCATATAACTCTAACTATCGTTCATCTCCTTTCGGTATTCCTGTACACCGGTATACCGGTTATCCTTTACTTCCGCTTTGCTTACTGATCCGCTATGCTTACTGATCCGCTATGCTTACTGATCCGCTACACTTACGAATCCGCTTTTACTTACTTTGCTTATACTTTCATACATAGCCTCGCACCTTTGCTTATTGATCATTCCGTTAGCTATCCGTAGTATATAAACCTTTGTATATGCGCTGTAGTAGATCAGTTCGAATATCATCTTAGATTGCACTCATTCCGTCTGGACTCTGAGTCCCTCCGTTATCCATCCGGACTTGAGTACGCTACTCTTGTCTACTCCGAGACTTAGGATAGATTCCTATAGTCTACATATCCGCCTCTGTCTTCGGACAGTCCTCACCCGTTAGTTTCTAGTCCGGATCCGATCCGGATTGGCCGTTACTCTATATACGCGATACTTTAGCTCTCTGAAATAAGGGGCAAGACTCGGGAAAGGGGCACAGCGCACGAGCTGAGGCCGAAGCCCTTCGGATCCGATACTACTTGAGTACGGTCTTAACAGGAACCCAACACGAAGCATTATCCGCCCTCGGACGCCACCACCTCAACTAACAGATGCACAAAAGGCATCTCGAAAGATCAAGAGGGACCAGAGGACTGAGAGAACGAAGCACTTACATAACGCAGTCGCTGAATACCTGGACGAACAGAAAACAAAGATTGAAGCACTCTCTCGGGCTCACCACGTTACACCCAAGCAAATCAACGACATCATCGGCAGTCAGACACATTATCGCACCACACGTAAGAGTCAATTGATCCACGCACTTATTCATGCCAAGGCAAAAGAGGTCAATGCAGGTAAGTCAATTTTTTTTGCTCAATAGTACCATGAAGCTTATCTTGCGTCAACTAGACCTACCCGCAGGCTCTCGATACTCAATGGCCGAACTGCGCGAGATGGTTGTGACTGACCCCGACACAGAAAACCTGACACGGGAACAAAAGGAGGCTTACATTGCAGCTCTTGGGGAGCATCGCGAAAGAAAAGTCGTCGGTGTTCGGGCTCATAATCTGGCAGCTGCGCGAGATGTTGTAGCCACGACGGATAGGATCGTCAAAGAGGTAAGTTCGAGTCTTGATGGGAATCAACTGAACTCATCTTTTTCTTTGAAGCTAGATGATCTACGAGTTCGGACAGGTGTCTATGGAACGCTCTTTGTCGTCCGCGGTCACATCAACGACACCATTCAAAGCGCGATGCACGGCACGGATAATTCTGAAGATTTTTGGGAGGATGTGTATGAGCATCCCATGGCTGACTTTCTTAGGCAATATGAACAATGGGCGTGCACCCAGAATCAAAGTAAGCCATTCATTTCATTATATATAGCTCAACTTATGCAATGTTCCGTAGATCTCAATGAACGTGACTCTTTGGGAGCTGTAAGAAAGCAAGTATGCAAGATGATCCTCCGGGGCCTAGGTGAGTGATGGCGTTGTTCTACATATGCCAACCCCGTCTAACATCATTTGCAGTTGCCGTGACAGGCAAAAAAGATATCGCGATGAATTACAGTAACTACGAAACATCTGTCGTCGAAACATACGGAGTGCGGCTTGTGGGCTGGCCCCATGGTGTCAAGTTCGTTAACCCTTCGAATATTGGGACCGTCGGTGATATTCGCAAGCTCCGGGATGCTCTCAAGACACGTACATGCTACTGGGCTGCTTTATCACCAGCAGAGGTCAAGACTCATGCGTCCGAGCTTGATACACGCCGTTCAGCCGGGGAAGCCGTTCGGAAGCCCCGAAAAAAACGTTCAGATGCTGGAGTCCCTCGGAAGCGTAAAGGTGGGCCTAGCGCAGGACGGGCAAACAAAGAGAATCATAGGCCATCGAAGAGAGGGAAGAAGAACCCTGCCCAGCCGCAGGAATGTCCCAAAAGCGCTGAATTTGTGGAGTCTTCTGACGAAGAAGGGGAGGCTGATGAGGAGTAGTGTAGCTTAGTTTACACGTTCATATGACTGATTTACGTATCGCAATCATCAGTTTTGCTTTGTTCGTCGAAACGCGCTGTCAATCCATCTACACCATCATGAGATACGCGAGCTCATCGTGCGACACAGCGAGCACGAAGGGTCAGATATTATTAGCACGGCGCCGGGACCACGTCACGTCATTGCCGAAATGCCGGCGGTACTTAGTATATACTACCTACACCCTGGCTGTACAGTACAAGTCACTCTTTATTCAAACAATATTGAAGGAGGCTCTGGGACGCTGTAACCCCCTTGTCTTATAGGTGCGATACCCATGTGTTATCGCCTATAATTACTGTCGTTATGTGGGAGTCACAGGTGGAAAGACGTCAAAACACGACGATAGAATTAGGGTTCAGGGAATTTGGGGTGGGCTAATTTGCCCGGCTAATTTGCCTTGCTAATTTACCGTGAATGACAGGGTGAATTTCAGACCCTCGAAAACCAGGTGTCAATTTGGGTGAATTTGGGTGAATTTGGGTCCAATGGTTCAGTTTGGCCGGTTCAGCTAGACCAGTGTAGAAAGCTTAATTTCTGAACACCTTAGTTCATCATAGTCAAGATATATAAGTTGATTTGGTTGCCAACTCGGAAGATCACCGAGAATCCGAAATATTGTGAAGTTCGAGTCGCTGAAATATTGTAAATATTGTCCTCCCCATCGCGAAGCCACATGCAACATCTCAAGGATCAACTAGCTGAACTACAACTCTGTCTTGCAGCATTGCCAACAGACATTCCTATTCCGAAGGAGTCAAAGTATAAATTCTCGAACTTCACCTTAGACGCCGAATGGACTGCAGACATTGGCGAGGCTGCTGCCGTCAATTGAGAACTAGAAGTCAGGTTGGGCAGTCGAGTCAATGGCCTTAAACTCGTTGAACAAGGCCCAGAGATGGAGGCCATAGTCCATGTTTTTGAAACATGGACGAAGAAATTTCCGGGTGATGTTATCCTGGAGAAATGGGTGAACGACACTCTCGAAGCTGTGCGAGGCCTCATTCTTGCAGCTGGAAAAGCTGTGAGTCAAATCTTATTTTTTTCTTCAATATAACGGACTTACTGATGGCATACTATAAAGTTGCCAGTCCTTGTCTCGGACTCGAGTTCTACGGAAAAAAAACCAGTCAAAGTCAATCATACTCAGATACCCGAGAAACGAAAGCCCAAGGTTCAGAAGCTCGATACCCATATCTTGTCAACCTTCGATGACGACCGGTATATCAGTGCTGGTGAAGACGAGGACAGTCGAAAAGGTGGTGCCAAGATGCACCCACTGCTTCGCAAGGTTTCGAAGCCTTGTCATTTATCAAGTGATCCCACTGGGGAAAAACTTGTTCGGTGCATTGCATTTGCCAGCCATGGCTGTAACATCACATGGTCATGGCCAAGAGCTCGACAACGAATCATGAAGCATGCTCCACCTACCATGACCACTTCGAGCTTGACCGACGGACATCAAGGCAGATGTTCAGACTCGGATGATGAAGATGGGGATTGGCTTGATAATGGTGATATTGCGAACCATGTGGGTTTAACTGGCGTGAAAAGCACTGAGTTCGACGTGGGTAAAGATATTAACATATCATCCACATACCTCCTCGATATTTTGTCGGACCACGCTCTACAGCCCACGGCTGCTTGCGGAGGTCTGTCGACACCAAAGGTGATGGCTGCCACAACTTCATCCTCGACACCGATGGATGACGACGAGTGGGAGGAATGGTGATTGGCGGCTTTGTTGTAGATTACGGTCAATTAGACCAAATTTACCTGCAAATTAGCGCAAATCAGCGTCAAAGAGCTATGGGTCAATTTGAGTGAATTTGCTGTCATTTACACCGGTCAATTAGGTCTTCGCAGAGGGTCGTGCTAATTAGCCGGTCAACCAGAGCGGGATCCCTAATTCCCCGAGCCCTAGATAGAATCCACAGGCTTTATTTTTTTCGATATATATCGACACGTATCTACCTCTTTCTTGTCGATTTTCACTGGGGTTCATGTATAATACATTGTGATAAGCCATTTTAATGCAATATAATGTTGATTTTCGTGTAATTTGACATCGACCGATCATCGAGTGAATTGGACGATATTCAGAATAATCCATCGAGCGACGAGTGAATTCGATGGAATTCAGAGAAACTACTCGGAATTCAAAGGAATTCATAAAACGAGCTACCGGACTTAAATAATTCTGCAAAACCTGAATTCACTTGAATTCACTTGAAATCTTCCGAAAACAGAGGAATTACAAGGAATTACCTCGATTTCGGGGGGGAGGTTTTCCCTGATGAGGTCGGGCGTTCCAACCCGCTCCGAGCAGATTTCAAGGTTCGCCCTTGGGGCGGCCATTTGTGTCCTCCCGTTTAGGATGAAATTCCCACACCAAACCACAGTGCTACATACGCGATTGGGAGCCGGCACTGGTGGGGGGATAAAAAAAGATCTGAAAATGTGGGAGGGTGTAAGCTCGTTGCTTACCTGAGTTCCCATAATCAACATAAATACTGTCCGCAATAATCAAACTTGAGCTTTGATTATCACTGCCTTTTGGCGTAACTGTTAAGGGACGACAGTCTTAACTACTTACACATGACCTTGCTCCGCAAGGTAACAAACACACGGAATTTCCCCAATTGCAAGTTGCCGAAGTCTCAGCAGTCTCAAAAGTCCCACTGTCTCAGTACACGTATTATTTCCAAATATAGTCATTGATGTTGTTTGTGAAATTGTGGCAAACACTTGTGGGCGCTCTTCTGATCCACACTGAATTCATAAAATGCATCGTCGAACACTTGTGTTCAACTTGCATCATTCTGGACATCTAGCTCGTAATTTCAAGCTAGTCATCCCGTCGAACGCTTTCGTTTGAATCGTATCCGTTTGGACATTTCCGGCCAGTCATCCAATCGGACGTCGACTCTTTCAAACCCTCCGTCGAACGCTTGCGTTGATTTCTATACTTGTGATATCTAGCCAGTCATCTTATCGAACCCTCGCGTTTTATTTCTCAAACTTCTCCCTGTAAATTCCAGCGAGACGTCGCTCCGTGGCTTAGACTGTCCTCAGCGACCGAATTCCTTTCCCCTTCCAACACCGAACAGCTTGAGTGCTTCAGGTCCCCCGACACCTAACATGCCTCACATGCCTCGCGTCAAGAGCACCACCTCGACGAAGCCAAAGGCTACTAAACCTCGTAGACAGATCGCAGTTATGTCTGTCAGAAAAGCCCTACCAGTGGAAGGGCCTACTCCCGGTGAGTCGACCCATCACTCTTTACTTTCTACGGCTCATCTCCGTTCCTCAGATAATCACAAGGGAACAACGTCCTTCGGAGATTCGTCTTGGGCAGAGGACCCATGGGAAGGGGTCGATCTAATCCCTACACGACCCAAACGGGGCCCTACAAGTATGTCAACCGAATATTTATAGATCCTCGTCTAACTCCTTCACGTCAGTCGTCGACCATTGCAGCAAGCCTGGCCAATTCTGGCCAGACGGCCAAGAACCTCCTTTCAAAGGCCAGAAAGTCGCGAAGCGTATATTTGTCACCCAAGGCAAATCTCAATCGCGCAGAGAGATCACACGTAATCACGAGGAAATAAAACGGCTTAAGGATGATGTTCGGTCGTTGCAATTATTCCAACCACGAACGGGCGACATCGAACTTTACCACGACTACTCCGACTATGATGGCACCGACGAGGAAGACCTCTTTGAAATGGACGAGGATGACCTTCCGTCTTCCGCGACAGCCGCCTATGTTCTTCCTCCAGTTGCTACCGTCCATGTACCGGTTGGCAAATGGGTCGATAGAGGAGACGAACCGTTGGATCCGCAAGACCTTGATCTTCTATTGGAGATCACGGAGGTCCCACAGGTGGTATGCGCCATGCTACTGCCTTCCTCCGCCCTCCCAGTAGGGGAAATATTAAAGTTCAAGCTGCCCGACATTGAGGTTGGGTGCCTCACGGACACTGGTGCATCATGCTTTGACAGCGCACGTCCGATCGAGAACCTGGACCTTACCAGAGATATACCTCCAAAGCCGTGGGTCTACAGCCTTAGGGAGGCTCTTGGCGATGCGATTCGAGATGGTAAGCGATCGATCATACATCCTCGATTCAAGGACGAACCATTACCTCTTTGGATGTTGACCCTCTGGGAAACCCTACATACGGTGCGCGAGGCTAAGATGGCCTGGGCGGATGCAGATTCGTGGTTAAAGGGGAAAGTCCAGCAGAACAAAATTACGACCCGCTTCCAGCCCGATCTCTCGTTTTTCCGTGCCCACATAAAGATGTACTATCTACCATACCACAAGACGATCGTTGGCGCAGCTTCAAACGGCTCAAGAAATACATTACAACTCGCGCGCCTTTTGTCGGATGACGCTTGGTTGTCAGAGACTCTCGTGGACATGATGATACAATCCACCGTCCGTCGATTAGTCCCAGCACAATCAAACCTCTTCATCGCGGATACCGAGCTCGCCGATGCGATCTGGCAGGGGAAACCAAATTTTGATTCGTTGCACCACACTCTCAAGAGGCTAGAACGGACACTTGCCAAAGGCAAGATTCTTTTGTTCCCGGTGTGTATCCCCAGCATGAACCACTTTGTTGCATTTCGCATCGACTTTGAGCGGAAAACTTTATGTTATGGTAGGCGATTTCGCTGGCTTGCAAGATACAAACTTATTTGAAAACAGGCGACTCTCTCAATCTTCAAAGTGAAATTGGACGCTTCATTACAAGGCTACAGCAGTGGCTTTGCGCACGATTCGATGGCCCATTCGAAGATCAAGGAAATACCTTGTCACATGACGTTCAGAAAGACTCATGCTCCTGCGCAATGTTTGCCATAAATACCATTGCTCATCATGCCTTTGGCGATCCCCTCGGTATCCCTGACCCTTCATCCACGCGAGCGAAATGGTTCGAAAGGCTCGCTCACAATGAGACCAGCGTAAGTGCCAGCGTATCCACGTCCAATGCGGTGGCGGGTCCATCTCTTTCGTCATCACCAGCCGCGTTGCCATTTGGTCAAACCGTAACGGAGAAGCAGCAGACAGAAAGGAGGCAGCTCATAGAAGGATATGAGGATAAAGCGATTCAACTAGCAGCGGGTATTACCCAGCTGAAGAAAGAGAAGGAACTCGAGAGACAGAAGGAGAGGCAGCAGGAACTCGAAGAGGATCAACAGAGGGCAGCGTGGGACAGTCGAATGCAGGATATTGCCATGGAAGACGGTATGGACTTTGATATGGAACCCGGTGAAGTGAAACCGGATTCCAGCGTACTAGTTCCAACCAAGGGCAAAGGGAACGCCATTGATCGCAAAGATCCTTCTCCTCGTTACGCACACGCGGCCTCTGTTCTTAGAGTTCCCCGTACAAACCGATCGCGTTATTCAGTATCCCCTGCTCGCCAAGATTCGTCCTACCATCCCTATCACCGACCAGTCTCTCTACGCCATCGACCATCTTCGTACAGGGACGACTCTTCGTATCGGTCTGACCGTAACATTTCTGCTCGTCGTGGTCGTTCACGTTCTCCAGAACACTTTACTCCTCGCGGCCGATCACCCTCACCAGTTGGAGCTCGACATAGACAACCCATCCGTTACCAGAGTCCTATCCATCGAAGAAGCCATCGCAGTATGTTTTTCCTCCAGAAATAGGCACCTTAATGTAACTAATTGTTGTCTTTACAGCACCCTCTCCTCGTCGTGACCTGCCTACAAACCGGCGCCGTAAGTTCATTGCATCATTATCGCCAATATAGAGCTGATTTTCAATACGTACAGCTCCTGAATCAGATCACTCCTCACATCCTATACGAGGGTCTTCAATGCAAGTCTCTCCTGTGCTACCGTCAATTCCTGGCACTTTGTCGCTTCCGATGGGCTTTTTACAGTTCTTGCCTCCTGCCACCATAACAACAGTCGCAGGCTCCAACAAGATGGGATCCCGTACTGCCCAGAACAGAACAACCCGCTTCATCCTAGAGCGAACAAACTGCCTCCGGCAGTATAATGATGTCAATCCCCTTTCCCGTTCATTACATAGCGACTCTCAAAACCGCCTTCTCCACATCGCTTGTTACCCCCCATATCATCTCCTGCACGTCGTCTCTCGTGGTAGGTTAGTCGTATCGAAGAGGACCGAGATCAGACTGCGTCTGTGGAGAGCACAATATCCAGATGTCCCGTTATGGTTTTTCGCAATCCGTTGTCTCTCTCTCGGACTCGATTGGCGGGTCTTTGCCAACCCCACGCACCTCGCTGGCCCACTAAATACCATCTCAGCTCCTCGGCCCGTCTATCTCGACCACAAACCTCTCCTGCTCAGAAGGGGCGAGGGAGCGTTCGAGCAGTATGACAACACCGTCAGGGTCATGCTTCGACTTCCATTCGGCCGCCGTTTCTGTTGCATGGGCAGTCTTTTGTGGCGGCTTGCAATGCAATTTGGACCAGACAATCTATTTTCAGCCGCCCTGTCTGGCCCCTCAACGGACGCTTTCATGCACTCCAATGTCGAGCGCATCGGCACCGATGTCGACGACACGGTCACGGATGGTCACATTAATATTCTGTTAGGCCTAACCGACGACAACTATACTTTATGGCCTCCCACGGATCTCTTTGAAAAGTACATGGAATGGGAAGGAGAGTGGACCACAGGTTTAGAGATATGGTTCACAGGGCAGATTACAGCGATACGAAATCGGGATTCGCGCGCGTTCGCCACCCGTAGTCAATGGACGTCGAGACTTGGTCAGTATACCACGACTTCGTCCAAAGCCGCCGTGAAGGTGGTGACCGAGGCTCAGGCGGAGTTGTTGTGTTACGAGATTGATCAGATGGATCCAAGATCGTTTGCGGCCTTAGATTAGTTCGGGCTGTTGTCATTTTGTACGCAGTACTTTCATTATATCCATACCACGCGTCGCATATCCATCAAATTTATCGAGCAATGGAATATACTTTCACTTACATGGACTTGTACTTTGATTAGTTTGAAGACGCACCGACTTTTTGTGGACGAGTTAAAATCCTGAAAATCTTGCAAGTCTCATGCTTTCATTGTCGAACGTGACTGTTTTGATATCTATGCGCACGCTATTCTATACGGACTCGATCATGAAATCCCGAAGACCAGTCGAAAGGTTCGTAGTCTGGTCGATTTCTTTGTCGTCTCGGGGCATCGGGCCTAAACTTGCAAGACTCATTCGTCTATGATAAGGATTACCCCCAATTTGTAAAACATCTCCATCGATGGGTCATAGATTGTGCATGGACCGCCGTATCGCACGATTTATTTACTCCCCATTGAAAAAGCTTAAGAAGGAGAGACTTTCTAAATAGAACTAGAAGTATAAGCGGTAGGGGTAGCGACAGCCCCCTGATGAGAGCTTTTGCAGGCTCGAAACCGCTGCCAATCCTCTTTACTAGCCATATTAACAGCGTCCTACCCTAGGGGACGGCGGACTGCAGCAAGGTGCGAAAAGGGTGGTCAGTCTAGAGCCACTCCGCGTAGACTTAATTCTAGGCCGCCTCGTTCCTCGGCAGCTTAGAAAACCGACCTCTATCCGAACGATTTGCATTAAATTTGGTGGATAATACCGTGGAACAACCCGCAGCCTGGCTTGTTATGTCTCAAAACTTTCAGAAGAGTGTTTGTCATGGGTGGGTTATGACCAATTTTCCCTTAAACGGGACTCGGGAGATCCGATTTTATAGTCTACTGAATTTTTTCACACAATGAGCTAACAAAGTTACATAGTTGCTTTCACAACGACGAAATCATCAGAATTAAGATCATTACCATCGGTATAAGCGCTGCGAGCCTTCTTCTTTGCATGACCTGGGGAATTCGCTGAGACATTATATCAATGTAAGTTACAGGTACAGGTGCAACAATGGCGAAGTACCTGTTGAAGCTCTAGGACGCTTCGAGATGTTGTTCGCAGTCACATGTGTAGTTGACTTTGGGGCGGGTTGTCTACCATGAATTGCAGCGCGTGATGTCTTAGGGACCAATGTGGTTAGAGCTGGTGAATGCATCTTAAAGTCGTAACCAATGTCTAATGATAAATGGACATACAACCGTCGTGGACAGATGGGACAGTCGCCTTGATTATGTGGGCGCCAGTAGATGTGCCTGCTACGGAGCAGTCAATATGATCGTGGAAAAGGAGGAAGCTACTTACTGGTATCGACCCCCAGATCTCCAACAGAAATACTAGGGTCTTCCATGTCTGAACTTGCGTGTCTCCGGTCGATATTGATACGGGTGCCTTCACTTGACGCCATCGCAGCTGCAGCGTCGCCACCACGCCCACTGTCTTCTGCACCCGAGTTAGGCTCACTGCTGACAGCCGCGCCCATCACCATTTCGTCGTCGGATCCATCGCTTTCACCCCGCTCACCAACAGGGTCTGCAATCCCTGGAACAACGTGTCATCTGCGGAAGGAATGGTAACAATAATGCATACTCACCCGTACCTACCGGTGCCTTGCCTTTATTCTTAGCTTGCGGGGTCCTGGTTTTATCCAGTGTACTAGTATGTGAGGCGGGCGTGGAGTCAACAACGCTCAGATCGGGTGGTTCAGCATGGACAATGGGCCCTGGTTGTGGCCGCTGTGATTTTACTGACTTGGGCAGGTTAGCCTGATTATCGCAATTTGTCGATATCTGAGGCCGTGGCTTGTGCGTCTGCATCGCCACAGGAACTGTAGAGGCGGGTAGCAGGGCCTGCTCATCCTCTTGTTCATCCTGCTGGAGTCACATTAGCTGTCTGCTTTCAAGAAAAAAAACACATGTGCATAGACTTACAATCGTGTTTTTATCTTCTACGCCGCGTATGGCTGGAATCATAAGATCAATGGTATCCTTAGTGTTGTATAATATACTGTCGTCACCCTCCAGTGATCGTATGCGCAGACGGGTAGAATTGATCTCCAGTTCCTAACATGGATTTCTCGTCAGTGGTGTGCATTTGCAGCCACAAATGATAAACGTACATGTATCAAATTCTGCAGACCTCGAACAACGTTCGCTGCCATCGGACTGTGGGTCGAGGAGGTTGCCTTCGCACTTGCCATGTGCTTGACGTACGAGATCAGCTTGACAATAGCAGCCCGGTCATGTCCCTCCAATTCATGGCGACGTTGGATACGTGCGTCCACGACATGGACGTCATCCGTTAGTGTGGCTGTTGTAGTTGGGGTGACATCCGACGGAATTTCAGCACCATCGTACCATAACCACCTCGTCCGCTTAATTGTCCTTCCACCTTTTCCAGTCATATTGATAGCTTTCGTGCGCTTTGCAATCACATCCTCCAGCATTTTCCGGAGGCCAGCAATCAGCGGATCATTGAAGAGATCCTCTCGCCTGGTGCGGTCTCTGCCAAGGTCAAGCAATATTGCCTTGATAAATGGATCCACGTCCCGTTTGCTGTTCTTTGACGCGCAGTTGTTCCAGTCCCAGCTCGTGACGTGCAGGGCAAGTATCCCAGGAATCACCTGCGACTCAGTCATGAGGTCCCTCCCCCGCCCCTTTCTGAATGACATCACTTCCCGCAACTTCTTCAGGTCACCCTTGCCACCAGATCCTAACCTCTCGAATTTTTCATCGACCTCCTTTCTGTCCTTGAAAGGCTTGCCGTGCTGACTGCGAGCGATTATTGTGGTCAGCTTGTTCTGGAGGCGCAGAACCATTGTCGTGCGGAGTGCCCATAAGCAGGTAAACACCTGTGAAGGTGAATGTTAGCGCTGCACAGACCCTAGTTCGTGTATGTCACACTAACCACCTCCTCAATTCTATCAGATTCAACCACTCTCGGGTCGTTGCGGAGGTTTGTGAACATGACCTCCGTCTTGTCATCCATCAGATGGCTGTGACGATGAAGCGTGCGATAGTGCAACAACAGAGGCTCAAACCATCCGCTGACCTGTCATAATGAGTGAGGACAAAGCAGCTGTCCTATAATATGGAAGTACTCACCTCCTCAAATGCAGCACTGTTGGATGTCAAAATGGACCACGCAATGTCGAGGATGTGTCCGCATAGTAGTGGAAAAGGTGCCTCCTGTACGCCATCTTCAGGCGTCAGCCACACCGCGATTCTTGCCGTCACCCTGTCATGAAACTGGGAAATAGTATTCCATTGCGATGGTTTGGTTCTTGATAGGTGCCATTTGGAGCGCAGCTTTCTGACTAGGTAGTTGGAGTAGTTGTCCAGGCTGGTGGTGTAGTTGGGGGCCTTGGTCCCAATATCCTTTAGAGGTACGTTTTGGAACTGCTCACTAGCATGAGTGGAGATGTCGTCGAAGACATCATTGAAAGTGGTGTAATCTGGGTTCACCGTGCTATCGTAGATCATCTGACGCCACTTCTCCAGTTGCGTGACAGCCTCGTGAGGATCTGACCCTTCATCGTATGCGGCTGCGATTGTTTTACTCACTGTCGCATAGTCTGGGAAGATGTCGTTGGATGCGAGCAGGTGTAGGATGTGACTGTGAAACTGAATAAATTGGACAAACATCTGTAACAACATGGTAAGGTCCAGCTGCGCATACTATGCAGATGCGGCTTACCCCCATCACAACATCGATCGATTGAGCCAGCCAGGCAATATAGAACTCTTTGCGACGGCGGAAGTGCGATCCTAATGGCAGGAGATCGATGGCAAGCGTCAGCACGAGCTTCTCATAGCTGAGGACTTTGGTCAACCGCGTGTTTTTCTGCCTCTCGGTATTGTCGCGCTGAAGCTGCAGTTCGCCCTGTGCTGCCGCAACCCGCTCCTCCTCTGGTGCATTCTTGTATGCTGCCTTCACCGACCGCAATATACCGGTCAACACCTCCTCGGTCGTTTCCTTGTACTCATGAAGTGACTTGTTTCGGCACAAGTGGTTTGCCAAGTCGTCGCCATGCGCTAAGATCGCGTCTGTAGATATTCATAGATATATCAGCTCTATATATATATGCCTCCACTGCAATCGTTCCAGTGGCCGGGGTTGTCAGTCACATCTAGCTGAGGCAATGCTGACAATACTGCGCCACTGGATCCGTTCCACGGATGAAGTAGATTGCTTGATTGCTTACCTTCATCATATACAACTATTCCCCACTTGCCCATTAGAATCATTGCACCTTGCAGCTCAGCAAGCTCGTTGCGAAGGCTATTATACTCGGCGATGTGCTCCTCAGTCGGTTTCTTCATCTCACTGATCTTGTGGCGGCGTATCTCAATAGAGGCAATCCCATCCATGACGTTCGTTGAGTATTTCTTGAGTGCAGCCACTCGATGTTGACCGGATGCTACCACAATAGCTTGCGCATCCTTCAATTGCAGATGCGGCACCTCCTCCTCCTCGTTGAAGTTGAGTGCAAGGTGCAAGTCACTCGCCAGGCGTGTGCTTGACAGCATAATCGGTATGGCAGTATCTTCTCGCATCGCAAGGATTCCTTCTTTCTTGAAGGATGTGATGAGCTTGTTCACCTCCCTCTCGACCCGTGGACGGTCGTTGTATTTGCCAAACAGCAGTGGATTCCGGATCTTGAGAATATCAATATATGCCACACCCAGCCTGCACTTTGCAAGTTGCATGTCCATCTTCTGAGTTGCCTGAGCTGGGTCGTTTGTTAGCGCATTTGCCTCTACCGGGCGCTTGTCCATCTTTGCACGCAACTCGTTCACCTGCATCCATTACTGGTGAGCCGTCCTGTACTCTGGCATGATATCGTCTGTCTGTTGATCATGTGAACATACCGTTGGTCTCTCATCCGCAGATGAGTTGCGTTTGCGGCGGGCCATGTCGATTGCAGCGGTAGGTGTATGAGCAACCTCCAACCATGAATCTTTCAATTCAACTTGTTCCGGTTTAAGTTACGTCAGTTCTAGATCTCGAGCCGCTCATCGAGCGGAGTTTTTATGAGAGGCGCAGTCGGGGCTGAGGTACCCACAAGATCCTGTGTGATCTCGACACAGGTAATGTTACCGGCTGCATGGAAGAGTGTTTTTCCGGTGTTTGCCGATAACAAGTTTGACAGCCGACAAACTTGCTATGATCACCCTGCAGCGGGCAAGTCTGGGTGTGCCAGTGGATGTCAAAAATGAGTGTGAACATTTTACGTTGTTGGACACATCTAGTAGGTTACGCCAGCAGTGCTCTGTCCATTGAACGAAGCATGATCATGATGGTGCCAGTGTAGCCATTCTGGAATCTTATGAGTGCAATCGAGGTATGCAAGCCAGGCGCGAAAAACCTATCCAAGGTTACCAAAGTAATCCTTAAACCGACAAAAAGGTGCGCACAGCCGAATGACCGAAGCATCGGGTCCGAGTCCTTGTTGCTTCTCGGCTTGTACGACCTATGGCCGTGAATCAGCCACCAGATTTTTCTCCTTGGAAGAGCACGAGCTTGCCTGTAATTTAAGTATAGTATTTTCGCATTGTGAACGGACATCGCTGAAGTTAGAGGTTGCACGACTCCACGAGGCTCTGAAGTCTCACAACAAATTCCCTGCTAAGTCGCCGAAGTCGCCAAAGTCTCAAAAGTCCCAGCACACGTATTATTTCCAAATATAGTCATCGATGTTGTTTGTACTGCTTTGTATACGGCCGTGGCAAACTCTTGTGGCTCTTCCCATCCCGTGAGAATTCATAAAACTTGAATGCATCATCGAACACTTGTGTTTGACTTGCATCATTCTGGACATCTAGCTCGTAATTTCAAGCTAGTCATCCAATCGGAGGTCGACTCTTTCAAGCGCTCCGTCGAACGCTTGCGTTTGACTTCTATCCTTATGGACATCCAGCCAGTCATCCTATCGAACGCTTGCGTTTGATTTGCATCCTTGTGGACATCTAGCTCGTAATTTCCAGCTAGTCATCCAATCGGACGTCGACTATTTCAAGCCCTCTATCGAATGCTTGCGTTTGACTCGCTTCCTTTCGGACATTTTCAATCTAGTCGTCCGGTCGAACGCCAGCCGCGTTTGACTTACATCCTTGCAGAGGTCTAGCTCGTAATTTCTAGGTAGTCCTCCAATCGGACGTCAACTGTTTTAGGCACTCCGTCGAACGCTTGCGTTTGACTTCTATCCTTGTTGACATCTAGCCAGTCATCCTATCGAACGCTTGCGTTTGATTTGCATCCTTGTGGGCATCTAGTTCGTAATTTCCAGCTGGTCATCCAATCGGACGTCGACTCTTTCAAGCCCTCCGTCGAACGCCAGCTTTTGAGTTGCATCCTTGTGGACATCTAGCTAGTAATTTCTAGCTAGTCATCCTATCGGACGTCAATTCTTTCAGGCCCTCCAGCTAACGCTTTCGTTCGACCAATTCGAATCATAATTCAGCACCTGGCGGCTTGTATGTAGACGCCCTGCGCTCCACCTCCGGTTACAGCAGATGGGCTTTGGCTTCGTCGTCTTCCGGTTACTCCGTCTCCTTTGGCTTGGGCTTCGCGTCCGACACGGTCGTGAGTAAGGCGAGGCGGTTGTTGCGGTAGTCTCTACGCTTGCTGTCGAAAATCAATCGTCGTTATCCGGCGAGCTAGAGGAAGCCTTGGGCAGTAAGAAGCGCTCCCCCCCGGCTCGTGTTTCTCAGCCTGATCCTTGCGCAGAGATGATGTAGTAGTAATTTGCGTTGATGCCAAACTTTCTGGCAGGGTCTGTCGTGTATGTGCATAGTTGAGAATGTGCTTTCTCCTCTTCGTCAGAGGAGACCGATTGGTAAGGCATGTGTCCCTTGCGGAATTTAGGCTGCTGGATGGACGTGGCTGCTTTGATTGCGGTGGTGGGTAGCACTCGAGGTTTGGATAGAGGCTTCTTAGGCTGCGTAGGGACTTTCTTGTCCTTTACAACAGCTGCGTCAGGATACCGTTCGTTACGGCGAAATTCGGCAGTCTTAAACAGAGTCTCGCCGTCACCCGAAAAAGTGCTAGACTTTCAGTGAGAGGATCCAGGAAGCCAGGTGCGTTTGGACGTGCACAGACTGCAAGGCAAACTTCTATAGCGAGAGGCGGCGGCTCTCTCTATCGAGGACCGACTACCACACACTGCGGGACTACCGACTGCGAGCCAGGACTTCTGCTACTGCACCAGCACCCCTGGCACTCCCGACCTGATCAATCCTGCCAGAACGCCCCGCTACAACGTGTCCTCGAGTGGATGCGTTTGTATGCGACCTCGGCGAACGCTGAAAGCTTCCCGCGAGGTATTGCACTAAGCAGTATCCCGTTCGCACATTGATAATAGACGAAAGCTCGGTCTCTAGAAATATTGCTGTTATCAATGACGTCTACATCAATCAGTTGAACCTCTTTATTCGGTTTTTTATCTTGTTAGCCCAGGTCTGTTTCTGTTTTGGAGTCACAGCTTGTGAGAATGGTAACTTGTACTCTGCATGTTCTTCGAACAGTATGACACACAGCGTCAAATGGTAGGCTGCTTTGGTCTTTCCACCTGTTCTCGGATTCGCTTCAGGTGTCCTTGTTTGATATCTGGGTCATCTGTGAGGGCAGATAGAAGTTTCGCACTGAGTTCTGGTGTCCAGCTGTACTCTGATAAGCACGAGACAACCGAGATTGCAACAAGTCTTAGGTACATACTCGATGTCCGTCTTCTCGTCTGCCAGGGGTTCACTGTTATCTTCGGACTCACTCGTCTCGACCTTCGCTTTTTTGGGATAGGTTTGGCCTTTGAAGGCTTCAGGGCTTTGCCAGGGGTGGCTTTTGTATTTTTTTTGCCATAACAGATGTCGAAGAGATCGTGAAGGCCCGCGACGAGCAGGATGTATTATTTTTTATTACTCAAATAAAATGCATCTTTTATCAAGGTCGAAACCTGTGATTCAAGAGGTGGAGGCGTTCCAGCGATTCACCCCTGATTCATGTTTCACATGATTCATCCGTGAAAAAACTTGATGCTGAATCGTCTTTTGGAATCAACGCTGAATCGTGTCAAAATCGCCAACTCTGACTCTCCCTATTAAATGTATCTATCGAAGGATTCAGGGTGCAATGCACAGATTGAGGCATGCGGAAGGGCATGTTGAGGTATGTACATGCAAGGCGGCGCCTAATGCCAACAGCTGTTCTCACTGGCACATTAAAAAATTCATCACTCTTCGAGTTCTTCGCTGCTAACCTCTGGACCTCCAATGCGGACGAACTAATGTGTGGCTTTACCAGGGGGCCCACCTTCGAATCGCTGCCGACGTCAGTCACAACACAATCATTCGCGGTAGGTACTGCTGCAGTGAGTTGTCGACTTTGGAAGTAATTGTTGGCCAATTACAAAACACGGTACGTTCGATCACAAAGCACAGTCTGACACTACAGTGTTGTACTAGTAGGCAACTCTCAAACAACTGAAAAACACCATTATTCCACCCTCCAACATCTCTTCACATAGCCACTCAGTAAATCTAGGGGCGCATTTACTGCGCTCCTCCAATGTAACAATAAGACTGTCCTTGTGCGATTTTGGGAAGATGTGGATGGACTCAATGGCAGGGCAGGGTATAACAGCACCAGCCAAAGGCTTCTGGATGGGTAACAGAGCCGGGAGTGCATTTGGTGTACGATGTAGCGACAGATGAAGGAGTGTGGGAATAGTGTCCATGAAGAGAGTGAACGTCTTCACCGGTGCGTTGACATTGTAGAGTGACAATTCGTGCAATTTTGGAAACGGGAGATGAGTTGCGCAGTATTTCATAAGGATGTCAGCTTTGCAATCTTCACCATCATCCTCATGGGTAGGCGAATATGTGGTACGAGATAAATGTAGGCCCTCTAAGGAAAACTTGATCAGGTTGGGGGCATGAAGCCCGCTGAATAGCCTGACGTCATCTCCAACACAAGAATATCCGTAGTGCAGGTGCTGCAGCAGTGGAAGTGATACCTGGCGTGAAAGTCCAGCCGTCGAGCCAGAGATCCTAAGCACAAGATTTTTCAGGCGAGGACAAGCTTCAAGGATCCCTGAAAACTCATCAGATGTTGGCCTGACTTCTCCGCTATGATGGGAGAGCTCCAGCGACTGGATAGAGTGACTGAAGGTAGGTGACCGATTGGGGGTTGCGCCAAGAGTATGATGAAGGAAGTTTGTCCAGTTCAGGTGAACGCCGTATAGAGTTATGTTTCGCAATTTTGGAAGGGGGGGGGATTGCGCTGGGACATCTTGACTGGTAGCTCCAATCAAAGCGGCAAACATGGTCCCTTCCACCACCTTCATCATGCTTGGACAGAAAAGCCAGAAGCGAGAGAGGTGGTCGTTGGTTCTCTTGAGCTTTATGGACTCAAGGCGCAGAGCGCTTGAGCCCTCTGTCCTGCGCTCGTTGAGAAGTTGAAGGGCGCTATAAATCGGCATCCAAGTATCACTGATGATTTCCAGTGAACGCCATCGATACATCTCACGAAATAGAAGGTTGAAAATAGCTGGCATACAGTCAGCATATCGGGACATTGTTTTAGTGAAATCCGATTTTCTTCTTCTAAAGGCAGACATTTAGATAGTTGTACTCAGTTAAAATCGAATGGAACTCACATCATTTCCTCAGTACCTGATGTTGGTCCTTGTTGGGCCCTGATGATAATATTCACTGAGGACTGTCCTGATCGCGTGATCATTGTGGTCAACGGTGTCAAGCCCCCACTGGTTTGGTTGCGGATGACCTTCCGAAGATCAATAACGAGGCTTGACCACAAGTTGTAGCTGCAGAGCGCGACTGATCTCCAGCGCAGATTCACCGCTGCAAGTACATGCGGCATCATGACACTTTGAAGGGATTCACTGGGTATGCCATGTGCGGCTAGCATGAATATTTGAGAAAGGATTTCCATGGGAAGTTTACCAACATAACACGGTTGGGGAACCTGGCAGGTCATGGGGGATTAAAATTTGAACAGGGGGGAATTTGAAGCGACTCAACTGCTCATGTCAGTCATATTTAAGGGGCAAGCCTGAGAACGTATGGGTTAGCCCTTTAGTTCCGCATGGAAAATAATACAGAACAAGCTAACCACATGCAGATAAGTAACCGTATGACTCGGAGCGCCTTGAAAAAAACAGCTAGTAGAAACGCATAAATGGGGTCAGTGGATTCAAGTGAGATCTGGGCTGTGGCATGTGCAGTCGCGTCCCGGAGCTTAATGTCAAAACGTTATTCTGCGCATCAGCAGCTCTGGGTGAATCCGATTGGTGGAGAGCGGAGCTGCCAACCGAACCCTAGACTAACTAACACAATATTGTCAATGCAATTCGCTTCAATTGCAATTATAAATCAAATGATTATGTGCTGCTCAAATTGAATATATTACATACATGATCGCGTGCGATTGGCGACCGTCGTCGGCCCAATGCAAACGTTGTTGTATCATGACGTATATGCGGAATTTGAGAGATCACTCAGGCTCGACTAACAGTGTGACTAATGCGAGACCTTCGATGCGGGTAGTTATAGATCTAGCCAAGAGGATGCTTTCCGCCTGCCTTCGGGGGCTGGACAGTTTCGTCAATATATATATGTTAAAGAGATGGACTCTTGAACGGGGCTGGGATGATATCTATAGCTACTTGGTGCTAGTATAAATCCAAACCTTGCGGTTTGTTGGCATACCCCAATCGCTGCGGATAAAAAGTGACAGATTGCTTGATCCAGTCAAAGAAGGCCTCTCGCTTCTGTGTTGGTTCTAGTCCTCCGATGGAAGTGCTTTCGTGGGTGCTAAATCTAATGATCTCGTATCCGATCCACCGCCACGACAGTTGAAGCTGAAGCCTGGGCTGCCGAATGTCGCACCGAGTGCCGAGAGGGGGATCCGTATCGAGAAAGAAATGAATAGTGCTCGTGAATCGTGATGGTAACGATTCAATGGATCAAGAAGGCTGTTCTGGTCGGTCTTTGGTATACCTCTCAGACCGCGATCGATCGAGGATCTATATAGATCTTGCAAGGCTCAACGCAGTATACCGAATTAAGATTATTAGGCGTTCTGGAGTTGCGCATACAGAAGCTCGATTCGGATGGTTCAGACGCTGGGGTTGGGCTTAGAGCAAAAGGAAAAAAAGGGATGGTGACGGTCGGGATGTTGCTGTTACTAATCGTTCAGAACGTTTAAGTACGGGTGGCGAGGAGAACGTCCATCAGTTATGGTGTAAAAATTTTCGCTTGACCTACAAGAACAGTAGATACCGGTTGGCACATGAGAGATACAAGAAATTCGAGAATGAACATATGTTTACATTCCAGTCAGGTTCACACATCAAGTGTGTCCAGCTCGACGTAAAACTGTTACAACCGAAGTCCTGCGAGTCCCTGTGGTACTCCCCAAGAATTACGCTGGCAGTACAAGCGCACTTCCCCCTGAGGTGTCTCCAAAACCAATCTTCCGCCACCCCTCAAGCATCGTCACATACTAACCCGCATACATTCACTTGCTGTTATGTTCAACGGCAGTTGTGCAAACAGATTCTGGAGACGCAGCGAGCTCTGCATTGTTGTGTTCTTTGGTAGTGTGGAACACTACAGAGAGCGGGAAGGAGCGGGATGTACGCAGTAAACACCTAAGCACCTCTGAACTCGAGAAAGGCGTATGGACGAAAAAAAATTGATGATCCTATGGTGCAGTATATCAGTACTCTTGCCGTCGTCATTCAAAAAACACTTACACATCCCCACCGTTTTCTCCACCCACGCCACTCACAGTACCAGAATGCATCACATTCATGAACATGCGCGGGACTGAGAGGCGATGGTAGTCGTGGACCCGGACGAGGTCGCCTGGTTGGAGGACGCTTGGAAAGATGGGTTGCGGATGCTTGATCGGCATTTGTGGGTGTTGGATGAGGTGGCTGGATGTATGGGTGCAGGACGCGCGAGTATTATGTTTAGATGCATGATAAGATGAACAGAAACACGTCAAAACCATCAGATTAAACATGCTCAGACAAAGTATAAACGAACGAACGCACCTGCTCATAATACTCAGATTAAACATGCTCAGACAAAGTATAAACGAACGAACGCACCTGCTCATAATACTCATAACTAACATCTGCGCCCGCATGCTCCGTCGTTGCGCCCTGCCAGAGGAGGTAATGGAAGAGATGCCAGAGAGCTGTGTGAGCGTTAGCATCATGTCAATAGTCAGTGTTTGGAGTCAATAGTTGACATTTGGGAGAAGGTGCCCCGGGCCAGTAGCAATAAGAAACAGCAAAGAAGTGGAAGGTGAAAATCAAGGAGGTCGCTTGAGATGGGTGAAAAACAAAAACAATTAAGAAAGACCGAAGTGTAAAACGACTGGATTTAGAAAGATGGAACTGGAATAAGGGAAGAGGTCCGAGTATCCGAGTGATGAAAGAGAAACGAGGAGGGGAAAATGAAGGGAGGAGATAATCGTGAAAGAATAAAAGTTAGTGAGAGAGAGCGTGAGGACTCTGAGGAGTAGTATGGCAATTCGGGTTGATAGGACTGACTTTGCTTATAATAAGTAACGACTATCATGATGACCGTGTGCGACGTTTTCTTCCATCCGGAGGCGAGCTCAACACAGAGAGCGTCCTTGTCCTCTTGAGAGATACGGGAACTTGACTCAAGAGGGATTAATGGGGTCGCGAACGGAAGGGACGCGTTCTGCGGTGCAGGAACCTGGGTTAACGTCACCTGTGCAGGTTTGCCTGTCCGAGGATGACCTGCTCATGCGTGACGCTAACACTGCTACTTCCGCTCGTCATGATCGTTGATGGTATCCGTAGCGAGTGAGATGCAAGATCTAGACGAGTCCACCATTAGACACGATGAGGGGAGGTTTCTCTATGATTACGTACCTAGGTCCCTGGAACTCCAACACATAAGTATAAGTTAGTTAGTGTAGAAGACTCGGACTCCAGAATTTGGATGCTTCCTTAACCGTGTGACTTCTGTGACTTCTGCGACAACTTCCTTTACTGTGGGACTTTTGCGACAGCTGAGCGCTGACGGTAATTTTAGATATCTGCAAATTACTAGTCTGGCATGAATCGATTCATAGCGTTGCTGGTGAACTGATGCAGTTCGAACTGACTTCACTTCACTTCGAAAATATTGAGGCAGTTCGTCACACTTCAACCAAACACTTTCGTAAATGAGGCGAAGCAGCAACCCAATTTGTCTAATCGCACGCCAAGATGAAGTAGATAGTCGAGGCGCCAGCCTGTGCTCATTTCTCATTGATCATCTACTGACCAGTGACTGTTACTTGACAATATCTGTAAGTTCAAACCTATCGCACACCTGTAACACGACATGATTCAGTTTCGGAGGATTCCCGCCAGCAAGCCAATGCAAGGCTATACAATACATTTGCTTGCCGCTCATCCAGATCAATGGGAGGCCTGCCTGTGGCCATGCCCTTTCGCGACGCTAAATAGCTGGTATAAGTATTCGAGCTCGTCGTCTGACGGAGAATCCATTTTGTTCAACATGAGATTTCAGCAGTGGAACATTCAGCCGTCTCCGATTTCAAACGCTCCCATTCATCCTTCTTTTGCTAGTACTACTCCAGTTCACCGGCAATATCATCATACTTTTAAAACCAGGCTTATGGATTGCCAAGCGGCCCTCGTATCCACCACAGGCTATCCATCCATCAAACCTCCTGCCGCCGGCATCAGGAAGTTGTCGTCACGGGCACTGGTGATTGACAACTCTAAGTCAACCGTGATGTGATATTCAAACGTAAGCGATACAATGAGCACTAGTAGTAATACTACTATAGTCTGATGCGAAAGAACCTACAAGTACACAGATATTGGCGGGTATATTGAGAGTGGCCATGACAGCATGTAAGCGAGAACGATGGCGATTGCATAGCAGGCTACTAGTACTGCAATCTAAGTCATAATGTATGAGACCATTGGAGAAAATCGACTTCGAACGGGCGAGTGACTCACCCTCGATGATATACAGCTCCAGCCTAGAGTCCCGACTTCCCCTTCCCCTTTCTGTTTGTCTCCGTCTTCTTCGTCTTCGGCTTCGCCTTGGCTCCTCAGCAGCTTTGGTCTTGGCCTTCTTTGCCAAGGGCTCGGGTTGCATATCAAGCGAGAGCCCAGCAGAGGAACAGACTGTCGGATCAGACGAGGCTAATGTAGGATTAGACGAGGAGGCCAATGTAGGAACAGACGAGATGGAGGCAGTAGTTTGATCACCGGTGCTTGAGGATTGAGCAGTCTGCGAGATCTTACGTTTGCTGTACTTGTGGTTGCGCCAATCCAAGTAACGGCAGTAAGCTGTAAGATATATGGCAGAAGATATTTGATTGATAGCAGCCCCCCAAACGGGCTCGAAAATGGGATTGGATTCGCGCACAAGCTGGATTGCAGACGCCTCTAAACTCATCCCTTGCATCAAGGAAACAATGTACTCCTTCAACGCGTTTGCGCCATCCCTCAACATGCGTTCGACGTCGGACATATGTACCGTGGGGTAAAGGGTCTGTAGGGAGCGAGCTGGGATTAGAGTACGGATGACTCGGATAGTAATGTGAGAGTACCCCCTCTGCAAACGTGTCTGGATTCTTGCTGTTAAAATTAAAGTGGCCATCCGCGCCACGTCTGAATACGCTGTATCGAATCTCGCTGATGTCGATCCACACATGAGAGTGGATGGTGACCGGACCAAACTTCAGATTCTTCTTTATGCGTGCAGGGACGAATTCTTCGTATTCCAATACGGGAACCGTACGAAGAGTTTGAGCGGCGATACTCGTCTTCTTGGGCTGTTGCCATCCAAACCGCTCTTTGAAGGACATGATCAGAGCAAGATCAATGTCACGATGGCCGTCGCACGTGACTCTCAGTTTCCGCACCATGAAGTCATGGTCTGACGAAAGTCCACACTCCCCGACCCATTTCGAGACAGGCTTCGGAATCTCAATTTCGTCCGCACCGTCGTCCTCTGGCGGCTGAGTTGTGACGGCGAGGTGTAAATCTGGGATATTCGTTGTGTCTTTGTTTTGGATCCGGTGGTTGAGGTGCACGGTCACGTCGACCAAGAGTTTGTCGTATGGAAGAGCATCCGTGAATTTGTTAATGGCCTTGGAAAGGTGGGCAGCTGGTTGTTCATGGACAGGGAGGGGGGGCATGATCTGAAGTTCTTGCGTGTTCTCGAAATAGGCGAATCTGTAAAAATATTATCAGTATTGTAAGTACGAGACAGTCGATAATAGCGCGCACTTTGCTCGAACTTCAAAGGCTTTCTCTTCAGATGTAAACGCTAATACTGCTGCGTACTCTGCAGGTGTGATACCGACAATGACCTTGAAGGGTTTCCGAGTCAGACATTGCTCGACAACGACAACGACAAAGCGACCTACGATCGTGTTTGATTGTGGGTTTTGAAGAGCTTCAAGAATAATTGCACAATGCTCTGTAAGATGATGAAGATGATGGATGGTCAAGAAGAAGATTGGAACCTGATAAGCGATCTGAGAAATACTAACCTAAGCTTAAGCTGGCTTGATTATCATCTGTGAGGTCGAGTCTTGCTTGTATTGCTGCTTTGAGGTGTGCAAGTACTTGCTTGTCCGGAAGTTGCCTGTCTGTTGGGAGTGTGATAGTAGATTCTGCTGGTTTCTGAAGTTGTTCAGCTTGAAGTGGTACACATCTCGCCGGAGAGGCGATTAGGGTAGTAGTATTGGAAGGTGATTTTGGGAGCCAACCCTTGGATCCAGGGGTCATAGGGAGCTTAGAATACATGGCCGGGAGAGTCATAACAGTAGTGAGAGGCATCAAGATAACAACTGGGCTGTCAATGTGCCACAACCAAGTCAGTTGTGAGCAATATAGTCAGCTGAAAAAACCACGTGCTGCATCATGAGAGGTAGCGCTGTGGAGCGCTAGCTAGTGTGTCATGATATATCGATAGGCTGATCAGTACTAGCATAAATTTCCAAATCCAGTCATCAAATGACATTTGCCTGTGCATAGGCAGCTCTTGTGGTCCACATTTTGATAAAATGCATCGTCGAACGCTTGCGTTTTACTTGCATCATCTTACACATCTTTTCTATATAATTTACAATCAATCATCTTAACCAGTGTTTGCCTTTTTTGACTTATATCATTTTGGACATCTAGCTTGTAATTTCAAGTTCAGGCTAGTCATCCTGTCGAACGCTTGTGTTTGACTTGCATCTTGACTCTTAAGGACATCTATCTAGTCATCCTATCGAACGCCTGCGTTGGGTTGCTTCCCATTGCGCATTTCCAGTCATCCCGTCGAACGCCTGCGTTTGACCTACATCCTTCCGGGCACCTCATCCCGTCCAACGCTTGCGTTTGACTTTCATCCTTGCGGACATATAGCTCGTAATCTCTAGCTATTCATCCAATTGGACATCGATTATTTCAAGCCCCCCGTCGAACACTTGCATTTTACAACATGCTGCCACCGAACCCGCAACTTCCCAACCCTCCCGCTCGTGATTCGAATCAGACGTTATCTCGCGCCCAAAGCTCATCCGCGCCACCATCTTCCTCTAACAATAGCAATACCATGTTGTCTGGGTAAGCAACCCATCTCACTTAACCCTAAATGATCGCTCATCATCGATCAAGATCATCCAAACCCACCCGCAACTTTTTCTATGTCAAGGCAGCCGATTCTGTCCTATTTTCGGCCACGCAGACAGTGTGCCTGTCCTTCTCAGAGGTCAAAGACGACTTCAAGCACGAAAATCCAGACCCTGAAGAAATATTCGAGTTGAGATTCACCTTGCATCAAAGATGAGGGGGCTGGCACAACATGCGCATTGCGGTATGCTACCACATTCGAAGTCATACCCAGAACACTCGCTGAGAACGCGCTAGGAAGTATTGAGGGCAACAAGGTTCTCAGTTGGCTGTGAGCTAAGCACGAACAGAATAACGGCGAAGCCTGGGGTGTCGATATCGAGATAAAGTTCACCAGTTCTACAGATTGATCAATCGTATTCTAGACTGAACAAGATCTGCTAGCTACCGACTTCAAGATTCTTGACCTACTAGCCGCAAAACAGTGGGCGATCAAGCTCGCAACAGTAGCTGTCGTATCCGTGCATCGACAGCGCCGTCATGGGCAAACGCGCAGAAGGACCCAAAGTCCCTCAACAAGCAAGTAATTGGAATGAAGATTGAGATAGTGTTATGAAAGCATCTAGACTACTTCACAGTAATTTTGCACACATCAGAGAAGTCACGAGTAATAATCAGGTGAAGCCAAAAAGAACGCCAGGATGACAGCGAGATTACTGCGGGAAGTGTGGTACTGTACAATGTCCATAATACATGTCCGCGAACGGTCGTAGGTGACCCAGAGAACAGAATCCAAAAGGATTATGACGACAACAAGGAGTCTGAATCCGTGATAGATGTATGGGGGGAGTTAGGTGGGGAGGGGGGGGAGTTAGGTGTGACCGTGTATATGATAGTACATGGTCCATGACTCCAGCCGGAGAGTCTATCGCTCCTTCGTCCTCCTCGAGGACAGGTTCCTCCATTTCATATGCTTCTACGTCATGGTCGGCTTCAAGCTTATCGTCAAAGATTACATGGAACTGCAGCGAGCATCGGCGAAGAAACGATGAATGGTGTCACATCACGTACATGAGTGATCAGGGCTTTCACGAGTTTGCGGGTATGTCCCATGTTCGACAAAACCAGGGCAAAGTCATTCTGAGGTGCCAGCAGGAGGTTGGGACCGAACACGATTGCAAGGACTTCAGCTGTCATTTGGTTGCATTCCTCATAGTCGGCTACTCTGGAGTAGTAGCATCAATATCATGCAGCCGACGAAAAAAACAGGCACAAAAACTCACCTATCAAGATGTTCGGTGATTCTTCAAAGTTTGCTTGAGGAAGCCTCACAACACTCCGGATACACGCAAGCCGCGAATTAAGATTCTCGAGCTCTATGAGCATTGAAAAAACAATGGTGGAATGGGTTTTGCTCATCGCCTCGATAACATTGAAATAAGACGACGATGGGAAGACAGGTTCGGGGAGCAACTTGAACCATGACTTGACCAAGTCACACACGACATGGATATCACTATCATGATCGGGGGTGATAGGCCACTCGCCTAGCGAACGAGCAGTTAATTGCATGCAACCCATTCCAAATAGAAACCATACCTCTGGACAGATTTGTTCTCTGCGTGCTCTGCTAGCAGCGCGAGGCTGTGTCTGCCTCTGTGCCCGTAGGCTAAGGTTAGCACGTGCTGAGTCGACATGGGTGGACAGCCCTGATCCTAATTATAGTTCAGAAAGCACTTCAAAAACTGGAACGTTACGCTACTAGTACTCATAAACATATACTGATCCCGTGGCGCATTCTAAGCCGAGGTTTGATTACTAGATGGGGTTCGTGTGTCTCATGGGTTCGTGTTTTCACTCTAGCACACGCAATTCTACACAGAATCCTCCTGTATGTTACATATGGGTTCTCCCAAGCATAATACACATTGTCATATTTTTTTTGTGAAAAAAATCCAAGTGGTTCTCGTGCCAGGGCTCAGTTTATGGTGCTGGAGGCTAGTTTTACACATAGAATGCACACTCCAGCAAGCATATCATCACGGAAAATTCTGAAATGGTACATCGTGAATGTATATGATTAGGCCATGTTAAAATAAATATCTCCGAGACTACTTTCTTGATAGAATGATGTGCGGTACAAGAAACACGATCAGACGTGACAATCCATCCAAAGTGTGATATAGGAATTGAGATTCCGCTGTGCCGAAATGCGGCACTAAACACATGTGTCATTTTTGGAGTCTTAGCGCTGAAGACCTGGATGGTCAAGCCTAAACAGCTGCGCCAGGCCCAAGAAGACAAAATCAAGAAGGCCTGCACAAAGCTTCAGGAAGATCAGCAAGCCGGCAACAAACCGAACATCAAGAGAACTGCAGTTTACTATGGTGTTCCTGAGAGCACTTTTCGTGATCGCTTTCGTGGTGCTCGCAAGTCTCTTAGTGATGCTCACAAGCACCAGCAGCTGCTCTCAGAGCACAAAGAGCGAGTGCTTGTGGATTGGATCGAGCACCTTGATGCTGCAGGCAACCCAATCAGTAAACGGACCATCAAACAGAAGTGTTACGCACTCTGCAAGAAGATGCCATCAAGGGCCTGGATATAATGCTGAACGTATTGCACTAATTCAAGAACACCTTGATGGTCACCCCCAGTTGAAGGACAATATGAAATTTGCTGGTCTTTATGGTCGGGCCCCTCGCGGACAGAAGCGCACGCACACGCACACAAGCACAACTGACGAGAACGTAGCACCGGCAAGTGCCACTGTCGAGCAACCTGAGCATCCTGCAGTTCGTCGTCGACTGAACGAGCATCACCCATTTACTCCGAGTTCCCAACACAATTTACATATACCTGGTACACATTATCATACTCTTCATCCTTATTCTTATGCTGATCATCAACCTGCGCCACCTCAACAACTACACCTACCTTATAATTCACGCTAGCCCTCGAGATTAAGTACCTGTCATCATACCTTACTTTCATATAGTCAACTGTAACATACTTGCATATCTTCCCGTACATTTCACATACTATCATTCTGTCTGATTTTACAAGATATTATTGTGCATCTCAAGCTCACTTGCTGGTGTATACGTGCGGAGCGTGAAATGGTTCGACGGCAGGGTGTGACATAGTGTGACAAAAACGCGAACCCTTGAGACAATCAGACAGTAAGCCTCCGCTGGACTCAACTCTTCAAATCTCGAAAAAAAAACTAGCAGGCATTGTATTTTCGACATCAGGCTATCCAACGGTAAAAGAATTTTCGATTTTGGCCCAGACGTTGAGGAGCTATTGTCATTGCGAAAAAAAAACGCGAACTCTGGTGACCATCTAGTAAGAGGATCATAAAACTAAGTGCTGATGCTGGCACCACCACGTGACCAAACAAATCCTGCAGAAAATCGGGTCATGGCAATGTGGCAAGGGGTAGAACGATTTCGGATTCTCGGCGGAGGCAAGGCGCCCAAGCCCTTGCCATGATCTAAAAGGGTTTGAGACACGTAGCTATAGTGAAGCGAGTTAGTACTCTGATCAGACGCCTGTTGCAGACTCCGGCTATAGCCGACCGGGCTACGATCTCCTCGGATTAAACTTTGCGAGGAAGCTCACGCAATGACACTTGTACTGAAAATCGTGATTGACCGAGCAAGCTCACAAATAGGAAGCAAGTCAAGAAATCGCTGATGGACCAGTGAGCGAGTAACTGCTACTACTACTACTACTACTACTACTACTACTACTACTACTACTACTACTACTACTACTACCACTACTACAAGGAATCATTAAACTGAATAAATAGTAAGTACTGCTTTGGGCGGAGGTTGGATTGCCCTTACGTTGGAAGTTCCAACGTAATGTAGCTTCTCTAGTCGTTCATGTTGTTCGTCGAAGCACTCCGCAGACCACGGCATTGTATATCCGACTCATATATCCCCCGGGCCTCATGATCATTTCCCCCTTACCCTTCCATCCCTTCACGCTCCTTCCAACCCCCACCATGAACGATACTCTCTCTGTCCTAACTTCACATTTCATTGGTTAGTATCATTTCCCGTCCCTTCATGACGTCCTACTGACTGCTATCAGGAGTCATCATCTCTAGCATGTGAGCTTATTGCAGTTGACCCTGACATCGTTTATCTTTATCTTTTTGCTAGGTTTTATGGCTTTACTCTCGCCCAGACCTGGCAGTATTTCCACACTTATCCAAAAGACAGATGGTCTACGAAGGCCTTGGTAAGCACCGCATATCGTGCACTCCATCCTCAATTGCAAGTCTCAAGCTTCTTTTTTTCAGGTGGCCTTTCTGTGGTTTGTCACTTGAAACTCATTGGTTTGCACTGACTTACATTCCCTAGGGCACTGGACACAGCACAGCTTGCTCTTGTCGCCACATCAATATATCAATATACTATAGTCTGGCAAGGTGGCATCGCAACGTCATCACATATATCCAAGTATGTCATTTCGCACTTGTCGTGCCACTCATATTCATTTCTGACTAGAACGTTTGAGGTGGGCTTCTCTCGTTTTATCATATCATAGTGTCGTAACTACTCATTACAGGCATCAATGGGCATTACTGTAGGTTGTTCAACGTCCCTTTCAATCACAAGCATTCTTACTCTATCGTAGTCAATAATAGCTTTTCTGGTGCAACTGTACGTCTGTTATTTTTCTTCGTGTCGATAAGCACCTATTCCGCTTCTCAGGACATATGTTTACCGTATATGGCGACGTGAGGTCTAAGCCAACAAACTTGAGAATCTACACTCAAAACTCTCTAGTTAGCTTTGGAAACATTCTGGTCACATTTTTCATAGTAAGTCTGGGAAGTCTGCACCCGCGTCCCCGTTTACTCATAGTGCCGCGCCGCAGGTCCTTTTGGCATTGACTGCGCTAGGTAAAAACAATCTGTTGTGAGCGCGACATGGTTGACTCATAACTTACACACAGGATCTGGTGGAGGTACGCTCAATTTCCCCTCTATGTTACCTCTTACTCAAACCGGTCGCAGCAATGGTTGTCAAAACGTGGGTTTGTTGGCTTGGTCCAACATCGGACTAATTGACGCTCACATTTCTCCCAGTGTCCGTGATCCCCTGTGGGATAGCACTCACGTTAGCAATGTAAGCTCACCTTCACGTCTCTCAGCCAACTACTTCCACACCTTACGCAACCCTTAGCTGCCCGCTTCTAGTTTTTACTTATCTTCGATGGCATGCGACTTCCTCATTGCCGCTACACAAGTGTACCTGTTTCAAAGGTCCCGGGCTGGGAGAGGAAGGTTCGTCCTGTCCATCGTTTTTCGGTCTGATGGGCTCATTTTTGTCAAGACTCGGCGGTCTCATCACCAGATTGACCGTGCTTGTTGTCAATGTGGGCTTGATAACTACGTAATCGTGTCCCCCGCACAGCACTGTTCCACGACTGACTCGTCATTTCAGTATAGATGTCACGCTATTTCTCATACTGGTACGTATCTCGATGGGAGAAACTATCCCACTCACATACTCTGCCTTTCAGTTTCTCGTCTGCCCCCGCAATGGCGTCTTTCTCGTACCATACATCCTCATGAGCCACTGTGCGCCTCCCTCTTTATCTTTCATCATAAATTTATCCACCCGCATTGCAGGTTATCTAAATAGTTTCCTGAGTGTGTAAGTCCGTTTTCCCACCTCAACAACCAAAGCCTCACCCCCACAAGTCTTAACTCTCGTCTTGAGCTACGGGAACTGGTTGATAACAATGACGTAGGCGATCCTGTCCTTCTCTGGTGCTGACAGTACCTGACATAATGTCGTCACAGTACGCTTGTCCCAGCATCTACGCTATTGCTTCAGAACTGGCATGATGTGAACTTCAGGTCCCTCTATAGAACCCTCATCTAGGACATAAACACCGCACTGTAGATTTATGCTACTGCAACTTCCTCAGCGAACATTCTTCAAACTTTCTGGTCATCCATCAGTGTTAGTGCGCTCTTCGGCAAAAACAACCCCAGTCTGCACCGTCATTTGTCACTCCTCTGGCAGAGTCATCAAGATCGAGCGTGTTGATTGAGCAAGTGCAGTACATGAAGGTGACGATTAGGGTTAGTGACTAACCCTAAGATACTTAGGGAGAGGGTTCCATGGCGAAGGTAGTGAGGAAGATCTTCTCGTGCGCTGTTGTTATTTGTGCGAAGAAGCCCCGTACGATGGAACCTTCGTGGCCGTTAATCGCATTCTCATATATGCACATGCACGACAGACCCTGTCAGCTTTGGCATCAACGCAAATTACTATTGCATCATCTCTGTGCAGGGATCAGGTTGAGAAACACGAGCCGGGGAGGAGCGCTTCTTACTGCCCAAGGCTTCCTCTAGCTCGCCGGATAACGACGATTGATTTTCGACAGCAAGCGTAGAGACTACCGCAACAACCGCCTCGCCTTACTCACGACCGTGTCGGACGCGAAGCCCAAGCCAAAGGAGACGGAGTAACCGGAAGACGACGAAGCCAAAGCCCATCTGCTGTAACCGGAGGTGGAGCGCAGGGCGTCTACATACAAGCCGCCAGGTGCTGAATTATGATTCGAATTGGTCGAACGAAAGCGTTAGCTGGAGGGCCTGAAAGAATTGACGTCCGATAGGATGACTAGCTAGAAATTACTAGCTAGATGTCCACAAGGATGCAACTCAAAAGCTGGCGTTCGACGGAGGGCTTGAAAGAGTCGACGTCCGATTGGATGACCAGCTGGAAATTACGAACTAGATGCCCACAAGGATGCAAATCAAACGCAAGCGTTCGATAGGATGACTGGCTAGATGTCAACAAGGATAGAAGTCAAACGCAAGCGTTCGACGGAGTGCCTAAAACAGTTGACGTCCGATTGGAGGACTACCTAGAAATTACGAGCTAGACCTCTGCAAGGATGTAAGTCAAACGCGGCTGGCGTTCGACCGGACGACTAGATTGAAAATGTCCGAAAGGAAGCGAGTCAAACGCAAGCATTCGATAGAGGGCTTGAAATAGTCGACGTCCGATTGGATGACTAGCTGGAAATTACGAGCTAGATGTCCACAAGGATGCAAATCAAACGCAAGCGTTCGATAGGATGACTGGCTGGATGTCCATAAGGATAGAAGTCAAACGCAAGCGTTCGACGGAGCGCTTGAAAGAGTCGACCTCCGATTGGATGACTAGCTTGAAATTACGAGCTAGATGTCCAGAATGATGCAAGTCAAACACAAGTGTTCGATGATGCATTCAAGTTTTATGAATTCTCACGGGATGGGAAGAGCCACAAGAGTTTGCCACGGCCGTATACAAAGCAGTACAAACAACATCGATGACTATATTTGGAAATAATACGTGTGCTGGGACTTTTGAGACTTTGGCGACTTCGGCGACTTAGCAGGGAATTTGTTGTGAGACTTCAGAGCCTCGTGGAGTCGTGCAACCTCTAACTTCAGCGATGTCCGTTCACAATGCGAAAATACTATACTTAAATTACAGGCAAGCTCGTGCTCTACCAGGGAGAAATTTTTTGAGATCTATGGAAGTCGCAGAAGAGTCTCCCAAAGTCGCAGAAGTCGCAAGAGAAGATTCACGTTGAGTTACCGTTTATTGTTAAATTTGGCTTAACTCCGTATAATCAATCTGCATCGCATGCAAGCATAAAATTACATACCATACCATACAATTACTTGGTATGAAAGAGTGAACTTGCTGAAGTTCAACGGTGAAAATACGTAAAGAGTCCAAAGAATCCATGGATGCGGCGAAGGTTACGAAGGAATGGATGGTAATGGACAAATATCTAAGAATTTTCGATCGCCGTGAATGATCGGAGGCAAGTGGTTAACTGGTCTCTATCGATCAAGTCCCCTGGGCCAAATATACCCTGACTCCCGGCAGTCTGTTTGGGAGTACGATATAGCTTTTGTTCCGTCTTGAGGTTCGTCCAGAAATGGTTGACGATAGCGGTTGCAATAGCGGATGCTCGGTTGGTGCTTCCAGATACCAGTTCTCTCTTTTCTGCGCCAGCAGCCGCATAGGCGCCCGGGTCTAAAACCATGAGACAGAGTGCCATCAAAGGCCTGGTATACAACTCTTAAATGGATGTTAGAGACGGTCGAAGAGGGTTAGATGATTCAGATAATTACTAGTGCGGCGAGATAGGCGCGGTAAGTTCATGACCAATCGTTGAAACGTTTCCAGGGAGTGAGAGTGAATTTGGTTCGTCAAGTATTTACCGTGTTTGTTATCCAAATGACGAGAGTTTTTTGACAAATGGTGAGTGTCGCGATTATAAAAATGCCCGCCGGTAAAGAAGGCCTTTGCAGGCGAATACACTGCGTGGAATTGACCAGGTGGTTGTATACTTGAAAATGTCAGGCAAATTAATGAAATATCGCGGATTATGAACTTACAGAAGGTCCCCCTTTCCTACCGTGATGACTTCCATGTCCCACAGAGCGGCAATCTCGTCGCGGTTCTCGGGGAAAGTACCCAACAATCTGGCTGCCTTGGCGAACGATGTCTGAGAGATCGTGTCCTGATTTTTCAGGTTAGCCACGGTCCATTGTTTCGTGCCGACGACGCCATAAATAAAAGTGCAGCCGCCGTCCGCGTCGTGGTGAAAATAGGTAAACCAACCGGGCTTAGCCAGCAAACCCCACGAGCGTACGGTGAAGTTGTCGGGGTGAACTTGATGGCCGACGGGGCAATCATTGGTGGACTGATTCCATCCGTCGACGATGCCGCTGTCCAGGGAGCTAAAAAGACAAAGTTCAGAATGTCAATATGAGAGGACGGGATAAAGTGCACCTCAAGAAAAATGGGAGACCCCCTTGTGAGAGCGGAACATCTAGAATACACTGTATCTTGTTAGGGTCGTGTATGTTGCGCATAAATTGCTCAAGTGTTGCATGCTGCTGCGGATAGGTGAAATCTTTCGTACGTTGTTCCGCATCTGTTGGAACGCATGAGGTCGACAGGCAAATAGAGCGAATAAAAACGGACTGACCATGTATTACAACGCGCATTAGCCCTGACGCACCCCAATCATACAGGAGCTCGAGGTCAAGTTCGTCCGCGGTGGCCTGATCGCATTGACGAAGGACGACAGCTTTATTTTGGCAAAGCGCGGCGGTGATAATTTCGCGCAGCTCTCGTGGCTTCGAACGCCAGTCACTGTAGTGTAGATGAACCACGTATTTTGATGAATCCGGACAAGATTCAGGAAGTGCGGAGATATACGCGACCGCATCTGCGTCGCGTTGCAGTACGTTTTTACCGTCCTTGTAAATATACGGCAGCACGGTCGTTGTGCCACTTTGCCATGCGACTGTCGGCGAATTTTCGTGAACTTGCGAGCCGATTATGGGAGTTGCCAAGTCGAGGGACTCGATGTCAGTGAGATCGGACAAAGCTGGCGAGGGGGGTGACGGGTAACCGGGAAATGAGGGGGGATGATTCGGTGGGGAATCCGTCATGACACATACTTCGTGTGTGGTCACCGGTGAAGATGGTCGTGGAGTTTGCGATGGCGATGGTATGTCCGTCATGATGCATACGTCGCGCGTGGTGACTTCAGCATCCAGAGTTGGAGGGGGGGAAGTACGCGGAGGTTGAGCGTCGGGTTGTTGTAGCAGGGTGGGATCGATGAAGGTATCGTCGAATGAGACATGAGAAGAAGGCCCCGCGGTGTTCTCAGTGTTTAAAGGAACTTCTCCGCTAGCGTTCGAAGGACCCGCAGTGTTCTCGACGTTTTCGACGTCGTTGCGGTTAGGCTGGATCGCTCTAGATGATAGGACACGTCGCCGTTTTGGAGGAGGCTTGTCGCCAGCGTTTTCGAGTGCTCTCTGTTTCTGAGCTGCCCGCGAACGACGTTTGTTTGCGGTATTTTTCTCGCGTAGCCTTCGCTCTTCTGCGGGATCTTGTCTCTTGAAGTCTGTCCATCGTTTCTGCTGCTCGTACGCCTTGACCTTTGGATCTAGGCCCACCAGATCGGGATGATGAAGTCTCTGCTTAGACATTGTATGTCAACGAGGAATTACCCAGTTGAGATACAGCAGTCTGTGAAAAAGGTATGGAGAAGTCTCAGAGTTGTTAAAGAAGATCAACGGAGAAGGGGTAAGTGACGTTGAAGAACGGGAAAGGAATATATTTAAAATGGAAATGGCCGCGGTTTACATAAACAGAGAATGTCCACAGTTCGGTGCTCATTGTCAATACTCAGTACGATGAGCTTGGATGCGACCAAATTTACGAAAGGATCGATACGTTATAGGAGTTTATGTAAACATACTCTCATTGTTGTGACATGGATAAGGTCTTAAAAATCGCCAAAGAGTCTCAAAAGAGTCTCAGAAGAGTCTCGAAAGTCGCAAGAGTCTCACAATTTCAAAAGTCGTAAATGAGTTTACACAAGCCAGTGTTTTTCTTCTTCTTTTGGATCCTTGTTTATTGTCCTTTGGGGCGGGGTCCTATGATGGACACTACGTACAGTGATTATACTATTCTATGTGTATGTGCTTTGTCTTTGGGGTGTCGATGCTGTGCAATGGTCCGTGCTTAGGCAGGTGCCAGGGACAGTGACGCCGTCTTAAGGAGTGAAGTTAGTGTTACATGGTGCTCGTTCCTTTCCTTTCCCTCGCTCTCTCTCTTTCTCGTCTATTCGTCACATCTCCTTTGGGGGCTGACGTCGCCCAAGTTCTGTTCCATTCTTTTAGTGCGTGATGCCTCTGGCAACCCGTAAGTCGTTTTACATACTCATTTATATTCAATCATATCTGCTCAGGATGATGACGAAGCAGCTTGCTTTCCTTCTTGCGCGAATTCCCATCAAATGGCTGGGAGAGATATCGCCTTCCTTGTGACTGTCATGCACCCTCGCTTCCTCATTATGCTTGATGAGATCCTCGAGAACAAGCATGTGACTACTACGATAGATAGCCGGGTGCGAATAGGGCTATGTCTGATATAGGGTCTTCGACCCCAAACGACAATAAATCTGAATTTTTTAAAAAAGCCTGTGGCTATTCGCGTCGGTCAGGTGAGTTTACAGTTTTCCTCTTCCACATCCCCCATGGTGTATCCTTATTCGTTGCATAGGCTGTAGACGTCGGCCAAGCTGGCAAACAATGCACGATGTCAGGCTTCCAGACGCACCAGACTCCTGTACGACTGGGAACGACGAGCGCATGGAGTTGGCGATGGAGGAATTCATTCCATAAGCGCGTGTTCTAGAGGATATTACAGAAGAACCCTTGGTGGCAGAAGGAGGATACGATGTAGATGTAGGTATATCACATGCCGTTGTACGTGAAATTTTGGAAAACAGGATAGGATTTTACTACGAAAGGTGACGAGAAACACGAGGGGAACATTTTGTGAAACCTAGGAAAGCGAGTATTACCATTATCACGCAGGTGAATACTAGGAACCACCGATGAATTTAGTGATCATGAGTGACTAGAACTTTATGTGATAGTCCCAAGGGAAGCCCACTGGGAGCAGTCGAATGGGTAAGTTGTATTTTGGAGGTTGGACTCGGTAAGATTTCATCATGGCTTTTGACAGTTTCTTGAGATACCTGCGCATTGGCTTTGACGGCGAGCTTGGAGAATTCGGTGCCATGGGTTACTTGCGCGCAAACCGCGGGATGAAGGAGACACGATGCTGGCCCAATGCACACTGAGGTTATAGGGAGGTGGGGTCAAAAGAGTTGCAGGTGCGTTAACACATTCAACGCTTGCAACAAGTTTGCGGTTAGCCCGAAACGACAGGATGCTTTAGGCGAAAATGCCAAACCTAGTGGTCACTGACTGTGAGGATAGAGTACATTTTCAGCATTTCTTGTGGTTAACCACGACATATCTTTCCATACACCGGTTCTACTATGGGCAAAACGATAAACGATATATCACAGCGGACTACGCAGATATCGGCCAATGGCTGCATGCGCATGACTGCGATAGTCATGTGAAGCGGGCGCGTTTGGCCATCGGGACTTCGATGATCTCCACTTCATCACTGTCAGAATCATCCTTCAACACGCGTTTGTTGGCCTTGATGGATGCGATTGCGGGATTTATGGTGTACGTCTGAGATGTGCGTCCGAGACTCACAGCTTTGTCAACGCCGAAGAACATGACAGCCAATCGGAATGGTCCATACTGGCGATCAGCTAGACACGCCATGATCTCCCGATGTTTGGCAGCTACGGCCTCTGCTGAGAGCAACTTCCAATCCTGAAAGGGCGGACCGCCCTTCCAGACTCTGCCACTCATTGCTCTCAAAAGCCCCAAGCGCACTAGAAGGAGGGGACCAATCCCCTTTGCACTATTCTTCGAATTCCAGGACTTGGGGAAATTCTTGAGAGTGCGCGCATCACTATACTTGCGCAAGGGGCTTGTCTCGTCGTAGACTGCTAGGATGTAGGAAGGGACCATTGCAATGAACTGTTGCGGTAATTTGCAGCCTTTGCGGCCGCTAGCATTGGGCTTCCATGGGAGGGCGCGAATGGCATTTGTGAGAGCGACGTGGCCGGTGACGGTATGTGCTTTTGGCTTGTCAGAGATGGCCCAGAAGATATCAGGGATGATCCTGCTTATGTAAATGCCGGCAATGAGAGCAATTTGATGGAGCGGTTTTTTTATGTCGAAGTTGGCAAATACCCATTCATAAATTTCGCGCACGGTAGGTTCTTTGTCGTCCGAGGATGCGCCGTCCGCAAGGTCGATGTTGTCAAGTGAAAATTCATCGGGAAGACGGGATCGCAGGACATAATCCGGAAGCGACTGCAGGGTGATGGAGTCAGCTGACCATGCAGCCCTGGAATCCGCGGCCTGGGCTCGCTGGGATGCTTCGGCTGCTGCATTGTCCGCCTGGGTATGGTTGCGCTTGATAGCCTGCAAATCGACAGCTTTCCCTAGATTGACCCAGGAGTCAAAGACAGGCTTTCGGGACCGTCTGCCTCGAGATCCCGCTGGACGATGCCATGGAACATTGTTAATATGAAGATGGTTTGCAGCGACGATGAACGCATCGTGCAGGAACTTTTCGGCATGCGTCGGGGAATCATTGGGGGCATACTTGCGCATATGGGCCAGGGCGACGCGGAAGACGGGCATAGAACAGCCACCAGAGATGAGAGGAGCGGCAACAGGGGCAGGGTTGGTCTCTCTCGACATATTGCAGACAAGCCGGGCAAAATCATGAACAGAGAGCTTCACTTTGGTTGGATTTGGTAGTCCTTCGTGGTGATCCATGGATTTAGAATGCACGCATGAAACTAAATGCTCATATCCTTTGTCAGCGTAGCCGAGAGGATTAGCGGTTGCTAGCCACTTGCGGAGGCCTTTGCGGCGCACTGCCGCATGCCGTTCCACATCACCGCCATCCTCTGCCTCCACGACACTGCAGGCGGCATTGACAGCTTTGGTAACAAGTGTCTTGACATCGGCAATATACGCCTGGAGAGCAACCAATGCGATGACAATAGCATGGCGGAGGTTGCCAGGGTACCCAAGGAAAGCGTTGGAAGAGAGTTGATTCACAGAAAGTTGTATGTGAAACTCGGCCTTGTAAGCCTGGGAGACAAGCTGGATGAATGGCAGTACAGAGGCAGTCGATCCCAAACCACGAACCTCAAAGTGGTCATTGCCATATGTCAAAATTTGAGAGCGCTTGGAGGCTATGGCTGGGACTTTCATGCTGGTGAGAGTTGGCCAATCTGCAGGGCTGATGGCAACAGGAATAGATGGAGCTGCGGCGAAGCGCACGGAGGGAGAAAAAGTGGGCAGGCCATGTTCAAGGAGACTCTGGACCAACCACAAAGGCCTCATGAGACTCGTAGCGATTACCCTAGTATTTCCGGTGTGAGCATAAGCCAAAGCGCGCTCAAGCACTGAACAGAGTTCAATGACTTGGGGAGCGGGTTTGACACCTTTCTGAACGAGAGGGTAGAAATGATCCCAAATGCGCTCAAGCAAGGACGTAATGGGGTAGGTAGTCCACTGGTATATCTGGGGAAATGCCTGAAGATATGATATAGGGAAAGGAGCGCGGTGAGCATACGTGCATACCCACGAATAAGAGCAGCGCACGTCTGAAGTCAATACGAAAAGATGCGGACGGAGAGCCTGGAAGATGGTGGGATGAGACCAAGAGCTGGCTAAGGGTACCACCATCTCTCTATATATGGAGCTAAGGCAGAGGCATGTTGTCAGCACCACCGCAATGTATGGTGAGATATTAATATGATAACTCACGCTCCATTGCGCTTATGGCGCTTCAGGGAGTCTAGCTGAAAAATGTAAACGTTCTCCAAACGCAGAGCCCGAGGAACATCATTGACTTTAATTTTATTGTCGTAACGTTGATGAGGGAGATTGAGGCTGCATTCCCTCATCACAATGCGGTGCGTCGTCTGGCCATGACCGCGAGAGTAAGCACCTGAGAGGGCCGACGTGATGCGCCCTTGCTGGACATCGTGAAGATCAGCGGACGGTCTGATGCGGTGGGAGATCTCGTTGTAAAACTGTGAGCCACTGGCGAAGAGTACAGTGGGCAGGGGTCCATTAGGCAAGTGATCGAACTCGTCTGCATCATCTTCCGCAGGCTGGCCATTAAACGGATCATCATTTTGGTTGCGACTCAAGCGCGAAACAGAATTGCGAATTTTGGACATGAATGGAGAAAAATGAGGCAAGATGGTGTTGCATTGTATGTGACCATACTTTCGCAGGAATGCTTGAGGATACACGTTGACCGTAGGAGTACGAACATCATCGTCCAAAATGATATCTGGGTCGAGGGCCATGTCATCGTCATCAGGAATGAATGTTGAAAACAATTCGGTAATAGTCTCGAGATTGATTAGGACGCCGCACGGCTTGGTATTTCTGCTGCAGATACCATGAAAACGGGGGATGCGACGACCCTCTTCATCGTAAATATTGTTCTCCCTCTGAGTCTGGGGATCTCGAAGAGGCAGATCATCGAGATTGACAGGTTGTCGGAATGTTGGGTCCGGAGAATCATATATAATATTGTGCGACTCCAGAATCTCCTCGTTCGAAATCTCCTCCCAGCTACGCACTGGTTTACAGCTGGTCGTGATGTGAATGAGCTGGCAAGCACTTTGTCGAGACAATAGGATACACACGTCAGATCTGTCGCGATTGCCATAGAGAGATAGCGAATATTGGAGTATTCCCGCTCGACTTGCCAATTCCTCTCTTCAACACTACGGGCGTCGGGGTTTGAACTGGCGATCGGCTGGTTCTGTCCATAGCGACAAGCTACCGAGATAGGGACATGCGATTGCAGCCAGCCATCAACCTTCCATGAAAGTGGTGCCTCTTGAACCCATGTATCCCACTCTGAGACAATGTTTCGGTGAAGCGACTTGAGATCATCGAGACGAAGGGTGAGGGTGGGCGTAGCACTAAATGTATGCACACCAGTCAGTCATTGAATTAGGCGCATGCAGATCCGTAAATGAGACACAGTGCGAACTTACTAAAGGTTTGTGACATCCTTGATTTTCCACAACGAGAAATCCTCGTCGGTACCATACGTATGCATCAGGTGAATGTGCATATTAGGTATCTTTGCTAACGCATAGGCAATGAACATGACAGCCATGCGAAAGTGGCGGGAGGACAGCCGTGTGTCGCCATGCTTCTTTTCATTGAGCAAAGGAGCTTCATCAGCCACAGAGAGATCCTCGATGTTGACGAGGGGGCAAAATCCCAGCCAGAGCTCACAGGCACCGCCATTGCCCATTGCCATCATAGATCCCGTCGGGTCGAAACCTAGCTTCCCAAACTTGGGTCTGAATTGCTTGGTTTGTAAGCGGAAGTCCAGAGTAACGGTGAACGTGTGATCAGAAATTGTATTGGGAAGGAAAGCATCCAGGCCTATGGCACCCGAGACCACCAGAACAAAGTCGAGGAAATGTCTAGAGGCGTCCCACAGCAACCTGCCGTCGTCAGAGGCAAAGGTGAACTGGGTATCAATACGCAGGTTTGTGCGGCGCAGCAAGGAGCTTGCAGCACTAGCTTTGTCCTTCCTGCGAAACAACCTCTCGAAGGCAGAGAGGGACATGTTGCAGATGGGAGCCTGCTCCCATGTAGGACCAGTATTGTCTTGACCTTCACGAGCCAGGAATATACTATCGAACACCTCTCGTTGTTGCAGAGGGTCTTCCGACTCAACAGCCAAAGGGACTTCGTCTAGGTTGAACGGACCAGATTCATCGTCAGGATTTGACAAGAAGCCCTCGTCAATATCGAAACCATCGTCGCTGCTGCTGGATGTGAGTGCCATGAATCAGTGTGTAAAGCTGATTGCGGCAGACCAGCAACTTACCTGTCATCATCATGATGGGACATAGTGGTGGCGGTGGGCGGGTTAGCTTGCTAGATGCGAAAAATTGGAGGGATGGAGAGTTGGTTTGCTTCATTATTAAATAGATTCTCGATTGGTGCTGTGTGCGCGTCAGGGTCGATGGCGACCCACTCTATTCGGACTCGGACTCCACCGATTCAATGCCAATGAAATCAATCTATCGCGAGTGGAAGCGAACGAGACTGATTTATTACCAAACAGCTGAAGAGAATGGTCGCGATCTGCGCGCAGTGTCCATGATCAGGAGAACATCATCATCATTCTTGGGAGAGTGAGCACGACGCTGCAGGTCGAGCCTTGCGGCAGGGGGCAAGATGCGGCACAGTAGTACCGGGGGCCTTTGCCTGCGCGGGTGGCGCGTGCTCAGGCCTGAGGCCAGAGGTCTCATGGTTCTACATTAACGTTATTCGGAACCTCTGACGTATGGAGAGCGAATGCTAGCGGGAAGTACGTTAGCAAGGGCCTGCCTCAGAATGTTTGAGGCGTAAAAGTACGTACCTGCGCACAGCAGCGAGCCGCCAATCCGGTGAATGCCGATCTCGCGGATTGAGCATACATCTTCACTATGTCGTTCATTATCTTCCTGTAAGTGAATAACCCAGGTGGTATCAGCGTGGCAAGTAATGAAGTAATGGTCGATTTCCACCTGGATGGATTTGTGAACCACGGAGCTGTTTTTTACACTCAAAGGCACCTCAGCGACTCATCTATACTTGCCTCTCTAGGTCCGAGATGGTGAGATCAACCAATGAACCAACGCAGTCTGGCAGTCTCACTCCCTAGCGTTCATGTGATGGATTTGTCGGATTGCAGAAGTTTTCGTGGTTCTTCATCTGGCCAAGGGGTCCCTGCTTCCTTCGCCATTACAATGTCTACTTCGGCAGCCGCATCGGAAAGCTGTTTCCGGGCCTCACGGCTGACGTGAGGGCAATTCATTACCGAAATAAAACCATCCAATTGCGAGGTGATGACCCTCATTGCCTCCGTCCGACATTTCTGGTATCCCCATGCGGTTGCTGCCTCGTGGGTCCATGCTGACTTATTCAGCCCGTGTGCAGAGAATAAACGGGCAAACGCCGGTTGTGTGATCATCTGGGCCTACGAATCAGGGGACACACAAACACCTTGATGGGGGCCTTGTCATAGGATGTGAGGTGGTACGACATTGATCTCCATTTTTCCACTGAGAAGGCTGGCGCTCTCATTGAGTGGTCATTTCACCGGCCAACTCCAGCGCGTCCAAGATGCACTCCCATCAGTCGGGTAGGCGACGAATCTCTATCCCTCCTTCCTGCGTAGGTCGTCCACGTTGACCCTCGCGAGCTCCTGTGACATGCGCGTGGACCCAGAAGGTGACTGCGAGACTCTGTTTCAAGACTGCCGGATTTCGCTGTAATGGAGGGTATCCTGACGCAGCTATCGTTGATGTACAGGTCAAGAAAGTCCCTATGCAGTCTAATACGCCTCTATCCAGACCTCGAGTGCTACTCACCACCGCAATCAAAGCAGCCACGCCCATCCAGCAGCCTAAATTCCGCAAGGAACCGAACGATGGGGTTCGGCAGAGAGCTTGAAAGAGTCGACGTCCGATTGGATGACTAGCTAGAAATTAGACGTCCGCAAGGTCTCGGAAGTAATTCAAACGCGGCTGGCATTCGACCGAACGACTAGATTGAAAATATCCGAAAGGAAGCGAGTCAAACGCAAGCGTTCGATAGAGGGCTTGAAAGAGTCTATATACAGTCGGATAACTGGCCAGAAATACTAGATGTCTAGAGGGACTCGGATGTAAACCAAACGCAAGCGTTCGATTGGATGACTGACTAGATACACACAAGGATGGAAGTCAAACGCAAGCGTTCGACTGAGGGCTTGCAAGAGTCGACGTCCGATTGGATGACTAGCTTGAAATTACCAGCTAGATGTCCAGAATGATGCAAATCAAACAAAAGTAAGAACCACGAGAGTTTAACATTGATGTGACTATATTTGGAAATAATACGTGTATTGGGACTTTTGAGACTTTTGAGACTTGTGCGACTTTTGAGACATTCGCAACGGCCCTCCTGGCGATCATAATATATACCAGATCGTCTAAAAAAGTTGTGGTAAGAGCGCGACCAATTTCGACAGACAGGGTAGCAACGAAGATAAGATCGTAGATAATTGACGGCAAGATGGGCTGCAAACCTTTCGGCGGCGTACTACTATTACATCCTTGTCTGTATTGGAAGATCTCCGAGAGCGTCGCACCAACGTACGGCAGCATTCAATTCACGGCAACCTATCATGACGAACAAAGGGCAGTAGTATTGACCCCATCCCCCAGTCAAATTTTCGCCCGCCATCCTCCTCGCATCCCAAGTCCACCAACATCCCATTGGCCTTTATTTTGTCTAGCAGTTATGGGTCGACCAGATCTGTTTGGCTTTGTTATCTAGCAACTAATGCTAACAGGCGTCAACAACCGTTGAAAGTTGGCACTTACACCGATCGATCGGATTAAGTGATAAGATCCAGAGCCCTACTTCGAACTAAGCCTTGACATTTGTTAGATGTCTAGCCTCGGAGAATATCTTGACAGCGACCGGGATCCGGAGTCGTCTTATGCTGACTCCATCCATGATCACCATGATGATAAAGCTACCCCCAGTCCAGTCGAAGAAAGTAGCCACGACGAGTACACCCCCCCCAAGAAGAGTAGAACCTCCTCCACCCTCTACTCTACCACCGAAAGTCGCTCGGAAAGATTGATGAAGGCAATCTCTAACAGAACACACGATGAATTTCGGAAAATGTGTAAAGAAATTTACGGCGGTCCCGTCTGCCTCATCACGCAGGTGATGGACCAGGTCTGTACCGAAATGGCGTATGTCATACCACGAGCAACCCAATACAGTATGGTATGCAGTTCTATGATCTATGAGAAGCGTGACCCTAATGTTTCTTCAGGTAACGCTATACGAATATTGCCTTGGCTTAGAGTACAAAAGTTGGCATGTTGACACCAGGACAAACCTTTTTCCTCGTACGATACACCATGTCATCTTTTGTGAGATTGTAGCACTGACGTTAGTCCGCAGTCAGCCCCACTTGGCATTCGCTTTTTGATACTAAACAATGGCTTCTCCTGCCGGACGCAGCGACAATGAGAGACGTCCATAATCGTGTCAAGGCAGTTATCGAATGGAGGAAAAGTCCCGACTCTAAACCGGGATTCATACCCCTCCGGTCACAGGTACTTGCGATCATGTCCCTCATGATATTGCTAAATTTACTTTTCTGCAGTGGCCATCCAATACCAAAACACGATACAGTTTCATATCGACATCCTATACAGCCCAGCACTTCGCGCTCAAAAAGGATGGAGACATTGTTATTTGTCAACATCCTTTTTCCAACCTCCCGTTGCTCGAGTGTCACATCCTCCCTCCATATGCGGTAATAAATGCAGCTCAGAAGTTGAGCAGAGATCAGATCGATGGGATCGTTCGTGACCTTCATGCGGAACAGACAAAAGAGTTCGAGGAACTGAAACAGAGACTCACCCTCGTGTGTGATACTTGGGACCTTTTCATGGATGCTGAAGACGTAGCGAAGGCTTGGGAGAAGCCAGCAGTAGACTGAATGAGAGTATTAGCAGTTAGATAGAATGTTAATGAAAGTGTCTCACCTCAGTTGACTGTATAAGCAACTGAGGTGCGTTGAGGCCAGGCTCCTTCCCAGCCCCCGATTCGAGTGTGAAGGGGCGATATCTGAGGGCACTGTGTGATAAGTCACATGATACAAGAAAAATTCAAACCCAGCATAACCTTATTCCCCTCACACTCTCACACCTGAGACACAGCCGGAAAAGTCCTGTAAACAAATGTGATGTATATCCTGAGAAAAATCGTGCATATTTCAACCCATTTGACTGTTGTGCGAATGATGGACAGTTTCTGGATAAAGTCACAAATATGCATAAGGATCAAACTCTATTGATTAAATTCAGAGTAAATTTGGCAAAAGCAGAGGGAATTTGTTTCATAATCTGCATACCTCGAATATTAACCCCATTTCTAAAATTTAATCCCCGACTCTACGAAGTAGAGAGAGGGTTCTGTGGTACTCAATTGCCTAATTCTCTGCAAACGGGCTTGTCCCAAATTCCCATGATTCATTACTGGAATCCCACGCACGCAGTACCTCCTGGTGCACTGTTGAAAATTTCTCTTGTTCATTTGACACTCATTCTCGACCTCCTACTTTCTGCACTCTCGCTGCAGGAGCTCCTTGTTACTCTTGTCACTATTGGTTCCTCTGATGTGAGTATACCATTTTGTTCTGCTTGTTCTTGCTGAACATTCACCAGGACATTTATGCTGAAGGCTCCATGCTGAGCTGCTCAGGTGGTCGACGAGTGTGACTACCCACCACCTTTGATCTTGCATGACATTACCAAATACCCCATATACTATGATGCTCTTTATTATCCGCAATATCACTCTCATCACTTTAAAACCCCCAAAAATTTTTGTGCATGGCTGTTTAAATTGCTCATTTCTCATCGCCATTCTTGTCGCACTTGTTCCATAGATTTTCGTGGTTGTGTTGCATTCAATGGAGTATCGGTTGTCATTACGCATGGCCTTGTCTCTCTGTCCTTCTGTCCAAGTGAGTTTGAGGCTTCTGGTTATTGACACTGTGCGCTTCTCCGGCATTTGTCTTCGTGTACTCATGAAGGTGTGGTTTCCTCCCTTCCAACTAAGTATGATGATCTTCCTGCATGGATTGGTTATAATAAACAGACCATCGTGAATCAACTCTCGGGTCTTCTTCTATCTGTACTTTCCCAATCTACCTGATCACTTCCGGCGACCCATCTTAAGCTGCGGAAAAAGGTGGTTCATGTTGCTGTGATCATACAGCACTTTGTTCGCACCTGTTCAGTGTTTGCTAACTTGCCCCGTTCAGCTATTGATGAAACCCTTTCAGCTGTTATACTACCTGCCGCTTGTGAACACCACTTGGTACCTCTCTTGTCTGCTCACTTCCTTTCCATGTACAAAAACGAGGTAGCTGAGGCCCTTCAATGTCCTCCTCCCGGCTGTTATGTGTGTGACTCACTTGATTGTTCTCGTGTCCCATGGTCTGCCCTACCAATTGAAGTGCTTGTCCGTCGTCTGTGCATGTTAACGGTGGACTAGGGCAGACACAGAAGAAAGCAGACTCTATGAGGATAGGTGTTGTGATGCTACTCTACAAACAGAGCTGACTGTGTAAGTCAGTGGCTGACTAAGCTAAGGAAATCGCCAAAGGGCTGCCTCTGGGCTATGAGTCTACTATCGCTTGAGAGACTGCCTCTTAGTCTATGCCTTGGGACCCCTGGTCCATGTGCTCCCCTAAAAAACAACAGGTGCCGCCCTCGATGCCTTCTTCATCACTCTAATTCTTCATCCTCTCTATCTTCTTCTTCTTCTTCTTCATCTTCGCTCCACTCTTCCGTTTCTTTCTCTGTCTCTTCGTTCTGTCTTCGACTCTCTTCCGTTGTGCTTTCTGTATCTCCGTTGTCTTCTCTCTCCTTGATCTTGCGCTCATACTCTTTTTGTTCTTTCCCTAGTTGTGTTTCCTCTCTTGGAGTGAAAGCTCTTAGCCGTTTTGTGCTGAACTCTCCCTTGAGTGGGATTCCTTTGAGTGTTTCAAGCTTGTATGAATTGACGATTTTCATTTTTATGCGACACAGGACCGACCACTTTGGTACGAGCTTTCGTTCCGCTTTGAACGTATAATCTAAATCGCTGCAATAAACCTGAACTAGTTGACCAGTCTTGAATATAACCTCACCCGGTGCTCACTGTAACAGCCTTTTGTCGAACACTGCTTTTCTCTTGATTGCGTGTCTCACTACTTCATTGTAACCATCTAATCGTTGTTGTTCAATGTATGTGACTTGCATTAGCATGTCCAAGGTGTATATTTCTGGTGTTGACAACTAAACCTAAAAGGAGTTCCTTGGGGGAAAATTTTAGCGCTGGTAGCAATTGATAATTGAGAGCGTGGACTGCATCGTCTAGATGATCTGACCATGACTTAGGCAGTGTGTCCCATGACATTTCTTGATCTTCTCCTATGTTTGGTGTGCATAGTCATTTCAGTACATGAAGCAGGAGCTTATTTGTCCCTTCTACTAGGCCGTTGATCCATGGAGAGTATGCTGCGACGGTGTGTAGCTTGCATCTTCTTGCTTTGCAGAATGTTCTCACTGCTTCATTCTTGAAGTGCTTGCCTCCATCTGCCATAAATGTTTCCGGCGGTGTAAATGCGTTGAATATACTGCTAAGGCTCTTGATTGTTGTCTTCACGCTGCCTGATACTTTGAACTTGAATACCCAGACGTGTTGCGAGAATGTGTCTAGGTAAATTCCGAGCGTGTTGTATCCGTTCTTTCCCTTCGGGAGTGTTAGATAATCTCCAACTAACAATTCAAATGGGTGTCGCCTGGTTATTGGTTCAAGAAGTGAGTGTATGTGTGTAGGACCGAAATTTTTACACTTAGCGCAATCTCTGATAGCATCTAGAATTGACGCGTCTAGCTTGGGGCTGCATATTCAGTCTAGCAGGGCAATCTTGATTGCGTCTCGCCCCCAGTGACCTCCTTCTGTGTGTTCCTGCGCTGCTAATATTTTAGCTTCTTCTCTTGGGACGCACTCTACCTTTGCTCTTGCTCTTGTCAATGTGCCTCCTCGCAGTTTCCAGAGTTTCTCATCCTCAATGATGTATTGTTCTGCTCTGTGGCGTGCTCGGCACTTCTCTCTGATGTCTGTGGCCTGGTCTAGGTTGTAGATGGCCTCTATGACCTCCTTGAACACCGGTTCATTCACAAATCTTGTGCAAAGTGTGTTTATTGCTGCACTTACCGTCGTGATGTTCATGATGTCATTGATTAGACCTGTTCTTGCTTCCCAGTCTTCACTTACCGTCCACTCACTTCCATCTCCTGGTTCTGGTGGTGTGTGTTCCCACTTTCGACTAATACCGTCAGCTGCCACATTCAACTTTCCGGGTACGTGCCTTATATCCACTATGTGGTATGCTAATATTCCTTCTCTCCATCTTGCATGCACTACGTTCAGGTGTGGGTTGAGTAGTGTACTTTTCATCACGCTGCAATCTGTCTCGATTTCTACCAGGAAACCCCATATGATGCTCAAGAATTTGTCCAGTCCAAACTTGAGTGCCGCGAACTCTAGCAGGTATGATTTGTACTTTTTCCATTGCTGATGTTCGTTTTGATGCAAAACCAAGTGGGTGTAAGTGCTCTATCCATGTTCCTGTGGTCGTTTGCGTCTTGACTCTTTGCAATAGGACTGCGGCGAAACCTTCAATACATCTGTTGGACGTTACTACAAAGTGCGACCCATCATATCTTGGCGCTTGGAGTACCGGTCTTGACATGATTGCTGTTTTTAGATCTAGGAATGATTTAGTATGTTCTTGTGTCCATATGGTACTCAGCTTGAAATTGCTCATGATTCGTCTATATGCTGCTTTTGACATAGTACTGTCCACCGGTACTTTGAGTAACAGGTTTTGCAGTAGGCCTTCTCGTTTCGCGTATGCGTTGATCAGCGTATGGTAAAATCCTGTGAGACCCAGAAACGATGCTAAATTTTGCGCATCTTGTGGTTGTCGCCAGTCTACAATCGCTGTTAGCTTTGTTAAGTCTGGTTTGACCCCATCTCGTCCTATTGTTCCTCCTGTGAATTCCGTCTCTGACATACACAGCTTCGTCTTGCTAGGTGCTATTGAAAATTTGCATTCTTGGAAGTGCTGAAATAAAACCGTTAGTTTTTCTATCATCTTTTGAAATGTACTCGCTGCGCATCCTCTGTCATCCATAAACAACTCCATATAGTGCATTATTAAAAAATCATGTAGTCGCTCTGCTAATGCGTCACAGAACGCTGTTGGTGCTCCTGTGATCCCCATCGGCATTCTTTGATACCAGAAGTATCCTCGTCCTTTGATGTAGAATGCTAGGTACGGGCACCACTTTTCCGGTACTTCTATTGCGTAGTATCCTGCTGCAAAATTGAAGATTGAAATGTAACGCTGACCACTTAACCTCTGCTGTTTTGATAGTATGTCGCCTTGCGGCATCAATACGACCTCTGTTACCTTGTTGAGTTGCACAAAATTTTGACAAATCCTCCATTTCTTTGGGCCCTGTTCTGTTGCTTCGCTGACTATTGGTATAGGTACTTCTCTGGGTGGTAGTTCGTACGCTGAACATAACCCTGCTGCTTGGTGTTGGTCTTTGTTTCTTTGTTTCAACTCGTCCCACGGTAGGCCACCCATTTCATGCGCTCTTTGTGCTATGACTGTCGTCGCGGTGCATCGAATCAACTCTGGTGGTGCTCGTTTGATGATTCCTGCTGCTAACATGTAATTTGCTCGCTCATTGTAGAACTTCGATTGTTCTGGCGTTAATGTGCGTTGGTGCATCCATAAGTTGAATATTGCGCTCTCTGGGACATTCAAATTTAGTAACATCCCCGGGATTGGAATTACCTCCTTCAGTGCTAACATGAAGCAGTCTGCATTCTTCGTTACAAATCTTTCCAGCTCTTCCCTTTCCTCTACTGATAAATTGTCCCCGAACTTGATTTGCCATAAAACTTCTTTGACTCTCGCTGGGTTGAAAGGGTCCGTCTGACATGTGTATATCGATGGGTCATTCTTTGCTTGTTCTAATTCCGGGATCTCTCCTAGCAGTTGTTCTTCCTTGTTCTCTGATGCCTCTTGTGGGATTAACACATTGACATCTGTTGCTCACTCTGTCAAAACACTTGTGTCAATGTGTGTTTGCTGTAGTGGCGATGGGGCTCTTGTGACTTCCCTCGAGGGGAGTTTCTCACTCCCCACTTTGTTCTCTCGCGCTCTGATTGTCTCCTCTCGTCTCACGTATTGCTTCGTAGGCCTCCACTGACCCATGGGGATGTCTGATGGCTTTGTGTTGTTTTCTGATGCTCATTCATTTTTTGTTTGGCTATTGTTCGTTGTTGTTTTTCATCTAGTGTTAGATTAACTTCGCTTTCTCTTTGTAGCATCCATTGGTCCGCTATTTGGTTGCTTAGCAAAGCCGTCTGTGTTTTGTCTGCTATCGTGATGGTGTCTGGCGTGTATTCATGGACTGCTGTGAATGCTTGAAGCATTGGCTTTCCAAATAGGAAGCCCCAGCTTCCCCTGCTGTCGAAGACTTCAAACGTGCTCTGTGCTTTAATGCCCTTGATTTGGACTGTTCCTGTCCACCTAGCGACTGCTTTGATGATAGTTCTGTTCGCCATTCTTAGTTGCCTGTCCAATCCACTCCATTCGTGAAGTCTATGTTTGACCTTCTCGAAGATCGATGTGCACATTGCGCTAACCATGGCACCGGCGTCAAACAACGCTCTAACTCTGACTAACTCTCCTTGGGGACCTTCTAGCTCTATCCGGTGAATAAACAGGATCGCTTCGCCCTTCTCTAACTGCATTCTTGTGATGTGTGGATGTCTGACTGAATACAGATCAATGATCTCGATTTCGTTGTGAGACTCGGTGGTACATGTGGGATTCCTAGCTACACATTCAGCAGAGACTTTGGGGCTAATGGTCCTGTTCTTGTCCTCACACGTTGCCTTTTCGCATGCGAGGACCTTGGCTCCAGCTTGGGTACTTTCGATGTTCTGGGCTGACATATTGCTCTGTTCTATGTTGACCCATCCACTTTTCCCTGCTGTTCCGGGATTTCTTCGATCCAGGCTTGGGTCTCCTCATACTCGCTGTTCATAACGAGCGAAATTGGTGTTGCTGTTGCTTTGTTGTTTGTGCCTAGCACCTTGCTTGTGATCGCTCTCCACGCTGATTCTCTGCGTGTTAAATGTTCTGCGTGGTCTGATGGTAACGGGCAGTTTCGTCCATTATGCCCATGGGTTTCACAAGCAAAGCATTCACTGGATGTGATAGCCGCTGTACCTGGCTTCAATGGGTATCCCGTTTCTTGTGTGACTCGTGCGCCTTCTCCCCATTTCGCATTCCATTGTGCTAATTGTGCTGTGTACACAGCTTGTCCTGCTGCATTGTCCGTGTGATGTGGTAGCACTTGAATCAGCTGTCTGACTAAGGTTTTTGTCTCTTCTGTTATCATAATTGGTTGTTGCAATGCTGTTGGCTGACAGCTGCACATGGATTGGGGGGTCTGATTATTGCGTGTTGCTGGTACTCGGGTGTATGTGTTGCTGGTCGTGGATGCTGATGGCGAAGCTGATGAATTGAGTGACATTTTGTTGAATTGGTTCTGAAGTGTCACGATCAGGTTCTGTGCTGGTGTTCACATTTGAATTTGAGCTAGATCTGCCCGTAGCGCTTTGAGTTCCTGGGACTGCTTGATAGATTGCTCCTGCTTTTCTACGAGCCTGCTCCCTTTCAACTCCGTCACTGCCTTCATGAATTCTTCCCACTTCGTGTATTCTTCATCCTTGAGCAAGTCCTTTACAATGTCTGGCAGTTTGCTTCATACCTGCCAGATCATGGACGTGCTTTGGTCAATACCTGCATCCATGGCTAGCTGTAAGGTCTTTGCAGCCCATGTTACGTGCGTCCAACACTCCCTGTCATATAGCATTGTCTTCTTTCCTACTTCTCTGCTCGCCAAAACATGTTCTAACAGCTCCTTCTCATATTCTGCTTTCATTTTTTCTGCTATTGTAACCGGCGGCCAACACTTCTCAAATGCTGTTACAAACGCCGTCCATATGGCTTTGTCTGTGGAGGCGAGGTCTTTGAACCATGTTTCTGCCTGCGAGCTAGTTCCAAGGTAATCTCCAAATGCGTCTATTTTATCGTTGCTTTGTACTATTGCTTGTTGGCGCATTGCTTGGTTGAACGATTTCACAAAGTTGGCCGGGTTTTCTGATGCCTGTCCATCGCCATGGAATATCTGCGGGGTTTCTGTGGGCATGGCTCTCTGGATTTGTGCTAGTGCAAAGAATCTGGCTAAATCATAATCTGGTGCCGTGGAAATGGATGTGAGTGGTTCCTTCTTTGCGTGATGTTGCGATGATTGCAGTCTGAGCAATGGTAGCTGGAAATCTAGCTCTGGGACTTCTAGTTCTGGGAAGGGGACCTGCTCTTCTCCCTTTTTGAGGCTAGTTAGTGATGAACTTCTCGAGCGGTTTGGTGTGTTATGTGAGGATGGCTCTGGTGTGTCAAGTGGGGAGGAAGCGGTCGATGTTTCTGTTGACCAGTCTGACCAATTTGTTTTTAAATGTATGTTGGTCACCGCTTGTCCTGCTGTTGTTCTGGGTCTCAAACTATCAGTGCTAGGCATCAAGATATACACGTAAAAAAGTAAGGTAGACTCAGCCCTTTTCTTGTAATACCTGCAGGCTTTTGACGTGTGGTGCGACATAATATGATTGCTGTCTTCTGTAAATGGTTCGTTCTTGTTCCAAAGTCTTCCTAATTCTGATAAAAATGTTCTAGACTGATGCTGCGTGCTATGACTATAATCAACGTTGAACTCTAATGCGAAACTGGGTTGATTCGGATTCGCTCTGTTCACCACGTTGGACTAGGGCAGATGCAGAAGAAAGCAGACTCTATGAGGATAGGTGTTGCGATGCTACTCTACAAACAGAGCTGACTGCATAAGTCAGTGGCTGACTAAGCTAAGGAAATCGCCAAAGGGCTGCCTCTGGGCTATGAGTCTACTATCGCCCGCACACCATCTGACATCAATGGCCTCCTCAGCATTATCTTTGTTGGTCCTGGTAAATTCAATCTTAATCAGCTTGGCACCATCTTCTGTGTACGTAAATGAAAGATCTGGTTTTTTCTTCTCTGGCTCAAGCATCACAACCATCTGTACTCAATGATCCCTCTGGACTCTGATATTATGTCCATGTACCCTGAGGACGACATTCTGCCAGGGCTGTCAGATTGCATGATCGAAGACCAGGAACTTGATGCACACACCATTTTTGAGGAAGAAACTGCTGGATTCTCTGCTCATCCAGCCGAGTTGATGCATGATGATCCTGATCTAGGGGAAATCTCTGGCACGTCATCTGAACAATTCGTGATGTTGGAAAAGATGGGTGTCTTGGATCCTGAGAGTGACAAGATTAATGGGCATACATTCACTGCTGCTGCCCTCCGGAATCTATACTCAGGATCCAGCTCTCAACCAGATCTTGTTATTTGTTGGGGGTCGCAAGCTATCACAGAGTATCACAATCCAGGAGCCCCTTCAGTGACAAACTCCGTATTATACGGGTCACCTGACCTACATAATATCCCATATGAGACGGGCCAGCGGACTACGGGCCGATGTTATGTATATCCTCAATGTTGATGGGTGGGCCGGGAGGGATATTATTTCTAATGGAGACGGGTGGGCCCATCTATGCCAATGTTACATATATCCTCGATGATGGTGGATGGGCCAGGAGGAATATTATTACCAATGGAGATGGGTGGGCCCATCTGGGTAATATGTAGAGTAGGATGGACATGTATATTATAGACAGCTGGGCTGAAGAGAGATGTAAGGCAAATATTATTATATAGATGGGTGGGCCGAGGGAGTGGTGAAATAGACGGGTGGGCTGAGGTAGTCATATATTGTATAGATGAGTGGGCTGAGAGTGTGGTGAAATATTTATTATATAGACAGGTGGGCTGACATCGTAGTATATTACCCAGATGGGTGGGCCGACATGGGGGTACATATTACATAGACGGGTGGGCCAGAATACGTATCATATCAACGTATGAGCTGAGGTAGTGGTATAGTATATGGACATATGGGCTGAGGTAGTGATATATATTATATCAACGGGTGGGCTGAGGTAGTTGTTATTATATACATGGGTGGGCACAGGTAAATGAGTGCAATAAACATAACTGGGCTTAGATAGTTGGATAACAAACAAATCAGTGTGCTGATGTAGGCACCAGGGAATCAAACACATGGAGTACATACCCACTATATGAGTGCATATACCTACCATCAACAACCGAAGCCTGAATACACCATGTCTGACATTCACCAATCACCGAGTCCCGAGGCCCAAAAGCCCGAACACTGAATCCCAGTGTGCAGCATATCTGTCATATCACATATTCTGGACCTACGTCCGATGATATTCCCATGCCTTCCGGATGCACATCCAGACCTCCATACACTGCAGGCATTTTCCCAATTTCCTGTAACAAACATCCAAAAAACATTGAGTGAGAAGATAGAATTTTCCTCTCATGTTGCCTATCAAAACATTGAAAAATTTTAAATCATGTGTTAAAGATTTTTTGTGCATGGGACATGATGCAAGAATTGGACATGTTCCTTCAAGGATAATACTGGATTTCCCATCTATTTTCTTTTAAACAGCAGCCTACAATGAGGTTAAATTTCTTGTCTGTGTTTTCAAATATACACAAAACATTTGAAAAACATAGTATATTTGGATGAAAAATTTAACATTATTGCAAGCTGCTCTTTAAAAGACAATAGATAGAAAATTCAGTATTATTATTGAAGGAACATGTCTAATTTTTGCATCATGTCCCATGCACAAAAAATCTCTAACACATGAATTGATTTTGTTTAATGTTTTGACAGGCAACATGAGAGGAAATTCTATCTTTTCAATCAATGTTATTTGGATGTTTGTTAGAGAAAAATAGGAAAATGCCTGCAGTGATACCCCTTGTCCAAGCCTCCAGACCTCCAACCCTCTATTGGTCCAGATCCCTGCACCCTTGCACACATCAATACTCCCATGTTCTGGACCTACATCTGATAACATTCCCATGCCTTCTGGACATACATCCGGACCTCAATACCCTTATCCATGTCTCCAGACATCCAGCCCACTATTGGTCTGGATCTGTGCACCTTTGCACATCCGATATCCAGATGCCTGATCTGATATCCACTTCTCCAGAGCTTCAGATCTGACCTATACTTCATATCTGAAGCCAAACCTTAAATCAGCATCTATCTCCTTATGGTAATCCATTTGTATTTCCTTACACATTTCACCAAGTGCCAAGTACCGAAACCCGAAACTTTGACATGGTTGAATACCCAACACAAGTACTGGGCACTGAACTCCAAGAACCGAAACCCAAGAACCAACAGCCGACACCCGAGAACCAAATTACTAACAGGAAATACATGTATTGATACCCGCACTCAAGTACCGAGTACTGAGTGGCTGTTGTTGGTACTGGTTTTAGGGATTTGGTACTTGATACTTGGTACTTGAGTGCTGGTATTGATACATGTATTTCCCATTAGTATTTCAGTTCTCAGGTGTTGGTTCTCGGGTGTCAGTACTTGTGTTAGATGGGAAGAATCTGGGTTTTGATACTTGGCCTTCAGTATTTGCATTCGATACTTGGTTCTCAACCATTAGTCATGCACATGTGAGAATTCTCCTGCCACAAGTGATTTCATGAACAAACCCCATGCTACTATCAATCGTCTCAAACAGATGTGAATCGAGTGACATATGAGCAAAATACTATATATCAGGTGAATTTCAGCATCAGAAGTTTGATGCTGTCGATGTTTTTGATGTCGTGCCTCAATGCTTTCGGGCATTGACATGTAGATAGCCCTCGATCTCAGGGGTGTGGCAGAATTCAACTTGTCTCAAACAGATATAATTTGAGTAAGATATATGCAAAATACTATACACTGACTACTGAGTGCTGAGTGCTGAGTGCCGCAATGCTTTTGGGCATTGACACACAGATAGCCCTCACCCTGAAGGGCCCATCAGAATTCAGATCATCTTAAACAGATGTGATTTGAATGAGATATGAGCAAAATACTATATACCAAGTGAATTTCACCATCAGAAGTTCGATGCTTTTGATGTTATTGATATTGAGCCTCAATGCTTTCAGGCATTAACCTGCAGATAGCCCTAGATCTCAGGGGTCTGGCAGAATTTAGACCGTCCCAAATGGATAAGAGTTGAGTGAGATATGAGCAAAATCCCATATACTTAGTGTATTTCAGCATTGTAAGGTCAATGCTTTCCATGTTTGCAATGTCTGGCCTCAATGCATTCAGGCATTCACAAGCAGATAGAACTTGATCTCAGGGGCCTGTCACAATTCAGATCGTCTCACACAGATAAGAGTTGAGTGAGATATCAGCAAAATATTATATATCGGGTGAATTTCAGCATCAGAAGTTTGATGCTCCTGATGTTTTCAATGTCAGGCCTTGCACCAAGGGTATGCACATAGCACAACAGGAACAAATCCTGTTGTCCTGGTATCCTGATATATTGCATATACTATTGAAAGGATGTTGGGGATCATATTTTGAAGTCTATCTGCCTAAAGTTCAAAAAATACCAGGTGTATCTCAGCATTGAATGTTTGATGTTTTCAATGTGTTCAATATCATACCTCAATGCTTTTGGCCACTGTCATGCAGATAGCCCTGATCTCAGGAGTCTGTCAGAATTTAGATCACCTCAAACAGACATGATTTGAGGGAGATATGAGCAAAATACTATTTACTGGGTGTGTCTGAGCTTCTGTCATATACCATATATCCAGTTACAGATCCGATGATCTGGATCTCAGATCCGATCCAGATCCGATGAACATATCCGTCGTCCGGTCCACAGATCCGCTTTGATTCTTATTTCATTTCCTGTTCATATAACTCTAACTATCGTTCATCTCCTTTCGGTATTCCTGTACACCGGTATACCGGTTATCCTTTACTTCCACTATGCTTACTGATCCGCTACACTTACGAATCCGCTTTTACTTGTACTTCATTCCCGGTTCATGATTCGTGATCCATCCGACTTACCAATACGCTCCACTTAGACTTTGCTTATACTTTCGTACATAGCCTCGCACCTTTGCTTATTGATCATTCCGTTAGCTATCCGTAGTATATAAACCTTTGTATATGCGCTGTAGTAGATCAGTTCGAATATCATCTTAGATTGCACTCATTCCGTCTGGACTCTAAGTCCCTCCGTTATCCATCCGGACTTGAGTACGCTACTCTTGTCTACTCCGAGACTTAGGATAGATTCCTATAGTCTACATATCCGCCTCTGTCTTCGGACAGTCCTCACCCGTTAGTTTCTAGTCCGGATCTGATCCGGATTAGCCGTTACTCTATACGTTCGATATCTGGAAGTCTTAACGGATCCATTGCAATACTTATCCGTTGCAATACAAGACTTATCCGTTACGAGACTTATCCGTCTCACTAGACACGATACTTTAGCTCTCTGAAATAAGGGGCAAGACTCGGGAAAGGGGCACAGCGCACGAGCTGAGGCCGAAGCCCTTCGGATCCGATACTACTTGAGTACGGTCTTAACAGCTTCGCAGGTTCAATGTTTTTGTTGTCAGCCTTGTGTGGGAAAAATTCTAAAACATCAGGAGAAACATAAAAACAAAACATCAGGGACTACATCAGGTTTGCTATGATCACACCTATGTATAATATGATAGATTGGCTTCCAATGTACTGTTCCAGCCCCTGAACCAGTATCTGTCAGTGGTATGTATGTCTAAATACAAAAAAACTCAAAATTGGTCACAACTGCATAGAACCTCAAGGCAATCACTGTGCACTTGTGTAAGAAAGTTACAATCACAAGATATATACATAGCAAAATATGATTTTGCCACACAGTTACCCGAAGGTCACAAGCTTTGACAGTGCTTACTAGACTAAGGATATGATAGTCTTAACTCAATAGTCTTGACTTGCTAGTCATAATATAAACTTTCTTAATAACCCTAACTGTCATATCTTCCATAATAATCCTAACCCTCACAGCTTATGTATTATGTAGTAGTCAACTATCATATTAGACTATCAAGTGAAGACCATCGTATAATGACTATCAAGTTAAGACTATTAATTTAAGACTATCCTATTAAGATTATTGTATTTTATTCTAAGTCTGTACAATAGACCTGTGATACTTGATGAGTGTCAGCCTGAACAGTATATTAGAGATCACACTATCATACTACACATAGGTATGACTATTGAAGACATGATATAGTGCCCTAGTATGTGTTTTTATGTGTCTCCTGATGTGTTGAGAATGTCCTACATTACCTCATATGTCCGTGTGAGGCAATATGAATTCTGTGACACTCCTGAGATTATGGGCTATCAACATGTCAATGAACACAATCATCTAGGCCTGACATTGAAATCATTGAAAGCATCAAACTCCTGATGCTGAAATACAACCAGTATGTAGTATTGTGCTTATATCTCACTCAAATCATATCCATTTAAGTCGATCTGAATTCTGAAGGACCCCTGAGAGCGAGGGCTATCTG